ATATGCATGCATAGAACACACGCAGTACGTAGCTATGGCGACAGCATATCCCTCTCACTCACGACGCCAGCTCGCCTGATGTGGTGTCGCGGCAAGTAAACGAGGCTATCAGCAGAAAACATAGGGTGTCACTAATGAGCGGGTGATTGCTCCCCTCTAACAGGCTCCTCTCCCCCTTCCTCCTCCTTTTCTTCACTTCCTACTACACCTTAAATTTTAAAAATAATAAAAAACAAAGTTAGAAAAAATATGTATAGAAATACTATATATAAAAAATATTTGAATTCAAATTCAAATTTGAATCGGGTATATAAACTTTTGACTTATAAACTTTGGGTCTATAAACTTTAGATGTATAGAAAATACTATATATATATATAATATTTGAATTCAAATTCAAATTTGAATAGGATATATGAACTTTTGACTTGTAAACTTTAGGTCTCTAAACTTTATAGGTACAAACTTTAGATATGTAAATTTGAGGTGTACAAATTTTAGGTGCAAAAATTTACTAAAATAGGAAAGTAATGTGATGCCAAAAAAGGAAAGTGGAGGAGGGGGTGATCGCTCGGGGCGATCAATCGTCCATTAGGCTTTTCGGAATTCAAATTCAAATTTGAATTGGATATATGAACTTTTTGACTTATAAACTTTGGGTTTCTAAACTTTGCAGGTATAAACTTTACTCCCTCTGTTTCACAATGTAAGTCATTCTAGCATTTCCCACATTCATATTGATATCGATGAATCTAGACATATATATCTATCTAGATTCATTGACATTAATATAAATGTGGAAAATGCTAGAATGACTTATATTTTGAAACGGAGGAAACAGATATGTAAACTTGAGGTATACAAATTTTAGGTGCATAAATTTACTAAAATAGAAAAGTAATACGGTGAAAAAAAAAAAAAGAAAACCACGTGGAGAAGAGGGTAATCGCTCGGGGCGATCAATCATCCATTAGGCTTTTCGGAAAGCATATGCCCTTGTCGATCACCGTGTAAACGAAAGGAAACCGGCGGCTAAGCTTCCGCGGTTCCGCCGATCCAAAATCCATGGCATATAATTGAATAGAGTAACAGTAATATATTTTTTTAAAAATACTTTGTATATATTTGCAAATCTAGACAGTCTAGATTCATTAACATCAATATGAATATGGGAAATTCTAGAATGACTTATATTGTGAAATGACTTATATTGTGAAACAGAGGAAGTAATAAGTAGTACTAATTAAATTAGTTTAGCATGTCTTGTCCGCTAAGCAAACTGGCTACACGCCTGATAAGCACATGCTTGTGGGAGGCAATCGACCATGGTGGTTTTATAACGGGGGGTTATCAAACAGTGTATCTGTATCCAATGTGCTTCCAACGTGCATACACTCCTCCCTATAAACACATACACGCACAACCTATCCCTATGAGCATCTGTATTCAAGGTGATGCGCTCACAACATACCCCTATGAGCACCTCCGGAAGACTGAGCATCTGTATTCAAGGTGATGCGCTCACAACCTACCCCTATGAGCACCTCCGGAAGACTGAGCCGGCATGTCTTGAGATTGACGAAGTAACCATAGGCGTCTCGCTATCGTGTCAAATCTAGAATTTGAACCCGGATAGGCTGGTTCCATAACAAGGAACCTAACCGGTTAAGCTAAGCTCACTTCGCACTCTAATGTATAATTTAATTACTATAGTTTCATTTAGCTCATTATATACTTTTTTTAGAGGTCGTACTGCAATATATTTTAACCCGCTATTTAAAGCACTTATAGTATCCCAGCTAGCTGTGCTGCCGTTTCGTTATTAATTTGTCATCTTATTTCTTTTGTGCAATGCATGCTAATTGATTGCTAGCACCGTCAATCGCTGTAGCGCTCATCCTGTTATCGCGTAAAACAGGAACAAGATCGCATAGATGAGAAATTAATTGAGAAGGGAAACGTTGAAAATATGGATAGTCTTTAGCGAGAGCTAGTTACGTCCACGCCGAGCTGCATGCTATTTTTTTAATCTTTTTAAACCATCTTAATTTTTTATTTTAAAATTTAAACTCTTTTAAAACTTATTTTAAAATCTAAACCTTCTAGCCGCATCAATCAGACTGGCGTGGCGAAACAATATTGACATGCCAGTTTTTTTTTTTTTTGAATGCCTTTTTTTTTTAATGCCAGTTTAACGGGCATGGCAAGTGACTACGTTCTTTGACCATACAAGCTTGATCTACCACGCCTGTTGTGGGTGATATAATAGTATTATCTTGTCACGCTAGACAAGATAGCGTGATTAAAATGTTTTGACTTTAGAAATAAGTTTTATGATAGCTTATTTTTAAAATTGAAAAGGTTAAGAAAATAATAAAAATTCACTAAATACAATGCTCGTGAAAAGAACCAACTACGCACTGCTAACTCCGTTTCATAAAAACCAAACCTAACATGAAATGTGCAACATCCTAGTACTATAAACCTGCTCAGGTTGCCACCGGGAAGCGGAGGCGGGCACAACCATCTTCCATCCTGGCGAGGACGATGAACTTGAGATGCACAGCGGTGAACTCCGGCGCTCAGCCGCGGGAGCACCCTGTTGTCGGAGGAAGAGGTCACTGCACTCGGTGAGATCCAGCGTGAGGAGGGTCTTTGACGGCTCGGGGCCAAGGGAGAGGCGGAACTCATTGTAGGACGACGGCTTTGTCGGTGGAGGTGACTGCTCCTCGACGTGCCGTGCCACTGGGTGGGAGACCACGTCATACTTCCTCTGCTAGTCATCCCGTTGCCTTCGTGACCCAGCGGCGGCGAGGCCGCCTTCGCGGAGCGGACGAACGCGCTGCGGAGGGAGAACAAGTCATTGCTCGGCGGATATGGATGGCGAGGTTGAAAGGAGAAGAAGCAAGAAAGGTGAAAAAAGAGAGAAAAATAGAAGGAAAAAATAAACGAAAGGCGGGACCCATTGTAATTTTTTTAAAAAAAAATTAACTGGCACTCGTTGATACGTGGGTCCCATGGATTTTCGTGCCACGTCAATGCTATGTATGTACCACGGTAGCCAGCCGAAATCGTCATCCAAACCACATTGGTTGTACTGGTTTTGGAAGTTAATGAATGTGTGATATCTGGTATTGCAGTTAGGGACTTAGGATGGATTTCAAACTCAGTGACAAATTAAGGGACCTAATATAAACTTATTGCAATTGGTAAAGGCTTAGATTGCACCGTGGCCACGTAGAGAACCCATTTAAGTTCGATTGAGCTGTATTTGAAATGGGCTATCAGGCCTTTTTTTTTTCCGAAGGACGTTCAGCCCCTTACTATTACTGACAACTATAGTTGTATATACCAGTGTATATCTTATATACTTTCTCCGTACTATATATATTGTCATATTGTAGGTTTGTTTTTACCATTTCCCCATGAAAAGGCATACTACGCAGCATTCTTTTCATTGGAAACTAACATGGAGTTTAAATAAACTAATTAATATCTGTCTTTTAAAGTACGATGACATCAAATAGGGACATGCGTGAGATATAGTTTGAAAGCTAGATAATTAAAAATCCTTATATATCAAACTTTTCTAATATCACCGGAACGCTTGGAAAACATGATTATATATCATTTTGTTGATTTTTTTTCATATTCTACCTATACTAGAAAAAAATATCCGTGCGTTGCAATAGGTGAAGGCTATTTTAATATTATTATTGTTATATGGTTTAGTTAAGATGAAATTTACTGTGTTAAATTTGCTTGGATATATATTTTGTTAAAAATCATGAGCTGCAATTAGGAGTCCGATCGTCTCAAATTAGCATGCGAGTTTTTAAAGAGATTTTTTATACGATTCCTTCTGTATTTTTAAAAGCGAATGAACATAAAAACTGACTTAAATACGGATTTGTATTTCTAAAAGCGAACGAATTTAAAAACCGACCCATACACGGTTGACGTACCAAAGTACCGGCAAAAACTTCTTCCATATATATATATATATATATATATATACTAGAAAAATGCCCATGCGTTGCAACGGGTGAGGGTACTATTTTAATCTTATTATTGTTATACGATTTAATTAAGGTAAAAATCACTCTGTGAATTTGCAAAGTAGTATAAGTAGAAGAGAAGATTACAGACGAGAAGTCCCTTTTTTAAGGAGTTGGACGTTTTTTCTTCTTCTTTTTTTTTCTCCGCCGGGGGGTCGGACTTTTTTTTCGATAGAAGTTTTTTTCTTTTTTTTTTTTTGTTTTTCGCTCTTTTTCTTTCCACGGGAGGAGTCAGACTTCTTTAGAAGTCGGACGTTTTTTTTTTAACAATAGAAGTTTTTTTCTCTTTTTTTTTCTCGCTTTTTTTCCATCGGACGACGGAAACTTTTTTTTATTTTAAAGTAGTAGTAGATAAGATATGTATTTTAAATATAGAATTTTTTGGGGTTAGCTTATTGCCCGATGACTATACGTAGGGTCAGAAAAAGTAATATTCATATGCTATAAAATAATATAAATGCTTTTAATTTCACTAGTCACTGACATGAGTATTTATTTACAAATTCATCAATCATGTGAGTCTTTCGAAACAATAATGATTATTCAGATAGGCCGGCATCACAATTTTATGAAGATTAACACTATATAGTGATGGCTTTACAATGCATATGCTGTAGCGACCATGTATTCTTTTGTGTGGTGCTACCGTAGTTATAGTGATACCGTACTATTAGAGCTATGCATTTCTTTTTTTTCGTTGTCTTCATGTTTTTTAAAGACATGATAAATATGCTACAGAACGATGGGTAGAATATGATAAATTAATTCGAACAGATACGATGTTTATGGTAGCGGATGGTTAAAGATGCTCTACCGAAATTTAATAAACATAAATACTGTGCACTAGATAAAGACTGCTCTATATATATCCACTGTCTTACTTCTATGTGTGTTGGATGTGCCAAGCCAAACTGCCAAACACAAATAAGAAAATCCATAATATAAAGAAAGAAAAGGGAAAGAAAAAGGAAAACAGAAAAAAAAACGAAAAGCAGCTAAGCGAGCCAGCGACAGAAAGGGGAGAGGCAGGGCAGCGCCTCCGAGTCCCAAAACCCTAGCCATTTCTGGTTCCCTACCTCGCGCCTCAGGAATCTTCCAGAAGCTTCTAGACCCCGCGCGGATCCTCCCTCCCGGTAAGCTCACTCCACCGGATCTCCTCGAGCCGCGAGCTCCCCTAGCGAGATTTGACGCGGTTTCGGGCGGCGGCTCCAGGCTTGGGCTCGACTTTGGGGGAATCGCAACGCTGGCGGCGGTGGGCAGGTGATGGCGGATCCGCCTCGGGGTGGGGGATCTAGATTTCGGAGCTCGAGAGCGAAGGTGGAGTCGGACGAGTGGGTCGTGCGGTTGAAGCTAGGGTTTTGCAGGGCGAGGAGGGAGGGGAGGAGGGAAGGATGCTGACCATCCTGCGGGTGCACCTCCCGTCGGAGATCCCTATCGTGGGCTGCGAGATCACGCCCTACGTGCTCCTGCGGCGCCCCGATGGCGGCATCTCCACCGAAGATGTGCATGAGGCCATCCCTCTGGATGGGCACTTTATGCGGTATAAATGGTGAGTTAGCTCACATCTGAACCTTCAAATGATTCAAATTTCCTAGTCTTGTAGAAATGTTTACTTAATTGAAGTTGCAAATGACTATAGATTCGTTTTATGAAATAATAGCGATTAGCCGATTACAAGTTTTTAGATTACAGTGCAGAATGTTAGAAAAAATACAGAACTAAAAGACATTTTGCATTCTAGCTAGTAGATAATAGATAGATGTGTATATAGACTGCGAAATGCTAGTTTGCATCCTTGGGACACTCAATGAGAAGTATCGCCATTCGCTCATTTGTATGGCAGATGAATTATGTTATGCATGGCGTCATCAGTAATTTAATACGTTTGGCGTTTTGTATTATGTGTAGTGATATGCCCCTGATAACCCCAACACTAGCTGGTATGAAGTATAACTAGATGACTGGTAGATGGACAACGGGTAAACATTTTAGGGAACTGATTTTTTGTTGTGCCGTGTCGACATTATGTCATTCAGGATTAATTGAAACTTTCTGGGTTTCAAATAATGTGTTTTTTTGCTAATGTATCCACGGTCAGGGTTTTACTTGCATCATTTCTTGATTGTGGCAATAAACGAGCATCCTTAAGAGCACAGTCAAAGTTCTGTCGAAAAATTCGCGGTAAAAAATTCATAGAGCTCTGTCAACGTTGTCGGTTATTAAAAACGGAAGGTTTGTCAGTGCCTACAGTGAAATTCCTCTTGTTTTATAGTATATCTTGAATAGTCTATTATAATTGCCTTATTGCTATTATTGGGAGCTTTGTTTTGGTTATCATTTGGTGACACTTAGGAAATGATTAAATGCCTTTATAAATTATTCAATCAGCCTTTTTTGAATTGTGGATTCTACATATGTAGCCACAACCCTGCAACATGGAGTATTGCTATTCCCTCAGCTAAACTAATCTTTGAACTTTTTACATAAATAACATGTGTGACCACTGATTTTACTTCCTTATAAAGGTACCGCATACAAAGTGATCGAAGAGTCGCTGTCTGCAATGTTCATCCAACAGAACAGGCAACAATACAGTGCTTGGGGTGTTTGAAGTCAAAAATACCAGTTGCTAAGAGCTACCATTGTTCTGCTAAGTGCTTCTCAGATGCCTGGCAACACCACAGGGTGTTGCATGAACGTGCTTTGAGCGCTTTAAATGAAAATGGCAACGAAGAGGAGGAGTTATTTGGCCGATTTGGTAGTGGCAATGCAGGGATTATAAATGCCAGTTTATCTGGCTCAACATCAAATATTGGACAGAGCTCAAGTGTTAATAATGGACCTACACCTGTGTATCCCACTGGAACTGAAAAGAATTCTGGTGAAACTTGGTTTGAAGTGGGACGTTCACGGACGTATACGCCAACTGCTGATGATATTGGGCATGCCCTAAGATTCGAATGTGTAGCAGTGGATTCAGAAACAAGGTCGAGTGTGGGAGCTCCAACTTCAATCATGACATCTCGTGTAATTCCTGCTCCAACACCCACTCCGCGTCGTCTGATACCAGTGAATTCGGCTGATGTAATGGGACACTTTGATCTAGACAGCCGAAATTCTTCTTTTGGGACATTCACAGTGTTGTCTTACAATATTCTTGCTGATACATATGCAACAAGTGATACATACAGCTATTGCCCAACTTGGGCACTTTCATGGCCTTACAGAAGACAAAATTTGCTGCGTGAAATAATTGGTTACCATGCGGATATCATCTGCCTTCAGGAGGTATGCCATTTTAATTGTTATCCTTTTTTTATAGAAAATATTTGAAAGATCTGAATGTTGCATATCTACCACTTCCGACTTACATATGTAAAGTGCGCGAAATATGTTTGATATGCTTAACAAACTTTGGTGTCATTTTCAGTCATTTTTCAATAGAACACCCTTATAATTTGTTTATCCTACATTCCTACTAAACCTTGCTTTGCTCATGATACTGTCCTCAAGTCTTTCTTGTGTTGTGTCCTGCTTCATTAGTTCCACATTAGCTAGATCACTATTATTGGTTGCTCTCTTGATTTTTCAGGATCAAAATAATCAAGTTTCAAGAATTCTATTATGAATTAAACATTACTACTTTCAGGTACAAAGTAACCACTTTGAAGAATTCTTTGCACCGGAGCTTGACAAACATGGATATCAGGCACTGTTCAAGAAAAGGACAACTGAGGTATGCCTTTTATTTTGTGGTTGGATAAACAACTTGGCATACTATTTTGTTTGACTTCGTAATTATTGCTTGATGCGTTGTTTGTGCATCAATTATGTAATAGGTGTACACTGGCAATCTCCAATCAATTGATGGATGTGCTACTTTCTTTCGAAGGGACAAATTTTCACATGTCAAAAAATACGAGGTATCTCAATGGCAGGGTTTTTGTTATAGTCTTCAATTTTCTTCATACCATTCGTATAATATTTTCTGAACTTCAATGTAGGTTGAGTTTAATAAGGCTGCACAGTCTTTAACTGATGCAATTATTCCAGCTGCTCAAAGAAAAGTGGCTTTAACTCGATTGATTAAGGTATGCCCCAAATTTAAAAACAAGAAATATGTCTTACGACCTGTGCTGTCAATTGTTATATTAATGTGCTAATTCTTCTTCTTGACTGTGCAGGATAACATTGCGTTGATTGCAGTTTTAGAAGCTAAGTTTGGTAGCCATGGGGCTGATAACCCTAGCAAAAGACAGCTCCTTTGTGTGGTAAGATATTCTGAGTCTATATTTGCAAATGTAATTGTTGTACTCTTTCTGAATCAACAGAAGAACATCCATTTCAGTGAGATCTCACTTATTAAACTATACATCTAGATGAAGGATGTTTCTTCATGGATTTTCTGTAAGGTTTTGTTCACGAACATGTAGCATCAGACGATTCTGTCATGAGTAAGGACTCAGGAAAAATATAATAGAATGCCATACACCAGTTACCAAAGTTTTTTACCCATAGTTGTAGCATGTAGGATGCTTATGATGTGAGAGAACAAGATGCATGCTTTACATGTCCATTGTATCCATGGTATTCATCAATTTATTGTTGGATCCCTCTTTTCTTTTTGGGTCATTTTGATTATTCGATTATCGGAGGGGTTTCCGCACCTTTTATGATATACTGAGTTGTTTACCTGCATTAAGTAGACTGTATCAAGTATATTTGCAGTGATCTTACTTCATGCTTAGTTCTCTTGTAATAGCATTTTTGGTGCCATGGGGATCTCATTTGTTTCTTAACCTGTTTGTTTTTCAGGCAAATACGCATATCAATGTTCACCAAGACCTCAAAGATGTCAAGCTATGGCAGGTCAGATCATAACTCTGTTTGCAGAATTTTACAGTATTTCTAATTTTCATGAATTGACAATTGTAATCTTCTATGAAATTCTTTCAGGTTAACACCCTCCTAAAAGGTTTAGAAAAAATAGCTGTCAGTGCGGACATTCCAATGCTGGTCTGTGGAGATTTCAATGCAACCCCTGGAAGGTTTGTTCATCTACTGAAGGATTTGGATTTATTCTCCTTATGTCCTACTATGTGAAGATTCTAAATGGCAAATGCGCACTGTAACGTTGCAGTACTCCACATGGGCTTCTTGCAATGGGGAAAGTTGATCTGATGCATCCAGATCTAGCAATAGATCCTCTTGGAATTTTGCGACCAGCAAGCAAGTTGACACACCAGCTTCCTCTGGTATAGTGAACCCAACGCAGCTCTCTTAATCTACTTTATATTTTTTAGTTATGGCTCTGAACAAAGGATTTGCTTGTTTTACAGGTGAGTGCGTACTCTTCATTTGCAAGGATGGTTGGTGCTGGTTATGATTTGGAGCACCAGAGGAGGAGAATGGACCCTGCAACAAATGAACCACTTTTCACAAATTGCACGAGGGATTTCACTGGGACCATTGATTACATATTTTACACAGGTTTGTGGTGAAACTTTGTTGAAATGCTGCCTGTGGTGTGTTCTGGAATATGCAAATATTGCTAGATTTACCTTTGCATTGTATTTTCCATTTCAGCGGATTCGTTATCAGTGGAATCGTTGCTGGAACTTCTGGATGAGGATAGCTTACGGAAAGACACTGCGCTTCCTTCACCTGAATGGTCATCAGATCATATAGCACTCTTAGCAGAATTTCGGTGCAAGCCTAGAGTTAGACGATGATACCCTAGGTATGAGCAAAGTACTAAAATCATTGATTAGTTATACCATTGATTTGGTTGGAATTACCCATGTTCTTTAGATAATAGAACGCCCCATCAATATTCCTTGAATGGTAATGCCGTTCACCAAAATCAATAGATGCTTGTACCTCAACTTTAATAAACCAAATGCAGGAATTCTTAGTTTCAAGTACACATGACATATGTCCCCATATCTCACTTTGCATGAATTGTTTTGCCTCCTGGAGCTTGTGAGTTGTTAGTAGTTGAAAATCTACAGTCTGACAGCTGGGGCACTCATGATGACCATTTAGTGCAGAATTATGCTGTTGCTATAGGTCCTGACAAAGCATTTTGTCTGCAGGTACATCCATGTTCACTAGGAGGTGCTCTAGCGGCGTGATTACCAACATACACAAGGGAACATACCCTCAGGGGAAGTAAGATTAACAATCTTAAGGAAGGGAGGATTGTTATGTTCATTACTCTTTTCATTTCTGCCCTGATTTTTTTAGTGGCTCTAGCTGGATTGCGACTTTCTATAGGTGAAATATCCACGCAAAGAGAAATATTTAATAGCATCATTGTTAGTTTTTTTCAATTTCAGTCTGTCTACAATTTTTCCTTACCATGGAATCTAGTTCTTACAAGCTGGAAATGATCCCTTCCATAATCCATTGTGTACGTCTCACTTTTTTTTTTTTGGCTGACATGTAAATCTGTCACGTGGGTCGGTGCTAGTTTTCGGAAATGTTAATTGTTGTTTAAGAGCCATAGTTGCCAACTGAAGTACAGTTATCTTGAAGGAAATGAAATTACGGGTTTGGTTTGTTGCAAAAATTCTGAGGGCAATGCTGCTTCATGTATGTATATTTATTTGTGTTCGCTACTTAATGAAACCCAGGTTGTCCTTTTGATAGTGTTTATCAACAATCTACCTATTTGTTGTTTCTCATTCTCACAAGGTAAGAACACTCCCAAAACAGTTGCCAGGAACCTCCTAAAGATTATTGCTGGGGCCGATCTGAAGAAAACAGGATGCTCATACTTTGTGTAAGAGAAATTCAGCTATCAATGGATCCTGACATTTTGGATGTCAAGAGTGTTTCACTGTTCCTATTTAGTGGAAGCACCCCGAATGTTTTTACACTACTACCACCCGAATTGATATGCTTGCATTTACTTTGGTTGCCAGCAGCTTCATGACAAACTCTACTGTAGCATGTTTAATATCCTGCCGATAGGCAGATTGATTGCTCCTGCCATCCCTGGTACGCAGAAGTTAAAGATTGCACTACATGGCTTGCTACTGGTCTTTTACTAGCCACACTAGAGGCTTGGATCCCATTCATCTTGAGCTGTTCCGGTGCAATGATGGCCGTGTTTTCACGTGAAAATTAGAAGTTTGGTTGAAATTGGAACAATGTGACGGAAAAGTTGAAAGTTTATGTGTGTAGGAAAGTTTTGATGTGATGAAAAAGTTGGAAGTTTGAAGAAATATTTTGGAACTAAACACGGCGGATGATTCATGAACTCAGCTGCTGTTGCCACTTTGCTACGCGACCCTACAACCGTCTGCCACCTGGTTCTACGCTGCACGTCGCTCTTGAGAAATTGCTCTTTACATCCAGGATGAAGACTGCGAGAGGAGGAAAGGAAGGCGCCAGAAAACTGTTTTGGGTTTCTGCACAGCACTAATGTACTGGCCTATGGTACTCTGGGCCATTCTACCCTGCTTCAGTCCCTCCGTACTAGAATAACTTAGAGGCTGTGTTCGAGGGAGAGTGGATTGGGAAGATACGTCAAACGAGTTGAGTCATTAGCGCATGATTAATTGAGTATTAACTAATTTAAACTTCAAAAATAGATTAATATGATTTTTTAAAACAACTTTTCTATATAATTTTTTTTTTGCAAAAACCGCACCGTTTAGTAGTTTGAAAAGCGTGCGCACGGAAAACGAGTGACAATCTCCCCTATCTCCAACGAACGAACGCAGCCTTAGAAGTTATTTAGGAGAGTTTTTTAAGCTTTTGTCAAAATAAGAAGCTCCCCAAACAAAATATTATCGTTCAAGTTTCCATAAAAAACTAAAAGCTAAAAGTTGAGAAATCAAACTTTTGTAGATTCGTAAAAGCCGGCTACCAACCAATTGCTTCTTATAATCTTAAACTCTCCCAAACAACCTCTTAACGATAGGACCTAGTACAATGAATCTAGATAAGCTCTTGTTCTGATTGGTTGTATTAGGATGTCCTATCTTAGATTTAGATATTTTAGGACAGATGGATTACGTTACTACTGCTCTTTAGTTTTGTAGAGAAATAACAATAGTTTGAAAAGGAACAACTTTGGATCATAGCTAGAAATAGCTATTATCTTTGTCGGATTTTTTTTCATGTACACCCTCCGGTCTAAAATATAAGGAGTTTTTGTTGGATGAGGTCCTTATATTTTAGGAGAAAGGGAGTTGTAGATATGCAACATCTCTTATTATGGAGATAGTATATTTTAGGACGTTAATACTATCTCGGAATGGGACGATTTTCTTTGCAAGATCCAGCAACAACAATAACTGAATAAGGGTGTGTTTAGTTTACGCTAAAATTGGAAGTTCGGTTGAAATTGAAACGATGTGATGGAAAAATTGGTAGTTTGTTTGTAGGAAATTTTTAATGTGATGGAAAAGTTAAAAGTTTGAAGAAAAAGTTTGGAAGTAAACTTGGCCTAACCTCCGTTACTTTCCTGGCTGTATCACTGTGTCAGGCTTGAAGGCATTTGGCAGAATGGCAGGTAATCCACATGGAGAGACGAAGGCGATCCACCACCATTGTTCATCAGGCCGGCCGCACCGCGCGACAGTGCCTCCTCTGCTGTTGCATGAATGCCGGAGTTATTGGCTGTTGCTGCTGTGCAGCGCTGCACCCATCTCCCCAACCACGCAACTCATCAAAACGACCAACGCGACCGCATCAAATCCCCCACCTTGAATTGCATCCTCCTCCCACACCGTCTTCGCGGCGTTGTGAACTGGGCGCCTTCGCCGTGAACAGTTCCACGTCGCCAAGTTATAAGAAAACCCATGAGCTCGGTAAGTCACAGCTCAACCAAACAGTTTCAACTAAAATATAAACGATATTGGGTATAATGTTCTCGTAAAATAAATTAGTAAGATGAAGCTAGATTTAGGTTGCTCCATCACTTCACTGTAGAGTCCTTACGTTTTTTTTTGAGAAAATCCATAAAATGCCATCGACAAGCACCTTGATCCTAGAAATGCCATTGACAAACGCAACTTCCTGAAAATGCCATCGTACAAGCCTATTTCTCCCAGAAATGCCATCACACCGTTAGTCCACACCGTTAGAACAAAACATTTTACAAGAATGACTAAATTGCCCTCACTCCAAATAATACTATCCCAATCCACCGGTAAAAAAAAAACTACCGCTAATGCTTGATGCGTTACATGGCCGGCCTGCCTCGAAGGCGCCGGCCTGACACGCGGCTAGCCAGAGGAAGTGGGAGGCTCACGTCAGCGGCGGCGAATGACTCGTCGTCGCTGTGGTTGGAGTCGGAGTCGGCGCTTCGCTCGCCGTCGCTGGAGGAAGAGGAGGAGAGGCGGGCGAGCCCCGCGGCGGTCATGCTCCAGACGCGGGCGCCGCAGTAGGGGCAGCGGACGTGCGGCTCGAGCGGGCCATGGTGGATGACGAGGAACGCGCGCGTCCGCGACGGCATGAACCCGCGGTACGCGCCCACGATGTCGTCGTACACTGCGCCAGCGACGGCCAGTGGCGGAGCTAGCGGCATCGTTGAGCCCGGGCGAGTAATAGCGTTTTTCGGTGATCGACTAATTTTGATAGGTGTTGACAGCTATTCGTAGTGAAGACGACATCGACGGAGCACGGGCGGCCGCCCGACCTGTCCGGGAGGTGGATCCGCCACTGGCGACGGCCACCGCGTGCTCGCAAAGTGGCCCGGCACGGCGGCGGCCGCGCGGCAGCAGAAGAAGAGCAGCTTCGCCATCACCGGCCAACCTCCCCCAATGAGTCGATGCCTGGGACCGTCGTGCGGATGCCTGCTGCCGAGGCGCCGTCGCCTGGGACCACCGTGCCTGCGGCCGACGCGCCGCCGCCTGGGACCACCGCGCCGCCGCATGCCACCTCCTCGCCGCCCGTCGCGTCAACGCCTGGGACCACCGCGCGGACGCCTGCTGCCGACGCGCCGCCGCCTGGGACCGACGCTCCGCTGCCTTCCACCTCCTCGCCGCCCGTCACGTCGACGCCTGGGACCGCTGCCACAGGCGCCGCCTGGGACCACCGCGCCGCCGCCTGGGAGCCCCGCGCCACCGCCTGCCACCTCCTCGCCGCCCGTCGCGTCGACGCCTGGAACTGATGTGCCACCGCCTGGGAGCGTCGCCTTGCCGCTGTCGCCCATCGGGAGCTGGCGATTGAAGTGGAGGGGAGGAATAGTGGCCGGCGATGGGATGGAAGAGAAGGGGATTTATCCTTTGTTGAGGAGGGTAATTTGGTCATTTTGACAAAATTAACGGTGTCTAACAGAGTGAAAGTGACGGCGATGGCATTTTTGGGACAAAATGGCTCGTACGATGGCATTTGCTGGAAGTCGCGTTCGTCGATGGCATTTCTTGGATTAGGGTGTTTGTCAATGGCATTTCATGGATTTTCTCTTTTTTTTTAGCGTGACGTTTCGGCCGTTTTGCTATGTAATTCTGGGCAGGGTCTGGCTGTGGCCCGTGGGCCGTGGCTGGCAGCGCGACACCGCCACGGAAAACCGGGGACGCCACGGTGGGACGGGGGCGGTGCACCGGTCGACCGCCGAACAGTGCGCGTCCTCCGCTCCACTGCACGTAAGCCCGTGCGATGCGAGCACGACACGCCCCCACACCCCCCACCCCCTCCCCCGACCCCCAGTGCATCTGTGCATGGCACGTCCACAGTTGCACACTGCACCACCACCCGCCCTCGCCCGTTATAACTCCCCTTCACCAACCCACCCAACCCCTCACTCTCTCAACTCAACTCACCACTGCTTCGAGTTGGGGATGGCGATGGTGGCGATGGTGGTGGCGGCGATGGCGGTGGCGGCGGTGGCGAGGGGGGACATGAGCGCGGACAGGACGGAGTGCGCGGACCAGCTGGTGGGGCTGGCGCCGTGCCTGCAGTACGTGCAGGGGGAGGCGAAGGCGCCGGCGCCGGACTGCTGCGGGGGGCTCCGGCAGGTGCTCGGGAAGAGCCCCAAGTGCCTGTGCGTCCTCGTCAAGGACAAGGACGACCCAAACCTCGGCATCAAGATCAACGCCACCCTCGCCCTCGCCCTCCCCTCCGCCTGCGGCGCCACCCACGCCAACGTCTCCCACTGCCCCCGTACGCCCATCTTACTCTTACACACCTCTCTCACCTCGCCGCCGCCTCGGACGCTCTCGCTTTGTTTTCTTTTGCTTTCTTGCGGTCCGTGACCACGCCATCTCGTTGTCGACGTTTCTGTCCAGCGTCCACCGTCGACACGGGCAAGAACTTATACGGTACAATATACTGCTAGTATATACTGTAAATATATATATATATATATATATATATATATATATATATATATATATATATGATCTAACGGTGTAGATTAATTTGATTTTTTAGTTAATTAGATTGTAGTATAAAATTTGAAAGGGTAATTTTGTCTTTTCTTCGTTATTTTATTATCAAATTGTGCTATCATGCTCCGTCATCGGATGGCGCTTGGAATGCTTATCCCCTAGTGCACGATAAGATCCAGGACCGGGCACTCCCAAATAGGTCAAATCTGAACCAAAAATTATTAAAATGTTATTTTATTTTCTATCAAATTCCTAACATACCCTTCTATATACTACCAGTATATAGTATATACTGGTATAGTATATTGTACCGTAAAAGTACTTTTCTTAATGTTTTTTGTGTGATTTTTTCGACTTTCAAGTTTCAGTTCAACTGAAGCTGCAAATAATTGAAAGTCGAACTCCTCCACATTCTCCCGCATTATTCAAACATGCCACAATAATGCTCTGCAACAATGATTTTTCTTTTTTTACATGATCCGCATGAATTATTGTGGCATGTTGCAGAGCTCCTTCACATTCCTCCGAACTCGAAAGACGCCGCCATCTTCAGCCCCGGTGGCGACAAGGGCTCCCCTGCTGCTCCAGGTGAGTGAGCCTTACTTAATCTGTTGTTCCCTCCAGTGTCTATGTCTTGTCTCCACTGTTAATTTCTCTGCAGATCATGTAGTTCTACAAATTACTGACCATGATCCGTACTACATAGTGGAATTTACGGCAGTGACTAATGTATGAGTGAGTAGTTTTGTCATGTGGACATGAGAAGTTTGATATCGCCGAAAGGTGTGCACTGCGGTCGTGTGGTAATGTGACCCACCAAACACAGCGCGCTAGTGCTTTGACATCATCACGGTCTGAGACAGAAACAACCAGGAGTTTCTTGGTAATCATAGTTCATAAACTGTTTTTGTAGAGTTGAGAATCAACCGAAGCTGAGACTAAAGTTAAACTGATGGTCTGAAACTATGAAATGTTTCAAGAACAATTCGATTTCACTGAGAAAAATAGTATAGTTCATCTTTGCTTCAGCTGTTAACGATTCTGCTGCTTAATTTATCGGCATTGCTCATCGTCATTGCATACAAACTACGTCTCTGATCTGATGATCAACGCTGATTATTTGTCACTTTCTCCATGCAGCGAAGGACAACTCGACGACGACGACCGACTCGCGCGCTGTGCAGGCGGCCAACGGGGGCAGCCGCTCGTCGGCGGCGACCGCCGGCGCCGCGCTGACGGCGTTGCTGGCCGGCTACTTCCTCCTGCTCCTGCCGGAATTCTCAGCTCCGTCGTCCTTCTAGATCACTGTCTGCATCATCTCGTGCGTCCTCTGCAGCTACCGATCGAAACCAAGAACACGGGATTGGATGGAGCCAGATCAATTAGTGGGCGATTATATTGGACAATGCCTGGTGAAAAACTGAGACTCAGAGAGTGTGATGCATCCGTGCATATGTTGTAGTATGTGACAGATAGTAATTCGTTGGCGTTTGCAGTGTACTGTACTGCACTGTTTGTTCTTTTCCTGCTATGTTCTGGATTCTGGACGATGTGTTTTGCTACTCCTACTAGCTTTTCTATAGTACATCTGGTTACTAATGCTGATCACGATTGATATTTGTTGCTGCCAGAGTAGCAGTAAGGTGAGCCGTTTGATTGATCTGTTCCAGCTTTTCTTTCTGGTTGTTTTTGTACTTTTGAATCATGAATTTGTGATGCTCGCCTCACGAGTGACGGTTCCATGAAATTCAGCGATGTTATGTATTCTCAAATGTCTCGATAAGATACTTCTTATATTGTCTTGAATTTGCTCTCCAACTTCAGCGATGGTACCCAAAACTAGCGCAGAAACCTTAGATCACACATTTGTGGTGATTTTTATTGCAGCCACCTTCATGTTGCCACGAAAAAGAAGCAAGGATATTGAGAAAAAAAGGGGGTCCAAGAGGTTCGGAGAATTACACTCCGACCTCCCACATTTCACCTTTGCATTGTACCGTATCGAATTTGAGTGATGGTACCCAAAACTAGTGCAGAAACGTTAGATCACACATTTGTGGTGATTTTTATTGCAGCTACCTTCATGTTGCCAAGAAAAAGAAGCAAGGATATTGAGAAAAAGGAAGGGGTCAGGGGGTTCGGAGAATTAAACTCCAAACCCCACCTGTGTGTTTGGTCCATGTCGTGGAGGATGTCGTTTCAAATCCACGGTCTTACACGCGATTTGCACCCGCTCATCGAGTCGTCGTCGGCGGCGAGAGAGGAATTTCGTCCTTGGAGGCAATAATAAGTAATTACTAAAGTATCTTGATGAAATGAATCGATCCTGGGCAGCAGAACATCGGTTCATTCGATCGCCACACTTCAAGTATGCGATGAAGCCGATGAGTGTGCATTTCAATGGACAACGACACCTGCAGTACGGCTGCTGCATCTCAGATGTCTCGAACTCTCGATACAAAACTTCACGTCGGCTTGAACTTTTTGCGAGGTTATTTCGTCTTGAATTTGCTCTCGAATTTGAGTGATCATACCCAAAATCAATGCTGAAACCGTAGGTGTACACTGATGATGATTTCTATTGCATCTACCTTCATTGTTGCCATGAAAAAGAAGCGAGAATATTGAGAAAACAAGGGTTTCGGATAATTGAAATCCGACCTCCACCTCCACGAATCCTACGCAGGCTTTTCAAGGCCCATTAAGAAATGATGCGGCCTATTCAAGGCCCATTAACACGGCCCAGTAACAATAAGAAGTCCGTCTCGGCGACAGACTAGTCTTTCGTCGACCGCCGCTCTGATATAAAGGAGACACGAAGGCCCAGCGCTTCCTCCTCCTCCCAACGCCGCCGCCGCCGCCGCCGCCATCGTCTTGCGCCCTCGTCGGCCGCCGCCCACGCGAGGAAACGAGGTGCGTCCCTTCGCCCGATCTCGATCTCGATCTCTACGCGCGTTTCTTCCTTGACGACGTACTGGGTGTTATCTTGTATGCTTCATGGCGGAATTGCCACTACCTTGCCGCTTGTGATTTAGGGTGCCCTAGTACTCTTGCTCGTACTCCGTGGCCGTTATGCGTTTGTTCCGTGATGCCGTGTTGAAATTGGGATTGGGAATTGATGGTATCGGCAAGTCCCGAAGGGCCGAATTTTCTCTGCCATGAATTATTTATATTTCTGTTTCGATACTTAGACTATGTCACTGAGGATGATTTTAGGGTTCTTGTTAAATTAGAAGTTCAGAACAAATTAAGATGACCAGTGTCGCTAATGTGCGACAACCGTAGATGATCAGTTTTACCCTGTACTTAATTAATTAGTAGTCTGAATCTGAATGTCTGAAACAGCTGAAAGAACAGTTTTGTCATGTTCCCTGATTAGTTTGATTGCTGCTACAATAGTAAAGTCTGGATTACTAGAGAACCGGATTTCTGCACTTTAAAAGTTAAAATACACTGCTGAAATTATTAGTTTAGTGCATGGTTCTTGCTATCCCCATAGAGATGATCATTGGGGGATGGACAGAATTTTTGTACTTCAGAACTGTTTAAAGTGAAGTTAGTGCCTAGTTATCCAGATTTGTGCAAGAACTAGCATGCGATTTAATTGCATGTTGTGTACATTTACTCATGTTTTCCTTATTGCGATTGCTCTGGAACCTCAAATCTGTTCTAGTATTATATTAGTTTTTTTTTGCCGGGTCCGCGAAGTTATATTTAGTTCCAATGTGCCTAGTTTGCATGATTAGGTCACTGTAATTGAAGCATGAGTCTTGTTTGCTCAACAACAGTTTCAACCAACCATTCGCGGTAGCATCTACTCCACTCACATTGATAACCAATATGCTGTTTGTTCGTGCAGCATGGACACCCAGGTGAAGCTGGCTGTTGTGGTGAAGGTGATGGGGCGTACCGGCTCCAGGGGTCAGGTGACCCAGGTGAGAGTCAAGTTCTTGGATGACCAGAACCGTCTCATCATGAGGAACGTCAAGGGCCCGGTTCGAGAGGGCGACATCCTCACCTTGCTCGAGTCCGAGAGGGAGGCCAGGAGGCTTCGCTGAACCTTCTTGCACGAATTCAGACATGTCTGTCGTACTGTGGTTGTCTGATTGTCTTTGAGCTCTAGACCTGATGACAATCTCGCATTTTTTGTTTTATATAACTGAGCTGAATTTCACTTGATGCAATGTGACATGGTTGTGCTCGATAATATTAGCTGAATTGATGCATGGATTGGTTATTGGCTCGAATTTTATACTGTCTGAAACTCTGAATACGCCCACAAAGTAAGGACTTTTAGGCTGCACCGTGCTGCAGCAGCGAGGTGGGAGTCCCGGCGGCGGCGTAGAGCGGCGCCGGCGACGGGAGCGGCGCGCAGGGGCTCTGCCGGGGGGTCGCCGTCGACCCGAGCCTCAGTGGCCCGGCGCCGCCGCGCGGAGTCAGGCTGATCTGCTCCATCACCCGGAACTGGAGCTCCGGCGGGTAGTCGCGGACGCAGCCGATCCGCGGCCCGGCGCCGGTGGTCCACCGGAGCGACAGCTGCTTCCCGAGCTGGTACGAGTTCATGGTCATCCTGGAGTTGAGCCGGCGGAGGATCTTCTCCTGCGGCACCACCACCGCCTCCTCCGCCTCCTCGCCGCCGCGGAACAGGTTCACCTTGCAGAAGTCCAGGCGGTCGCCGAACGACCCGGCGTCCTGCTCCGCCACGCCCTTGGCCAGCCGGCTCTTGTCCAGCGTCAGCCTCGGCGGCCGCTTGCGCTGCAGGCGGTTGCCGGAGGATGACCTCTTCATCACCGGCGTGGCTGGCTCACCGCCGGTGGTGGAGGGTGGCGCGGCTTGCGCGGCCACGGTGGTAGTGCCATTGTCGTCGGCCGTGGCGTCTTCTTCCTTCTCAGGCTTTCCTGGCTCGGTTGGCTCGAGCTGGGAGCGGCCACTCCTGGACCTGAGACACTCGTCCTCTTCGTCTTCTGATGGGCTCAACTGTAGCAAAACCAACAAACCCAATTATATGTTCTGATGTCAGAATATATATCAAGGCTAGGAAATCTTAAACTGATCTTTTGAAAGGAAATCTTAAACACTTAAAACTAATTGGCTCATAAGAAGTCTTTCTTTTGTTGGCATGTAAAAAATACCCTTCTCTAAAACAGAATGTAAGAAGATAGAATTTACCGTTGTCTACTCACCTTGATATTGGCAAGATCTACGTTTCTCTTCTTCAGATACATCATGAATTCGCGGAAGTTTGCCTCCGTAGGACGGTAGTGCCCGCTATGTGGCCAGACAGCCTGAGAAAGGTGGATAACTGAATCAGAAAAGGTGTCTTTGCTGCTGTGCAGACCAAGAAATAAAACCACATAATCTGCAGTTCCATGCACCTTTAGGATTCCATTATCTACAACTAGTCTCCCGGCAGCAGATGTGGCTCCACCAGCAAGGAAGCTGGAGTGCTGGAATGTGCCCTTGCTCTTCTGCAAGAATGTATCCATTTCATCAGTGATAGGTGACGTTTCACTATTATGGTTCATGTACTGAATATGTACTATTGACAAGTGACAAATGCCAATATTCACTAACTGCTTAATGCTCAAAAAAGGTACCGTGCCAATGTATAGAACTCTTGTTGTGCTCAACACGAAGATCCATTTCGAATTCTTGGGGCCCTCAGAAGTGTCGACAATCTTGCGGCTCATCTTGTACAGCAGTTTCTTGTTCTCAATTACTACCTCATAGAACTCCCTCTCTTTCTGCACAAAGTAGTAATCTCTGTTCAGAGTGCAACCTTCTCCACTTTAAGATTTCAGAATGATTGGTTCGCAGGAACAGCAACTTACAGGGCCAAGATACCTGATGCATTGCTGCAACAGCTTCCATCTAGGGCAGTGGTCCTCCATACTTACGTCTTTTCCTTCACCCACATCCAACCTATCATAATCGTAAGTTCAGAAATCACCAATTTGTTTGTTCATCTGGTTCACAAACACTCTAGAGTTTCACGCTTTCGCATGAATTTTACCAGTAGAAGAAAGGTTGTTTGCTTTCGCAGTGAAGCCAATGTTGGTAGTAGTAATGGAGGTTGTGACCATACCGATGCCGAGGGTCAATCTGTCCAAAAGTCATCAATGAACTTCTGGTTAGTGAAGTGCTATCATAAAATTATGTTTGGATACAATGTTTTGAGAGTTCTGAAACATACAGCTTCGAGCCAGTGCTGCAAAGCGAGCTTCTGAGCCTTTTCATCCTTCGACAGACCTTTACCTACCTAACATAAGAACAAAAAAGCACAAACAGTACTCTTATCAGTATTCGGTAACACTATTATAGTATGCCTGTAGTGCATAGAACAAACAGAACTGCACCATTTCAGTTTATCAGTTTGAATGATTCAGAATACTTGAACATAATGCCAGAAATATATGTCAATGACAGCACCAGCAATGCCAACAGTTTTGTATACAAAGAACACTGCTATGAGCAATTCTCTATTTTTTAAGATCAGAAGGTTCAGGTTAGCCAAAAGAATGTGTAAACACATGACTATACCTTCGCAGCTTTCGTTCTAGCCCGAGACCACCTTGAGAGGGCAGATTCTGGCTTCTCCTCCTCAAAAAAGGATACTGAATTGTGCTTGAGCAGTGCGAAATCTATCAGTTTCCACCTGATTCAGCATCACAAAATTCAGGCAAAGTTATCACAATGAGAAATACACCGCATCAAATATGACAATGCATGAATAGCTTATGAATCCAACATACCAGCGTTGTTCAACAAGAACAGCGCAATCAGCAAGTTGCCGCCTAGTCCTGAAGCTCTTGTATACCTTCTGCACTCTTACTGCTGCGGCCTGGTGCTTCGGGCTGATCATCCCAACCACTGGAGAATGTGGTGGCAAGTATTCCATTGACCCATATCTTGGTAGGATAGTGCGTTTATGGGTGCAACTCTTCTCCTTGCCGGGTTTAGGACTCATCAAGGATACTGTAGTTTCAACATGAAATGGATCACCCTCACTTTTTTTGAAGTTAAAGGATTCTTTTATGATAGGCCTTTGGGAACTCAGGGAGTCGAGTAATGCCGGTGGTGACTCAAAGGTCTCAATGGTGCTGAGATTGTCAGAGCTGAGAGACCGAACAAACATCTGGTCTGTGTCCTCTTCCGTAGGCAGGTAGTCATCTGGCGGGTATGAGATTGACAGGCCCATTTCCTGACTGAAAAAATGCAATAACGTGACAGTTTTTTTTGTTTGCTTTCCGCCCTATAGTTTCTTCTGATAAGCCTTACTTCTGTCGCTCTGGAGCTCTGCACCAATGCATACTTTATAGATGAGCCAAGACCTGTTTTACATTGGAAAATCAAGGGAGACCAAATGTAGGCCGACTGAGTTGACAGGGTCATTTTAACAACACATTTGATGTCTTCCTTCCTTTGTTTTATATCTTATCAAGGGAGATCAAAATACATTATGTGAAATGGGCTCTATGAAATATGTTCTTATCCTTCATATAAAAATGATCCATCTCATTTCTTGTTTCTTAAATCACCTAGTTTCAATAATAAACGATATAGATAAAAAAATCCAAGAAGATCACGGAGAGTCATTTCTGTAAACAAGATTCAAAATCAAAGAACATCAGCCATACCTACCTAGCTCAAAGGGTACAGCACCATCCACCCAACAGAACCTCCTGATGAGAGGTCTGCGAGGAAGAAAGCTAAAAGGAATCTGAAAATTTGCATGACGAATGAGAGCAAATGTAGGGGAACCAGGCATAAATGGAGAGTAGGTAATGACCATGGAAGAGGGCAGATGAACACGGGGATGGGTTTGTTGCTGTCTTCACCCTATAAATAACAATGCACGGTCTGAGGTGATTGAATGCTCCGAGGGAAAAGAAAAGGAGAAAGAAAAGGGAGGTAGCTTATGATATATTTGGAGTGGTTAAAAATACACAACACATGTTCTTTTAATCGTTTTTGAACAAACATGGAATGGATAATTAGGTATAACTAGAACCCAAATTGCAGAGCTGCAGACATCAAAGAGATCTAAAATCTGATGGCATAATTTGTTGCTAGATTTTTTTTTCAAATTTCTTGTTATCGATTCGTCATGTAAGGAAATTTTACTCAAGAATCAATGACAAGACAACACGGCTACTCTGCCAAGTGCCAAGCTACTTGACCAAAGCAATCAGATGGGAACTAGCTCTAGCTGCGTGTGTATAGAAATGAGAGATTTGTTACCATCTGGGAGACGAAGCGCCGCCGCTGCTGATGTCCCCGACTCCCGAACACAGCAACGCCGGGCTCAACGATGTTAATCATCTAGGCGAACATGGCGGCCTCGCCGCCGGAAGCCGGAGAGCCATTTCTCCAGCCGCTTCCCCACTCCTCGACGCGAAGGAACACGAGCACCGATAAGGCATGGAGGCGTACCGGCCACGCCACACACCGCCGCCGTCTCCTTCCCCCTCGGGCCTCGGCCGCGCCACCCCGCCGGCGGCCGGCCGCCGCCGAGCGCTTGAGCCCGAGGAAAGAGACGAGTCCAAGGCCTGATGTGTTGGGCCTCGTCAATCTAGTAGGCCGACAACTGGTCGTGTTGTTGGGCCATCATCCATTCCATGCCAATATGGGCCTCCAATCCTTTTGTAGGGGAGTATGGGCCTTCAATCGTGGCAGTTTAGGCCCATTGAATGTAGACATATTGGGCTGGGCCTGCTAACTGCGGCTAACCGATGGGCCTGCCTTCTCTCGGCGGCCGCCTCGCCGCGTCGCTGCTCACCGCCGGCCGGACCTGCCGTGCCTCACCGCCTTTTCCCCGCAGGAAAGTTTCGTGTACAGAAGTACAGGGCACGGGAAAGCCATGGTCGCCACGGCGTTCGGCGTGGTAACTGCAGTAGTGCGGTTGCAAGACGGCGTGGCCATTGGCGGGCCAGTGCGCCGCCGCCACCTCCCCGGAAGTCTGGCCTTACTAGCCTTTTCTCTCCTGGGTACTTCTCGACGCGGAGCAAGGCAGCCACCGCAAAGGTTTACTCCGGCGGCCACCGAGTTGTCCTCTTGAGCAATCTCTTGGGTCTGCAACCTGCTCGACGAAATGCCTCCGCCGCGTTTCATTGCTCTGTCAGGAATCACCAAAGCTGCGTTTTTTCAATCCGTTGCCACCAACATAAAGCCACCAGAATCGCATCGAACGAGGTAACGTTCCGATGTCATTTCACTTTTTTTTGGGCTCGTGTGATCATGACAGCATCTCTAGCTTTTACCTTCTTAATTACGAGCGCATGCATGATCAGCACGGTGTTATCTAGGTTCTTGGCAAGCATCACCCAAGTAATTAATCAAGTTGGATGAGAAGGACATGCCGTCCTCGAGGCTGTTATAGTGGACTTGATTTGTGGGAATCATGGCTATGCAGACTTAAAATGCTACATCTGGCCAAACACAACAGCCACGGCATCATCAAATTCTGACAGTAACATCGAAACTGAAATTCTGGTTCCACTAGGTATCGTGCTTTTGCTTGGTATACCATACATACTAACCAGCATATATCCCTGTCATCCATCCTTCTAGTGTAAGTTTGCAAGTTATTGACGGCACATTCAGACCATTTATTAGGTTCTAAGCAAGATCTAAGTGCACATTCTTCTTTTGTCTACCTTTAAGGCTTTAACATTGTTTCAGGACAGTTGTCAAGAACAATTGACTATTCAGTGTCAGAAGCAACGGGGTATAAATTGAAACCTGATCATTGCTGAGCCAACTTCTGAGGGATTGAGGCTCTGTGATTCTGAGGATCTGAGCCCAGCAATAAAGCCTGTGACGATTACATGGGGCACTTAGCAATGACGTCCCCTGAAACAAGCGTACAAATCACATTGCTGGAATTCAGAAATCATTGGAAATTCAGAGCAGAACAGCGATGGAGTTTATTACAACTCGTCAGCAGTAGGCCAGTAAGGTACAGACTACTTCAAGATCACTAAATATATACAACTAGTCCTCCGATGTTGGACAAACACGGTTCCGTGTGTCCGTTCAGATTCAATCAAGTATATGCATTTACATGCCTCAATCTCCACTGATTACATCGTGCAGTATAAGCTGAGAATCTGGCCTTATTTAGTTGGGGAAAATTTTTTGGTTTGTTGTCACAATGGATATAAGAACGCACATTTGAAGTATTAAACGTAATCTAATAACAAAACAAATTACATATTCTGCTAAGAAACCGCGAGAAGAATTTATTAAGCCTAATTAATCCGCAATTAGCAAATGTTTGCTGTAGCACCACATTGTCAAATCATGACGCAATTAGGTTTAAAACATTCGTCTCGCAATTTACACGTAATATGTGTAATTGTTTTTTTTTGTCTATATTTAATACTTCATACATGTGTCAAAATATTCGATGTGACAGTATAATTTTTTGTTTTGTGAACTAAATAGCCCCTCTGTGTCCTTGTACACCGAAGCAACGGGTCGACCAAAGAACACCATATGCCATTAAAGAAGATTTGATTGTCTCCAGCGAGTTCAGGGGGGTGATGTCCGGAGAAGTTTGTGAATGCGGCTGCGTGATCGCCATCGTTTTCCAGTTCCTGCACTTTCAGAACCATCAGGGCCGTAAATGCGGCTTGATCCATCATCCATGGCCGGTGCTTGCAAGGGTTGCCGAGTCGCCTTCACTCCCTTCCGCCATCACGCATTTGAGGCTCTGAAAGCTGCTTGCCGTCGATGGCTATTGCCTAACGGGATCCTCTCCTGCAAGCAAACACAGCACGCATGCATAAAATCAGATTATCAGGTGTGGATCAGCGGAGAAAAGCTACCACGTCAACTGAATACCCCTGTTCCCGGACAGAAAAACTAACATATTGAAAGCTACATCTGTTACATTTGATTTTTTTTTCAGAAATTCTATAAAAATAATTCTCGGTTTCCATGGAAATTCTCTAAAATTTCTGCTTTCCCGAAGGAGTATTACTTTGGAGGTAAACTATTGGTTACTTGAACTTGACTGGGATGGTCTGAATTCGACCTGGGTGCTGAGCTGAGCAGAGCAGAACATAACGGAGTGGCCAGGATTTACTCTACTTTATATCAATTTTAAGTTAATACGGGTAACTAAATTTATATCGAGGGGTGAACATATAGTGAAAATAAGTAAGGTTTAGTTATAAAAATTTTTTCACCGGGTTTCTGAAGCCCCCCTAATGACTCTAGCTCCGACCCTGGCTGTGGCTGGTAGGTTTCACTTCACTGGGAAGCAGTCTCGTAGCTCCTCGTAGCTACCACACCAACACGAAGCAAAGCAAAGCAAAACGCGACGCGAGCGAAGATTTTGATTTTGACCCGCCTCCAACCCGTTTTCCTCTTGCCTCCCTTCAACGCTGCCCCTTCCCTTCGCCCGCACTCCACACCCGCACGGCCGCACCCCCGTCTCACTGCCGCCCGGGCCCCGCACCGTCGGGAGCCCACCCGTCATTGGCGGTGAGCCGTTTGCTTACCCGTGCAGCGTGATCTGTCGCAAGCTTCGCTAGCTTAGTTCATAACCAAGAAGCTCTTGCTGCTGCTGCTGCTGCTTCCGTTTATAACCAAGAAGCAACAAACTCTCGCGCCGCAACCTCACACACAAGCTTGAGCTGGGTGAGAGAGAGAGAGAGAGAGAGAGAGTTCTTGGAGGGATCGGGTGATCGAGAGATGAGATCGAGGGTGGCGCTGGAGACGTTGGCGGAGGAGCCGGGCGGCGGCGAGGAGGAGGCGGCGCGGCGGAAGTCGTCGGGGCTGCAGGCGGCGCTGCACCGGGTGGCGCGCCGCTTGCTCTCCGGCGCCGGGGAAGACGCCCGCCCCGCCGCTGACCTCCGCGTGCTGCTCTCCGTCCTCGCCTGCCCGCTCTCCCCCGTGCCCATCCTCCCCCGCCTCCCCCGCCATGTCCGTTCTTGATCGTGTTCTTCTGCTTCGTCTTCGTCGTCGTCTATGCAAAGCTTGGTTTGGTTTGGTTTGCTCATGGTTTGGTTGGTTGGTGGTGCGTGCAGGTGGCGTCGTCGGCGCAGTACATCATAGAGCAGTTCAGGGCGACGACGGGGTGCGGCAAGATAGAGGGCGCGGTGAAGAGCATGTACGCGGCGGGGAGGGTGCGGCTGGCGATGCTGCAGGATCCGGCCGGCGGCGGCGCCGGCGGTGGCGGCGGCGGCGGGAGGGGGCACGAGGGGAGCTTCGTGATGTGGCAGCTGGCGCCCAGCATGTGGATCGTGGAGATGGCGGTGGCCGGGCAGCACGTCGCCGCGGGGAGCGACGGACGCGTCGCCTGGCGCCGCACGCCGTGGGTCGGCGCCCACGCCGCCCGCGGCGGCTCACGCCCGCTCCGCCGCGCCCTCCAGGTTGGCACCAACCTCTCTCCACCTTTCTCCACTTGCAAACCAAAGCTGCTGCATCTCGCCGCCATTGCCATTCCACACTGACATCGCATCCTTCTTTTTTTTTCCCCTCTCCTTTTCTCGCATCTCCTGCTACTTTTTACTCTCATCGCTGGCGCTCGCCATGGGCGTGCCTCGCGTGCACCGTGTTACTACTGCTAGCTTAGCTAGCCGAGTAGCCAGCTGCTCATCCGCCTATGACAGGTGGGTCCCACACTGGGGTACCCTTCTCCTTCCTTTGCTCTTTTTGCGGCAAATGCCCCCCTTTTGCTTTGCATCTGTAAGCGTGTGTGGTCATGGCTGCTGCATCTGCATGAGAAAGTAGTAAAAAGAAGAGAGGAAAAGAAAAAAAGAGGAGGCCATGGAGAAGATCCATTAAACAAGAAGAACAATTGGATTTTGAGGAAGAATCTTTGTCAAGAGCAGTTGGATATCATATGGATGGCATCGCACACATGCTCTCACTGCACTGCACAGTTGTAATCTTGGGATCTGGAGCTGGAGCTCGTTCCTGCAGGTTGCTGGTTGCTACCAATGCATGCCATGCCGCACTTGTTGTTGATGTCATTATTGATGCTGCATGCATGCCTCATATGCTTTGTTAATACTACTAACTGTCTTGTTTGACCCTAGCTAGAGAGAGAGAGAGAGAGAGAGAGAGCGCTAGGTCTGAGATTAGCCGCCTTGCCATTGCCTCACATGGGACTAGAATATATGTTTGCTTGGGCTGGCTCTTTTTTATGAAAGTTTGATCACTTGATTAGCGTAGACTGGGCGCTTTAGTTTAGGGCTTATCCTAAGCAACTTGGCAAATGGTACCTTGTTTCTTTAGCTTTCTTGCTGGGCAACACAGGTACATATGTTAGTGCTGGTTGGGAGTTGACTGGCGCAAGTTGATTTTTTTCTTGTAAATTTTGGCCCAAAGATTACGACTGTTTGTATGTGAAAATGGTTAAGGTGCTCTCATGCTTATGATCAAACAGTATTCCCAACCTGCTGAAATAAAAACAAATGATAAATATATGTGTGTGGTTTATTAAATTAGACAATCTTTTCTTTAGGTTTTCTAGTACTTCTTTAAGCAAAGCTATCATTTTCCTAACCAACCTGGTGGTAGGAAATTTGGGTACTGATGTCATGATGTGATTCTTGAAATCTCTATACTTACCTAACATTTTATTTAATTGTACAGAGCAGCTCATATCTGATCAGGTCTAACTGTTTGAATGTTAGATCAATGTGCCATTGATAATTGATTAGTTAATTGGTTAATTGCTTCATTTAGGCCACCCATTAGCATAGGACCTAGTTGACTAGTTAGCAGAAGTTTCACCAATCTCACTTCAGAATTCCAAAAGGTTTTACCAAATCTCTGTAGAGAAAGCTAAGAAATTATCATGGATGGCCTAAATAAAAAATTGTTTCTGTTGATGTCTCATTTTCTCGTTGAGGAGCAGCATATGTAGCTTGTCTCTTAGCTCTTTGTACTATAGTACTTTGTACAAGGCGTTTTGCTCAAGAGAGTAGTGAATTTATATTTATCTGCATATTGTCCCCTGTCCCGTGCCAACAAACTAAGGAGCACTGAATGTTCTTAATTCTGACCTAAATACAGATGCTAGCACAACCCAAATAATTAATTCACTGGTAGATTGCCATTCCCCTTACTCCTTACCCAAATTTCATTTCAGAGTGGAATACCTGAAGATTCTGAATTTTCCTCCATTTTCAGAAAACGGGGTGAAAATCTCTCCAGACATAAATACCTGAACACTTGAATTAATGCCGTAACTTTGATTTTGCTTGAATATCTCGCAGTGCTGTTGTACTGGACTATTATGAAATTCCCCAACATTGCTGGTCCAAATGCACCAAACACATGTATAATGTAGTATGCCAACTCTGCTGTGCAGAGCTATCCACTGGCAAGCTATTAATTCCAATTAAATTCCTACTAATATAATTATAATCTTTATGATATTTCATTAGTGTACGTGCACAGCTAGCCATGCTACCTTGTCAAAATTTCCATATTCCAAGAAGTGTAACACAGTAGTATACACTTTTCACCCATGGAAATTTTAGCTCATTTACTACACCATTAACCCCAGAATAAGTTTATTTTTCACCCATTTACACATACTAGTAGTAAATCAAAATGAATTTATTCTTCTTGGCTATTCTCAATGAAATTTCTCAATAATTACTCTTCTTGGCTATTTTAAATCATTTCTCTTTTTATCTATTCTCAATGAATTTATTTTTTACTTTTACAAATTCCGATACAATAATTACTCAAAAATAAACTTATTTTAAGATAAATGATTATGAAACTAAAAATGCATTTATTCTAGGGCAGAGGGTGTACATTTTACTGTAAAACTAATGATGGGTTTGTGCGTGATAGGGGTTGGATCCGGTGACGATCGCGGCGATCTTCTCGACGGCGGAGCACGCCGGCGAGAAGCTGGTGGACGGCGAGGACTGCTTCGTGCTGCGGCTGGACGTGGGGCCGTCGGTGCTGTCGAGCTGGAGCGACGGCACGGCGGAGGTGATCCGGCACGGCCTGACGGGGTTCTTCAGCCAGCGGAGCGGCCTCCTCGTCCGCCTCGAGGACTCGCAGCTCACGCGGATCCAGTCCCCCGGCGCCGCCGCCATGTACTGGGAGACCACCATCTCCTCCAGCCTCGCCGACTACCGCGCCGTCGACGGCGGCGGCGGCGTCCACGTCGCGCACTCCGGCCGCTCCACGGCGCACCTCGCCCGCTTCGGCGTCGGCGTTCGCGCCGCCCGCGTCGTGACGCGGATGGAGGAGTCGTGGACCATCGACGACGTGGCGTTCAACGTGCCCGGGCTCGGCCCCGACGCCTTCATCCCGCCCGAGGAGGTCAGGAGGAGCCGCTTCTACGACGCCATGGCCGCCGGCAAGTGAGATCGATCAACCTGTTCAAGAAGAGAGAAATGGTGTAACACGTAGAGAGTTAGCTTCGGCTGTGTCAACGGTCAACCACCCAGCTCTGCTTGTGTTTGTGCATCGAAATTCGTGCATGTACATATGTGTACCAACCTGAGGTAATTACTCCATCCGTTTCAGGTTATAAGACTTTCTAGCATATATATATATGTTAATGAATCTACGCATACATATATGTCTAGATTCATTAATATACATATGAATGTAGACAATGCTAGAAAGTCTTATAATATAAAATGGAGGAAGTACCTAAGTGATGAGTAATAAATAGTTACACAATTCTTAAACCTGTATTCTGAGTAGTTCTGACTTCTGAGAAGATAAAAACTACTGAACTGACTTTGCACAGATTGTAGATACCTGCTTAGCCTTACTACATGTCTCTAGGTTATTGCGAAGTGTTTTTGACAATCTTAATCTTCCTGTCTTCTTGGAAGTATATACTACTACATGTGAGTTGCATTTGTCTGAAACTTTGTAGCTACTTCTGCAGAAGCTCTAGGCAAGACTGAAATCATGTGCTGCTTTTTGTAACTTGTATGTTGTTTTCTGCCTTGGTATGTGATCTGCATGGAGATGCTATGCGTGCTAGTACATAAACAGTGTTATTCATATGCATGCCTAGCAGAAACCAGTGGCAACTTTGGAAATTGGAAGTTGTTCAGCATGGTTCTTGAACATGTATGCCACTTGACAATGTCTGCAAATGAGCAACACTAGCAAGCTGTTTGTTTTTTTTCCCGTTGCAGAAGCTTTGCAATTTACAGGTGTGCATTGCATTTGCCCTCATCACTGTAAAAAGTCTGCAACTTCTTTGTTTGCATCTCCCTGTCCTGAACATGTGTCCCTTGTGGTGTGGCATCAGCACTTGCTCATGTTTCTAGTGCGATCACGTCACAAAAAGTTGGAGGTCACATTGGGTGTGGCCTGTTCATGGATGCCTCTTGTCTTCTTCAGCTGCATATGCATCGGCAAAATGCGCAGAGTTTGCACCAATCTGTGAAGACTGTTAACCACTTGTTTAATTTGTCCTGTCCATTGTTAACTTTTGCAGTATTCTAACTCGCACTTCCAACTGTACATGTAACTAACTATTGCATGCTACTCTCTCTAAGGAGGATGTGTCACATCACATCCCACCAAAATCCCTTATATTATGGGACGGAGGGAGTAAAATATAAGCATTTTTTGAACTAGATACGGGTAACTAGGGAAAATGTTTTGATTGGTCGGTTGGTTGAGAAGAGAAAGTAAATAGAGAAATTAAATAGAGAATTATTATGATTGGTTGAGATACAAAAGTAGGTGAAGAAATAGCTTTATTTTGAGACAAGGCTTAAGTGGTAGAAATAGTTTTGTTTTGAAAGGGAGTATTGATCATAGAGCATCTTCATCTGAAACGGATAAGGGGTTAGGTCCATGCATTTTCCAGCTTGTTGAATCTAGATGAATATGGTACCACTTGTTGCTGCTGTCTGGCGGTGAACTGAACTTTGATAATAAGCAGTAGATTTTCATGCGGCGATGTTCCTAATATCCACATGGGGTTCTTCAGAAATCTGCTCCGATCTGTACTCACCATGTTCTCATCAAGGACCACATTCCCTGAAATATACAAGCATATCAGCAACTTAACCTCACCAAAGGGACCAAATTTTTAACATGCATGAATGATCAATCACTACATTCAAGTACTGGCCATGAAGAAGGCATCATGACCTGATCTACCCTGTCCATGCCCTTGCATTGACTCTGAATCAGGGACAGATTGTTGTTGTTCATCCAGGACTTGGCTAGGCTACATTGCACATGTCTGTCCTTTGCATTCAAAAGCAACAATGTACTATAAGGTGACCATGTTTTACTGTCGTCTCCAACAGTTGAAAGAAGCGAGAGATGGATCATCTGTCGAGCTTGACGGGTCCCTTTTGATTGATGTGTCCTAGGAGATGTGTCTCATAATGCCTGCAATTTCTTGATTTGCATGAGCTGTAATACTGAGTTGCAGTGAAAAGATCACCACCAACCACTGTCCTCTTGCGAAGAAAGCATCACTGTTGCATGCAGAAATATTAGTTAAGGTTAATTAATACTCTGTTTAAGTGTTTATAATACGCTCGTGTGATCCTTCCTATGGTCCCAGGGAATCGAAGTGAGATCATGCAGTGCCAAATTGGCAATGGTAATGGCAATGCAACGCTGGAGAGGGGATTAAACAAAAGGGTACAGTCTGTGTTGAGGCCCTGCACTGCAATATGCTACTGTACAATATGTATACCATCAAATCACAAAGTGATGTCACAAGCAAATAAGCAATGATATGACTAAGTTGGTGATGAACTAGCTATGGTTTGTTTAGTAATAGTAGTAGTAGTAGTATCCTACTTTCCAATGGGATCATTATACTGTTCTGCTTTGTCCCCTGGTTCCATGGATCTCTCGTTTGGATTCTAGTAAAGCGAGCTGCATTTTCTGTTGAATACTTCAAGTGAAAATGACTACCTTTTCTTTTTGTTTAAAAGAGTTAGCTGAGAAATGTCGTAGTAAGGAAAAGTTTTGCTTTTTTAAAATAATAATAATAATAATAATGGCATGCATGCCTTGGGAGTTCAACTGTAGTAGTTGTCATTCTGACATTCTGATGGCTGCATTTTCTTCTGGTGACCGGCAGTCTCCTTAAACTGGTTAGACCTGCATGGCTTCATTTCTTTGATTGATTAATTAATTCCTAAAGTGGATAGAGATTAGGACCAGAAGAGGATTTAATCTTTTGGCATTTAGACTCTGATCACAAATGGAAACTCAGGAAGTACAGGAGAATCCATTACGATATTATCCCTAACCGCTGAATATTCAGAAAGCTGGTTGTCTTCTGTTAGAGCAGAGTGTCCTTTTGTCGTGAAAAACATAATTTAAGACGGCATTCAAGGCTAATTCCAGCCATATGTTTTGCATAGCAGAATCATTAAAATAAGCTAGCCAATGAGCTTGTAGTGTAACAATAACCTAAAAGGAGGGGGTGACTGGAACGTCTAAACCAATACTAACAATAAATTAGTTGGATAAAAGGACTCTAATTCGAAAGGAAACACGGGTGTTTGGTTTCTTGGACCAAGGACAGTGAGCAGAAAAAACAGGTGGCATGCTGACGAGAGCGCTCAACCAAAAAGGGTCAGTGCTGCTCGCGATGTTAATCCTGCACCTAATCGTTCAACAATTTTGAATTAGATGCAACTAACCATGCACACGATACGTCGTGGTCAGATTCAGACCGGACATGACTGATTTCATGGTACGAAATGAAAGAGAAAAAACAGACATTTACTCGCAAAAAGAAGTTTAAAAAGGGTTCAGTTTCAGGCAACTTGTTTGTCACTCTCTCGGAGTCAGCTCAGAGCTGGTCATCTTTTTAACTTGTGGTCTTGTTTAGTGCTGTTCTTCAGAGTTCAGACAGTGTCTACTACCCAGGGTTCACGTTTCCGTTCGAAAACTCGAGGTTTTGATGCGGGACGAAAGAAGATTTTCAAGGCAACTTCGAATTGTTCTCGAGAAATTCAAATCTAAAACAGTATTTTCGAATGAAATTTAGTCGAAATTTACCGAAAACTGTCGTACCGCCGGGGTCAGGATCCCTCTAAAGTCTAAAGCCCGAACCTGTTGTCTTCCTCCCTGACGCGGAACGAACTGGACGCCCATTTCTCTTGTGTCATTGGGCCCATTTGGGAGACAATTAGCGGGCCGAATCTCGTAGGCCCATGTGAAAATCAGACAAAACGCGGCCCGTGGGGTTTCCCCTTCTGTGGAGATTAAAACTGGGCCAAAACATTATGAAGCCCAACTTCTATGCTGAGTTAAACATAATGACAGAATCAACGATGGATGTTCCGTGTAAAGCTTGAGAATATCCATTCGGAATTTCGGATTATCCAATGTACGCCTATACTAATACAGTACTCTCACTACTCACTATATATTTTATGCGATTTAACTCTTGTAGCTGTTTTGTTTTTGCATAGGTTTATATTCATTTTTTAAACTCAATATTCCTAGCTACATAAATCTTTAAATTTAGAGATAACATTAAATGAATTATTTTGTTTTTCTTTATAAAAAGTACTTCCTCTATTTCACAATGTAAGTCATTTTAGCATTTTCCATATTCATATTGATGTTAATGAATCTAAATAGATATGTATGTCTAGATACATTTATTAGAAATGCTAGAATGACTTACATTGTGAAACGGATGGAGTAAAACTTTCCACCTATATAATTGAACTTACAACTTACATCCTTTAAATATGACGTAGATCAGAGATATGACGACGTATCAAATACAACCTAGTATTATTACCAAATTAAAAGTTCAGCGAGATAAACGTATCTTAACTGGTTAGATTTTTTCTGATGAAACCAATTATAAAACCCTAAACTCAGCACGTGTACTTCCGTGATAGGTGTTTAGAAAAATAAATAATAGTGCCAGTAATCAGTGCAGACTGAGCTAAAACTCGAGAAAAGAAAGCGATAATGATTAAAGAAAAGGAAAAAAGTTCCGATTTTTGGAGGCGCACGGAGACTTCTCGCAGCAGTTTGTTGGCGGCCGGATAAACGAGACGAGGCGAGGCGAACGCGAAAGCTCCCCATCTCCCTCCCTCCCTCCCTCATTATTGATTGATTGATTCGCAGATTCGCCGCTGCCACCGCATCCCGCCCACCCACCGCGCGCCACCGCCTCCGCCGCCGACGAGCCCCCGCGGCCACCGCCACCGCCACCTCATCTTCTCTCCCACCACCGCTCCACAGCCGCCCTCCCTTACATGGAAGTCGACGTCTCCATCGCCACGCCCGCACCGCAGGTCCGACCACGATTCCCCTTCCTCTAGAGCTTTCTTCTTCTTCCGTTCTCGTCAATATCCCGTGAAAGCTCCGACCTTTCCCCCTCCTAGGTTTTCTTTTCTTTTTTTTTCTTTCTACTGCCCTAGTCGCTGCGACCGCGATGGATGCGATGGCTGTATGCTGCTCTGGTTACCTGGTGATCCGATCCGGCTTTTCGCGTTCGATATTACCTGGGGATTAGACGCGCTTGTTTTTTTTTTTTTTGTGCCTTCGATCTGTTGCTTCCTGTCTTAGGTTTCCGCTGGTGGAGCTGAGTAGTATTACATCGTTTTCTCCAATATATCACTCTAGTTGACTCGCTGAGAGAATAATCTGTGCGTTCTTGTTTTTGTTCGTGCCTTCGATCTGTTGCTTCCTGTCTTAGGTTTCGGCTGGTGGAGCTGAGTAGTATAGTACATCGTTTTCCCCGATATATCACTCCTTTTGACTTGCTGAGAGAATAATCTGTGCGTACCTCTTTAAAAAGATACTACTTTTATCGTACCACTGATGATACTTGATTAGGACTCAGGGATGGTATCTTTTTGGATGCCCAGTTCAGGAGAAATAGGGATCCTTTGTTGCGTCATAGCTTTTCGTGATTCCTGAGATTAGGACCAGACCTTTGGGTCTCCTGATATTTGTTTATTTCGTCCTAATTCTCTCCACTCAGTAGACCTATTCTCCAATTGTTTCTTAGTACTACGTAGTTAGGGAAGATACCTCCTCTGGGGCTTTATTTCTTAGGAGAATCATCATTGCTTGTCAAGTACCATCTTAACATTGTTTCTTTTCCAACCATTAGAGGCATTAAGAGTAAATTTTTGTTTTGGAAAACAAGTTACCATGTAGTATTTCTTTTTTGTTGGTTTACTTGTTTTTGCGTTGCTCAGTAGTATGTACTATTCCAGGGTCTTTCTGTGCGAAAGCCCTACTCTTTGGCTTAATGTTAGTTGACAGGATCTTGACGATTGTCGGTTTTCATTGCAGGAATCTTAGCTGATTGGTGCTTTGGACTGCAGGTCTGGACACGTTGTCCGTTTCCTGCTTGTGCAGACGTAGGTTTGGAGTCTTTCTGAGTGTTAAGGTGGCTTTCCTTTTTGTCCTTCCATGGTTGAAATTTGTATGAACAACCTTGACTTTCTCGAAGATCTGTGTTGGTCGATAAGATGAATCGAAGAAGAACAATGCTATTGCTTATCTGTCTCTGTGCAACATTTTGCCTCATGACTCAGTTAGGAGCTGCAAATGTAGTGCTGATGGGGACAAATCTGACTTTGTCGTTTGATGATGTTGAGGCAAGTTTTGGTAAGTTCTGGACATCTTATCATATTAGTTTTGTTATAGTAGAGTACTAATAGATTCTATTTGTCGGGATCTCAGTCTCCCTACCTGTGAAACTTTATTACCTAAAATTTCACATACCTTGTAAGCCAGTTGCCTATGGTCATTTTGGTCTTAATGTTTTGGTTTTCAAAACCTTGTAGTTGTGCTACTGTTTTATTTATGGTAGTGTGCGAATCTGTTGCTGTATTTCCTATTATATCTTTGTGTTAGCTCTCTGACTAGAATTAGCTTCGATTTTATCCCATTGATTGTGCCATGCTGCATTTTCTTGAAAGGTTCTTTTCTTCTACTTCCCATTTTCCTAAGTCTATATTGTCTTGTCAGAAAGATTCATTATGCTGTTTATTCAATTGGTTTGCAGCTCCAGGAGTGAAAGGTTCAGGTTTTGAAGGCGTTGTTTATACTGCTGAACCTTTGGACGCCTGCAGTCCGTTAACAAGTAAAGCAGAAAAGGGTCCACCATCTCCATTTGCACTGATCATAAGAGGCGGGTGCACATTTGATGAAAAAGTAAAAAATGCACAGGATGCTGGATTCAAAGCTGCAATAGTATACGACAATGAAAATAGCGGGGTTCTGATTTCAAGTAATGTACCTTATCACTCCCACTTGTTTTTTTTTTCTGCAACATCTTAGTTCCACTGTCAGGGTTGGGCATCATACGCTCCATTCATGGCATAATAGATTATAATTATGTTTCTTTTGTCTTTATATTCTCCCTTATGTCCATATTTGAGGACCTGTATATGTGGCATGCATTAAGAAGAGATGGGGCCATGTGAGAGGCACAAGAGAATGCTTTTCAAACTTTTCCTTGAGAACGGATGAAACAAAAATACTGTCTAGGCTGAAACTTTCCAAAATAAGTAAAAAAATATGAAAAAAATAGAAATTGATACTTTTAAAAGTCATACCACTTTGATGCTTTTCACTAGTTCATTTAGCATTGTTTAGACTTTGGGGGCATATGGTTCTGCATTATCTAACTTTGAAGTTTACAGTGGCTGGAAGCTCAGGTGGTATTCACATTTATGCGGTGTTCATCTCGAAGGCCTCAGGGGAGGTGTTGAAGAAATTTTCAGGCCATACTGATGTAGAGGTGTGGATACTACCTGCGTTTGAGAACTCAGCCTGGTCAATCATGGCAATTTCATTCATATCTCTGCTTGCCATGTCTGCGGTTCTAGCTACTTGTTTCTTTGTGAGAAGACATCATATAAGGCGGGACCGGCCTAGAATTCCAGAAGCCCGAGAATTCCATGGAATGAGCAGTCAATTAGTCAAGGCAATGCCAAGCCTTATCTTCACGAAGGTGCAAGAGGACAACTGCACATCATCAATGTGTGCCATTTGCTTGGAAGACTACAATGTCGGAGAAAAATTAAGAGTGTTGCCTTGCCGTCACAGTATGTTTTTCTATCTCTGCAACACCACAACTACCTTTTCTAGTTCAAATTGATACGTTGAGGACATTCCCATAGCCTATTGGTTTTAGGAAAGAAAATAGTCATGTTCAGTTGCTAACTTAACTCTTCAATCCTTGGATTTGGAACTGAAAACATTCTATGCAAGTTTTTTTAGTCTGTCATCACAATTTTGTGTAAAGTACTACACCACTCTGCATTTTTGTTTTATTTGTTTTTGAATGTCTGGACTAAGTATGGGTTTGTGTATTTCACACACAATTAGTACTTTTGTGTAGTATCCACTTTCTGAACCTTGGAAATTCCACAGTGGCGTTCACTATTGCAGATGTTTTAACTGGACATTTAAGTTATACTTATGCACAATTGATTATTTGAAGAGAGATATGTGTTGAATAAACTTGTATACCTTATATACAATCTGCTATCTGAATAATGGTATTCCAGTACTCTGATATTTGTGCATATTACTTTGCAGAGTTCCATGCAGCTTGTGTGGACCTTTGGCTCACAACTTGGAGAACTTTTTGCCCTGTATGCAAACGTGATGCAAGTACTGGAATACCAGATCCTCCAGCCTCAGAGACTACACCATTGCTTTCTTCTGCAGTTCGTTTGCCTTCTCAGTCATCTTCGTTCCGGTCAAGCGTGGCAGCATCGCCTCCAAGACCAATAAGTCGACGACCTTCATCACAGTCCATATCTCGGATTTATGCTGCTTCTGGTACCCCCAACTCTCCTAACCCCATAAGGTCTTTCACAAACTCAACTGCCATGAGCATAAGTAGAAGCAATGTGGACTTATCAAACATGTCTTCCCGCCCTCGCGCCTCACACCTCGCCTCCGCACATTCTTTGGTTGGCAGTCACTTGTCTCCACCAATCAATATAAGGTACGCATCGCCGCATATGTCCCACTCTGGCTATGCATCACCTAGTCCACATGTTAGCTCATCCTATGTCTCCAACTCTGGGTATGGATCTTCAAGCTACTATCTCGGTTCATCCAGCCAGCATCGGTCATACCTAAGGCGCTGTGGGGAATCAGGGCCTAGCTTGTCTACCATGGCCCCTCAGTCGCCGCAACAGTCCCAGTTACGTCATGGCGGCGAATCCGACTTAAATCTAGCAGGAGCATCCTCAGGCCAGTCTTTCCGGCAATCCTACCTGAGACACTGTGCTGATTCAGAGGTAAATCTAGCAGGAGCATCCTCAGGCCAGTCTTTCCGGCAATCCTATCTGAGACACTGTGCTGATTCAGATGCAAGCTTATCTGCCATGGCATCAGCTCAATCCTTGCCAGGATGCTGATTTCTCTGGGATCAGATCAGCTTCTGTCTGTACTAAGACCTGGCGTGACTTGTGTATACATTTGAGGCATGTACTATAGGCTATTGGTTGAGAGAAAATGGTCGTATTTGTTTGTGTTTCTCCTGCTGCCCTGCCCTTTTGGTTGTAGTGATTGTTAGCGCTCTATTTGTTTCACCCTAGAGTGTATAGTACAATTGTACAGCAACTTTCTTTTAAACTAAGCAATATCATCCGCGCGTTGCCCATAAATTGGATCCATTGCCATTACTAATTTGTCCGTTTCAAAAAATACCATTAATAAACCGAGGCTGTTTAGATTGTTGTCAAAATAAAACTTAACAAATTTTGTTAAGTTGGCAATATTACTAAAATTTTAGCATGATTTTTTATGTATTTTTTAAAGTTTGGCAAAAAAAACTATATTTATGCACATTTTTGACAACTTAAAAAAATGGTATAGTTTGACATGGCATCAACCTGAACAAACCCCTATATGTTTGGACCCATATGTCATTATTTACCCCTATGATGTATTTGTCAAATTATTATTTTTTACCATATTCCTCTTCTTCCTTTCTCCTCTCCTTTCTTCCCGTTGGTGGAGCGGTGGGTGGTGTTGTTCACTTCGGCAGCTCCTCCCCCTCTACTTACCCCGATGAGGTTGGGTCTCATGGTTCTCTCTTCGTCTTCCCAATTTACTCACTCCGGCGGTGGCGAGTAGTGAGGTAGGGCTAATGGTTCCCTTCTCTTCCTTTCTCCCTTCGGCAGCTCCTCCCCCTCTACTTACCCCCACGAGGTTGGGTCTCATGGTTCTCTCTTCGTCTCCCCAATTTACTCACTCCGGTGGTGGCGAGCAATGAGGTTGGACCAATGGTTCCCTTCTCTTCCTTTCTCCCCTCATCTCTTCCTTTCCCTCTCCTGTCACTTCGGGCGTAGCTAAATTGACGTTCTCGCAGCCGTAGGACCTCTCCACTATTGGATCTGCCTTTCGTCCCGACCTTTGCCTTCGTCCCTGATGGTTAGCCCACCTACACCCGCTTGACAACTGTGGCGTCTGGAGTCAAGACAAAATCGGTGTCCGGTTGAAGAGGAATGAGGGAGGTGGCCGAGCGAGACTGACCTCAACCTTTGTCCCCTTTCCCCAATGCATGCGCCAAAGGAGGAGGCGCGGGGAAGCATGTGGCATTGGTGAGGTACTTAGGGGAAATTGGAGGTGCAGAGGGTGGCCGGACTCATTGGAAATAGGTGAGAGGAGAGAGGGGAAAGGAGAGGAAGAAGGATAAAATGGTCCAAAAAATTTTAATGATTGCACTGAAAAGATAAGTAGTGGTATCTCCAATAACTATAAAGTAATGATATGGTTCTAATTAACCCTATAGTTCTATTGTCAATGAATTTTACAGTACTCTATAAGTACATGAAATTGTGTACAACTATCAATGAATATCTTGTAGATATGTAAGCAATAAAAGTTCCCAATATTAGTGAATATCTTGTAGATATGTAAGCATTAAAAGTTCCCGATATTATTAGACTTGTAAGCATCTAATAATTGAGGAATGATGTGAACGCTTCTATGACGTAGGGGTAGGGCATTGGGGGATACAGCCATATATTTCTTCATCTAGAACACACATCACCTCAAATTACGAACCGTATTATGGCTGTGTTTACTTCCATTCAAACTTTAAACTTTTCCGACGTATCAAATGTTTGGACACATGTATGGACCATTAAATGTGGATGAAAAAAAACAATTGCACAATTTGCATGTAAATTGTGAGACGAATCTTTTGAGCTTAATTATGCCATGATTTAACAATGTGGTGCTACAGTAAACATTTGCTAATGATGGATTAATTAGACTTGATAGATTCGTCTTGCAGTTTACAGGCGAAATCTGTAATTTGTTTTGTTATTAGTCTACGTTTAATACTTCAAATGTGTGTCCGTATACGTCAATTTTTTTTTACCAAAACAACTAAACACGGTTTATGTAGAGACAGGAACAAATAATCCATGACAATAATATAGTGAAATAGTTGAAAAGAACATGACCTTGAAGTTCAAGTACAAGTGTTATGTCTCCACTATTTACTCTTTAGCTTATCAACCGCAACTAAGATTTAAATTTCAAAACCTATTATACTTATTTTTAGAGTTGATTTAATGTTTTATTATCATACTTCATTGCGATTTCCATAATAAGATGGTTGCTATCATCAACAAGCAACTTTGGGCCGCCCCAGGGAACTGAATCTTTTGCATGAACCACTGCATTTCCAAGAAGTGCACGAGCTTTGCATGCCATAAGCCCAAAAGACTCAGCAGCTTAGCGTCCCTTATTATAAATTGCTTCACTGACCAGCGGCAAAAAGATGGCCTCCTCCTGCAATCTGCAAGACTGAAGCTAAGCAGCTTTAAATCCTCCTGCGTCATTTAACCCCCTCTCTGCCTCTCTGAGCTCTGAGCTGCTCAGCTACAGCTCCCTAGCTGTTCTGTTCGATTAATTCAGCTTCGCTTTGCTTGGATTAATTTGTAGGTGACTAACTCGATCACAGCTCAGGTGATTGGCAGTTTGATCACAAGGCAGGAAGGAAGTAGAAGTAGATTGCTGTAGCACACGCTCACCTACCAAGCTTCTACACTCGCAGCCAAGCTTTGATCGTTTGCTTGCTTTGCATTGCTTGGGCTTTGTGGGCAAGAACGTGTCTATCTTCTTCTTGTTCGTCTCGTCAGGCGGCCATGGGGATGAGTTCATGCGTGAACCTATCCCGTGTCGCCGCCGCCGCCGCAGGGAGACGGCCGGGATTTGCCGGTGAGCTGGGAGGTCGCCGTGGTCATGGCAGAAGCGTGCTTCCGGTTGTTGCTGCACTGCCGGTGAGGAGGAAGGGAAGCGGTTGTGGCGTGGCGTGCTGCGTCTCCTCCTCGTCTTCCTCCTCCGTGCACGGCAAGAACTCGGCGGCGGCGGCGGAGGGTCACGCCGGCGGCATTGGGATCGCGGAGTTCCTCGGCGGCAAGAACTTCCTCATCACCGGCGGAACCGGGTTCCTGGCAAAAGGTAGTAAATCTATCTTCTTCCTCTCTTAAATTTGGATCATCCAACGTACGTAGCTCGCGTCTCTTCTTGATTTTGCTTGATCATCTGGATCAGTTCTCATCGAGAAGATATTGCGGACGAATCCCGACGTTGGCAAGATCTACGTGCTGATCAAGGCGAAGGACGGTGACGCAGCACTGAAAAGATTGCACAACGAGGTTCTACTTGCGATCATTGTTCGATCCATTTCAGAGAAACATTTGTTAGTACCTATCTGTTCATCTGTTTGACTGTATTTTTCCTTTTGTTTTAACTGTGTGATGTGCAGGTTGTGGACACAGAATTGTTCAGTCGTTTGCAGGAAATCCATGGCAAGGATTACCACAGCTTCGCGGCAAGAAAGCTGGTGCCTGTAGTCGGAGATGTCAGAGAAGCCAACGTTGGCATCGCCCCTGAGCTTGCCGGCGTGATCGCCGACGAGGTCGACATCATCGTCAACTCAGCAGCAAACACCACTTTCGACGAGAGGTTTTGTCATTCTCTGAACTGCAGTGTTGCTCCAAAGATGAGTTCTTAATTGGATCACTTCATGTATAATAAGCATATGAATTGATCACTGTTGCTGCATTTGGTTCGATTTTGCAGGTACGATGTTGCAATGGACATCAACACCGTAGGGCCATTCAGGATAATGAGCTTCGCGCAGCGGTTTCGGAGGCTGAAGCTGTTCTTGCAAGTGTCAACAGGTCAGAAATGCATGTCAAATGAAAAGCTCTTGTGCTGAAAACTTGCACTGAAATTACCTCCAAAAACCTTAGATATATCTCTCTACTGTGGATTTTGAATTTCATGTTTGGCAATCAGCATATGTGAACGGACAGAGGCAAGGTGTGGTGCTAGAGAAGCCATTTCGCTTGGGGGACACCATAGCCAAGGAGTTAGGATCTCCAGATTCTTCACAACACAAGAACACCATGCTTGACATCGAGGCAGAGATCAAGCTGGCTTTTGACCACAGGAGACACGGTGATGATTCAGCCTCTTTCTCTGAAGAAATGAAAGAGTTAGGATTAGAGAGGTATACACGCAATGCCAGAAACGTTTCAAGTCTGAATGTGCAGTGGCAAGATTATGCAATTGCACACATGAAACAGCATTGGTTAATTCGCTTGATTTGGGTTTAATTTGTAGGGCAAAACTCCATGGGTGGCAAGATACATATGTGTTCACCAAGGCCATGGGAGAGATGGTGATCAACTCCATGCGAGGAGATATACCGGTTGTCACCATCAGGCCAAGCGTCATCGAGAGCACCTGGAGGGATCCCTTCCCCGGTTGGATGGAAGGGAACAGGTACAAATTGTAAATCAAAGTTCACCAACTTAAACCAATTTTAGTTCATGAGATAATTTAGTTTACGATGAATTGGCATTGATTTTGGCGAAATGAATTTGAGCTTGATTAGGATGATGGATCCTGTTGTGCTGTACTACGGCAAAGGCCAGCTGAGCGGGTTCCTCGCTGACCCGGAGGGTGTTCTTGACGTGGTAATGATTAAGCAGATGATTAAATTCGCTAATTGCGATTAGTGGTTAATCGATTAACTATGGCGATTTGTGATGGAAGGTTCCGGCGGACATGGTGGTGAACGCAACGCTGGCGTCCATGGCGAAGCACGGGCGCGGCGGCGCGGCGGCGGCGGCGGCGGCGGCGGAGGGGATGCACGTGTACCACGTGGCGTCGTCGACGGTGAACCCGCTGGCGTTCGGCGACCTGAGCCGGTTCCTCTTCCAGCACTTCACGGGGTCGCCGTACAGCGACGCGGCGGGGCGGCCCATCCACGTGCCGCCGATGCGGCTGTTCGACACCATGGAGCAGTTCGCCAGCTACGTCGAGACCGACGCGCTGCTGCGCGCCGGCCGCCTCGCCGGCGCCGGCGCCGGCGCCGGAGACGAGAGGGTGTCGCAGCGGCTGCGCGAGCTCTGCGCCAAGTCCGTCGAGCAGACCATCTACCTCGGCAGCATCTACCAGCCCTACACCTTCTACGGCGGCAGGTTTGTTTCCTAGATCGTTCGTTTTATTTAAAAACTTTTGTGAAATATATAAAACTATATGTATACGTATAAATATATTTAACAATAAATTAAATAATATAAAAAAATTAATAATTACTTAATTTATTTCTAATAAAACTAATGGTCAAATATATTTAAAAAAGTCGATGGCATAAAATATTTTAAAACGGGGGAGTATATTCGTATATACCCGCCATGGATAATGCATTGTGAATTTGAGATGCTGATGAGCTCGATCGCCGGCCATGGCGGCGGCGGCAGGTTCGACAATGGGAACACGGAGGCGCTGATCGGGGAGATGTCGGAGGAGGAGAAGGCGCGGTTCCACTTCGACGTGAGGAGCATCGAGTGGACGGACTACATCACCAACGTGCACATCCCGGGGCTCAGGAAGCACGTCATGAAGGGGAGGGGCGTCGGCGGCGGCAGCGGCGCGTCGTCGTCATCGAACGCCTCGCTGCTCGCCGGCGCCTCCGTTTGAATGGCCAGGCCGGCGCCGGAGAAGAGGAGGATGCATGCGCGGCGTGTACACTAGGCTAGATTGTTGTTAACTTGTTCTGCCGTGGCAGTCTGACAGATGATCTTTGTGCTGCAGTAATTAAGGTTGATAGTATGTTATCTCTATCACTATGTAATCAGAGCAAAAATTGGCAATCAATTTAACAGAATTTACAAAAGATGCACATAATTCAGAATATAATTTAGCAGAGAGAACATCGGTTGACCAAGTTTTTGGCTTTGATCAAGTACATGTCTAGAACAGTATGGAGTACTAGTAGAGTAGTGCGAAATTTGAAAACCAGAATGTCAGATACATGCGAAGAAAAACATCCAACTAGAGAAAAAGGTGCCATGGAACACTGCACTGTAGCACATCAGGGTAACCACCCCCAAAATTCGGAATACTACACCGAAAGATGATTAGGTTGCCTTGCCATTGATGATACAAATTACAAGACTATCGATACAAGCTTACGCTACAAAATACAAATAGAAGTTCAGTCTTGCCACTAGATTTCCTCTGTAAAAATGCCTAAAAAGGAGAGGGTGAGGATGGATGGGCCTTTTTTATCACCTGAAAAACTCAGGCATCGCTGCATGAGCATGACACTTTGTTTCAGGATAGCAGCATCTCTTGCATTGACCAATGGAGGGTCAAGTTTTACGAAGGGATCTGATGTTCCCTTGTTATTGTTGGTTGGCCTATGCGCAGGTTTCACAGTCCAGCAAAGTATCACTGACCAGCATTTGACTATCGCAAATTCGCAGTACAAGGTGACAAATGGTAGCACCATTAACTCAAAGGAAATAATCGGGCGTCCTCCGTGTCACGTCAGGCTCACCTCTCCTAGGAGCTGGTTCGAACTGCAACAATAGGAAACCAACATGATTAGCCAACTACAGGATATGCAATTGAGCTAACTATCAGAATTCAGAATGCGTATTTTAAATGAATTGAATGAAGGAAAGAGCAAAATCAAGTTATCAACATTCTAATTCAGATTTCCAACACCTTACTTTGACAGTTAAGCCATGACCAGCACGTATTACATGAACTTAACGAACCAAGGAAGCCGGAAAGTTGTTGTAAAGAATAAAGTTAGCAGTAATCACCTGAATAAAAGTATGGCTGTTGCAGTCATCAACTTCCAAAATGGATGCCATATTCCCACATCGGTAACAATAATTTGGAGCACTGAATATAGTAACAACTTTTTGTTCCTGTATGTGCATAGTGAATAATTATGACATATTACTTGCACAACACGCCTGATAAAGTATCCAAAGGTTCAGTAAACTTACATGAGCCCAATTATATCCTTCCATAACTAGTTGATGAGCCCGAGCTACAAGTTTGAGATTGTTGGTGTGATTGAATTGCTCGGATATATCCTGGAAAACAAAAGAAAGAATGAACAAACTATAATTAAAACATCTGCAACTGAAAAAGTTCAAGACAGTGTAGTACCTGCCCAAAAGTGTAGCCAGCACCACGAGGAGATATGCCCCAACCACAGCGGTCATCTGGATCAGACCATAGAAGATCACACATTGGTCCCTCATGCGGAACCTCTTGGACACGATCTAAGCTACGCACACTATCAAGGTTCTCAATTGATGGAGATAAACCACCATGCAGGCAGAAAATTTCAGATTCCACCTTCAAGAACATAAAGAAAATATTAACATGGCTCATAGATGCATAATGCTGACAATATGGGTTTATTGAGGATGGAATGCAGTTATTGTATGTACAGTTAATGATTTTGCAGTAAAAAGAGTTATGCACTACATTAAACGTTTATTGATGACCACTTTACATGATTCAAGTAATGCATCCATACAATTGAAAATCCAAAGATCTACCAGAGAGAACATCACTGTTAGCAACTTGGTATGATGTCACACAACTCCCAAATGGCCAAGGAATTTCAATTATGCAGCTGTAAATACATAATGTATGATATGTCGCATTCTTTCACAAGGTAAAGACACTAGTCATGCCCCATCGATATGTTCCCAGCTATCAAGTCTGCAGGTGGCGATATACAATCAGTAGTTATCATACAGGTGAAAAACAAACTAGGCTTCCATATTGAAACAGTGTACCATGCAATAAATGCAAAACAAAAAAATAAAGAAAAACAAGAGATACTTAGAAATGACAGAACAAACCAACTTAAAGAAAAAGAGGAGGTCCCAGTTCAGAGCACATACCAGTGCTGTCAGTGGAAAATAGTCAAATAAATCCGTGAATATCTTCCATACATTTGCATTGCCATACCTGGTTTGAAAGAAGGGTCAACAACACAAATTAAAAATATGACTCCATTTCAAACATCTAGTAGCAAATCATTGTTGCAAATTTCACTTCTATAAATTAACAAACAATATCACTGTTTTGTTTGAAACATATTGAATTAATGATATGTACTACCACATAGGTTCAAAAGGTACAGAACTCTAATATACAAACAACACAAAACCTATATACTACCGCACAGAAAGAAAAAAAGGGCACATGATACCAAATAGATTCCACATATACTAAAACTTTGTTCGTCTGTCTATTATACTGAGACAAGGACAAGAAGTACCACATAACTCTAGGATCAGACAGAACATGCATAGAGTTTCTGCCATGGCAGCAATGATGCAGTTCATACTGAACAGCCTACAAGGCTAGACCTGGAACAGGATTAAGATTAATTTTCATGAAGCACCTAAACAAACTCACTTTCGTAAACATTCGTCGTAGAATCCATAAACCTGTGTGATCTGCAATCATCATAAAATAATATTTTCAGTTTAACATAGACATAACTAATTCACCATTATGACAGACAGACGATAATAAAACAAACTGTGCTAAACAGAAACCAGAAGAATTCAACAAATTTGCTCAAATTTCTAATCAACTGAGAAAATTGCGGCCAAGTCTGCACATAGTCATTGAGAAAAGTTGAACAGCACCTGCCGGCTCTCGTGATTTCCGCGAAGGATTGTAATCCGATGTGGGTGACGCACCTTCAGCGCTACCAAAAGCTGGATAAGGAATACCACTCAGTAGTGCTTACACATAATGACATGATCTCAAACATAAAACAATTGAAATATTTGAAAGAATTCCAGTAATCGAATTTTGTTGCTGGCCAATAAGAACAAATAAATCTGGTATGTGAAACTTGACAGCTTCTGTAAAACTGTATATAAATACTCATCAAAGAAAATAAGTAGGTTAACTCTTACAGTAACAGTCTCAACAGAGTAATAGCCACGATCCACATAATCCCCCATAAATAAATAATTAGTATCTGGGCACTGAAACAAAGAAGAACAAATATATTAAGTATCTTTAAGAACAGAATAACGAAAGGAAGATTTCAAAGTATGGTAGCAAAAGTAAATGCAAATAGTACCTTCCCACCGATCCGAAAAAGTTCTACAAGATCATGGAATTGTCCGTGAATATCACCACAAATCGTTACTGGGCTTTTGACAGGCTGCATAACCCAAAAAAAAAAAAGGCAAAACCTTAAAACCAGTACTCATCTACCTTACCAAATTACCATGGAACAGAACATGCAAATATTTTGAGAACGTCTTAGCAGAATTGTATGTGCACATACTATGAGCTATCTGAATGGCATGTAAAAGAGGGGGTAAAAATTAAGGTGATGAAAATTGAATGGAAGGAGGAAGACTTGAATTCCTGTGTTTATTTTAGTCATCAGCATTGGCAGAATTATGGTTGGATTGAAAGGCACAGAAATGTATGACTAAAACATATCAAAGGACCAACTAACTTGTGTAACACTATGAAGTACCCTTGCTCAAATACAATGCCAAAACCATAGTGCAGGTTCAATCAACTGTTGAAGAAGCAATAAGGAAATCCTGTCACACTCACACCTATCCTGAAATATACCCAGCATAACAGTGAGAAAAGAACCGGCAGTATGCGATACCTGAACATTGCTTTCCTCCATCAATATCTCCTTGGCCTTCTCGCACAGTGCTTTAACCTGCAATTGAGGGTCCATTAGAACACACGTAGATTCCAGGAATATAAGAACACCAGTTGTGTAGACATTTATGCCCATCAAATGTTCCTATTTTTGGTCAACCGTCCATGCATATCCACACATATGTATATATCCTATCGTATTCTACAGGTTATAAGCATGTGAACCTAATTTGCGATCAAAACAAAAGGTAGCAGTGACTACGTGTGCTTGTAAATTTCCAATTTTTATGCTACTTTCCGCGACCATCTCTAGGGATCTACTACCATGAACCAAATCTGGATCATCACATCGGAAGGCACCAAATTCCAAGTTGCCCTCGCCAGCCACAACAAACAAGCACTCGAACCCCTCTCCAAACCGCCAAATCACCCAGCACAACAAAAACTACGCGCCAATCGCTCGCGAACCACCGGATCACACGGCAAATCCGAACCCCCCAACCCAACATCCCCGAACAAAAAAAACCCTAGGAACAGATCAAAGCGCCACCATATTCCCCAGATCGAGGCGCCCCCCGCGGAGCCATCGCCGGCGGGACGAACGGCGAGACCAGAACGCGGAAAAGCCAGAGCAGCAGCAGCAGCAGAGGGATCTCGCTCGCTCGCTCTCACCTCCTGCTCGGCGAGCGGGCGACACTGCATCAGCTGCTCGATCTGCGTGTCCAGGCCGCCGCATCCCCCGCCGCCGTCCACGCTCATGGGCTCCATCCCCCCGCTCCGCCCTCCGGAGGTAGGCGAGCGCACCGCCGCCTCGAGCTCGTCGCCGGCGGCGAGGGGGGGAAAGCGCGCGCGCGCTCGGGCCGAGGCGGATTGGGAGAGTGAGACTGAGAGAGAGAAGAGAAGAGAAGAGAGAGAAACTGTGGACACGGGAGGGAGGGAGAGAGAGAGAGAGAGTATCAGAGTACTGGACGGGAGGGCAACCTGACACGTGGGCCCATCCCCTCTCCCCTCGCTGCGTGTGGTTGGAGGGGAGGAGGACTGCGCTGTCCGTCGCTGACAGGTTGGCCGGCGCGTGGGCCCCACGTGCCAGTCGCTGACGTGGCGGGGCGACGCGTACTGGAGAGGAAGGAAGCCCACGGATAGTTTGTTCGTTCGCGGAGCTTCCTGGACAACAAGGGGGTGGGGGTGGGGCCCGCATGTCAGCCGTTTGTGGATGGATGGACGGACTGGAGAGGAAACGGAGTACGTGGGCTGCTGTGGCATGTGAGTACTTGGACGGTGGGCCCCACGTGTCGGAGGCGTGAAGTTTTCGAATAGGATCACTGTTTTGAAATGGAGGTTTCTACATGGAGGAGTATCAAATTGCAGTTGTATAGGAGTACCATTTGAAGGTCCCCTTTGATTCAAAGAAAATTCATAGTAATTTTAGAGGATTTTATTCCTATAGGATTTTTTCCTACAAAGCCCTTTGAATCAAAGGAATGAACCCTAGGGAATCCTATGAAATTCCTATGAAATGTCTCTTCCTATATAAGTTTTGGAGGAATTTTAACAAAGAGGTAGAACCTCATGGAAAAAATCCTTTGAGTCTTTATCTCTCATTTAATTCCTGTGTTTTTCCTGTGGTCCAATCAAACGATCATTCCTACGTTTTTCCTGTGTTTTGCAATCCTCTGTTTTACACTTATATTCTTATCAGAATCCTATGTTTTTTCTATTCCTCCGTTTTTTCATTCCTAAAATTTAAAGGGGCCCGAAATGGAGGTTTTTCTTAATAAAATTCTAGAGAGTTTAAGACTGTTTCATGCACGAAGTTTGTTTTTATGGCTATAAACAAAACAAATAAAGGAATGAGCTAACGTATGTACTGATAAAAAATGTGTATTGCATATCTGATCGGATTAATAGCTATTGCCTTTTATTCTCAACATGTAGATATGCCACTGTTAAGGGCCCCTTTGAATCATAAGAATGAAAAAACTGAGGAATAGGAAAAACATAGGATTCTGATATGAATGAAAGTGTAAAACAGAGGATTGCAAAACACAGAAAAGACATAATAATGACCGTTTGATTGGACCACAGGAAAAACACAGGAATTTGAGGAGAGATAAAGACTCAAAGGATTTCTTCCATGAGGTTCTACCTCTTGTTAAAATTCCTCCAAAACTTTTATGTGAAGAGGCATTCCATAGGAATTTCATAGGATTCCATATGGTTCATTCCTTTGATTCAAAGGGCTTTGTAGAAAAAATTCCTATAAGAATGAAATCCTCTAAAATTCCTATAAATTTCCTTTGAATCAAAGGGGCCTAAACCTTTTGGGAAGGGTACCTTTTATTTGTTTGAATTTTTTAAATAAATTGTGAAACATTATTCAATGTTCATATGAATAGAACTTTTGAGGCATTTTATTATCACACCATGAATCCGTTTTAACATAAAAAGTTATATTAAGTAATCGGTTTGATCCAGTTAAACTCCTGCACCATTCTTAGATCTCTTGTTGCTAACAAAATTTTTCAATAGGTTTTCGTCACCTTTCATTGATCAACATGATTCCACACCAATACCATAGCCATGGCTGCCTTAGCCTTTTTTATTGAGGGTTACAAAGAGTCTATTAGATCTAATTTTTACTTTTCTTATTTTATTATAGCCGTGCGATTAACTTTTATAGAGTCATATCTGTCATAAGCAAAATAGTAATCAAGCCATCTTTACTAATTTATAATTTACCTATAAATTCCATCAACACTTCAGAAAATCATATACCATACAAACTAAACACGAAAGTACATCTTCAAGCTATTATGCCGTGGATGATAATTGCTTTGTTTTATGTCGTTCTTATCTTGTTTGGATTCCGTTATACGACGAACTAGTACGACTTTTCTTATCCCCAATTCTATTTATTCTAGTAGTACTTAAAAGCTAAGGCTGTGTTCATGATTTTTAGCGCATGCGAAAAAACATTAATACATGATTAATTGAACATTAACTATTATAAACTTATAAAGTGGACTCATTTACCTTTTAAAAAAACAACTTATATATATAAAGTTTTGCAAAAAATACACTATTTTACATATTAAAAAACATGTAAACGAAAAATAAGGGAGGTGAATTTTTTTTGGGGGAAAGGGATATATTACTCAGGAATTAAATCTTCACTTACAAGATGTGTTATGAAAGAACACTCATGTTCTAACAAAAACTAGAAAGGCCCTTAAGCGAACTTTTTTTTGCCAATAAATGACTAACTAGGTTTTGGTTACGGAAGTTTAGAGTCGAGGAAAAGAAACATTACAATGGGGTCTACTGAGACTGCAATTCTTCGAAGATAAAACGTAATCCCTTCGTCCCTTAATATAAGAGATTTTGACATTTTACCTGTATTGTTTAACTATTTGTCTTATTTAAAAAACTTAAAATTATTATTTATTTTATTTATGACTTAATTTATTATTTAAAGTACTTTAAACACAACTTTTCATTTTTTATATTTACATAAAATTTTTAAATAAGACGAGTTTTTTTATATTTACATAAAATTTTTAAATAAGACGAGTGGTCAAACAGCACCAATAAAATATTAAAATCACTTATATCAGGGCAAAACAATTTTCCAAGCTTCAACAGAAGAAGCCAGTCATTCAGGGTGGTAGCCCTTGCTGTAGTGCAGTACACGGGTCTGAACACGCCGTGGACTGTGCGTGTGTCTCATGTGCCCGAGAGTCCACACGAGTCTTGAGAACCTTGACGTCTCGAGCTCGAGCCGTACTGACCTGAAGTCCTGAACACGCCGCAAGATTCGAAGCCAAACCAACCCAAGCTCCCAGGAGAGGAGAGCATCTCCTGCATCTGCGGCCTCCCCCATCCCACTGCTGCTGCTGCTGGTTTGAAACCAAGGCGACCTCCTCCTGTAGTAGCGAGGAGGAGAGGAGAGGAGGGAGAGGCGGGTTCTTGGCTCCTGGGGGGCCGAATCGCGGGGGTTCTTGCCTGCCCGGATCGATCCGGCAATGGATGCGGCTGCCGGAGGCGCGCCGCCGCGGCCCGCGGCCGGAATCCGCGTCCGGGTGCCACTGGTGAGTTCCGTCCCCCTAATCTTCTCTCTGGCCCTAGAGGAGCGTCGCTTCTTGTTTTGAGGCCGCAGGTCGCGTGAATTTAGCTCCGGGGTAGTGTTCTTGGCCCAAAGGCGTCAACCTTTGGCTGCCAAGTGCTGAATCTAAGGGTTTTCCTGTTCATGCCCTGGCGTATTTGTGGGTTTTTGATATGGACGAGGGCTCGATCTGCGTTCTTAGGGCTTGGTATTGGAGTATAGGTTCCAATTATCTGTGAATGCGTGGTAGTTATTTTTGGTGAAGTAATCTTTGCTGTGCTGATGCCACTTCGTGAGTTTTTGCTGGTCAAAATACTGCTAGATGGACAATTTGTATCAGTATGGGATCACCAAATTTGTTCGTCCCTTCTTTTGTCCCCATTTAAAAGCTAGCATATAATATTTTTTTTCTCATCATAGTCATTTTTTAGGGATGAATTAAGGAGGAAGTAGCACTAGCAAATCATCCTATTCCTAGCTCCATGTGTCACACATGAGCTACACAAGCGTCTGATCCATTGCTAGACATTCTTTTTGGGAATACGCAAGGAGCGCATTTTTGTATCAAGAGAAATAAAGAGTTATTTACAAACATTGCTAGACATTCTGTGCAATGTATGTGAATTTGTAAGGTTTGCTTACTAGTTATAACGACCAAGCCAATCATGTACATATGAACTGCTGAGCATGACGAACACTACTCTAGCATAGCTAGTAACTCTAATATAATGATGCTAGTATGAGATTAGCATCCATAATAGTTGAACCAGGAAATGGTCATGTAAATATAATGGCCAGACTAGGTAGGATATCCTGGGTCTCTTACACTGTTATACATTTGGTATGCCAGCCGTGCTGATGTTTGTAACGTTTGATGGATGCAATATCAATTTTAGGAACCTTTAGACTGTACATCAGATTTGTCTCTCTTTGTCTCTTACAAATTGACAGAGAAGCACATAGCAAACATACATTAAAAGTGCTACTAAAATTCTCTGTCTCTTTGTTGAACTAATTATCGCCAAAGAAGGCTGGCATATGCAATAAGAAGTAAAATTCAGTACATTATTCTGCTTCAATAAAAGCAGGGTCCTTTGACCATTAGTCTAAGAAAAATTTCAGTACATTAAAAAGCCCAAGCGTTTCACAAATCATTAAATGAAATGCCAAACAAATCAAGACTTGCCCCCTTCTCTCCCCCAAAAGAAAACCTCTACAAGACCAAACCATGTGCGCGCTGGATGGGGTTTACCGGTTTGATATAAAATCATTATTCTCCTGCTTTTATTGAGGCTTTTTTATAGAGAGAGTTTCTCGGCGATTTTCTTTGTGAGATGGGTTCAGCACAAAGAGAGTGTGTGAATCCATTCGCCAGTGTAACTCGTGTGCTTCGATCTCTGGTGAGTCACATGACTTCGATCGTGTGCTTTAATAAAAACAGTGGTTGAGGGTGTCATGTGTTTGGGGTTAGAGTCAGGGGTTATTCCACTATTGGTCTGAAGTTGTTTTTTTTTTAATGAATGGTATGATTTTCCACTGGATCTAGGAGGATTTACCTTACCATTTGGGGAGGGATTACCCCTACCTGGTGTTATCACAGTTACTGTGGTAATGTCATGGTTACCGCAAAAACCGAGAGGTTTTAAAAACCAAGAGGATTATTGTGCGAGGTAACCGTTGTAACCGAGCAGTAGCCGCACTGCCGCACGATATTGCAAACCTGATTCATTCCTACTAAAAGTTGTTTTTTTTTTAAAAAAATATTGGTGATTTGTTTGTGGATCTAGATCTGTAGGGTTTTAGGAACTTAAGGTTACTTTCTTTAGTTTTGGTTTAAGTTAAAGATGGAGATAATTGCTATCCTAAACCATCCTTTCTTGTGAACTCATTTGTTGGGCTTTTCATTGTCACTTTTATCAATCTTATAGATGTCATCTAGGTGCTCTTCCTCGGTTAGAAACAAAGCCTTTTTACAAGAATAATTTTACATGGGAATTTCATTTGGGCACTAAAAATTTAGAGAACTTTCTCTCTCCTCTGCATGATAAAGTAATATATGTGGATCCATTTGATGCATTTAAATATGTTAGCAGAGCAGCTTAGCAATATCAATGCATGATTTTTCTATATTTTATCAATTGATACTAGTATATGACAGGCCAAACCTACCAAGGTGGTAGCTGTAGGGGTGTAAGTGGGTCAGCCGCGAACCCACTTATAGGTCAAAATAAGTGGGTTTCGCTGGTTGCCACTTACACCCCTAGGTAGCTGCAAGTGCTCATGTCACACTTAAAAATGGCTTATACAAGGAGTTTAATGGAGAAAGGATAAACCAAAGCCTGTACCTTTAACATCTAGTCCTTGTATCCATAAGTTAGCAAAAGACATTCTCCAATTCCGTTCCTATACAGTAGAGCGATCATAGTGAATAGTGACGATGATGAGCCTGCTATCCCACCATCACCTCCAGAGTTGGTGGGATCTTATGCGAGTGAACAAATAGATCACTTATGCACATGGTTTGGCTATTTGTGGATTGATGCTCGGTTGCAAGTTATATATATTCCCCCCTGATTAATATACATATAATTTTCGAGTTTAGAAACTTACGGTATACTTTTGTGGAATCTGTTGCTAACGCATGGGTATTTTGCTAGATATATAAGAAAGATAAACATCATGCAATGCAATCGTCACACTATTTTGCTAGTGCCTGGACAGAAAGATACGTTTGTGTCTTTAGGAGAGTTACTTCTTGTGGTTTTGTTTCACTTATGCTGTTCCACATTCAGGTTAGTATAAGCATATCCTAACTTCATTTACCAATGCATTTGCAGGTAGAGTCTGTGTCTTGTTACTGTGGTTTTGTTTCACTTATGCTGTTCCACATTCAGGTTAGTATAAGCATATCCTAACTTCATTTACCAATGCATTTGCAGGTAGAGTCTGTGTCTTGTTACTGCAGGGTAGATGGAGGTCTTAAAACTGTTGTGAGTGCTAGGAAGTTTGTCCCTGGTGCAAAGCTGTGCATGCAACCTGACATTAAACCAAACAAGCGCAAGTCAAGGAGCTCACACAAAGAGAGGTGCCGAACTCAGGCACCACTTCTACCTGGCCTTCCTGACGACCTAGCTATTACCTGCCTCATGCGGGTCCCTCGACTTGAGCACACAAATCTTCGGTTAGTCTGTAAACGGTGGAACCGACTGTTATCTGGGAACTATTATTATTCCTTGCGTAAGAAACTTGGCATGGCAGAAGAATGGGTTTTTGTCTTCAAAAGGGACCGTGATCGGAAGATTTCTTGGCATGCCTTTGACCCAGTTCACCAGGTGTGGAAGTCACTCCCTCCAGTTCCAGCAGAGTATTCAGAGGCCGTGGGCTTTGGCTGTGCTGTTCTTAGTGGCTGCTATCTGTACCTGTTTGGTGGCAAAGACCCAGTCCGAGGGTCTATGAGGCGTGTTGTATTTTACAATGCTCGGATAAACAAGTGGCTCCGAGCCCCAGATATGCTACAAAAGCGTCACTGCTTTGGTTCCTGTGTCATAAACAACCGCCTCTATGTTGCTGGTGGGGAGTGTGAAGGGATACAAAGAACTCTAAGATCTGCTGAATTTTACGACCCAAACAGGAATAGATGGTCTTACATCAGTGAAATGAGCACGGGAATGGTACCTTTTATTGGAGTTGTATATGATGGCAAATGGTTCCTGAAAGGGCTTGATTCTCATCGTCAGGTTGTGAGTGAGGTCTATATGCCAACATCCAACGTATGGTCAGTCACTGCTGATGAAATGGTTACGGGCTGGCGGAATCCAAGCATTTGCTTTAATGGACGTCTTTATTCAGCAGAATGCCGGGACGGATGCAAGCTTAGAGTCTATGATAGGGACACACGATCGTGGACCAGATTCATGGACAGCAGGCGCCATCTGGGCAATTCACGAGCTTTTGAAGCTGCAGCTCTGGTCTCCCTAAATGGAAAGATCTGCATTATCCGCAACAATATGAGCATCACTCTTGTCGATGTCTCAAACACACCAACAGTTATCGAGATTAACAATGCTCACATGTGGGATGTTTTTGCTCGGAAGGGCCAGCACAGGTCTTTCATAGCAAACTTGTGGTTCACCATTGCGGGTCGTAATTTCAAGACTCACATTATCCATTGCCAAGTGCTCCAAGTTTGAGCATGGCTCCATGTGAAGTTGGAAACTGGGAACATTCTCAAATTTTGAAAGGGCCGATCAATCGGAAGCTGAAATGGGTGCCAGAACTCCAGCAAAGAGATGGTCTGTTGCCTGAATGAACATCTAGCGATCTCGTTCCTACTCAATCTCTCCGGTACCGGAAAAATCTCATGCTGGCTGCTGGATGCAGCCATGCAGGAGAGGAAGTGGGAGCTTCGGTTGTCTATAAACCAAGGTGAAATTTTTTGGGGTGTGAGAGTAAGAAATATTCCATAGCATCGGTGGTTTGTCCAGTGGTATTCATGATTTCAGTGTGCTGATGCTTCCTGGTTTGGGGTTGAGCTGATACTGCTGATGATACGGCAGTAATGGTTGCATTGGCGGCTGTCATGTTCTACATTTTCGGATAGGAAGGTGGTCCACCTTCATCCTAATCATCATGTCTATCTTTCTTTCGGCTTATTAGGCATGTCAAACTGTGTTGTATGATCGTATCAGCCGACTAGAGTAACAAATGAATAAATGTTTTGTTCAACTGTTTATGCTTTATAAAATCCTTGCCTGTTTGTTATGCACCAGAACAGTTTTGGAATCTGGTTGGTGGATTTAAGGATGTTATGTCTGAAGAAGATTTCATAGGCATGTATCAAATACTCCCTTTGCTTTCTTTAATATTTAACACCATTAACTTTTCGATATACATTTGAGTAAAGTTATGTAGTTATCATTTATTTTATTGTGACTTATTTTGTTGTTAAAGTTATTTTAAACATGACTTATTATATATATATATATATATATATATATATATTTGCACAAAATTTAATAAGATAAATTATTAAATATATATTTAAAAGTCAACTGCGCTAAATATTAAAAATAAATGAGGAAGTATGTCCTTTGAACTCTGTTGCTGTGGGCGAATCTCATCATTTTTCTTTATTTGAGCATTGTGATGCACTGATGCAGAAGCCGTTATAGGTACTATCAAATGCACTAGTGGCTAACAAATGCATGAAAGCTACAGAGAATTGCTGATAAACATCAGCCCAGGAAAGATAGTACAGATAATATCATCACATCCAGCACATGGCAAATTATGGAGAAATCGATTGGCCGTTTGAAGATCATTTTCAGGAGATGACGTCAATGATGATATTTTCATTTTCATTGTCACGCTGATCCTCTCTGCTCGCATGCAAGTCAAAGCCAGGGAAAGAACTGCACAAGTCAGTGGCTGCTAACCCAGTATGATGCCCTTCATTGTCAAACTCTCAAGAACATACTATGGGCGGCTAATGAGTGTCAGCAGGTTAGAACACTGACCCTATCTGGTTAGAGAGGCCCTTAATTGGATCCATCTGAGAAGGAAGAAAACTTGGATGCTTGTCGCTACCCAACTTGTTCCATGTGTTTGACAACTTGGCATATTTTTTTTTCTCTGCTGGATGAACATTGATTTCGGCTGGCGATATTTGTGATTCCTGATAAAATCCTCTGCGTGATTGCTGCAAAATCACATGCCTGATAATTGATTCTGCATTAGGTATTTAGGTAGACTGTTTTCGCAGTAATGAAATGACATTAGCTACCTAGTTTAGCTAGTAACTAACTCTTTTTAATAATACAATTTATTTTGGACTTTACTTCAGAGAAGCTTTACCCAATTATTACAAAGTTTACGGGATAAATAACCATGAATTATAAAATTAGCTTAACTGAAAAAAATTATTACTAAAAATACTACCCTAAGGACAGTGGTCTCTATTTAAGATTGATCAGAGTATACAATACGTCATTACCGTTGTTTTTACCAACGATTTGACTTATAAGTAGTAGTATTATTAAGTTCAGATAATATTACATCACACGAAAGCTACTCTACTGGCGAAGAAGGAAATAATGCATAGCACTCCCTTTCGCCGGTCTGATTAGCTTTACCAAGACCTGACAAATCACGATTTTCCGAGAAGATTATGACAAGGGGCCTTATGATAATTAATCTATATTTAGTACGTTTGGAATTCAAGGCAGGCTGCTTATTTCCTGCTTTCTCGGATGACCAAGCCCTCCATGACTTTTGAGAGACAAATTTGACCTTTTGACAAAATGATTTGCTCTTGAATTCACATTATTTCTTTTGACTCAGAAACAGCGAGACACAGCTTCAGCTTCTCTGTTGCCTGAAACAAAGAACCAGAGGCGAAAAGCTGATATGAAATGAGCAATAGCATGCAACTTTTGATTAGATGATGTGCAGGGAGAGCTCATGACAAGGTGGTGACACAAGTGGCCATATTATTTTTGGCAAGTTAACAATATTGTTAAAATTTTGATAGGATTTCTTATGTATTTACCAAAGTTTGACAACAAATTAAATGTATGCATTTTTTGATAAATTATTCGAACTAATTCATCCACAATCTTAAGGCCACGTTCATGGCGTCCTTTATTATGGTTAGAGAACCCAGCAAAGGAATAGCATTTCTCCATGCGAGGATTGTGCTTACCCAACATGCTAGTATTTATTGTCGAGAAAAATATCATAATATAAGGGGATATCCATATTTTAGAACATGATACACATCTTGTGTTTGTGGGTTCAAGAATGGTGATCCAATCGCATCTTCTTAGTACGGCAACCTTGTTACAACTTCACTCCAGTTGAAAATCTAACCATAGCCACAAGTCATATACAACATCAATTTTTTTTAAAAAAAACTTGGCCAGTGTGGGAAACACATGCCGACTAGGGGGAAATTCGCTCCCCAAGGATTTGAACTCACGACACGAGGTGCTACTAAGATCACTGCAGGTACTAGGTTATGGGCCACTTCACATGTACAACGTCAATTAATAGTTAACTTTTAGTGTCGTTAATCAGGTAAATTTGCTGAAATATAAGAGAGAGGGGAAATGTTGAAATAGAAGAGGGAGGGGAAATGTTGAAATAGCATAGATAGGGGAAATGAGAGAGAAATGTTGATGTTAAGCTTAACAACAACTTTTCGGGCATGTACGGTTCATTGTTACAGTTTATCATGCCACATGTTAAACATGCCATTAGGTAGGAGTAGATGTTTAGTAAGTTGCTATAACTATGATAAATCACGCTTGGCTAACTCATTGTCCCATATTGCCATATGTCATGGGTTTGTTTTTTGGCACTGGTCTTTGACAAGTTTTCAACTAAACAAACCTTAAATCTACTACTACTTAAAAAAAAAAATAAGAGGTGCTTCCATCGTCCGTCAAAAAAACCGGGTGAAAAAAAACCGGGCGAAAAAAACCAGTTTGTCCGATCCAAAAAAAACCGGTAAAGAAATTTCCGTTTTTAATTATAAAAAAATTACCCACAAAAATAGTTTCTGTCCGATTCCAAATAAAAAAAATTCCGAGCGACAAAAGAGTTTCCATCTTCCTACAAAAGGAAAGAATAGTGCGAAAAAAAAAGTTTCTATCCGAAGGGAAACACGCGTGAATAAATACCTAATTAAAAATAAATATCTATCTCTAAAAAACCTTCTGTCGTAAAAAAAGAAAAAAAAGGACCGACTCCCGTAGAGAAAAAAAAAAGTCCGACTCGTGAAAAAGAGGTTTTCTCGTCCGTAATAAAAAAAAAGAAAAAAAAACATCTAACTCAAACTCCGTAAAAAGAAAAGGAGGAAAAAACGACCCGACCAAACTTAAAGTCGCCCCTTGTTATCCGTATATATCTCTTTAACTCTAATCTAATCTATCAATCTAATCTAACTTTTTAGAAAGAGAAGTTTCCATCATCCGTTAAAAAGGAAAAAAATGCGCAAGAAAAAAATAATTTCCAAAAAAATGCGCGGGAAAAATACGGTTTCCTTCGTCTGAAAAAAACAAAAAAAATGCTATTAAAAACTATCAGAAAGAAATACACCATTTCTAAAAAAATGGTTTCAAAAAACCACACAAGAAAAAAAAACTGTTTATAAAAAAAAGCCGCTCTGAAAAAACTAACCGATGAAACACTGTTTATAAAATAACAGATCCAAAAAAAACAAACGGACTCAACACGCGAAAAAAACCGATGTTTCAAAATAAGGTTCGAGAAAACCGTCCGACTTAATGCGAGAAAAAAACCATCATTTCGAAAAAAAAAATAGAGGAAACCATCCAACTCAATGCGAGAAAAAAAACCGCCGTTTATAAAAAGAACCGCTCCGAGAAACCGTCCGACTCAAAGCGAGATAAAATTGATGGACGCTTGGGTCGGATAAGATCCATCGATATTTTTCCATCTCCTACACATCATTTGTTTCCTCATCTAATCCCTGCACTTTTTGTATGCAATTATCATTATCAGACTTTTTTTAATAACATATTATATGAAAATAGTATTAAAAATAAACATATTTTTAATTGTTATTTAGAGAAGAGTGCACGGTGACTATTTTGTGTAGACTTGATCCTGAGTGTAGGATTTGATTAACCTATTATTGGTTGCAAGAATAATATTGAAAGAATATTTTTTTATTATATGTATATTGTTATATGAATAATCCAATTATTTTAGTTAAAGCAAGCATTGGTAAAAAGATTGCCATCATCGAGTTTGGGTCATTACATAAAGATGCTCTAATTTTCTAATTGTGTTAGCTACAACGATCCATAGAAACATTATCATTGATATGGGTACGCTTGAAAAATGTCTATTGTCATTGGATTATTTTTTTTACCCGTTGCAACGCACGGGCATTTTTGCTAGTATTTATAAAAGGAAACTTTGTTGTATGATAATTCGGAAAATAAAAAAGTAGTTAAAAATATATTTTGGTGCATTAATTATTAAATCATCTTTAGTATGCGGTCTGAAGTCTGAAAGCGCGATTTGTTTGCCGTAAAAGAATAGGAAACTAACGAAAAGGACGCAAAAATCACCCAATTCCACTTTTCAATTTTGCGGACTTGGCGTTTTCCTTCTTCGTCTTTCCTTGTCCTGTAGCGCCGCCTCTATCATGCCCTAGCCTACCTCCACCACCACCATCACCACCGTCTCGCTCGCGGTCTCGTCCCCTATATATACCTCGCCGCCGGATCCGCCTCGCCTCGTCCCGCGCTCTCTCCTCCCCTCCTCGACGAACAGCAAGCGCGCGCGCTCTCATCTCGGTACGCGTGCGAAATTCGCGAATGAGATTCTGAAATTCCCTCCCGATTCTCGCATTCCTTTTGCTGCTGTTGCCGCCGGCGTCGCCGTGCCGCGGGTTCATATGCATTGCCGTTTTTCTTGGGGGGATTTTACGACGGCGGCCGCGGCGCGGCAACGTGTAGCCCTAGCGCGGCTAGCGCGGGCGCAGGACGGCGGCGAGTTGAGCGGAGGGGACGCGGCTGCACGCGCGGCGCGGGGCGGCACGCGTCGCTCGCGTGCGGTGATCCCGCGCGCGCGCGGCGGCGCCGGCTGGCGTGAACGCAAGCTTACGCATGATCGCCATCAAATAAAAGTCGCTTTTTCCTTTTTGTCATGCATCTCATGAGGCGTGGAATTATTCCCTGTCTGTTGCTAATGTGTGCAATCACCTCTGCATATTCAGAGATCGTAGCTGAAGATTACACATTGGGAAACTGGTGTACTGCCTGCCTCTGCGATCGATCGATCGATCGATCGCCATGGCTGACGCGAAGGGCGACGAGGTGTTGGCGGAGGGACAGATGCCTCTGGGACGGTGGCCGATCCTGTCCTACGGTGTCGGCCACATGCTGAATGACATCACGTCTGCCTGCTGGTTCACTTACCTGCTCCTCTTCTTGCAAGAAATCGGGCTTGCTCCAAGGTAATCATTGCTAATTAATTAATTAAACCCACGTAGACAACAGCTCACAATCACACTAGTGGTCTGTGTGGAATTTCGATTTGTCTGAAGCAAAGTAATGTTGCTGCAGCAGCTCAGTTTATTAATCATGGCTTGTGTTCAATTTCTTGCAGGGATGCAGCTATTGTGATGCTTTCTGGCCAGGTTGCAGATGGCCTAATGACGATTCTTGCAGGCGAGATGGTACTAAATAAATTGAGAAACCGTTTGCTATTGCTGAATGCGCGCTGATTAGCAAAATACAGTAACTGATCTGTGAGCAATGTATGTGGTATCTGATCAGATCGACCGATTTGGGCACTTCAAGCTGTGGCACATCGGAGGATCAATCCTAGTCGGCATCTCCTTCTCCTCTGTCTTCGGTGGATGTCTTCTCTGCACCGTCCTGGGGACCGATTCCTACCTTGTGAGAACCATTGGTTACAGCTTCTTCGCTGCCGTCTTCAACATCGGCTGGGCGGCCACACAAGTTTCACACATGTAAATTTGATCACTTGAACTTTGACAGAAGCTTCTATCTAATTTGCAATATGTTTGGGCTCTGGCTTGGCATAGTGACATGGTTTTCTTCCTCTCAGGTCAATGGTGAACTGCATGACACTGAATTCCACAAGCCGGGTAGCCTTAGCAAGCTGCAGAAATGCGTTCACTATGGTAAGTACTACAGTTTTAGCATGGAAACATATTATTACTAGAATACTCTTTTTTTACTTAAGGTATCTCCGGGAAATTTCTTCCACTGAACTCTTGTTATTATAATAACCTTTTGCACATGACAAAGTGCATTGTTTCTATACCAAAGATGGTAGTATTCTTTTACTGCCATCTTTTATCTGATTGAAGGTGGCCTGATATGTGCTTCAAAAATAATTCCTACTTGTTTAGTCTCCTGTGTCTTGTACCACTGCAATCATTGTTCTCATGAGGAAGATGCTCACCAGTCACTACAAATGGAAAATGCAGGTGGCAAATCTTGGTTTATATGCGATAGCTTTGGTTGTATTTGCTTTAGTGAGCGCGAAGGCATGCTCAGACATTGTTCTTCAGGTGACTGCCTAACCTCGTCAGTTGTTAGATTTGGGTTTCTTGGTCAGTAAAAGATACTCCCTCCATTTTTTAATAGATGACGCCGTTGACTTTTTCTCACATGTTTGACCATTCGTCTTATTCAAAAAATTTACGTAATTATAATTTATTTTGTTATGAGTTCTTTTATCACTCATAGTACTTTAAGTGTAATTTATATCTTATACATTTGCATAAAATTTTTGAATAAGACGAATGGTCAAACATGTGAGAAAAAGTCAACGGCGTCATCTATTAAAAAATGGAGGTAGTATGATTTTACAGACCAGAGACTTACCTCCATGTACAATAGTATACTTGTTACTAAGTTGTTCGTATATTTATCTGCAGTACCGTTGGATAGCGTACGTTTCAATTTTTGTGGGATGCTGCTTCCTAGTGGTGTTCTATGCTGGAACAAAGGAGCCGACGTATGTTTTTCTTTTTTCAGCGTAGAATAATGCATTAGACTTTTTTTTGGGCCGTGAAGGGTGTTTTCTGAAAGGGAGTGAATTTGGTTTTGCAGTTTGCAGTCGGGATCTGACTGCAAGAAATCGGCTAGGATTTCCTGGGGCTACTGGTTCAAGAAGGCCTTGTACTACCAAGTCGCTCTGTTGTATATGCTTGCAAGATTGATCACAAATGTCTCTCAGGTTGACATCGTCCCCACTCAGAATAGAAAATATTCTTAATTACTACTAGCAACATGAAAATGCACATTGCATACTCTACCATATCTGTTCCACTGTGACACTGATTGCCAAATACGCATTTCGCTCCCTAAGTTTTCTCTCAAGTCTGAACATTAGTCTAAAAGAATTTTTTTTTCAGTCTCTCATCGCGTTCTACGTCACTAGAGACTTGAAGATGAATGAGTACTCCAAAGCGATTGTGAGTTTTCAAACCTTTTTGGTTAACCTCTGTCCTTAGAAGATACCAATCATCTAATTCTCTAATTTTTGACCTGCATATATGCAGATACCAGCCATCATATTTTGCTGCAGCTTCCTCGTCTCTGTTGTTCTCCAGGTCTACTCCTGTCAGTTAACCCACTTATACTAGAACTAGAATATAACAAGTTAAGTTTTTTCTCACGTATTTTGCAAGTAAAATGCAGGAGATAAAGTGGAACAGCCGCCGCCTGAAGTCGCTCCTCACCATCGGAGCAATACTCTGGGTGATCGCTGGAGCCGCCGTCTTCGTCCTCCCGAGTCAGATGCACAACCTTATGTACCCTCTCGCTATGGTCATCGGAGCTGCAAACGCCCTCGTCATGGTAAAGAACAACAAGAACTGCACTTCTCATTTAGAGAACAAGAACTGCAATTGTCATTTTTGCGTGATGGGACGAATGATCTTCGAGTTCTGCTTATGCTCATGTGTGCTGATTTCCTGATCAGGTGACCACAATTGGGCTAGAGAGCGCGCTGGTAGGAGACGACTTGAACGGCTGCGCCTTCGTCTACGGCTCGCTCAGCTTCCTGGACAAGATGTCGTGTGGAATCGCCTTGTTTGTTCTAGAATCATACGAAGGTATCCGCTGTAAAAATGGCATATTTCAGCGCATTAACCACCTAAATTCAGGATGCTTTGGTTTGTGGATACAATTGATGATCACTCATTGAAATTATGTTTCTCTCTTATTGCAGATTCGATTAGCTGCGGCGAGACGAGGGGGCTGTACACGGTGAGCAGGTTTGGGACAGGTCTGATCCCCTCGTGCTTTGCAGTCTTCGCGCTGCTGGTCACCTCAACCCTGAAGCTCCAGGACACCAACCCGAGAGCTGCCGCCGCTGCACTGGAAGCTCCACTCCTCGTCTGAAGCACGCCTCCGAGTGTGCTTCTCTTAAACTACAGGACACCAGAAAAATCGACTGTATGTATCACTGTATGTATCACGGGAAGAAGAAGAAGAACATACATAAGATGAAATTGCATTGCAGAACCCTCTTCAGTTCGGTCTGAAGAGGTAAGCTGCAGTCTGAAGAGGTAAGCTGCAGCGTGATAGTGTCTAGTAAGATTCAGAATTCTGGCCCGAATCTTAAACCTTCGATGCTTGTAGGCAGTTAGAAATGATCTAATCAGCTCTGTTACTGCTTCTTTTCAATTAGATTTGAAAAGGTCCAATGCTTGTAGCAATCTGTACCAGTGTTGTATCAAAGATTCAGTTTCGAGTGAGGTTTCCGTGGAAAACAGCAAAAGATTCAGTTTTGAGTGAAGTTTCAGTGGGAAAAACACAGTAACTTGTTTCAAACAAGTTCTCTACAGAATACAAACAAGTTCTCTACAGAAAGATCACATTATTGTACAAAATGCAACAGCATACAGAAAACGGCATCGTGTGGAGAGCTACAGCAAACACACTGAAAAACATCACTGAAAAGTGCTATGTTGACATGGGCTAATCGGTGTCCGTACGCCGGCGGCTAGCTCAGAGCTCGTCGACCGTGCGGGGCTTTTGCTTGCCGTCGACGTGGCGGTGGTGATGCTTCTTCTCCTTGCCGTGATCGGCGGCGTCGTCGGCGCCGGTGACGCGCTCCTTCACCTCCTCCACCTTCTCCTTCGCCTTCTCCTTCACCTTCTCGTACCCCTCGTTCGCCTTCTCCCTCGCCGCCTCCGCCGTCTCCCACGCGGCGTCCTTCGCCGCCTCCGCCTTCTCCCACGCCGCGTCCTTCGCCGCGCCGGCCTTCCCCTTCGCCGCCTCCTTGGACTGCCTCGCCTTCTCGCCGGCCGCCTCCGCCTTCTCCCGCGCCGCGTCCTTCGCCGCCCCGGCCTTCTCCGCCGCGGCGTCCTTCGCCGAGCTTGTCTTCTCCCACGCCGCGTCCTTCGCCGACCCGGCCTTCTCCGCCGCGGCGTCCTTCGCCGAGCTGGTCCTCTCCCACGCGCTGTCCTTCGCCGCCCCGGCCTTCTCCGCGGCGGCGTCGGTGGATTGCCGGAGCGTCTCCTGCGCCTTGCCGGCCTTGTCCCTGGCGGCGTCGGTGGATTGCCGGAGAGTCTCCTGCGCCTTGCCGGCCTTGTCCTTGGCGGCGTCGGTGGATTGCCGGAGAGTCTCCTGCGCCTTGCCGGCCTTGTCCTTGGCGGCGTCGTACCCCTCGCCGGCCTTCTCCTTGGCCGTCTCTTCGACCTTGGCCTTGCCCTGCTTCGACTGCTCGTGCACCTCGGCGCCCCTCTCGCCGGCCGCCTCGGCGGCCTCCTTGGTCTTGTGCTTGGCCTGCTCCGCTCTCCTGGTCGCCTCGCCGGCGGCGCCCTTCGCCGCCTCCTTCGTCTTCTCCTTTGCCTGCTCAGCCTTGCTCGACGCGCCCGACGCCGTCGCCTCCGCCGCCTCCTTCGCGTCCCCGGCCTTCTTGCTCGTCTGCCTCCCTGCCTCTGCACAGTCGCGCGCACACACACACACACACACACACACACACCCACATGTTAATTAGCTCCAACACACGATGGCATCAGGCATGGCAAGATGCCGCCGGCGAGCGCGCGCGGCGGCGCGCGGCGAGTTTCGACGTACCGGAGGCGGTGTGCTGGGCGGACTTGGCGGCGTGGCCGGCCTTGCGCGCGGCGTCCTCCTCCTCGTCGACGTCGGCGACGTGGTGCTTCAGCCCGAGCCCCTCGGTGATCTTCTCCTTGGCCCAGCCCGTCCACGACTCGTCCTCCTTGCTCGCCGCGTCCTCCGTGCCAGCCTCCGCCTTCGTCGCCACGGCGGCCGCCGCCACCACAGCAAACAGCAGCAGCAGCAGCGTCACCGCCAGCCTCCTCGACCGCGACACGATCGCCATTGCTCGTGACGTACGTGAACTCCTCCAAACAAGAACAGATAATCGCTTTCGCGTGCTAGAGAATACGAGAAGTCGCGAACCCAACAGTGCGGTGATCACGCTGGGGTTTATGGGGTTTTATGGGGGAGATGGGTGAGGACGCGTGGAGAGGTTGGCGATGGCGAGGCGGGTGGCCGCGCGACGGGTGTCCGTCTCGGGTGGCACGTCGTCCGCCGCGGGCTGGCACGTACGCAGCGCGAGTAGAAGCTTTTTTGGGTTGGGCAACTTGGAATTTGGATGATGAAGAGGGTTCTAGGCGTTTCGGCTCGACCCCTTTGACGTTGCGTGTCGCGGAGGAGGCAGCACGTGTGGTCCGATTTTGGGTCGGCCGGTGTCCGATGGTGTGATGGTTTTGGTTTGGTATCTCCTTTGGTTGCCAACGCACGCAGGGAGATGGTATGGTAGTAGTAAAGAAATGGAGCATGTTGAAGCATGTTTGTCGTCATGGAGCATCGTCAGCACATCACGGCACCAGGCTAGAAAAGTGATTCGTATCACTCGATCGTAAATCGTAATATTAGATATCTTAATCTTAATTATTTTAATATTTTATTTGTTTTATATTATAAATCGCTTTGAATTTTCTTAAGTTCAACTTCTTCAAGTATGATTAAGTTTATGAAAAAATTTAGTAATATCTACAACACAAAATTAGTTTCGTTCAAACTAACATTTAATATTTAATCTTTTTTATAATATGTTTGTTTTGTGTCAAAAATATTGCTAAATTTTCTATAAATTTGAGTAAATTTAACATAAGTTTGATTAGGAAAAATATTCAAAATGACTTATAATATGAAAAAGAGAGTAGTTGATATCTTGACTTCCTAGTTCCTAACTATCGAAATAATTGGGGTTAAGATTTTCGGTATTGATATGGAAGTAGTTCAAGTGAACTTATTCCGCTGGGCTAGGGGGAAGTAGGACGGCCCGGTTCGTTCAGTCCGTATCAGCCCAGATTCCATTGTGGGGCCGAAGTTGTACATTTTATGATGGGCCGTGCCCCCTGATAAGTTGGGCCAAATTCTAACTAGCCCATTTCTCCTCCAACAAAAAAAGCTGGTCCAAAACGTGACACGGCGCGAGGCCGACCGACCGAACCTGACTGCGAAGCGTGCCGAACTCAGCTACTCCTATTACCCACCGCGGTAGAAAGATCTGCCACGAGTTGCCGTGTCCACGTTCCACTCTTCTCTTCTCCCGATTTTACTCCCAACTTTTTTTTTCCTCTCTCTCTCTCTCTCGATTTTCTCATCTCCACTGCTCCACGCTTCCAGGGAAGAACGTAGAAATGGCAGCTTGCTTGCCATCCCTCTCACCGCCGCCGCATCAGGCGCCGGTGCCGGCGGCGACGACCGCGCTGGCGGGGAACCTGACCTCGTCCCTCCTCTCCCTGCCCCCGCCGCTGCCCCGCCTCGCCGTCTCGCACCGCAGGGCGGTGGTCGCCGCGGCCTCGTCCCGGCCCCCGCCCCCGCCATCGCGGGAGGGGGGTGATGGTGGTGGTGAGGAGGAGGAGGAGGTGGAGAGGGCGATGGGGATGGACGGCGGCATCCCTGGCACCTCCGGCGAGTTCCTGCGCCGCGTCTCCTCCCGCGCGTACGGCATGCGGCGCCACCTCATGGAATCGCTCGACTCCCTCGCCTACGATGGTAAGAGTTGTCGGATCCTCACCCTCTTTTCGTGGATCGTATCCGTTCTTGATCGATTATTAAGGAGTAAAAGAAAAAAAATCTTCGATCGATTTAGGGGTTTTAGTTTTTACTAGGGGGTTTACCGAGATCGCTCGATAAACTGCGTTCTCCATACTCTTGAAGTGTCCGAAGATTTCATCTTTATCTGTTTGATTTGGCATCAGCACCAACGACGTGAGGCTTGTACGTGCACGCGTACATACCGTATTTCGTGATATACGTGTGATTCGAGGTTTGCCTAGTTAAGACTTAAGAGCATGCGTGTACGTGACAATTAACAGTAACAATCTCTAGCTGTTTCCACAGTTTTTGGCTCTGCTCAATGTATCGAGATTTGAATGTTGACATGTCATTGTAACAAAGTGCTGAATTGACATGTATGCTGTAGTAAAACATACCATCCTGCATTCAGTAGTATCAGAAACACTGATCCCCACTCCCTAGTTAAGCTTTATATTTTAACACTTTGATTTTTCAATCAAAGATCGGTTAGAAATGGTGTTCAAAAGATTTATGCTTTTAGAAATGCTGTTTTCTTTGTATGCTTTGCTAAACTGTTTTACAAGCATGGCAGTCTGAAATTTTACTAACTGGTGTTTTTCTTCTGGTTCAGTGTTGGAGACAAACCCATGGAGAGAAGACTCCAAACCAGTCTATGTACTGGCTAGAAGAGATAACCATCTATGGACAATGAAAACCCGTAGGAGTCGCAGGTTAGAGTTATTTTGCTGCTGTTGCGCTTACACGTGTAATTTTGCTGTTACTGAACATTCTGAACAAGTCATGTTATCTCTATTTTCTTCAGTGAAGTTGAAAGGGAACTTGGAATGCTCTTAAAGGGAGGGGGTTCAGGAGTTGGGACTAAATCAAAATACTCTGGTTCCAAGTTTAACATGCTTGTTGAAGATATCAGAGAGGGAATACTGGTGAGTAGTTAAAGAGAGGGGTTAAATTTTGTGGATGATTTCTTTGAGAACCGACTAGGTGTCCTGCTTTTCCTCTGGGTTTTCAGTTGTTTACATAGCTACTTGCTTGACATTCTCTTGAATCATATCATCCTTTGTCTCAGGTATTTGAAGACGAGGACGATGCTGCAAAATACTGTGACATTCTACAGGGTGGCGGCCAAGGTTGTGAGGGGATTGCAGAGATAGAGGCATCATCGGTAAGAAATTTGGTGGACATGGGCCTTCATAGTACCAATTTGTGGTTGGCAATTGATCATAGTAGTAGTACTTATGTACCGGGTTACACTCGTTCTTGTCTGCAGGTTTTCAACATCTGCCATAAAATGAAAGCTCTTGCCGTCCTTTTCCGTCGTGGTAGGACCCCTCCATTGCCTCAAAGCCTTGAGCGCGACTTAAGGGCAAGAAAGAGATCATTGGAAGACTAGAGTCTTTCTGATACATAGTATAGAACTTCTAATTGTATATTCGTCTAGCTGTTGAAGCAAAGGCCCTAGGCCCTGTATACTACGTGGTATGTAGATCCACAATAGCACGTGGTACATACATCCACAATAGCCTAAGAGGAAAGGAAGTCAAATCTGACAGAAAACATGTCCAATAGCTCGAGATATTAACAATCTCAGTAAATTGATTATTCTTGCCATTATGTACATTCTAAATGCTTCAGTTTACAATGAATAAATGAGATCTGTTAAGTTATTCTCTCCATCTTTTCTTGAGGCTTGATGAACAATACAATTATGTTGCCATCATGCTGAATTGCTGATGATCAGATGAGCTCCAAACAATTTGGTGTAGTGACTGCCATCTCTATTACTACTGGCAGTGAATGCTTGGAAAAGATCTTCTATTTTTGAAATGAAATGCTTGAAAAAACTTTCAGGGTGTAGTCTTCTTTTCAGTTAGCTTCTCCCTCCTGTACCTCTTGAAATCGGCTGCCAGGCCATTGTCGAAATCCTGCTTCATCTGCAGTGCTAGCTGCCTCAGCACCTGCACCATGATCATCATAAACAATCAAAGACAGAATGTTAAGATTTTGCAAAGCAGTATATATATGTTGACTGTTGTTAAATTATTTAAAGCTTTTCATTACTCTTTGGATAGTTTTTGAACAACCAAAGAAACATCCACTCGAGGGATCAAAATAGCTTTCCAATAAAAAATTCAGATACCCATCAGCTAGGGATAAAAACAGTTCTCCAATAAAAAAAATTCAGCTACCCATCAGCTAGGATGAGTCTTTTGACATGGGTCACTTACATGCGGGCCTTTTGGAAATGTGGGACCCATATACCAGTCACTCAAAATCAGAGGACAGAGTCGTGTAGAGGATCTTTCCAGTTTCCATGATACCATCTCTTTCTGCTTGCACAAAAGCAGCGAAGGTGCTGAAAAATGCTCACCGTCTCGCCGACGCCTCTGATGACGCCCTCCGGCACCAGCGCGAGCACCGGCGGCAGGTTGAAGCCGACGCTCATCTCGACGTGGCCCCTCAGGCTCTTCCTCCCCTCCGGCCGCGGGTACAGCGACCCGCGGACGGTCAGGGCGAGGTGCGACGGCATCGCGTTGCTGTCCAGCCCGTCCAGCTTGTAGTCCGTCTGCTCCCCCGCCATAGCAGCGTTTCAGAGCTTTCAGAGTTCTGAACTTTCTCTGACAGAAAATGCAGGAAGAGAAAAATAAAATGGGCGGCGAATTGTTACCACTTCCATGAGCAGGAGGCTGGTTGCCTTGACGGGGACGTGCGGCGGGTACTCCTTGCCGCCGGATTTGCTTACGAACCGCATCACGATCACCGGCGACGCCGACAGGAACAGGAACTGGATCGGCAGAAGCTGCACGCTCCATTCTTCCTGCAGAAAAAAAAAGAACTCTCTTTTAGCCTCGCAGAAATAGAAAAAGCTGATCATCCTTGCAGAAATGAAGCCATGATCGCCGGAGAGAAATTGTTGCTGACGACGAGACAAAAAAAAGAGAGCAAAGCTTCAACATTTTGCATGCTTTGCAGTTTGCACAAAGTGAAGTTGAGAAAAGGAAATTGGGGAAGAAATGGTGATGTGCAACTGAACTCACATCACTGAGCTTGGTTCTCTTGCGCTTATCAGGGAACACGGCTCCAACAATCCTGGGCCTGTTCTGAAGGTACTCATCGATGGATGCCTGCATCAGGAAATTCCCAGGGAAGAGTCAGATCATCTCAAAGAGTGTTAACTGATCATCTCCCAAATCTTACATGCTACATGCATCAGGCAAGAAACCTACCCCTGGAGTCTCGGTCATGGGGATGTCAGTGTTGAATCTGTAGGAGAAGGTGAACATGTCTCTCGGATTGATCTTCTCCTTCGACTTCGACTTGTTGCCATAGGAAGGAGTCTTGAGAGTACATGTCGTGAGCATCCTCGACGACGGTGAAACACCCAGAGGAAGATCATTTCTTGATCTTGATCTTGATATTTCTCCCACTGATCTGGATGGTGTCACCCTGGTGCAGATGCACTGCATGCTCCTGCTACTACCTGCAACACACTACTTGCACTGTTACATTGCTCTCGTGTATTCAAGTGTAAGTAGCATGCTGTTAGAATATTGTTTCCTTGAAACGGAGGAGAGTTAGGCACCTGGATGGATGGCATGATGAGATGAGCTGACACTTAGCAATGCCATCTTCTTCCCTGTAATGGTATCCTTTCTCTTCTTTTTCTTCAGAGATGGAAGTTGTGAGCTACACTTGTTGGTTGCTGGGCCAATAAGTAAACTCCAACGAGGTGTGCAGAATTTGCAGAGTTGAGTATTCTTGCAAGTAAACGCAAACGGAGTCTGTAGGCCCTACAGGGCGTTTATTTCTTCCGGGGTTTGTTAGGAGTTTCTGAATTTTGTCTTGGTTTTTACGGCATGTGGGGCTTCGACTTTCAACTTCAGTGTTTCATTTCAACTGCGGCCTTCTCTTCTCTGACGAGGTTTGCCGGCTTCAGTATTTCAGGCTTGTAACTCTGAAAACGACCAAAGGGAAAAATAACGAACCGAGGCGAATGAAATTTCAAGATGCCTGCATAAAACTGAAACAGGTCTAAAAATTTGCTCTTTTAAAATTTTTATTTCCCTTTTTTTCTTGGCTGAAGATCATATGTGAACGTGTAAGGTTACGGCCTTTGTTTCATATTATAAGTCTTTTGAATTTTTTTTCTTAGTCAACCTTCTCTAAGTTGTTATTAAGTTTTTAGAGAAATATTAGTAACATTTCCAATATGAAACAAACATTGTATCAAGTTTATTCAATGTTAAATATAATAAAACTAATTTGGTGTTATAGATGTTGCTAGTTTTTTATGTAATATTGATCAAACCTAAATAACATTGACTAAGAAAAATTTTTTTTTCTTTCTCGCCCCCTTGTAGAGAATCAGAAAAGAAATATATTTTCTCAGCATAATCAAACTCTTTCTTGAGGAAAATGAGGTGTGTGCAATTGTAATCTAGGACAAACGAAGGCTAAATTGAGTCGATAAATTGTTTCCAAAAGATAGGCTCTTTCAGATATTTTAACGAGTCTTCGGCGTGCACGTAAGCTCGAACACGACAACCATCCAAAAACACTATTACACGTACTATGTAATAGTATGCCCGGGCATAACACATGCTAAAATCATGTATTGATTTCTTACTTCAGATCTCCTAAACCATAGATGCAGTCTTTGTGCCCATTCTATGCAGATCATCAAATAAACCTCTAGAAACATAAAGGAATCTTCCGACTAGCTCCGTAAGACAAGATGGTGGGGCTAGCCAGCCTAAGTTTAAAGCTACACTCCGGGTATTTATGTTTTTCTTTTTCAAATAAACCTCTACTACAAGCTTACTTGGGTACATTCTAGTTATGTAGTTGTCAAGAGTATTCTCAGTATAATTATATCACCTTAAGTAATTGATTGGATTCAATAAAAATTTCCATAACCTTAAAAAAAACGAGCTTAGTTCAAGCGATCATATCAGACTTCAGACATCCCCATGTGATGGCCTAAGTCTTGACAGTAATAGTAGGTGAACTGCCATATTTCAATGGAAGATCCCAAAGAAAATTTGTGCACTCCACTATTGCCACAGGACTTGCAGTACCACGGTTATTGCTACAGGAATAGCAGTACCAAACAATATCGGAGACAATAGATGAAAGCGATAGGCCTAGACTTCACAACGGCGAGATCACACGTAACGTAACCCAGTAGAGATTAGAAGAGCAGCATTACCAGCGTCCGTTTAGATAAGAAGAAAGCAAACAAGTGAGGAAATTTCGCTACAATGACCAAAGGAAAAGAAAATGGCACTACAGTTTACAAATCATATAACTGCACGGCACAACTCTGAATTTACTTGCAAAAGGTCAAAATCTGCCATGTGACCTTGGCCATTGTTACAGATGTTTTTTTTTGTGCTTTTTTTTGGAAGGAATTAAGGAATTGCATTAAGCTAAAAATGGTGTCAACTGCAGTGGTTGGAAATTTGTATTTTCAGCAATCTGTTTGAGTTACTCCATTATCCGTTTCTGAAGATTTTCTGTTGTTCAGAGCTCGATTCTTTTACCAAATATGCCGAAAAAAAATATCATACTGCTGTTGATCATCTCCTATGGCTATACACACCCCACCACGGCACCACCCGCCGTTCGCCTTGGCGGCGGCGGCGGCGGCGACGACGACGCAGAGGGAGCATCGTGGTGGCGCAGCCGCGTGCTGGGCGCGCCGGCTGGGTGATTGATAAAATGGCGAAAAGGAAGGTTTCCGATGGGAGCAGATCTTAATCCCTTGAGGGACGTTACTTTGTTATTTACATGTCTCTTAAATATCTCTGTAAAATTTTAAGAAAATATATTAACATGTGATTTATCACTCACAAATATGTAAGTTCAAATTCATCATCTACATCTCGCAAAAAAAAACAAATTTGAGTGTGAATATACGCTAACTAGCTGTAGTTTAATTTATTTTTTGTTGCAAAATGTAGAAATTAAATATAAACTTACATCTTTGTGGAGTGATATATCACATATTAATACATCTTTTTAATTTTTTTCATAACCATTTGAGTCACGTGCAAATAGAGGAGACATCCCTCGGGAGATCAAAATAGTTTCCCGTTTCTGATTGGGCTGGGCTATTGTCTGGGCCACACTGATCACCTGAGAAGTTTTACTGGGCCGCAGGCCGCGACGCCGCGTGCTCCCACCGTCCCTCCCTCCGGCGCCGCCCTCATCTTCCCCGCCGCCGCGGCTTCCTCCACTCCCCCCTCCCGCCGCCGTCGCGCATCCTCCTCCCCTCCCCCATCTCCAAAGCGCCGCATCTCCTCCCAATCTCCACCGCATTAGTCGCGGGCTCGTGGCGGCTGAGGCGTCGATGTGGCGGATGAAGGAGCGGAAAGCCCCGTGAGTCGGGGTCTCGCCGGCGGAATACCCCGTGAGTTGCCTGCGTGGGATGATTAATCCGATAATTTAGATGGGCATCCCCTGCTACTGCTCTCTCGATTAAGCAACTTAGTTTTTCTCTTCCTCAAAATTTTCAATTATCTTAGATTGATTGATTGGTACAAACGTCAGACTGCATAATCGTGTCCATTTTTATCCAGGATACTGTGATTTCCAACCAGTTTAGAACTTCCCTGAAGTACCTAATTTTACTCTTAAGCAATAGAAAAAAATGTTATGCATCAGTGTCAACAAAAAATGGTTTGTATAGCAGTTTCAATAGATGAACTTTCAATTTTTCATCCAACATTTGTAAGTCTGTTGTACGTAGTACCTTGGTAATTGACGTTATACAGATATACTGAACGTGTAGAGCCAGTTGCGTTATACAGAATTTTCTTCCTCTGAACTCTATTAAGTAGTCATATCTTTAGATAGGATTCTTCTAAACATAGAAGGGTGTAGTTCATAATGTGATCTAGATTCTATTAAGAAATAATTAATCATGTTGAATTCAAGTTGTGGCATGTTAATTGCTTCTGCATGTTGTCACTAGGTACAGTATATCGCAAGGTTTACTGCTTCTTATAATAGGATGATGAAATGAAGGATTCAGTGGTTTGGCAAAAGTATTGCACGCTACAGCAAATAGCATAGTATTGAAAGGTGATCAAATGCTTCTACTCAAAATTACTGCTGTAGTGTTGTATTTTACTACTACCAGTTGCTTTTGACCAAATTTAAGTAATGAAGAATCCAGGATTGGTTGACGATTTACTCAAAGTTTAGAGCAAGTTCAATAGTATAGCCCACTGCTAGCTCCAATTTATCTATAGCCAATCTAATAGTCAATTCATACAATAGTTGCTTACTATATTATTAATATATGGTCCCACATGTCATACATACATTGCGTCTTGGAGTCCGTGCTGCAGCTGGCTACAGATCTGTAGCCCGCTGCTCTTCTCTCTTATCGTTTATCTCATTAAAATATGTTTATAGCTGGCTAGTAGTCTGCTATTGTACCTGCTCTTATGATAGTATGCCCATCTCTGAATTTTATCTGCTGATTAAAATAACCTTCCATTAGACAGAAGAGAGGACAACTGTGTTTTTTAGCTAATCTGACGCTATGTTGGCTGGCATAGCTGCTTATGCTGCTGAGTTAATTTTCTGCATAACTGTCAGATTGTATTAGAGATATCAATATGCAGAAAGTTAAGCATGGATTGTTGTTAGCTGCACACAGTGGATTTTTTTATATCTAATTCAGATTCAGTATGGGAATCATATGATGCCAATTTAACAGTCATTGTACCAAATTGTTCTCTATGTTACCGGTCAAGACTGCAGTTTGTAGTTGAAGAAGAATTCTAACAAGTTGGAACCTTGAATAATTGATGCCTAGCTCTAATCGATGAGCTCATGAGATTGTTTTACTGTTGACTTGCAGTTCTGGGCACTTTGTATTTAGTTTGTTTGAACTGCTGCCGATTTTATTTAAATCAAGATATATTTTAACGTCACCTTTCTCGTTTGCTGCTCATTTTGCTTACAAATCTCGCTAGTCATTTTGTTTCGGATTCATGACTTCATTCTCCTCATGTAAGTTTTGTGCTGTACATTTTCTACAGGTTCATGGTCATGTTTTTATTGTGCAATTTATTCCATTATGCTGAATTAAACATAGAAACGCCAGTAAACAGAAAAGAATGATAATGGTAAGAACTTTATGTCAATCAAGATTCAGTAATCTGGGGTGTAGCAACAAGCACCCCAAATTTCTCTATTTATACTCTGACACAGCCATACAGGTAGAAGTGTTGCTCTGCTACCCAGTAACCAAACAACATCCTACAAGGTTAAGAAATCCAGGTACATTCTACAAAGCTCTCAAGCAGGCCTTTAGGGAGTAGTTGATTAGATGCGCTGTGTGGCTTCTTGTTCAGTGACAGGAGCTTTGATCGGATTAGATGTGGAAGACTTTGCAGTTATGCAGCTCAATCCATCTCCGGCGGCATCTAAGGTGAGAGTGCGCTTTCTAGTTCAAGAACTGCATGGTTGTTCCTATTGGTACATGTACACTAAGTATTTCTTCTTATATGCATGTCAATTCCCTTCTGATCGTCAGGCAAGAACCTAAGATAATATGCCATGGTTATGCTAATGGTGCTTCAGAGCTGAATTCCAACGCAAGGAGCTTGTTGAAAGGTGAAATCTGCTACACTGGGAAGAAGAAAGAGAGCATCTCTGTTTCCAGTTCAAACATCGCTGTCTCTTCACAGGGCATTGGATTTAGTTTGGAGCAAAGAACTGGAGAGAAGTGCTTAGCCAATTCCCATTTGGATGTAAAGCTGTGCACTGGAATTGTAAAGCTGGTTATAGATAAGTGCTCTTATATTTTTAAGAGTAAAGGGGGCATCTTTGATGGGAACTGCAGATTGCAAGATGTTCTTAAGCTTGGTTTCTGGCTCTCACCAGAGACACTCCGCCCATTTTGGCGTGCTTCAGAGCTGAAGCCTGATGATTTCCTTAACATCTTGATTGGCTTTGGGCCAGATGCTGCAGAAGTGAAGAAGGCAATATTTTTGTGGAATTTGTACTGGTGGGCTTCGTGGCAGAGCAAGGCATTCCAACATCTTCCAAGGTCGAATGAAATTATGGTGTCAATACTTGCAAATGCTCATATGCTTAGCCAAGCGGAATCATTGCTTCTCTTGTTGGATGGCAACAGGGTTCTGGCTGATGCAGGTAAACTGTTTAGTCAGGTTATCCAAGCGTATGCAGAAGCTGGCAACCTTGGTAAGTCAATTTCAATTTATGACTGTGCACAGGATAGGTGTCTGATTCCTTCAGGCTCATGCTACCAGGTACTTCTTCATCTACTGATGGAAAGGAGAAAAAATGACTTAGTTTTAAGAGTATATTTGGACATGCTTGGAGCTGGATTAGGTTCTTACACGGAAGGAGATATTCTTGATATTGTTGTCAAGGCTTTAATCAAGAAAGACAAATTTTTGCAAGCTATTGGTATAATTCGGCAGTTAAAGGATTTGAACATTCAAATGAGTAAGGGATCCTTATCAGCTGTCACACAAGAATTTTGCAAGAAGAAGGATATTGGAGATATGATGAATTTCTTAGAAGAGTGGAGGTATCTACCTGACTTGCTTCTCAGCAATAGAATTATTGCCTCTTTATGTGCAAATATTGGTACTGATGAGGCATGGTTGGTTTTCCAAAGATTGGAAGTCTTAGGGTTTGTGCCAGATGCAACTACTTTTGGAATCTTCATACGTTACAGCTGTAGAGAATTGAAGCTGAAGGCTGCATTTCTATATTTATCTGAGTGCTTTTCTAGACATATTAACCCTAAAGTTTGTGCTTATAATGCTATTATAGGTGGTATTTTTAAGGAGGGATTATACAGGCATGCAAAGTATGTCTTTGAAGACATGGCTGAAAGAAAAATTATTCCAGAACTGTTAACATACAAGATACTTTTGGCAGGATATTGCAGATATAGGCAGTTTGATGAAATAGAACAAACCTTGAGGACTATGGAAACCAATGGCATAAATGATATCCCGTCTGGAAATTGTGTGCTTTCTAAGGCCTTATCATTCTTGGGGCTAGACCACCTAGGGGTGAAAGTCAAGAGAGATAATGCTGCAGGCTATCCAAAGGCTGAGTTTTTCGATTCAGTAGGTAATGGTCTATATTTGGACACTGATTCCACAAAGTTTGAGGCTTCATTGGTACAGATTATCGATTATGCTCTTTACCCAGATATTAGCTTGAATCTAGTCAGGGCATGTCGGCAAGGTGATATCGCAAGTGCTCTTGTACTCAAAGATGAAACTTTTCAATGGGGACATGACATTTCTACAGCTAGCTACTCAGAACTATTAAAGGCCTTAAGCGCGAGCCCTGCTCGTGCAATGGATGCCATTAACCTTATTGACGAGATGGCAGATACACCTGACAAATTTGATGCTCAAAATCTAAATCTGGCTGTCCAAACATTGAGTAGGAATGGGAGGTCAGCTTGTGCAAGGTTGGCTTTCGACAGATTGCTTAGAGATGGCTTCCCTGCTAGTCAAGATACCTATACTTATTTGATGATAGGGTTCTGCATAGAAAGGGACATAGCAGGATTTTGGGAATGTTGGAGTCTGGCAACAAAGCATGGATGGTCACCTGGTAGCAGGGATGTGATCCCCCTTATCAGTCACTTGAGCAAATGGGGGGTAATCGAGGAAGCCTTGGAGTTTATCAGCGTGTTGCTGGACTGTTACCCTAGTTTGTTTTTCAGTGCATACTGCCAACTTCTCGAAGAGTTATGCATGACTGGTTGCACAAGTGTTGGATGTGCAATGCTTGAGGCTCTCATAGAAAAGGGTGTGGCTGTGGATCCTTCGCTAATTTGTAATGTGATGGAAGGGTTTCTAAAGGAGCATAAGATTGCTGAAACAATTGGAATGTATGACATGTTGCTTAACAGAAACAAAGTATTAAATGTGTCCACTTACCAATCTGCATTGTCTTCAGTGGCAAGAATTGATGCAGAACGAGCCATGGACTTGGTACAATCTGTGATGAACATGGAATCTACTGATTTCTCAACGTGCAGTTCTATCGTGAAGAACTTATTGCAATCAGGAAAAATAGGCCAGGTAATGTCAGTCTTTGAGGAAACAGTTTTGGGGAAGAAGTTCAATGCTACCTTGCTAAATTCCTTTCTACAAGCATATTATTGTGTAAAAAATTGGAGAAAGGCAGATGCAGTTCTTTGCATGATGTTAAAGATGCAGAATAGCCTTTCTATTTCTAGTTACCGCTTTCTTGTCCGTAGAATGTGCGAGCAAAGTCGGATTTCCAGCGCATTAAGACTTAAAGAGCTGATCCAAGATAGGGACAAGTCAACAGAACTAATTTTATACAATATTCTGATTTTTTATCTTTTCCGGAGAAGACACATTTTACAGGTTCATAATTTGTTGAAGGATATGAAAAGCAATGGTTTTTCTCCAGACACCACCACTTATGACTTCCTTGTCAATGGGTTTCACAAGTCTGGAGATGTCGATCATTCAATTAATATGCTTGATTCTTGCATTGCTCAGGGATTAACGCCAAGCAATCGTAGTCTCAGAGTAGTATTGAGTCACCATTGCAAGTTAGGAAACCTTGAGAAATCACTAGAATTATTTCATCTGATAGAAAGCAACGGATGGAAGCATGGTTTAGTCATTGAGACAACCCTCATTTCAAGTCTTCTCTCATCAGGGAGGTTTTCTGAAGCAACATCTTGTCTGAACAGCATGAACAAAAGAGAGCTGATTGGGTTTGACATACATTTTGATGTCCTAATCAAGGAACTCTGCTTACTGGGAGATGTGGAAATGTCTGTTAGTCTGCTAAATACAATGCTAAAGAAAGGCAAAATTCCGAGTGAAGTTAGCTACGACTCTGTTGTGTACAGGCTATGTATGTTGAAAGAATTCGATCAGGCACTTGATTTTCTTGCTGAGATGCAATTTGCGAACCTAAAACCAAGCGACATGTCCTGCGATGTGCTTATACAGGGCCTTTGTGCCATGGGAAGAACCTGTGATGCTATGAATATTTTGGAAATGTTGACCACCATTGGCTCTTCACCATCCTATCACATGTATAGAGTTGTTTTTGAGAACTGTTGCAGGAGTAACAATCTACAGAAGGCTGCAACACTTCTGCATGACATGCAGCAAGCTGGGTTCTCACCCAACTTTGAGATGCACTGGTCTGTTATTAGCAATTTAAGTAGTAATGCTAAGAGGACTACAGGATATGAGAAGCCTATTTTGTCCAACCTTATTTCTTCAACTCAAGTGAACTCCCCGTGAAGTTTATATATAATAGGGCAAAAGGCCATTCGGAGCGAAGATATAAGCAATGCTGATGTCTGGTTTTCCAGAAAGTGGTGAACTGACGATTGTCAAGTTGAACTGTAGACACCAGTGGAACTGACAGAACTCCATGAGATCAAGCTAATGCAATTGAATGTTCCATTCACATCTGAAGGTCATGATAAGGTAATACTACTGTCTATTCTAAAAGTGGAAACAATAATCCCAAACTTTGGCTGTAATCTTATTATTTTTCTAAACAGGATGTACTTTCGATTATCGTTTATGTTGGCGGAGATAATGCTGATATTATATCACTCCATCAAATCAGAGGTGATTCACCCCTGCGACTTTTCTCTTCAATTAGAGCCTGTGTAATCGATTGCTTTCTTGAATAACCCAATATAGAGTGTGCACTCAACTTCTCATTAATTTTTTTTCAATCAGTGTTACTACTAGTTGTGCTTGCGCAGACACTTCTTCTAGCCATGAAAGACACACTGGAGCTCACTTGAGTTGCCATGAAAGATGCACTGACTCCACACCAGTACGATTTATTATGAAAAAAGTAATCCACACCAGTACGATTTATTATGAAAAAAGTAAGCGGAATACAAGAAGCTTAAAATGCTTCAATGTTACAAAACTAGAGACACACTGGCGCATTGCCTTATCCTTTTAATATATAGGATTTTTATGAGCATCTATGGGCGCCAATATTCAAGATTATCACACCCACAATCAGACTCTTGGCTTCTATAAACATACATCCAAATTATAAAGCACCAAATTGTGCAATTTGCATCATAAAATTGATGCCTATTCATTGTTGGGCACGACAGCACCCACACCTCCATCCATGTTATATGAAGCGTCAATATCAGAGTTCTGAAGTTCTGATTTCTCCAAGCCCTTATCTGGTCCAAGATTCTCTAGCTGAACCCCATGCCTTTTCAATGCATCTTTGATCTTATAAATCTGAAATAGCAACAAAATATAGCTTGAAAGAGCTTAAAGGTAATCTGTTCACAAATGGGCTTAGATTAACGGAACTCACAGTTGAAATTGTACAGCTGAAGCTACAGATACGGCCTTCTGCACCTCTGTAAAAGCGGAACATTGGCAATACATGAACATTGAGCCTGCGGCACATCTCCTTTTGTTCATTGGAGTTGACCATAAGAAACTGCAGTTCCGGATGCATGCCAGCCAATTGACATACCTTTTGGGACATTATGCAAAAAGGTGTTATAACTATTCAAAGTATGAAATGCTCTTTTTTCGTTAATTTATGTTTGAGAAAATTGTTTAATACCATGCATGTGTTCTTTTACCTTAGGGTGTAGGGCCTTGCAAGCTCCACAACTAGGGGAAAAGAAGTGCACCACGGTGAGCTTATCGCTGGCCAACAGGAGCTGCTTGTCAAAATCGTCTTGTGATTCAATGTTTTTCATGTTGCAGGATTTCATGTTCTTTTCCCACCATTTAGTCTTCATTGGGGTGTGAACAGCCTAACACCACGACAATATATCTCATTGACATCTCTTTTGTGCTTGAGCATGTATTGTCAATGCATATTTGAGTTTTGTTATTTGTGTATTTCGAATGAGACCAACAATTTCATCTTCTGTGCAGATTTTTCAAATACTTTTGGCTGTAGAGAATGTTTTACCAATAAAATTCTATAATTTTAAGCATTACTAAACATGGTTAGCGAAGCAACCAAATCTCTTAATATTAAATGCACTTGATAAAACAGCGATCCTGTTTCAAGAATAGTTGGGCTTTGATTTAGTCATTATTAGGCCAGAAAATGGTACCTGGAGCAAATACAGTGTGTCAGTGATTAGTGTCATAGAACACAAAAAAAGGGTTACCTTGGATTGTGAATGGATTGTGGTGCCCCTTGATATTTGAACAACAAAACAAACAAAACATATTTTATTCTTGAGATTAAATAGCACTTGCAAATTTGCAATCTAAGTTAAAATTTAGCCTGTTGATTTTGAAACCTGCATATTCCTTTCTATTTAACATAACAAGGAAACATTCTGATTTACTTGTAGAAAAATTCAGATGACCTTCTACGGAAATGCACTGAATATATTTTTACAAAGAAAGCATCTTAGTTTGCGCTTGTCATAGCAAGAATGGTTTTTCTGGAGGTAAATGTTTTTGTTTGTAATTTAATTAGTTCCAAACAAGTAATGTTCAAGATTTTATACTTTCATAGCGTGTAAGACTTTCTTTTACTTCCTCCGTTTCACAATGTAAGTCATTCTAGCATTTCCCACATTCATGTTGATGTTAATGAATATAGATAGATATATATGTCTAAATTCATTAACAATAATATGAATGTGGGAAATGCTAAAATGACTTACATTGTGAAACGGAGGAAGTAGTGTATAAGGACAAAGTTTCATATGCATGCTCAATTGCAATGTGGTAAGAAATTACATTGGTGGAATTTTCTGTTGCAGCTTTGGTGATCTGCCAACCAGTTGAAGCATCCTTTTCTCGGAGCAAGAGGTGCTTTCTGTTGATCCGATTGTGGTTCCGAGCTGGCACCATGAAGGAACCATCAGAACTATTATTCTTGGATCCACGCTGAGATGAACGAGAAATAGCCCAACAGTTCGTCAGAGCAGAAGCCATTGCCATCCTTCAACTGAAAAAGAAAGGATGAAACAGATCAGCACTCCTGAAATGATGTGGAAAATGGGAAATTTTAAAAGCTTACATGCCACAACGTATCCACACGAACTTTTCAAGAGCTGGAAATGTTTGTGATGGTGATATGGGAATGGTCCATGGTATGGTATTTATAGCTGAAGAAAAGTTTGCTTCAGAAGCAAAGGATACCTCATCCTCCCTAAAACAGAGCCCCTTTTTGCTTTTTTTTTTCAGTTCATGTTCGTGAGTTCATCACTCTAAGAAGCAAAGATGATTATCCAAAAGAAGATATGGACAGCCACATTTGTTGTTACCTGCCATCATATCTGGACTAGCTAGGTGCTTTATATACTCAGTTTCCAGTTCTCCAGCAAAAGCTTTGGTGTTTCTTACACTCTGCTGATTTCTATCTAAGGCGGCACGGCTTGTGCCATGGACTGGATGAAGCCGATGTGTATCTGGATAAAAAGATTGTCAACATGACTCATCTCTTCTGTAGTGTGTCAATCCTAATGCATTGTGTGTTCTGTGAGTCATGGGCAAACTTTTGATCTAAATCTTAATCTACTTTACTCGGATGTGTATCCATGACATGACTGGATTTCTTGTAGGAGTGCCTGATATTGCAGCTATGTGGTGTATTCTTCTTGGTTGTGTATATCTAACTGTTGATATAAAGGTCAGATTTTTATCCATTATCTAAAAAAATGTGGTGTATTTTACTTGTCCTCTACTTGCTCTTCATCTGCTTGTGTGTATGCTCTATCCAGCTATTGGAATTTCAGAATCTGTCACGCGATGAACACGGCCTGTTTGGAACATCCTGCTCGATCTGCGTGCGAATCTATCTGTGATTTTTACGTTTTAGTACATACTAATACTGAGTTACTGACTGATCAAACTAACATATTAAAGGGGCAGTAACACCTGCTAGTCAGAAAATAATACTCTATCCGTTTTATATTATATAAATTGTTTTGACTTTTTCCTTAGTCAACTTTTTTAAGTTTAACCAAGTTTATATTAAAAATCTAGAACATCAAATTAGTTTTATTAAAATGAACATTTAATATATTTTAATAATATGTTGTTTTATGTTAGCAATGTTGCTATATTTTTCTACAAACTTGATCAAACTTTAAAAAATTGACTAGGACAAAAGTCAAAACGATTTATAGTATAAAATGGAGGGAGTATTTACAGTATGCTGCTTGATAATTACTGTATTCCTTTTGAAGTAAGAAGATTTAGGTAGGTGCTAAAATTGATAATAGAAGAACTTGCATTGAACCCATAATTCCAAAATGGATGAACTAAAATACTTTTCTTCAATAAAAAAGGAGATCCGCTGGACGAAATCAAGAAAACAAAGAATCTAATGTGAAAATTACACCATAACATGGTCAAAAGAAAAAAAAAAGGAAATTACACCCATAGCTACTTACCAGCATACTTCTTTTTTCCCACAGAAACCAGGGACTGGTTTCCCATCAACCTTCCAAGGTTGACATTGCTACAGAGGTTACAACTAGGACATCTTTTGAGTTTTTCCACCCTTCCACTTATAGATCTTCCACTTACACCATAAGTTGACTACCCCTCGATGGCTCGAAGGGTATAATGTATATATAGTCGTGCAATGTCGGTGGCATCTTTGTGTCCGACACCATGACCTGATATTTTTCGCAGAGCTTGTCGCTTGTTGGGTCGACGTGTCGTTTAAGTCATGGTATTTGTCACGCAATGCATATCCTTTTATGCTCTTGCTCTTTTTCGGCTACAAGGATTGTGTTTTCAAATTAATTAATGCAAAAATCTAGATATAATATAAATTTTTTTGCAAGGGAAATTACTAAATAAACAAAACAGCACATTCTTAAAATCGTTTTATCCCACTGAAGAGTTGTATTTAGATTTAGAAGACTTCTTTCTTGAGTGAATAGTGGAGATACTCCTTTGCTATAGATTATAATTATAGGGGAATAATTACAATAGAGGGCATGGGGAGTAGAGAAAACAAAAAAAAACTGTTAAACTGTAAATGGATTCTCGATTGAGGAATTTAAGATACACAATTGTCTCCAATATAAAAATAAACCATAATATTTGGGCTGTGAATTTATTGTATAATAGAAAAATCAAGGACACATGGCTAATGGTTGCTAAGAAAAAAAATTGCAAATATTCTATAGGTTCTCAGAGAGAAAAGGGAAATCATTCAATTTGATTGACTCCAATTACAAAGAATTTCTTTTAGTGTCTTAGAAACATATTTAATGATATGCAGTTTGGAAAAAAAATAGAAAATAAATACCGGGCACTATGTTTAATTAAAAGGTAAAAAAAAATTTACTACTTGGGGTGTGGATTTACATTGTATTCCTGCACATAAGAAGTTTCAAATTCAACAGATACAATTTTAATATTGAACTCTGTCCACTATACAGCAATGCAGTACACCGTGCATCTGATAAAAACAGTGATATGCTTTATTATTCATGGTTCTCTTTCTTCTGGGGAGAACTGGAAGATCCACCTTTTGGCAAAACAATTCACAGCTTTCATAATACAATTGGCTGCTACAGAGCAATGGCAACTGAGCGTAAGTGCGTAACACTTTAACAAAATTAATAAAGCTCAAAACAATTAATATTCTGCAGGCATATTGCACAGGCCAGTATTGGCTTCAGAATACACAGAAATTGTAACAAAGCAAACTGCTTTTGTTCTTACCCAAGAATAACCATTATATTCTGTAAAATAATATGGGTAATTTGGCCATTTCTTTGCAAAGGCAAACATGCAATTTCGCACAGTTCAGATCCTTGTCCACAATTTGTTTTGATCATTGCAATCCCTTCTTGCAGAACCATCAACTTATGCTTATTTACAACCATACAGGCATCGATGACAGCATCACTCTTTTGTCGCTCATGTAGCTTTTTTCACTTGCACAAACACAGTGCCATACTCCCATTGTACAAATGATGTGCAAACTGATGTTTGGATGGATTGAAGATGTTTCACATATTTATAGCCACGATCCACGACTCATTACCTTGTTTATATAATTGAGTTCAGGAAAGGGTTGCATCTGTACTAAAAAGGATATCAGAAGATAACACAATGGAGGATATGTATAACCACAAGCCATGGCTGCACATCTTGTTGTTACAAATTGTTCACCTTTATGTAGCTTATGCAGCTTGGGCTGATGTTTATCTGCTTGACTAGAAATCCAAACAATAGCCTGTGATGCAACCTCTCTGAGTCTGACAAGATTAGACCCATTTCATTAATATATCATCATAAGTACTAGAATTCACTATTCAGGATAGCTTGTTGTTCTTCGCGCACATACATCTGCATCATTTTCTTTCCCATTTCCCATATGTGATATTCAGTTTCTGATCCAGAACAGAGCTTCACAACTGATATCCTCAACCAATGAATCCTTTTCTTTCAGAATGTGATCTCGACTGTCCAAAAGACTGAATTATATCCTTCACACTGCCATCTACAAACGTTTGACCTGCTTCTTTGTTGACACCACTGTCATCCATTAACTTTCTCATTTTCTCTGACCCAAACCATTCTCCAACAGATGCATAGATGTTTGAGAGGAGAACATAATCACCGCTTTCATCATTCCTTGCCTTTAGCAGTTGCCTATTTGCATGTTTAGCCAGTTCGATCTCACCATGAACCCTACAAGCCGAAAGTAGTGTTCTCCAAATGACAGAATTAGGCTCACATTTCATCGTATCAATGAACTCAAATGCTTCTTTTAGTAGCCCAGCACGACCCAGCATGTCCACCATGCAACCGTAGTGCTTGATATTGGGTTCAACCCTGTACTTATGCTGCATCAAGTTGAAGAATTCACGTCCCTTGTCAACCATCCCGCCGTGGCTGCAGGCGATAAGGACAGCAACAAAGGTGATCTCATCTGGCCTGACCTTCCCCTTCAGCATCTTCTCAAACATATCTATGGATTCCAGGACATGCCCATGCAGTGCCAGTCCTCCTACAATTGAGTTCCAAGTTGAGACGTCCTTGTCTCGCATTGACCAGAACACCTCATGTGCACTTTTCATGCTCCCACATTTTGCATACATGTCAATCAGTGCATTTCCTAGAACAACTGGAAACCCATTTCTTGAAAACATATCTGAAAGAGAGGAATGCAGCCTCTGGCCAACGTCCAGATCACCAGAGTCAGCACAAGCTGACAGCAAGCTGAGCATTGTGACAATATCTGGCTTTTCACCCATGCGCTGCATCTGCTCAAACAACTCCAGTGCATGCAAATGCGAGCCACATCTCACATACCCAGAAATCATCACGTTCCAGGACACGACATCTCGCTCGGGTACCTGGTCGAATAGCTCCCTTGCCAATGCCATATCTCCCCGCTTCGCATACGCGGTGATCATCACATTCCAGGACACGAGGTCCTTCACAGGACATTCGTCGAACAGGTCCCGTGCAGCACCAATGTCCCCTCGCCTTGCACACCCCGTGATCATCGCCGACCAAGCCACGGCATCCTCACGAGCTCTGCCATCGAACAGAGCAGCCGCAATGCCCAAATTCCCGCAGCTCGCGTGCATGCCAATGAGCGCGTTCTTGACGAACGCGTCGGACTCGCAGCCAGCCTTCACAACGTGGGCGTGCACCTGAACCCCGGTGTCCCCCGCGCCCATGGCGGTGCAAGCGCGGAGCACGAACGGGAACGTGAGCTTGTCGGGCCTCACGCCGCCGCCGCCGCCGCGCCGCAGCATGCGCGTGTACAGGGAGACAGCGTCCCGGGGCGCGGCCGTGTGGGCGGCGCCGCGGATGAGGGTGTTGTACATGAAGCGGTCCGGGCGGGGTATTTGGTCGAACACGAGGTAGGCGTGCGCGATGGCGCCGCGGACCGCGACGGCGGAGGCGAAAAGGAGCTCGCGGAGCTCGGAGGGATCGGAGAGGAAGCCCCGGAGCGCCATCACCGCGTGCATCTGCTTGATGTGTCGCAGGCTCCGGCACCGCCGCCACGCCGGCGGCTGCCGCCGCTGCGTCCCCGACTTCCGCAACATCTCAGAGTCTCAGTCCACTAGCCTTGTCCACGTCGCCAATGTTTAAATCCAGTCCCATTTTAAACGCATACTAATTGAACAGTTCTCCATATTTTTTCTCAAACATTCATGTAAAGTTTTGCAAACATGGTGTCATGGTACATTCAAATTCAAACCAGATTACAGGTTTAAAAATGTGCAAACATGGTGATACGGCCTTGTCCACGTCGCCAATGTTTAAATCCAGTCCCACCATTTGTAGCGTAGAATGGAACAGCTTTCGATAAAATTTCTCAACCATTTAGATGAAATTCGCACCGTTTCAAGCAGGGTCTAGGACCAACAAATCCTAGAATCAAACATGGTACATTCAAATTTCAAATTCAAACCAGATTACATAGGCTTATTTACTACTCCGGTAAGCGATACGGGCGGCGGCGGCGCGGCTGCCGGCGAGCGGCGGCGGGGGTCAGACGGAGGTGGAGACGCGGACCTTGAGGCCGTGAGCCATGGAGAGGATGGTCATCATCCGGTACTTGACGGGGTGGTCCTCGACGAGGTCGAAGGTGTAGAAGCGGAAGAGGATGGCGAGCGCCATCTTCATCTGGAGGTAGGCGGAGTCCTTGCCGAGGCAGATCCGCGGCCCGGCCTGGAACGCGGTGAACTTGAACGGCGACGCGTTCCGGAACGCGCCGCCGTCGCCGCTGAGCCACCGCTCCGGCCGGAAGCTCGCCGCGTCGGGGCCCCAGTTGTACTCCATCCTCCCCATGGAGTAGGGCACGTACGTCACCATCCCGCCGGCGCGCACCTTGGTGCCGTCGGGGAGCACGTCGTCCTCCACGATCCCCTTGGGGTCCTGCGGCACCGCCGGGTAGAGGCGGAGCGTCTCCGTCACGCACGCGTGCAGGTACACCAGCTTCCCCACCGCGTCGTAGCTCAGCAGCGACGCGAACTGCGCCACGCGCGCCGCGAACGACGCCTCGCCGGCGGCGTCGGCGAGCGCGACGCCCTCCTCGCGCGCGCGCTCATCCTCGAACGCGGCCAGCTCGCGCCGGAGCTTGTCGGCGACGGCCGGGTGCGTCATCGCCATGTACGTGAACCACGACAGCGTCGTCGCCGTCGTGTCACGCCCGGCGATCACGAAGTTGAGCACCACGTCGCGGAGGCTCTTGTCGTCCCCGAAGCTGCCGCCCCCCTCGTCGCCGCCGGCCTCCCCGAGCTCGATGAACCGCGACAGTATGTCGTGCTTGATCTGCTCGCCATTACAAATCAACGATATCAAGAAACAAAACCTTTTCCGATCTGATCATCACCATTACCATGTCAGTTCAGTTCTACTGATTCTTTGAGCAAGAGAGGAAGGATCACCTTCTCTTGCTTGCCGCTGGCTCGAGCCTGCAAGATCTCAGCCTTGCGGCGGCGGATCACGCTGTAGGTGAAGTCATCAACCAGCTTCATGCTCTGCTCGAGGAGAGCCTCTGATCCGACGTGCAAGAACTTCTTCAGACGCCACAGAGGATCGATGAACCGCAGCGTGACGATGATGTTGGCAGCGTCGAATGCCTGGGCAAAGCTGTTCTCCGGGAGATCAGGTGACAGCGTCCCGATCTCAACCCCAAACCCGACCTTGCAGATCGAGTCCAGTGTCATCCTCATGAACAATTCCTGAATTTTGGTTAGTTCTTGCATCAGAATTCTGAACAATTTGGTTTCTCAAGAAATGTTTAGGTATTAGGCAAGGAATTCAGTTGGTTACCTGCATGTCTACAACTCTGCCGGCCTTGCATGCTTGGCTCAGAATGCTTGATAGCTTCAGGGAGTACTCCCTGAACACCACAGTGCTGAAGTCTCTCAAGTTCTTGGAGGCAAACTCGAAGCTCGCCGTCTTCCTTTGCTTCCTCCACATCTCGCCGTCGGCATTGAATATGCCATCACCGAGCAGCACATCCATGTAAGACCTGTACACTTCACCCTGCATATTTTCAGACATTTTTTGTGTCAGTGTTAGTACTGTGCAAGGCACATTTTACAGTACACTGAAGATCCTATGGTTCTTTTACCTTGGGGTAATTGGTGAAGTTGGTCTTCAGGACATGCTCGACGTTCACCGGGTCGGCAATGTAGGTGTAGGAGGTGAAAGGCATGTCGACGGTCACCGTCCTGTCCTTCGACAAGTACTCGACAAGCCAGTCATGCATCCTGTGGTAGTTCTTCAGTTGCTCCACTGTCGCGCCGATGATTGGCCATGATCTTGGCCCTTTCTGGTTCCTCAGGCTCCACTTGTGGACCAAGATCCATGAGAGGACAACAAGGAAGATAGCTATGAGCTTGTGGATTCCTGCTACTGGGAAGAATGATGTCACTGGCATTGCATGAGCTTCCTCCATGGGGCTCTTCATGAAGGGTTCAGTCTACAAGAGATGCTATGTAGCATTTTGGATGGCATAGTTAGGTGATATATTGGGCACTGATGCTACCAACCTTGAGACAATCTTTGTGTGACCAAGAATTAAGATTGTCTCATTCATATGGTGTCCCTAACCTAACACCCTTAGGAGTTGGATCTTAGCTTTAGTTTTCTTTTTGTGATCTGTCCACCTAGAAAAGAATCGTTACTCATGTAAACACAAAATGAATGCTACAGTATTTTTTTCCCCTGCTCAGCCAAGTTCGTTGTTTTGTTCAGATAACTGAAGCGTTTGCAGCGACTAAAGGTATGCCACCTTCTAATATCAGAACCATATCCATCTGAATTCTGTTAAATTGTCACCAACTGAAACCAGGCTTACCATTTTCTGTCGATATTGTCTAGTCTTTGATGACAACTAAAATGAAATGGGGTATCCTCAAAAGAAATATAAATTGTGAACCCAAAGTAGTTGGTTTCTACTTCACCTGAATTCTACTTCATCTGAATAGGCTATTTTAATGAAGAGAAAATCCAAGAAATGCCATTTACAAACACCCAAATCCAAGAAATGCTATCGACGAGTACGAGTTCCATAAAATGCTATTGTAGAAGCGATTTTGTCCCAGAAATCAGTTGCCATCTAGTTAAAACATTCTCACATAAACAAGCAATATAAAATACTATTGCCAAGATATATCCAATACTTTGCATCTCTAAAGCTTCTAGTTATTGACAACTAATTTCTTTTCCAGTCAATACAAATAAGCCATCTATCAAAGATTTGAGAAATTGCAGGGCACAATTCTACAGAAAATTAAAGAACATCACTTGAAAAGGAAGATTTTTTCTATAGAACTTATCCTTTGTGATGTAACAACAAATACTCGAATGAATTGAGAAATAACCAATGTCAACACTGAAACAAGTCTGAAACCAAGATCAGAAGAGCATGAAAATAGTGCTCTTATGGATTGACCTTGATTCTTGCCCACACTCTTATTACAACCTTCGAGCAAACCGGAGCATTTGCTGAATAAATCTCTCATCTGTTACTGAAGATACTAGGTAACTAAATAAACAATCAATCAAGAGTATCAAAACCTACAGGCTTTTGTTACTGTCAGCATCCAATGTAAGTCTGAAGAGAGCTCTCATTGCCTGCCTCTTCACTACCCTGCCATAGGTAGCCCTCCCAATCCTCACCACCTTGTCTTCCACCTCGAGCCGATTGCCGCAGCCGTTGCCATTGTCGGCACCCCTCAGCATTGCCCTCAGCACGCTCTCGTTCCCGCCGATTGCGCCGGCGACGCTCTCTGCGACGGCGGCCTCACCGGGGACGCGCCTCCCCCACTTCCTCACCAGCTTGTCGGAGTCGAACAGCGCGGAGTACGCGCTCCAGAACGACGCGCGCAAGAACGCCTTCCTCCTCTCCTTCACCATGGACTTTCTCATCCTCTCCTCCAGCCTCACCACCAGTGCTCCCATGTCTCCTCCTCGGCCATTGACCAATTCGTTCTCAAGTTTTGTGAGTTCTTGCCCAACAATGGCGTCGCTGGCTTCGAACCTGCACCGATCGCATTGGCATTCGAGGCCCCACGCTCTCGCTGCCTCCCTGCGCTTGCTCGCCGGGGTGAGCACGTCGAAGTAGGCGAATGTGATCTCCTCCCCGGCTTTGATGTCCCTTGACGCGTGGACAATGGCGTGGTCGCCGACGTGGGTGCGCCGGGCGTTGGGGTGGCACGAGTGGTTGATGAACGCCGGCAAGATCCACAGCCCGACGCCGCAGTTGACGACGCCATTGCTGCCGAGCAGATTGGCGGATGGCGCTGCGTCCTCGGTCAAGCAATTGACGTCGAGCACTTTCAAGATCTTGTCCACATCAAGAGATGCCTTCGGCGCCATGGCCGTGCCGTCATCGAGCTCCTCCGTTTCTTGCTTGAAATGTGCCATGTCCGGGATGGGGAGCTCGTCTTCTGGCTCCTCGCCGGTGGAGAGAGTGTAGATGAGAGATGCCGTCCTCGGGCACTTCTCGGCGGCGTCGAGCACCTTGTCGACGAGGTCCTTCCACACCACCATCTTCTCGCCGCTATCGGCGGCGTCCGGAATTACTCCCCTTCCGATCGCCACCGCCTTGGAGATCACCAGGTTAGCTCCCGCCTCGATGTTCTTCACCGCGAACACCCCTCGGCCGCCGTGCGCGGACCGGCGCACCTCCACCGCCCCGACGTGCTCCGCGAGGTCTGGGCACTTCCCGGAGAACCCGGCGAGCACCCACTCCGACAGATCCACCGCGCCGCTCCTCGCCTGCGCGTCCAGGCGCTTACACTGCTCGACCATCTCCCGGACCTCGTCGGTGCCGCTCACGGCGAGCGCCGCGCGGAAGCACTCGGCGGCGCGCGAGTACCGGCCGAGGCCGCGCAGGACGGCGCCCTTGGACAGCAACGCCCCGGGGTGCGCCGGGTCGGCCGCCAGCGCGGCGTCGCAGTCGGCGAGCGCGCCGGGGGCGTCGCCGAGGCGGGCGCGGGCGTCGGCGCGGTGGGCGAGGGTGGAGCAGAGGACGCGGCGGTCTTTGCAGGCGGCGGCGGCGTCGAACGCCTCGATGATGAGGGAGCACACGGCGATGTACTCCGTCCAGTTCTCCTTGAGCAGCAGCTGCGTCGCGCGGCTGCGCAGCTGCTGCAGCGAGTCGTCGTCGAGGCCGGGCGTCGCCATGGCTGGGCGGCGGCGTGAGATTTGGCTGGGGAGTGGTGGTGGTGCGCCGCGGGGCGGCAATGTCGGAGGTGTTTGTTTGGCTCGGTTTCGAAAGCTCGCGGCTTTACAGCGTAACGGTCGGATCTGATTTCTGAATAGTTTTTCGAACGAAACAATTCTGAATTTTTTAAACTCACTGGAGTGAATGCAGTAGCAACGGCTATGAGCTGTCACACACTCACAGTAGTACTCCGTAATATAGACGTCATAATGGTCATCTTGTAAAAAACAAATACTCCGTATGTAGGTTATATTGGAGTGAAAAAATATGTATTGGTCATCTTGTACAATGCAATGGACTTGTGCTCGGTAGAGAAGAAGTGATGAATGAAATAAATCTAGGGCTTGAGACCGGGTGACTCTCTCTCTCTCGAACCCTCCCTCGCCTGCTACAGTAAAATTCCCCTTTCTCGACCCCTCTTCCTCCTCGATTCCGGCGGCCTTGTCGCCGGTGACGGGAGGGAGAGGGGTCGTCCCCCTCCCCTAGTTTAGTATAGTAGTCGGGCTAGTCTCGTTAGGTCGGGTTTTTCCCGTTTCTCGTTTCTATGGCGATGGAAGTTGAAGACGGTGGCGGTGGCGCGATTGAGGCCGGTGACGGTGGAGGCGACAAGGTTGGCGACGGCGGCGGCGCGGATCCGGTTCGCGGCGGCGGCGGCGGCGCGGATCCAGTCTGCGGCGACGGCGGTGGCGCGGACCAGCTCCGCGGCAACGGCGGCGGCTCGAACGCGGCCCGTGGTGACGGCGGCGCGGATCCAGTCCGCGGCAGCGCCGGCGGCTCGGACGCTGCCCGTGGCGACGGCGGCGGCGCGGATCCAGTCCGCGGCAGCGCCGGCGGCTCGGACGCTGCCCGTGGCGACGGCGGCGGCGCGGATCCAGTCCGCGGCAGCGCCGGCGGCTCGGACGCTGCCCGTGGCGACGGCGGTGGCGCGGATCCTGTCCGCGGCGGCGCCGGCGGCTCGGACGCTGCCTGTGGCGTCTGCGGCGGCGCGGATCCAGTCCGCAGCGGCGGCAGCGGCTCGGTCGCGGCCCGTGGTGACGGCGGCGTCGCCGATCCAGTCTGTAGCGGCGGCGATGGTGCGGACGTGGCCTGCGGCGACAGTGGCGGCGCGAGGGCTGTCTCCCACGTCGTTGCTTCCAGTTGTGTCGTTGTTTCATGGTGCAGGCCATCTCTTTCTCAGCCATCTCCATCATCTCAGCAGGACAGAAGCTGATTTGCAGCCATTCAAGTGCTTCTTCCTTGAAGGTTGGCTGTTCTTCGGATTCATCTATCCTGTTGTTCCCTAACAGAAGAAACCATGTTGGGTTTGTCATTCGGGTTGAGCTCGGACCACCTGATGAGCCCCGTGGGGATCCTTTGCTGAGTCCGGTGACGCACACACCAAAATCTACGGCTCAGCATCAAACCTCGGTCTTGTGCCGTTTCCGTGGAGGCAGCCGATGGGGATTAACGGTTTGTCAAGCGGACTGCACATCTTTTGAGGCCCAGGGTAGCAGTCGTCGCGGCTTCGCCGCAGATCCCTGTCGACTTGCTCCTTTTTCTGTTCTGATGTTAGGTTATTTCAGGAAGGTTGCTTTCGTAGTTCAGTTAACTCTCCTTTCTTAAGGATGGCTCTTTTGCTTGGATATGTAATGGGGTTTATTCCCTAGATCTGTTCCTGCTTAATAAAGTTGATGTGTTTTCAAAAAAAAAAAAATAATAAATCTAGGGACTATTGCGGTTTGCTTGGGAATGGCAAAGTATGAATATATAAACTTATTACTATAAAATCAAAAGAAAATGATTTATAAGATTTTATACAACCTTACATACAAGTAGTAGTAACCAGGAAGAAAAATAGGAGAACATCAAGGGGTAATATTTTTCAATACAGTCATTTTGCCTTCACAGTTCATGTAATATTCCCCCTGGCCTTTGATTTTCCATTTACCATTGATGAGTAATGGTAATAAAAACGCATAGACCAGACTGCATTTTGCCAAATCTTACTTTGAATTTGCAGGAACCTAGGCACTCACAGTTCAGAGAGTTTCTGAGCTTTGGCTTTGTGTTAATGAATTGCTGTTTTTCCTATATTTGAAAAGGGAGCTGCTATATACCGGTATCCCGTTGGGATACTGTCCCAACGGGATCGCTCCCTGTCCACCTCCCTCAGACGCTAGAGAACGAAGGTCACTATGGGAGCAGCGTAGATGAGGTTGACGTCGGCGGCGCGGACGCGGCTGCCGGCGACGAGCTCTAGCGTGGAGGACGCGGCCACCGGCGAGCTCCGGCATGGAGCTGGTCGCATGGACGGCGGAGGATCCTGCGTGGTGACAGAGACGGCGCCGGCGACGAGCTCCGGCGTGGGGCGTGGACGGCGGAGGATCCTGCGTGGTGATGGCGGTGGCACCGGCGACGAGCTTCGGCGTGGAGGACGCAGCCACCGGCTGAGGCGTGGACGATGGACGTGGTCGCCGGTGTCGAGGTCCCGGCGGAGGACGCGGTCGCCGGCGACGAGCTCTGATGTGGACCATGGACGGGGGAGGATGCGGCTGCCGGCAACGAGGTTCGGGTTCAGTGTGGAGCGTGGACGGGGGAGGACGCGGCCGTCGGCGACGATACCTCGACGCCCAACTCCTGTATCTAGTAGGTATCATATGATACCTCGCAAGTATCACCCCGATACATCGTAGAAATCACGCGATACCTGATAGGTATCACATGATACCTCGCGAGTATCGCCTGATACATGATAGGAATCGTCTGATACCTGATACGCGGTAGAATCACATGATACCTGGTAGGTATCACTCGATACCGGCTAGGTATCAGGACCTGATACCTCGCAAGTATCACGCTCTACGTGGTAAGAATCGCATGATACTTGATAGGTATCATCTGATATCTCGCAAGTAATCACCTGATACGTGGTAAGAATCGCATGATACCTGATAGGTATCATCTGATACCTCATAAGTATGATACGTGGTAGGAATCGCCTGATACTTGATGGTTATACCTGATGCATGTTAGGATACTTGCGAGGTATCAGGTATCTATAAGGTATTAGGCGATTCCTATCACGTATTATGTGATACTTGTAAGGTATCAGGTGATACCTGTAAGGTATCATACGATTCTTACCACATATAGGTAATACTTACGAGGTATCAAGTGATACCTGTGAGGTATCAAGTGATACTTGAGTATGGTCATGTTAAACCTAGGAGGTATCATGTCCCCCTTAGTATCATGTTCAGTCTCACCAGGTTTCATAAGTGATACTTTGGAAGGATCATGTGATACCTGGGAGGTATCATGATCCTCATTTGTATCATGTCTGCTATCATCAGGTTTCACAGATGATACCCTAGGAGGATCTGCACGACCCTACTTAGGTATCATGTCTGGTAACACAATCGTATGAATTTCATAGATGATACTTTAGTAGGATCGTATGATACCTGTGAAGTATCACATGATCCTACCCAGGTATCATGATACATGATCCTCAAAAGTATCATTATGTGTGATACTTGTGAAGTATCACATGATCCTATCTAGTATCATGTCTAGTACAGTGGTTTCATGCAAGTTTCACAGATGATACTTGAGTAGGATCATGTGAAACCTGGGAGGTATAAGGAGGTAGGATCAATTGGAGTATAAGGAGTACATCATCCTCCTGAGGCCGCGGCCGGACGCCGCCACCGTCGGCATGGACGATGACGACACGTAGCAGAGATAGTACTTACCCTTCCTCCCCGGCAACACCATCGCCGACGGCAAGCCGTGGCTGGTCTGCTCGTACAATCACGCCGTTGACGGCTTCACCGCTGTCGCCGTGTCAAAGAAGCCCAGCTCCGACGCTGCTTCCAGGACGGCATCGCTTGCTTGTATTGCTGGTTTAAGCAGGAAGGAGGATGTCAACCTTGCGGATCCGGCCATGGCGATGACGCGCTGCGCGCAGCGGCGAGAGCACCCGAGGCGGAGCTGCTGCGGATGCGCCGGGGTAGCGGCGACGGCGACGCGCCGCCTGCGCGGTGGAGGTCAGCGAGGTAGGAGGACGCGAGGGACGACGTCGCCGCCATTCTCTCTCCAAGCCAATCCCTTCGTCTCGCGCTGCAGCGGTGGATGACGCGGTGGACGAAAGGGGATCCTGTCCCGTTCCGATGGGATCCCGTTGTTTAGCATTCCTTTCCGTATTGAGGTTCGAAGACGTATAGTTGCACTCTCCGCTTTCAGGTTCCAGTCTCGCGCCATCCTATCCACCCGATTAAAACTGGACGGTCAGATCAGCAAGTCCTTCCGCTCTCTAGCCTTGCACTCCCGCCCTAACCCTTCTTCCCCGTAACCCCACGGGAAGGCGATCCATGGCGGCGGCGGCGGGTTGGCTCCGGCGAGCGGCAGCGGCGGCGGCGGCGCCTCGCCTGCCTTCAGGCCTTCCTATACTACCTACTCCCCCTCCAGCCCCTCTCACAGAGGCCCAATCGTTCGTGCTCCCGGGCATAGGCACCGCCGTCGCCGGCGGCATGGACCTCATGGCCGTTCCCAAGAAAAAGGTATCCTAGCTTCTCCCCCCACTGTATCTCGTGGTTTTTGGTTTGTTACCTTCATAGTCATGGTCTGGTCGTGGGTCGATGGTGCGGTATGGCGCACCACTGCACCGTGCCCGGTGGAGTGCACTCTAGGTGTTCGTCGGATTGCCTGGAGAGTAGAAAGGTATTATGACCTATGGAATAATGGAAATGTCCTAACGGTGGAACACGGGGTGATAGTGCACACAGAAGATTGCCTCTTTTTTTCTCGATCCATTGCTTGGTAGGTTAGTGATAGATGTTTTGTGTTTTGAGCCCATTCCATTTGGAGCATAATGTCAGCGAGGTGTGGTCTTAGGGGTATGCTTGTTTAAGCTATCTTTGCAACTATGGCAAACAATATAGTTCTCATGAAATTCAGTTCCACTTATAACTGTGACGAAGGCTGAGTTTGTTCTTTCAATGTCTAAAAAGCTCTTTAATTGTAGAGTGTATACTGAAAGATGTTGCCAAGACTAGTGGTAAGTTTTCACTTTTGTTTGTAATTAGCAATGCACAAGTTGTTTGTTATGTGAGTGGATTTGGCAGATGAGTCAATACATGTGTAACTCATCATGATGATATGCAAATGTGATAACTCAGGAAAAATCAGAAAACAAAGATAACCGAGCAAGTAGTCAGAAAATGTCTGGTTAAAGGCATAAATTTCTTGTCACATTTGATATTTGAGCATTTGCAGTTATCTATATGTAAATAGTGATAGTCTTGCGGTGAGATCAACTAATTCTAACTACTAGCATAGTTACTTTTGAATATGTACTTTTTATGTGCTCTGTTGAAGCATGTGCTTCATCTCATTGCCTCAGCAGCTTCAGCTGCTTTTTGAGATTTGAGAATTATTATTTGTTTGTTTCATGTTCCATGATTGTTGCTTCTTGAATGTTGCAGGTCTCAAAATACAAGAAGGGTTTGAGGAATGGACCGAAAGCATTGAAGCCGGTTCCAGTGATTGTCCGTTGCAGGTAAATTTGAAGCTGAAAACAACATGCTTGTTAGTTATTCTGATTTGTTCTGCTATGTCTAAAGACAACTTAGTATTAGTAAATATCATTTTTTTATGTAACAGCATACTTTATTCTGATTGTTTCACTACTCATGTGGACAATTATTAGACTGTTCAGATTGTTGTCTAGCGATACCCTCACTCTTTACAATCTAGAATGCAATAGTATCAATAGCCACCAACTTAGGTTTTAGTGGAGCCCAAAGTGCAGACACAGAAAACATGCTATGTGATCTAGCATCACAAATGCTGTAGAACAACATTTTGGCGTGCATCAGTTCTTCCCAGATGATTCAGAAATTGCGCGACTCATTTCAGTTTCCGGATTTGTCATCCTTTGCTCATTGTTGTTTTTTGTTCCATGAAATTTATTTACATAATTGTTCTGGAGTACCTTTCCATTGTGCTGACGCTGAAAATTGTTCATCTTGAATGGCATGTTGCAAAGTTTATATAACCTGGTATCCTTTTTGTGCCTGTCAGGTGCTGTGGCCGAGTGAAGCTGCCCCACTTCTACTGCTGTAGCGGAGAAAAAGGGAACCCCGGCGACTCAAGCTCATAAACCTGTTCTGTTTCTCCCCAAGTTCAGTCTGCACTCAGCACATCAAGCAATGTCTGAACACTATTCCACCATGAACGTTTTCAGATCTCATTTTGTGTTCGGCCGCTGTTCTGTTTTCAAGCTTTTTAATCAGTGTACACACTTTAAACCCAGCTTGGATTTCAAAACTCCCCTTGTCAAAAACTCAAATGCCACTCGTGACATGAATGGATGCATTCTGTCTGAGACAAGAACCAAATGTGTGCATGTGCCTTGCTAGAAGAAAGAAATAAAGGGCCTCATCTTTTTTTTGCTTATGCTTATGTTTATCAGCTAAAATTTAAATTTTCAACCTTAAATTTGGAGTTGATTTTGGGGTTTTTTAATCAAAGTTTATTTTTCAGCCCTTGTTTTTAGATAGCTAAGAACACGTATATAAAACAATTAAAGTTGTATTCACGAATTATTTTTCGTTTGCCAATATGCCGTTTCGCTTATTCCCTGGTAGAGCCGAAAAGTGTAACAATCCAGCAGCACGGACAGGGGCGAAGCTAGCATCAAAATAAGAGGGGTGCACTACCATTGAGAATCTAGAAAATTTCAGCACATAACTGCACATTCTAGTATTTTTAAGTCCGAAATTAGGAATCTGGCACATAGTATAGTTTCGCCACTGCCGCACGGAAGGTGGGCGAGGAAGACTGGAAGAGAGATGCCAGTTCGAGATGCGGATGCTCTTTCATTTTCGTGCCGTTTCCGGTGCGGTGCAGGTGCAAAAATGCTGCAACCACACGCGCGCAGTGGTGGTGCGGGTTTGGTAGAGGACGAAACCGCGGTCGTTGGCTTGGCCTTGGCTGGCTCGCCTCAGAGCCGCCACCAACTAACCAACCAAAAACTCCTCCCCAACCCAAAAACGCGACGAAATTCGCTGGCCCCCACGCTGCGATTTATGTGGACCGGCTGCGGCTTGGGTGCAGCAGCGAGCAGATAACGAGGCGAAGCGGAGCCAGATTTCCCTCTCCTCTCCTCTCCTCCTACGCGACGCCTCCTAGCCGCCACCGCTTCACCAAATCAAAAGCTCTCGCTGCTCCTCGAGAGGGAGTTGGTGGAGAGAGAAAGAGAGAGAGAGAGATGGCGTCGCCGTCGTCGTCGTCGTCGCTGTGCTCGACCTTCGCCTCGCCGCGCGCCGCCTCCCTCGGCCGCCGCCTCGCCTTCTCCTCGCCCAGGTAGTTACCCCCACCGTTCGCTTCCGAGATTGCGCCCCCTTCTTCGCTGGTATGCGCCGCGGCCGACCCGATCTTTGCGAGCTCTCGCGCTGTGCGTATTACGTCCACATGGTTAGGGGTGGTTGGGCTTCGGGGTACCTCCCGGATTGGACAAAACTCCATTCCTGAACGCCGGATAGCATGTCAGAGTCAAACCTTCTGGGACTGGATGGGTTCATGAGCTTTGAGCTGCCGGCGCAGGTTGAACGAGCTAGTATTGATGCTATTTCTCCCAACTGCTCTCAAGCTGCACCAGTTGACTTGAGGAGTTCATCAGGACGGCATTTCTTAGAACCTTTACTGTTGCTATGATGCTATCTGTTATTTGTGTTTTGTAAGTGATGTATGTATTGCCTAGTCATGATAAAACATGACAACAAAAGGTACAAATGCTGGTTAAACTTAAAATCACATGTTGAGGACTTCACTGCTTTCTTACCTTGGTTAAGTGCTGTGATCTTAAGGTTCTCATTCTGTTTTTCCCTTGATGCTTTGCAGGAAAGCATTCCGAGTGAGGGCATCATCCAGGGTTGACAAGTTCTCGAAGAATGACATCATCGTGTCCCCTTCCATTCTTTCTGCAAACTTTTCCAAGCTTGGCGAGCAGGTCTGTCAAGATTCTACCCTCCATCAAACCACCATGACATGGAAATATATGTAGGAGGATCATTTAGGCTACTATATATTGGAATAATAGATCGATATCATGAGACAAAGAATAGGTTGATAATATATTGTGTGAATAATATTACTAGGTAAAAGCTGTGGAGGTGGCAGGATGTGACTGGATTCATGTTGATGTCATGGATGGACGTTTTGTGCCAAATATCACAATCGGACCTTTGGTTGTTGATGCTCTGCGGCCAGTCACTGATCTTCCGTTGGATGTGCATCTGGTACTTCTTGAGAAGCCTTACTGAAATTTTAGGTATTTATGTGCTGTAATTTTTCTTTCACCCTTGCTAATTTGGCGTTTGTTATCTTATTTATTGCAGATGATTGTGGAACCTGAGCAACGAGTTCCAGATTTTATCAAGGCAGGTGCTGATATTGTTAGCGTTCACTGTGAGCAATCGTCAACCATCCATCTACACCGAACAGTCAATCAGGTAAAGATTGGCATCTTTTACTAGTTAATATTTGAGATAGCTCATCCTCGCTCTTTCAGTCATTCATGAATTAGCATACCACTGTAGAAGTGTGGATTCCTCTCCAAATTGAATCAGTATTTTGTTTTATGAGTTTTACTGGTATGTGACCGGGAGGAAACTGGACTTTCACTAGTCTCCTGTCAAAGGATCATACTGTAATATACTTGTATACTGTACTTTAGGACTACTTACCAAATTGTTTCTTGGATCCTTTATATACTAGATAATGGTTATCGTTTGCTCCTTGAGCTAACCATTTCCTTGACATGGTGATCGGGACTGCAATAAGTTGATTTCTTACCTGTCTAATTCTAGTTGAACTTGAGATATACTCCATATTCATTTTTGGCAGTAATTGCGTTTTTATTCTAAGGATAAAAATCTAAAAGTGACATAGTGGTCTCACATTTTTTCAGATCAAAAGTCTTGGAGCAAAGGCTGGAGTTGTTTTGAATCCTGCAACCCCTCTCACTGCGATAGATTATGTACTTGATGGTAAGACTATTCTCACTCCAATATTTATAGGGTGTTGACACGTGTGTAAATCTATTGATGGATTGATGTCCAAATTCTACTTGGTAGTCGTATGAATTTTGTTATTATTTTCAATGTATCAATCCTAATATTAGTTGTTAAGTGTGATGGGTTGATGTTGAAGGAGCACACATGACATGTTTAGATTATGTTTGTAATTTTGTGAATTAGACAAGTCACTCCTGTTATTTAGTTACCTATTGCAGTTTTTATAAGCATAGCCATAATGCAATTTTAGTTAAGAGTCAAAACTGTGCTATTTCTGGTGAAAATTTGATGAGTATTGACTGCATTCCAATCTTGACTTTCTTGACTATCCTGCCTGTAGTCACTTCGTTTCCTTGGATTAAGCATAATTATTAACAGCACTCACAGTAGAAATTTACATGTCTTTCTCATCGTACGACACTATTATTTCTTTAGTTCATCAATAGCCCAACAGGCATATACTCCGACAACTGACAAGCTACTACATTTGTCTGCGCAGTTGTTGATCTAGTATTGATTATGTCGGTGAATCCTGGGTTTGGTGGGCAGAGCTTTATTGAAAGCCAAGTGAAGAAGATTGCAGAGTTGAGAAGATTATGTGCAGAGAAGGTATATCCTCATTTCCTGCATGTATTCTCACTGAGCCAGTGCTCTAAGCGTGCATTTCATTCTTTTAATAGGGAGTAAACCCTTGGATTGAGGTTGATGGTGGAGTTGGTCCCAAAAACGCCTACAAGGTCACCTGATTTCTAGCTTTCTGTTACTGTTATTTTTTTCACTACTGAATACCAATAACAGTTTTGGACTAGAATTATGGTTCAGTTGGGTGTTAATTTATTGTTTCTTTGAATAACAGGTCATTGAAGCTGGGGCCAACGCCATTGTTGCTGGTTCAGCCGTTTTCGGGGCTCCAGACTATGCAGAAGGCATGGCTTCTTTTCAGTGACATACACATTCAATCATCAAACACTAAGTTCTTAAACATGAATTTCTGACATAGTTTACTAACAGATAGTAATATGCTTATGTTTTTCCTCTTGCAATTTTGCAGCTATCAAGGGAATCAAGACCAGCCAAAAACCTGTGGCTGTACCAGCATGAGGATCCTAAAGTAGTATGCTGTGTACGTTGTTTTTGTTTACCAGTACCGCGGTTTGTACAGATATGTGCCAAGCTGTACGTTATATTGGAGAAATTGAAGGAAGAAGAAAACGTGGAGGGCGACCGTTTTTCTCACTGTCCGCGAAGATATACTACATATTCTCAGTGTCATGTGATACTACCGTGCTCACGAAATTGTTCATAATAAATATCGTTCTTTAGCAAATCCTATAATGATTTACACTTCTAGCATTTGAAATTTATCCACAAATATATGCATTTTTAGAGTACTACTTTTTGCCCCAGTAACAAACATATGCTCCGCACTGGAGTATTGGGTAATGTGACAGTTGAAAATATAGTACTACCAAAATGGTCAGGGGGCAAAAAAAAAAAATCAACACTTGCGAATTTTTTTTTCATAGAAAAGCATGTATTTTGCTTTGGCTATCATCATGAATTAATTGATTGTCATGAACACGAACAGTAAACAACCAGCCCAATTTACATGCTTTAGAAGGGCATTCATATTCTGCATTCGGCAAGTGAAAAATGAATCAATCAATCGCAAAGCGAAAAGGCTGACCTATACAACAGGAGATCAGGAAAACCGGTTAAACGATCAAGATGGACTCTGCCTGCTGTGCTGCTGGCTTCAGTCCACTGCACGTCGCCATAATAACTTGGCTCGGTGAGGTTACAACTTGACTTGACGCTCACCTTACACTGATTGCATCCTTGGTTCGGCTGCAAAATCTTGAATTGGCCAGGCATTCGTGTGGGTTAGCATAAAAGTAATCCTCTTCTTTTGGCTTATTTTCAAGTTTCTGCCGACAGGACGGTTGAACTACACGATTTCTATGAGTTTCCTGGACAGAAGATGCAAAATTGTTCCAAGAGATTGTCTTATTGTTGTACAGATCTATAAATCCAACCAATTTCTGTCGGTCTAGTAGCACACTTCTCCTGAAACCCAGGAACCTGAAATATTGAAATGCCAATAAAAAACTAATGACCACAACATATATCTGATTGCACGCCAACTTTTGGCTACATGATCAAATCATACTGAACTGAACAAGAAGCTTGATTTTCATAAAGAGGAAATCTGGCTGTGTCCATACCTCCGGTGACCTTCAACAAGTTTTGCCATGTTACCATCATAAGTAGGAATGAAAATATCACTGGCTGTGGATACAATGAAGTCAAGTGCAGCCATCTGAGAAGAATGGTTCTGGAATTGTCGTAGAGCTTCCAAGTCTAGCAGCGTCTCCTTTCTTACCTGAAAGATATTCAACACTGTTTATATAGCGAAGTGAGTGAACATTTAGGCAATGAAGTGGTATCCCAAAACATGTGAAACAGTGTTGGCAGACAGATAGGGAAAAAAACACATGCATTGAAATTTATGAAAACTGTACTACAATTATTACCAGTTACCATAACACATGGAAAAGGCAAAAAAAATTGGCAGCATTTTGACTACAATATTGCACTTACAAGTTTTGGAAATGCAGCTTGTAATGGTTCTAATCTTTTTTCTCCCCCATAAATTTCACCGGCAGCAATGTATATGAGAGTGTCCTTCTGAAATCCCAGAGCTTTCAGAATAAAAGATGTCTCCTCAGGTGTAAGTGGGCATAGCCCTTGCAATCTCTTAGCTTGTGAATCAATTTCCTTTTCTCTCCACCATGGATAAGCATATCTGTTTGAGAGAAAAAGTTGGCCTCAGTTGCTTGTGGCTTGTTGTACTTTTCTTACACAGAAAACATTGAGACACTTATCTTAGAGACATAGACGTGCAATTGTGTGTCCATACTCAGCACTCAAGAATAAGATAGCAATTGACTAATTTGACAATATTAAGAATAAATGAGTATTTTTCCTTTTTCATTTCATTGAAATGAATCCACCATAAAAAGGAGAGAAAAACTAGGTATGAAAATGACGATTTAATAGACTCAGAGTGATGTTTTATAAACTCAAATAATCACCAAAAAGGTAATACGAGAATGTTACATAGAATTGTAGAAGACTGTTACACATAGTATCTATGACATGAACAATCATTTCTAGACGAGTTAAGGGGGTATAGATAACATCATTAAACTATTACCCCTTTCATTTTAAATAGATGTTGTTTTGAATTGTGTGTAGTCAATGACATTAGTAGGTACATAGGCGAAGGAAAAAAGGTCCAAATCGTCATAGCTCTAATATTTTTAGTGAATATATGACTAGAAAAAGTAATGGTCAAAGGTGCATATTCGAACCATGCAAATGTCCTATAAACGACATAAGAAAAAATACAAAACCATGGAGAGTGAGAGAGTGTGTGTTTTGGTTGAATAGGGGGATGGTGTTTGCCTCCTACTACAACAAACGACATAAGAAAAAACGGAGGGAGCAATGGAGTGTGGTATTTCCTCTTATATGCAAGGAACTACTTGGGTCAATATCTGAAAGGCTACATTTTGGTATTTATTAATATATATATAAGAGCACAAGATGGCTTTTGACCTCATTCTTTTGAGCTCTTCAGCTTCTTCTTGAGAAAGACCATGATTGCAACCAGAAAAGGCCAGCATGTCCATCTCATAGCGTAAATGCAAGGCTGCAAATGATCCCTTGGCCTGAAGTTTCTGCACCAGTTTATTCCCCAAGGCCTCAATTTGAGGGGTGAACTTCAGTGCATGAAAATTAACACGGCACCTAAGTAGTTGAAGCTGTGTACTGATACCATTGTTTGCTAACCGAGCATCCGTCTTGTTAAAATGGATGACGCTATATTTGCTGAATAATGGTAAGATCTGCATAGATAAGATACCATGAAGAGTATATAATATATAGTAAGCATGTGTCAAGCAAGATATATGTACAAACCTGATGCAAGTAATATTTTTCATCAGACCAGCTCACAGGTGGCATATTAAGTATATTGTTTGAATCCTCTGGACCAAACCTCTTCGGAAGCTGTTTAACAATGTGCACTTCATCTCTTAATGTGTCAATGAAATGTTTAACATCAAATATATCTTCAAAATTGCTGCAAAGTATTGCAAAAATATCGCACATTTCAGATATTAACATGGTAGGTCCGGTACATAACCTATCCTACAAAATGAAAAATACCTTTGATCAGCCCAGAATGACCTCTTGTCTAGTTCTGGGACAACCATTGTAAGGTTTAGCAAGCGAGCAACCGCCACCATGTCACATATCTGGAATATATGGTTTCAAAATAACAGAAGTATAAAAAAGTGAGAGACAATATAATACTGAGCAGCAAAACTAACTCAAGTAAAAAAAAAAACAACTGACCTCTGAACGCATCTGATTCAAACCCCCATTGCAAGATACCTTCAGATAACCATTACTCTTATAGACTCCTAAAAACAAAAAAATCAAGTTAAAACTGATATGCCCAAGTGATGATTAATGCTGCTTCTTAAGTAAACATTCAAAAAAATGAGGATGTCAATCAGCTAGTGCATCCATTTATGTTCTGCCGTGACTTCTAGAGTGAAAACCATTTTTCTCATCAATCGCAACTGTACTTGAAGCAGCCGCTTCTACAACTTCACTAACTTACTATCGATTTGGGAAAGGGCAATAACAAGTTCATCCACATTTGAATCCAATACACTTTCATTTGTACAATTCTACTCATCCCTACAGAATGCCACCAAATCCATACACATCAAAATTCAAAACTGAACAAAACTTAAATCAAACTCCGCGAAGAAATAACTAAACAAATAAACAAATAAATAAGACACGGAGGAGATCACGCACTTCGAGGCGGAAGCGCGGTGGGCGGAGGCGAGGGCTCCGCGTCGCCGGCGAGGCCGAACAAGGCGAGGAGGCGTCCGACGGCCACGAGCTGCCCGACGAAGGCCCACAGCAGCACGGCGCTGCACCCCGCCAGGAGCCAAACCCTAGGCCTCGACCTCGCCATCGCTCCCCCACCCTACATCCACCGCCCCCTCCTCCTCCTCCTCCTCCTGATCCCCGCCACCGGCATTGGCAGCCGCGGCAGCAGCAGCTCCTCCTCCGCCTCCTGGTTCGAGAAGGTTCCAGAAGATTCGGGAGAGGCCTAGCTGCGATTTTTTTTTTCTTTTTCCGTTTGGCGTAGATGGGCTAGTGCCGTTGTGGGGAGGGAGGATTGGGGGCGAGAGCGTGTGTGCGCGCCGCCGCCGTTTGTGTGTTGGCTTTGGTTTTTGGTAAAGGATCTGCTTGTCTAGTTGTCTTTCGTACGAGCGGCGGCGATTAGTCCAGTGGTGGTCAGGAGGAATCCACACATGAGACATTCCAGACATCTTTAGGGTCCAGCATGTTTATTTGTTTAGTGGAGTTGAATAAAAGGTCATATTTGGCATTGCCACTTGGAGTATTAAATCTATGGACTCTTTGAAACACAGTATTGTCAAAACAAAATAGAAGAAATAATACATGATTGAAATGCCCTGGCAATTTAAATTCTATGGATTGTGAACATGTAGAAAAACTACATAAATGATTGTTTCGATGGAGAAGGAAAAACACAAGAATTATAAGAGATATAAACAAAGGAAAGGAATTGTGTTTTCAAATAAGTTGAACCTCATGTCAAAATTTTTATGTTTTGAGCCAATCTTAAAGAATTTCATAAGATATTTGGATGCCTATTTTTTTTGACTCAAAGGATCGCAAAGGAAAGTTTTCCACTGAATTGAGTTCCTTCAAATTTTCTTCAAAAAACTTTGTCCCAAAGGAGTACTGTTTAAGTGAATAGTACTATAAGGTAATGTAGTAGCATGGTGAGAAGTGTAAGGATTTATGAGCCGAGACAGCGGGCAACAATAGCTAATGAAACACATCTAAGAGCGAATGAAAATGGAGCACACTCGGTTTGTTGCACTATAATTACGTCGCAACTAACTACTAAAGGAAACAACACAGTCGCTGTCGAGCACAACAGGAAGCCTAGCTGCAGCAAATGCAGTCGAGCGCCTGTGAAAAAAGAACATTATAGAGTATTTACTTAACCGCTGTGATTGCTATTGGAGAACAAGGAAAAGGAGACTCAGGCATGAGAAAAGAAACTGATAGATGCGTTAGACGTTAGTTCTTTAGACTTTGGTAAAGAAAGTGTAAGGGGTTTACAAGATTTAAAGAGTACTGATTAGATCTAGATTTGGTAGCCTCAAATATAAATATTTTTTTCTTATTTGATTTGAGATAATCATACTGTCAAACTTTCCAAATTCCGAGCAATTTAATATTTGAAATTAGCTAGATTTGTGTTACGAAGACTATATCGTTGGATTTATATTATGACATTACAACTTTATTGCCAATTTTTAATATGACACTTAAAAAACAATGATCCAAGGGTAAGTTTTATGGTGGAGGTGGATGTCACATCCAATTTAGACCATGTTATCTTCTCATTAATTAAGAGGTAACACATACTTCCTCCGGTTTCATTTTAATTGACGTTTTGGACAATAACACGGTCTACAAAATATATGTTTGACCTTATTTTTCTATTATAATATATATAATAAATAAATGCATGTTTACTTTTATTATAGTGTTTTGAAAAACCAATCTATATATGTTGTTCTAATTTCTTTAAACTAAGTATTTTTAAAGTTATTGATGGTCAAAGTTATAAAAGTGTGACCATAAGCTTATCTAAAACGTCAATTAAAATGAAACCGGATGGAGTACAATATATCACATTTAATACACAAACTCTAATATTAGTCCATTAATTAAGAGGTAACACATACAATATATCACATTTAATACACAAACTCTAATATTAGTCCACTCTCACATCATCTTGCACTTTTCTTGGAGATTGTGTAGAGGTTGCCCCTTGCATGAGGGGTGGCTCATTCTCTCTCTCTCCTAACTACTCTCCTCCATCTCATCATCTAATCATATGTGGCAAATTTAGGGGTAATATGTACGGGCTTAGGGCAACAGCAATGTATGTGGTCCAAGCAATCTATATGGGTGGGCCTTTTGGTTGATCCTTTTGTTCTCTCCACATGTACTCTAAGGTGAAAGATTTCTGCTGTGCTTGATTCTTGTACCATGTATGGGCTTTCTCCATAATCATGTCTTCAAAGTACTCACTAGTACATGTATTTCTGACTTGAGCATAAGCCCCACAGAACTTTGCAATATCCCTCTTGACATTATCCCAGTGTGTCTTCATTTGCTTGACTGTCCTTGTATGTGCATTTCTAGGCATATTGCTGTTGAACTCATCAGCTACATCCTTCCAGTAATACTCTGACTTCTTATCATTTCCATCTACAGAATCAACTGAGTTGTTCAACCAAGCGCTAACAAACCGCAAGTTTTCTTCTTCCTTCCAATTGGTGCGTGGCGCTCTCCTCACTCCCTCTTCGCTGCTATCACTCAACTCTTCGATGTTAAGTGGCTGCTTCTCTTGCTGTCTTGTAGTTGTAGGGCAAGGAATGGATGACTCCGACCCATGGGAAGAAGTGTTGGCAGCAACTTCAACTGAGGTGACTTTGATGTGGTGCAAAGAGTACTCTGTTGCTTGCAGCTCCAAACACTTGATTTGGTGAGTTAGCTTGTATCCAATTTCCTTGACGTTGAGTAGCTTGAAAGCTTGGAGGAGAATAACCATATGGTGGGTAGTTGCCTGGGGCACCAAATGGGTAGAAATTATGTAAGAAATTTGGGTTGAAGCTTTGGGAAAACTGAGATGGGAGAAAACGGTTGGGGAATTGTTGGGGAGGAGAGTTGTAGTGCCTAGAATTTTCTAGGCTTGGAGATTCTTGATTTAGGAGATTTTTGAAACTTCTGTTGGATGAATCCATGATGAAATGAGGAGGTGTACTATGAAGCTCTGTCTATTTTGTTTTTATAGGCAACATGGAGCTCAAGCTGTCGAGCAAGTTTTGTAGCCAACATAGAGCTCAAGGCAACGGTAACTTCAACGTCCAACCTTCAACCAGCATATATCTGCTGCAGGGTCATGGATCAACTGCTTTTGTTTTTATATTCATTTCCAAACAGTGAACTCAAAAAGTAATATATTGTATTCTCTTGTGGGCAAACCCATAGCCATATGGACTACTTTAGCCATTAATGCTTTAAAGGCCACATCTACATTGTATAGAGGCAGCCCATATAGGTGTTTTTATTGTATAATGCCCGCTTTTGATTGATATTGTGGATGCCCTTTCTTATAGTACTTGCCCTAGCCCCTAAGTTGTGTCTTAGATTTTAAAAAACATGGAAGAAAAAGGAGTTGAAGTGGTATATTCACTAATAGAAAAACTCAAATGCCACTAGGCTCCTCATTTCGGCGACTAAACTTTGGGTGTGTTTAGTTCACGCTAAAATTGGAAGTTTGGTTGAAATTGGAACGATGTGACGGAAAAGTTGGAAGTTTGTGTGTGTAGAAAAGTTTTAATATGATGGAAAAGTTAGAAGTTTGAAGAAATAAGAATGTGTAAAACTTTGCAGTTTTGGTTTATAAAGTTTCAGCATGAAATTCTGAATGTGTGATGCTAACCGCCTAACTTAACCATTTGTGTGGAATTTTTCAGCGATTGTTCAGCACTTCATCAGCTCCGACAGTTCAAAGCTCTGAACCGATGGAGCGCAGCCAGACTCCGCGATGACGCCGCCGTCGCCGTCGATCTCGCCAGGTGATCTCGTATCCTTCGCCGGCAAGTGCTCGACGAAGCGCAAGCTCCGCCTCCTCCACGGCGCCCTCCTCCGCCGCCGCCACCTCCTCCCGACCGCCGACGCCGTCGCGGCACTCGCCAAGCTCCTCCGCTTCGCCGCCGTCTCCCCCGCCGGCGACCTCCGCCATGCCGCCGCGTTGCTCTCCCTCCACCTCCCGTTCCTCTCCTCGGCCTCCTCCCACCTCGCCTTCTTCTACAACACCCTCATGCGCGGCCTCGCCGCGTCCTCCTCGCCCGCCGCCGCCATCGAGCTCTTCTCCGCGATGCGCCGCGCGGGCGCCGCCCCCGACGCCTTCACCTTCACGTTCGCCCTCAAGTCTTGCTCGCGATGCGTGTCTCAGCGGCGGTTGCCTTCCGACCTCCACGCCCAGGCGATCAAACACGGCTGCCTTGGCGCGGGCAGCTCTCACGTGCATGTCCACAACGCGCTGCTCCATGGCTACTCGTCTCGGGCTGCTGTTGGGGACGCACGCAGGGTGTTCGACGAAATGCCTGCTCGGGATGTGATCTCCTTCTCAGGGCTGCTGACTCTTCACCTCAAGGCCAACGATTTGGATGCCGCACGCGTGGTGTTTGATCAGATGCCTCACCGGGATGTTGTTTCTTGGACTGCCATGATATCCGCGTATGCCAGGGCACGACGTCCGCAGGAGGCCTTGGCATTGTTTGATGCAATGCCGGTGCAGCCAGATGAAGTGACCATGCTGAGCGTTGTGTCAGCATGCACTGCACTCGGGGACCTTGCAACTGGGGAGCGTGTGTGTCAGTATGTTGATTCCAATGGCTTCGGGTGGATGGTGTCACTCCGTAATGCACTCATGGACATGTATGCCAAGTGTGGGAGCCTCACTGAAGCACGTAATTTGTTTGATGGCATGACCGTGAGGAGCTTGGCATCTTGGAATACATTTATCTCGGCATATGCATCGCATGGTGATGTGGAGAGCACAGTTGCTTTGTTTCATCGGATGCTGGCTGATGGCAAATCTGTGAAGCCTGATGGGACGACACTGCTTGCAGTTCTCACCGCATATGCACACAAGGGCTTTGTTGAGGAGGGGCGTGCCATGTTCAATGCAATCTTGAGTGGCAACTATGGTAAAGTGGACCTCACCATTGAGCACTATGGATGCATGGTGGATTTGCTTGGTCGGGCTGGGCAACTTGAGGAAGCATACAAAATGATAGAACAAATGCCAATTCCAAGCAATAGTGTGGTCTGGGGTGCTTTGCTTGGTGCATGCCGGACACATGGGGATATCAACATGGCAGAGCGGGCGGTCCAGAAGCTAAGGAGCCTGAACCCGGAGGAGGGTGGGTACTACATTTTGCTCAGCGACATGTACGCTGCTTCTGGACGAACAACAGAGGCCATGGAGATCAGACGGATCATGAATCAGGCCGGGGCCCGAAAAACTGCAGGCCAGAGCAGCTGGAGCACACCCTGTCTGCCTCAGCCGTAATTTTTCCTAGGCTGCATTTCACCTGCTTTTGCCCTTTGGATCACTAGCATAATCAGGTATTGTCTCTTACTGCAGGCCCCCTGTTTGATGAACTGTGAAAGTGTGAATCCTGAATCTGAACTGTACAGGTGCTGTATGCTAATGTGCTATACTTGCTATCCTACAAAAGTGGGCCAGAAACGCAACAATCATTGTGGAGGGAATTGTTTTTTGAACAAATTTTGGAGGGGAAAGATTTCATCATGGCTCTTTAAGAATTCAGCTCCCCATGTATGCTATCAACTTATCCTTTCAAAGTTCATATGGCAAATTTGAGTCAGTGGGTATTTATTTGCAGTTGAGTTATTGGGACAGTGGCCTGAGCATGTAGTAGCAGTCTATGTGACAGTTCTCTCCACAATTGCCAATTCCTTGGGTCGACAGTACTTAGTACTACTTAGCGTCTTGGTTATGTCAACATATTATGGTTTGGAAAAAGGGGTTTTCTTTGGCACTGTAGGCATTTCATCATATTTTTCATGTTTACTTGATTCTCCGAAATATTCTTACCTGAATTCCTTGCGGTAGATTTTCAGCTTAATTTGGTAACATGTCAATTATGCAATCTCTTAGATTCAAACTTGTCAGTCTGTCACCTCTGGAGACAGCATAGCAGTCATTTCATGTTACATAGGACTACAACACCACATGGGGCTGATGTCTTATTATCTGTCAAAATCCATTATAATGAATTTCATTAAATTACAGTTGTCATTATTTGAGTTTTATTACCATTTTCTGCATAAAATCATCCAGGGAACCTTTACACCTTTTCTGAACATAGGAAAACTTGCACTTGTACTATGGAATGCAAAGCTTTGAAAAACTGTTACATGTAAACCTTTTTCTGTTCTATGGGGATTGTACTGACGTTTTGTAGCATTGTGATATCCACTTAAAACCAGTATAATATTTAGCAATGTGCACGGTTGTAAATCTTCTTTGAATGGATTTTTCTATTCAAGTTCATTCTTTGGAATTAACTGGTCTTACTGTTCAAGTGAATTTGCTACTCACCATTGTTCTCACTCTGTCACTGATGTAGTAAAACATGTTGTTCGATTACCAAGGCCTACACTTAGAATGGACAAAATAAAACCGCTTGCTCATATGAGTATATATACCAGTCCTCTCTGTTCTTTGTAAAATCTGAGTGTTAATTGGGACTCCATATTGCATATTATCAATTGATCACTATATTGAGTATATTCTTGTTGAGCTGCTTTTGTGTCTTGGCAGACTCTTCATACGTTGCATGATAATGTGCACAAGGGCGCTTATATTGGCATATTGATAGGAGCTCTGGTACAGGATCAGCATGTTGAAGCTGAACCAGACGGCTCGGTCCAGAGAATCAGTTGTTGATGAAGCTGTGCCCACGGCCACGGCTCAAAACAGGTATGAGAAGTTCAGCTTCAGCACAGTATGCTAACTTACCTCCTGCCTGGACAGTAATCAATACATGAATAAATATGCACAATTAACGAGAGAGAAGAAAAGGTTTGAATCATGTCGAGAGTGAAGAAGTATTGTTCCATAGCAGATTCTGACTCGATATCTTCTGTGAAACTTGAATTAACTTGCATGCTCTCCAAGAAACTGATGCATCACAGTAACACACAGCCACCAATTCACATGTTTCCAGTTCATTTTTCATCAAATACACACTATTACTATCCTATCTACAGAAAGGCATCTCTATCTCTAACAATTTGCTGCTGCTATCTTGGCAGGAACCCGTACTGCGAGACCGGAACCTCGAACGCCATCATCTTCTCCCCTCGAGCAAACCCGTTGCGGTCGTAGGACGAGATCTCGGTGATGTCCAGCTCCTTGCACGCCCTGATGAGCTCCTCCCCGACCCTCCCAGCTGCCTCCTGTCACAACAAGCCAGCCAGCTCAAGATATCAATACAAATGAGCAGTTTATGTCTAATTACTAGGTGAAATTCTTGGAGGCGTCGTTTAGAAGTCCTATTCCTTTAGGGTGTTGTGTGCTTATTTTGTTTTAAGTAGTAGGATCAGACGTAGACGCGTGGTGTGGTTGTATATTTTCTTTTTCCTGTCTATAGTCTCCCAGGACTGTAGGCTTGTATTTTATTCCTTCAATAGAAACATCGCACTATCTTGTGCGGGTTGTTTCAAAGAAATTCGTGGAGGAACGGAGTGGGCGGCGTACCACGGCGCCGCAGGGCGGGTCGCCGCAGATGGCCTTCTGCAGCGTGCTGCCGTAGAAGAGGATCTTCCTGTTGTGGTCGTCGACGAGCATGGCGTAGAGCTGCCTGTTGGAGCAGAACACGGACAGCCTCGGCTTCGTCGCCGTGCCATTGAACTGCAGCGCCGGCGGCAAGAACCGGTACATGTTAGCAGAAGGGCAATTGGTTTGTGCTGCATGGTGAGCCAGATCGGAACGAGCCGTACCTTCTTCTGCAGCCTGCGGTTCCTGACCTTGGGGTTCTCCTTCCTCGCGCCGTGCCTCGCCGTGGCCTCGATCCTCGGGTACGAGCGCCGGCGCCCGACTCCGCCGGCGCCGCCTGCAGAAGCCGGAGTGAAGAACTGCACGCCAGGCGAGCTGGGAGGGCGGCAGCACGCCGGGCGCGGCGAGAATGGCAGCCCGGGGGCCGCGCGGAGCGATGCCATGGCACGCCCACGGGTGGAGACCTTGGCTAGCTGCTTGGGGTGGGCAGGCAATCCGTCGAGCAGGTGCGGCGCGGAATCCCGGTGGGAGCTGCTACAGTGCCCGAGATTAGGATTTAGGAATGGGATTTGTCCTCACTTCTGGGGCCCCACCTGTCACCTGACAGGTAATACAAGGCTTAAGCAAGGGTGTAATCGCAAAATTCCCCCTCGAGTTTATTCTTTCCGTATCCATTTTGTGCTCTCATCTCACCATCTAAACCTCGATTAATTTCAAACCCCCGTCAAAAACTACTCACGTAGTACAACTACAAGCCAACCCGCTGCAAAGCTTTGCCCACCATTTCCACACCCGCCCAAAGCTGAGCAACGCACGCGCGCGCGCATGGAGGGGCAGTGGGGGCGGTGGCGGCTCGCCGCAGCAGCAGCCGCCTCCTCCTCGGGGGACCAGATCGCGGCGGCGTGGGCGGTGGTGCGGGCGCGGGCGGTGGCGCCGGTGCTGCAGTTCGCGGTGTGGGCGTGCATGGCGATGTCGGTGATGCTGGTGCTAGAGGTGGCCTACATGAGCCTCGTCAGCCTCGTCGCCGTCAAGCTGCTGCGGCGGGTGCCGGAGCGGAGGTACAAGTGGGAGCCCATTACCACTGGGAGCGGCGGCGTCGGCGGCGGCGATGGCGAAGACGAGGAGGCGGCGACGGGCGGGCGGGAGGCGGCGGCGTTCCCGATGGTGCTCGTGCAGATCCCCATGTACAATGAGAAGGAGGTGAGGCGTTGGAACTCTCCCTTTTCCCCCCTTCCACTGCTGAATTTCGTGATCGATCAGTGTACGATCCGCTTCGGAATCGGAAGCGTGCATCCAAATCTCCCAGCGATGGTTGGACAGGCTTGCTTAATGCTCTAGCGCTTTTTCACTTTCACATGTGACATTTTGCGAGGCATTGCTTCAGCTCTCGTTCTTGTTAATCCGCAATGCATTGCTTCGCAGCTCTCGCTGTTGTTAATCTCTTCTAATTGTGTGGCGCATTTGCGCTGATATTTTAGTCTGTTGATTTAGAATTTGTTCTTCCGAGCCTCTGAATCAGCCGCTGGAATAATGGCTCGTGGGACCCTGTCTGTGCTCAGATCAATAGGACTTAGTTACATGTGGGGTTTTGTTTTATCAATATAGCGACATAGCGTGCCCGCTAGATGCTACCGGATGAGGGCCCACATTGCGGGCCTTGCAAAGCAAACCAGGTTGCAGAACTGTTTTGTAGTTCAGCAATATCCAGGAGCTAACTAATCCAGGAAATTATTGTTAAGGGCAATTTACAATCGCCATCTAATGGGTTTAGCATTCTGTCTATTTGGTGGAGATGTTAACTAAGACTGCGCGTTGAATGTTAGTTGTTTTTGTCTGACAAGCATCCAAGTAATGTTTCAAAGAATTTGCTAATTGGTTTCCAGCATGTGAAAATGTGATGCATCTGCCATTCTTGTGCAGGTGTACAAGCTCTCTATTGGAGCTGCATGTGCTCTCACGTGGCCTCCGGACCGTATTATAATCCAAGTCTTGGATGATTCCACTGATCCGGCCATTAAGGTAAGTTAAACTTCTGCATACATGCTTAGTTTTCTCCTTTACTCGAGCCAAGTATTTTCAGAAGTCATGCATGGCAAATTGGCGGTGCAAAGGGCTTAGATGAAGAGACGGTCCATGCAATGTTCATGTCAAACAAGTAGCTAGTTCCTCATAGTTCTTGTTGCTTCCTTTTATGGTTTACGTTGTTCAGTTGTGGAGTGCAGAAGGATGATGGCTCATAATCCTGTGGATTAACCAAGTACACCCCACATATTTCTGTGAGTTGACCACGCAGAATAGAACGGTTGATGATCTTAGTGTGACCTGTATTTTGCCTATCTTAGATATATAGTACATGCCCAAAATTATTTTCCCTAGATACTCAATTGCTGGTCTACTCATGATTGCTAGACATGTAACACAACACAGAGTAGTTGACATAGCTACCACTTGTAGACCTTTATTTAACCATAATATCCTAAACTGAGGTCATTGACAGGATAACCACAGGATCATACCACTTGCAAATTAATAACAATACAAATGCGTGATGAAGTTAAACATGCTAAAATACTGGGTTCACAAAGCTTGTGCTTACTATTATTTATTTGCAATGATATAGTTTGATAATTCAGCTTGACAATAAAAATTGCAGCTGTAAGCTGATCCCATCATGTGAAGTACTGGATAATCTATGTTCAACATTGCACATGTTAATTACTGCAGTTATTTCCTATGCGGTAACCAAGGAGGTTCTTTCTCTTTTTATAAAATAAAAGAATTCGTCGTTCTGCTTAATAGTTGCAGCTGTGCGTTGATTGCATTATGTGAATCAAAGTAGTTCAACATGACATCATGAAGTTTTACTTCATGCGCTATAAGGTTACTTTCAGGTAGATGAAGATTGATCAAGTGTACTTATGTACTTTCACTGCTTAGAAATCCACAATCCATCATTATTTTCTATTTAGAGTTAGAGCTTAAAATAGGATTTTTGTTTCTTTACTTAGATTTTGGTCAAATGCAGGATCTAGTGGAGCTTGAGTGCAAGGATTGGGCGAGAAAAGAAATTAACATAAAGTATGAAATCAGAGATAACAGGAAGGGATACAAAGCAGGAGCCTTGAAGAAGGGCATGGAACATATCTATACCCAACAGTGCGATTTTGTTGCCATTTTCGATGCAGATTTCCAACCTGAATCTGATTTCCTTCTAAAAACAATACCATTTCTTGTGCATAACCCAAAGATTGGTCTGGTTCAGACACGTTGGGAGTTTGGTAAGCAAGTATTTTCATTGTTTCATTCCAACCTTGTGAGGGTAGTCAAATTAAATAGGGGTGCTTCAGTTGTTGGTCTGATAGTCCGATTTATGTTTCTGTTGAATTGGTCACTCAACTGTTATATGTACTGTTTGTCTACTAAACTCTCAGATCATGTTCATCAAGTAGACTGAACTATGAAGAGCTTATAGCACTAAATGAAAATGAAAGGAAGTTTATTGGAAAAAAGGGCACATCCAATGTTGCACCGTTTTAAGTTATTAAAAGTAAATTTGGTCGGGTCCCAGAAAACCCATAATTTGGATATAGATGTTAACGCTCTGACACAATTTGTTCAAGTTTTCAATGGGTAATGTGGTGTCATTTGGTTATTTTAAGTGAGATTTTTTGTTCATTCTGATTACAGGCTGTTCTGCCCTGGCCTTTGCTGGGCAATTTTGCAGTGAACTATGATGTTTGCCTTATGACAAGGATACAAAAGATGTCACTGGACTATCATTTCAAAGTAGAGCAGGAATCAGGCTCATCTATGCACTCATTCTTTGGGTTCAACGGTAAGATCCAATATCAGAACTACTTACATGAACTTTTCATGCCTGGTCCTAACATCGCTGATCTGCCTACAGGTACTGCTGGTGTGTGGCGGGTATCAGCTATTAACGAAGCAGGAGGTTGGAAGGATCGCACAACTGTGGAAGACATGGACTTGGCTGTACGGGCAAGCCTCAAGGGATGGCAATTCCTGTATGTTGGTGATATAAGGGTATGTCTTTGTGAGGATTGTATATGTTGATCCTTTGATAAGCATATATGAATATTTTACCCTGTTTTAATAATGAATCTTGATCAGGTTAAGAGTGAACTCCCAAGTACCTTCAAAGCCTACCGACATCAGCAGCATAGATGGACTTGTGGTGCTGCCAACCTCTTCAGAAAAATGGCAACGGAAATTGCCAAAAACAAGGCAAGCCTTCTTCAATGACAGAATGGAACATGTTACGGGATTGTCATGCAATAATTTCTTTACCCGGTTATATGTGATTCAGGGCGTATCTGTATGGAAAAAACTTCATCTACTCTACAGCTTTTTCTTCGTAAGGAGGGTCGTCGCTCCCATCCTGACCTTCCTGTTCTACTGTGTTGTGATTCCGCTGTCTGTCATGGTCCCTGAAGTCAGCATTCCTGTCTGGGGGATGGTCTACATTCCCACTGCCATTACCATCATGAACGCCATCAGAAATCCTGGGTAAGAATGAATTCTCCCTGCAGAGAACGTCTATCAATCTGCCCATCAATTTTCCAAGATTACAGATTTTATCTAATATATACCAGGTCCATCCATCTGATGCCTTTTTGGATTCTATTCGAGAATGTCATGGCCATGCACCGGATGCGTGCAGCTCTAACCGGCTTGCTCGAGACCATGAATGTCAATCAGTGGGTGGTTACTGAAAAGGTTGGTGATCATGTGAAGGACAAGCTTGAAGTCCCTCTTCTTGAACCATTGAAGCCAACAGACTGCGTCGAGAGGTAAAAAAAAAATTACTTACGATCATATACCAGTTACCCTCTGATATCAGAGCAGTGAAAAACTGAAAATCCATGCCTGAAATTACATGTCTGTCTGATTTTTCACCCTTGCAGGATTTACATTCCTGAGCTTATGGTCGCGTTCTACCTCCTGGTATGCGCGTCTTACGATTTGGTGCTCGGGGCCAAGCACTACTACCTGTACATCTACCTCCAGGCATTTGCTTTCATTGCTCTGGGATTCGGTTTCGCTGGGACATCTACCCCCTGTTCATAGCACAGCAATACATCATCTTCACTTCCAAACGATCCATTCTTCCCCAATTCATGATTGCATCCTGTAACTACAAGCAATTCTTTTGTAAATGAAAAACAGGACAAGCTCTCACCACAAAAATCTCACCTGTAAACATTCCAGTTTTTACCATTGTTGTATGCATTTTCTACAGCCCCTGCAGTGCAGGTGAGCTTGATGTGTAGATCTGAGGTATGGGCCTGGACCAGAGCCCATCAGGCCTAATCACAGGTCATGTGAACTTGTGAAGCTCGTATCTATGCATAATGCAAAGAACCCATCACCCATCTATGGCTAGTTTCTTTACACATCGCTGTCTTCCAACTGAACAGAAGCAAACTAAGCTGGAAGACCAGGCAAGAACTCCCAAACCTTTTGCTTTCATGCCAGAGAGAAAAAATCTAACTCCAGTTGTTGGTCTATATACGCTTGGATTGGATTTCTCTATTCTTTTTCTTTTCTTTTCTTTTTGCGGTTTCGATTTCTATACTTTGTTAGTTAGATCGCAGCTGTCTACTTGTTACAATCGCCACTTGTTCTTGCGATGCTAACTTTTCTGCAGAGGCTTTCGTCTTTCCACAGATGCCTGTGATGTAAGTGACCCTCTCGTTCTTTTCCTTAGCCATTCTTTTCTCTTGTGTCTTGTCCCACGAGAGCACAAGAAAATGGGAGAAAAAGGCCGACCAGTTGGGGCCTGGACGTGACCTTCCTTTGTCACGGCTTGTGAGGTACAGTGCCACTGACAAGTAGCTCAATCTAAAAGTCATCTTTTATTTTGTTGCACGTATCATCGATACGAAACACTCATTCATCCTCTGTTTCTTACACGTGTATTGGGCCTGTGTGAAATTTTGCCAGTTAGGATAATCTTTTGTATTAAGGCACCTCCAATCGATCTTGGAAGTTTGCTACTTCCAAAAATCTCGGCTTTGGTACCAAAAGTTCCCCGTCAACGCTTGACACGTAGGAATCAAAATATGAGACAATCCCACGTATGCTAACTGACCGACCAAACTAAGTTTATCTCTTTTTTGTCCCAAAATAATGTATACATATACGTCTCTATACGCACTCACATGCTTACCCCCACCTATACCTATATGAACACATCGAGAGAGACTAGACCGTCACCTAGTTATTAACCACTGAAAAAAAATAGATGTGAAATACGAGCAACCATCATCTCGTGCTTCGATGAGCAATTTCCATCACAAGAAACCTAATTGATTAAGATACGTTTAGTTCGAACCAAGAGCCTGTTTATGATTGATAACATTTTCAACCATAACATTATTTGGTAAAATTAATAATTATGTAGTCACGTTTAGTTTATTACCAAATTTTGGCAATATGTATATAATTTTGGCAATATTATAAGCCAATCATATCAAAATTTTGCCAATGTTGCCAATTTCCAACATCAAGTTTTTGATACTTTCTCTTTGGTGCATTTTTTTATGGAGGAACTTTGACGCAATTTATGAAGAGCATATATATATGAGTAGGTTAACATCTACCTTCTTAGGCGCACACGCTTCACAGTATTAACAAAAGATATATGGTTGATTTTACATGTAAGATTCACTAATAAGACAAATAAATATGTAGCCGTTGCAATACTGTCTAACAGAAAGAGAAAGGGACATATTTTTCATGAAATATATGTACTGGGATTATAGAAATTTCACAGGAATACAACAGGTTCATATAATCAGTGAAACAGAATAATGGCTTACTTTCAATAGAAACACAACTTTTAACTTTGAAAATTCCGCTTTCACCTGACAGCTTTCAGTTAAAATTAAAAAGATAGGCACCTAAAGTCTATTTATCCTGAAAATGAGGTGCGGGCATGACTATATATGACGCGCTAGCCATTGTTAACATGCATGGCATAGGTAACCGTGGGCATGGCTAATAATGTAAGTGTGATAAGGTGCAATGGTAAGTATGAAACCAAAGGTGCACTAATTCCATCATGTAAACGTATGCAATCTAATTTCCAAAGGAAAAACATTACGACCAAAATTTTCTAGCCAATGACCAACATGAACTACTAATGAAATTAACTGACCTTCCTTCCAAGCAGCAGCATTTTTTAAGTTTGAACACAGGAATTGACAAAGCGAAAACTAGCACCTGGGTTGCCAACAGAATAAAAACTTTTCACCCATCACATCGAATATTTGGACACATACATAAAGTATTAAATATGAAAAAAAAACCAATTACACAGTTTGCGGGTAAAATGCGAGACGAATCTTTTAAGCCTAATTACGCCATGATTTGATAATGTGATGCTTCAGTAAACATTTGCTAATGACGGATTAATTAGGCTTAATAAATTCATCTCGCAATTTTCTGGTGGAATATATAATTTGTTTTGTTATTGGACTACGTTTAATACTTTAAATGTGTGTTTGTAAATCCGATGTGATAACAAACCTAAAAATTTTTCCCAACTAAACAAGGCCTATGTTAAGTATAGCTATTCTCAAAAGGTATTTCGAAATGGGCACAGCAAGAGGGAACTATCAAAATGCACTTTACAAGTTAACCAAACAAGCGTATACAACAAAAACAACGCACACGAGCGGTTCACACAAGAGCACGTATAGCGGCACAAAGATAAATCCAGGAAGACTAAGCCTAACTCAGCAGAGTCAGATTGTACTACACCACTCAATTTAAGTAAACTTCGGTCAATTTTCTGTTCTTAATTTTTGCTACTAAACAGAAAAACAATAAAAGGGTAGGGTGCTTATTGGAGGGTTTAATATTTCGTTTTCAGCATTCTGTATCGGGGGGTGCCGAGATACGGAAATTTCAATCCAAAAGTATTTGAATTTTCTAACCAAATTTGGTTGAATTTAAACAAAATATTGCCAAATTCACCAAAAATGAAAAAGTTTAAAAATTCCAGCCCAAATAATATCATATGGGGGTTCCTACAGAGCCGAAATTTTAAACCCTGGTTTACTGTACGATAGCCCTGATCTCATAACGGAGATACTCCCTCGTTCTATATTATAAGTCTGTGTTCGGCAGCCTGTGTTCCCAACACATATCCCTCGTGTTCCGCGCGCATGCTTTTCAGACTGCTAAACGGTGTGTTTTTTTTTAAAAAAAAAGTTTCTATACGAAAGCTGTTTTAAAACATCATATTAATCTATTTTTCAAAAAAAAAACTAATACTTAATTAATCACGTGCTAATGAACTGCTATGTTTTACAGGCGCAAGAGATTTATCCCAACTCTTAGGAATGTCTTATCTAAAAAGACATTCCTAAGTTGTTTTAGGTTTGTCTTACCTAAAAAGATTTATAACATGTGAGTACATAACGGAGGGAGTAAATTTGCTTTTGATCTTTTTTTCCCCTTAAAGGATTATAAATATTAGCCCATTATTTCCTGTAATTAGTCATACCTTGGGTTTAAATGATAAAGTTAGGATAAATAAAGCCTGACCTGAAAATATTAGCCCATTATTTCCAGTAATTAGTCATACCTTGGGTTTAAATGATAAAGTTAGGATAAATAAAGCCTGACCTGGAGATTAACAGAAAGCTGAGTTGGAGCAGACTGTCACCCACTCTGGCATCCACAGGAGATGTTTGGCAGCTTGTTGTACAGTTGAAGTGGAAAATAGTACGCTATAACTGGAATATGTTCGGTAGCCACGAAAATTAGCTTATTACTAAACTGAACAGTTAGCATGAAAAGACATACTAGACTTTCGTTAGCTAAAAAGTGCAATCATCCCAGGATGGAGCTACATATATAGACATCAGGATAACAAGTCTCCACGGTCCATGCATCCCAACATGCATGTTTGTCTGAAGTATACTTCAGTATTGAACTTAACATCGAACATTTAGGATGTATTAATAGCTCCAGTAGCAGGTAAACTTTCACCTGAAACAAAGAATCTCTGTCTGATACTAATAATTAGCCTAACTAGGATTAATGAGAACTCAGTATAGTCAGTGCAACAATAACAATCAAGTTGCAAATATTGACAACCACATCACGATCAAATTGTCCTTCCCCTGAAGGCACAAATCAAAGCCTGAATACACGCAAAGAATGAAAAGAAACCAGCTGAGATAATGCCACTGCAAGCTGAAAGACATTACCAACAGTCCAACACTGTCATTTTCTTTGTCTGCCAGCCTGAGGAGAGGGAGCTACACCGTCTTCAGACACTCAGAGCCACATAATAAAAGATGGACGAATTTTAGCAAACCTCCGTCCTACTATCGTTTTGAATTTTTGTTTGTAACGTCTAACTATTCGTCTTATTCAAAATATTATGAAATTATTACTTTTTTTTACTTACTTTATTATTAAAAGTATTTTAAGTATGACTTATCTTTTTTATATTTGTACTAATTCTTTAAATAAGATAAATAGTTAAACGTTGTAAGTAAAAAGTCAAAACGATATCTAATTTGGGACCGAGGGAGTACTAGCATGCCCCCCATAGTGTTCTTTTAGAGCCTATAAATTTCCCATGCTTCAAGCCGAAAAGAAAATAGCTGTAGCTTCCCTGGAAAGAAAAATAAACCTAAACTCTCTCTTTTTCTTTAATAGTAGAGCACAACATGGGAGGTCCCCACTAAAGTCTCAAACTCTCTTAGCTTAAGAGCAGCAGTTTTCTTTTTTTAAAAAGGAGAATTTTTAGAGGAATTTTGTAGGATTGGATTAATTATTGTAAAAAGCATGTGAATTTCTTGCATTCGAAGCAAGCCTTCAGTTTCCTGGTGGTCCAATATAATACCTAGATAAGGTGTATGTAGTGAATTTATTCCTAGGAGAATGTTAAACCAAATTGGTCCTCGGAAAAAAAGAATGATCATCTTAAAGTATGAACTCCAAATATGCCCTAAACTTGCGGCACAAGCTGAGTTTCAGTCGTATCACTGTAGCCCAATCACGACATATTATCATCTACTAAAAGGAATTCCCATAACCGAATCGCTGATCATGCTAGACAAACACTCCGATGACCAAAAAGACTACCAGCCAAGCGTTTTTTACACAGCAGCAAAAAAAAAAAATACACTTGCTTCTCATTACTCACAGATCCAAAAATGAAAAATGAAATAAAGAAAGAACAAAAAGAAAAGGAAGAAAAGAAAAGAAAAGAAAAGGAGGAGCATATCGTAGGTGTGCATGTCAGCAATGAAGGATTTGATTGCCAAGTAAGGCGGGTTGAGAGGGAGAGATGGTGGAGAGAATCAAAAAACCGCACCCCTGCGGCCACAAATCCATCTTGTGGCTCTCCACCCTCCTCCGTGGGCCCCACCACCTCCACCCCCCTCCCTCCCTCCTTAAAACTATCCCCAATCCCATCGCCTCGCTTGTGCGAATGAAAAGATTTCAAGAAATCCAACCAAAAATCTCGCGCTCTCCTCTCCTCCTCCTCCGCATGAGCTCATCGGCGTTGGCGTTGGCCTGTCGTCTCCGGGAGGAGTAGTGCAGGCGGCGGCGGGGAATTCCGAAACGGAGTTTGTTCGTTTTGGAGCGGAGTGGTGAGGTGAGTCGTCGAGATGGGGGAGTGCAAGGTGGGAGGAGGAGGCGGAGGCGGAGACTGCTTGATCAAGCTGTTCGGGAAGACCATCCCCGTGCCAGAGCCCGGCGCCTGCGCCGCCGGCGATGTTGATAAGGTTGGTGTGTTTTCTGGCGATCCTTTTTGTGTTTTGTAGTATCGTTTTGAGGGCTTGAGAATTCAAGCGATGTAGTACTATGTTGTGATCTGGTGATGTGGCGATCGGAATTAGCGGTCAGTTCGGGATAATTCGATTGGTTTGTTTTGCTTGGATAATGGGGAGTGATTTGATTGATTGATTAATTTTGGCCATTTCTTTGGTTTGAACATGATAATGGTGATCAACCGGGAGTCCATATATTGGTCGTGACTTATAAGGTTGTATATTAAATTGTTAATTGGTAATTAAAACGGTATAATCTTGAGTGTACATACATGCCTTATAAGTCTGAGGTTGGTGTGTTTCTTTGACTTTCTTATTATTTTTCTTTTCATTTTTGGGGATATCAATGTGAGTAGGCGTGTTTAGTTTCCATTAGCGAAAGAATCCTTCAAAAGTATCTTGTTTTTGCTTCGTTTCCATGCTTTCCTTAGATAGTATCAGTTAATAATACAGGAATTAGCTATCTGAAAGATGGAACCTTCTTGATGAGTTTCTAGACTGTGCAGACTGTTTCAATTAGGCCTTTTCCTCGGCCTTCCATGTTTTTTTTTTCTTTTTTGGATGAAAGCAGAGCTGCTTCTTTTCTTAGCCTACAGTACTACAAAAGTTTAGAGGCATATGTAACTAGATTTAACCAACACAAATTGCACAACTTTATTTTCATTTCCTAAGCTAGAGATCAGAACATGTGGCCTTACAAGCTATCAGTTACATAATCATATCCTCCAGTGTTTTACTAGATCAACTGAACAAACTGAAACAATGAACAAACTCTGTCACAGATCTTCCTGGTACAATAACCTGAACACAAAACTGTCCATGTGGGCTTATAGTTTCCAACTGAACAAAATTGCAAATTTAACACCCAAAAACTCATCAAGTTTCTTCACATGCTTGCAGGACCTTCAACACAGTGGCAGCAGCACGACTGAACCGAAAACTCAAGAGAACACCGTTCAAGACTCCACAAGTCCACCTCCGCAGCCAGAGGTCGTCGACACCGAGGACTCTTCAGCTGATAAGAACTCATCAGAGAATCAGCAGCAGCAGGGCGATACGGCCAACCAGAAGGAGAAGCTGAAGAAGCCTGACAAGATCCTGCCGTGCCCCCGGTGTAGCAGCATGGACACCAAGTTCTGCTACTACAACAACTACAACATCAACCAGCCGCGCCACTTCTGCAAGAACTGCCAGAGGTACTGGACAGCGGGTGGTGCCATGCGCAACGTGCCTGTGGGTGCAGGCCGACGCAAGAGCAAGAGCGTATCGGCCGCTTCCCATTTCCTCCAGAGGGTCAGGGCTGCTCTGCCCGGTGATCCTCCTCTCTATGCCCCAGTGAAGACTAATGGCACCGTTCTCAGCTTCGGCTCCGACCTGTCCACCTTAGACCTCACAGAACAAATGAAGCATCTAAAAGATAAGTTTATCCCAACAACCGGTATCAAGAACACCGACGAGATGCCAGTCGGTTTGTGTGCTGAAGGATTGTCGAAAACAGAAGAATCGAACCAAACGAACCTAAAGGAGAAAGTTTCAGCAGATAGATCTCCAAATGTTGCACAACACCCATGCATGAACGGAGGAGCCATGTGGCCATTTGGCGTGGCACCACCACCTGCTTATTACACTTCAAGCATTGCAATTCCATTCTATCCAGCTGCAGCAGCTGCTGTTGCTGCATACTGGGGCTGCATGGTTCCAGGAGCTTGGAACGCTCCATGGCCACCGCAGTCCCAATCCCAATCGGTTTCATCATCAAGTGCTGCTTCTCCAGTATCCACAATGACCAACTGCTTCAGATTAGGAAAGCACCCTAGAGATGGTGATGAGGAACTGGATAGCAAGGGTAATGGCAAGGTGTGGGTGCCGAAGACGGTTCGGATCGACGATGTCGACGAGGTGGCCAGGAGCTCTATCTGGTCGCTTATTGGGATCAAGGGTGACAAGGTGGGAGCAGATCATGGCAGAGGATGCAAGCTTGCAAAGGTTTTTGAGTCAAAGGATGAGGCAAAGGCATCAACTCACACAGCGATCAGCAGCTTGCCATTCATGCAGGGGAACCCGGCTGCCCTAACACGCTCGGTGACCTTCCAAGAGGGATCTTGACTTGAACAACGCCTTGGAAATTTTTATGCTGCCTTCTGCTGCTATAAAGACATAGCGTGATACAGCTGAAATTTTGTACATTAGAGGATTGTAAAGTAGGTATGGGAGATGGAGTGTCAGGGTGTATAACTTAACATAGCTACAAGCAAGCCCAGTAGCTGTATTAGATAACTTGTACATAGCTATGTGGGTTTGAGAAAGATAGGGAGAGCAAGTTCCCCTTATAATATGTAGATAAATAATATAATGATTTGAATATTTAGATCAAAAGGATTTCCTTTTGCAGTAGTATCTGAATAATTCGTCGCTGTCTGATTCCAGTGTATTAAACCAGTCCCACTGTAGCCCTGGAAATGTGATACTTTTCTGCATATATTCATCTTGTTTCCTATTTGTCTATTTCTTTCGGTATCAGGATTGGCAGAGACAGCAGAAACAGTATCCAAATTTTCTTTGTTCCCTTTATCTATATATCCTTTTGTTTCTCTCTCTCTTTTCCTGTGTTTCTTTCTACTTTTCAATTGAGATAATTGGATCGTGAAAGTGATGCAAAAAGTAGGGAAGGCACGAAAGAAAGCAAGAAAGCGATAGACAACTACTGGATGTCCCACTGACCTTAAATGTGAGAGCGGAATATATGTTATCTCCTTCACACATACTGCCGACTGTCCCGCAGAAAAAATCTAACCAATAAGAGAAGACGAACACAAAAAATAAAGTTTTAGGTCCGTGCAAATTTCCATGTGATTATCTGATTGGTGCACTTCAGTACTCAGCATGCGATCAGAAAAAGAAACATTATGTTCTGACAAAAGAACAATAGTTTCTGATTAAGCAAAATGTGATAATTACCATAGAATAATTAAGAACAAAAATGATAAAAATTCCATTCTCCATAAAACATTAAACTTCGAATAAACAGTATCAAAATATGGAAAAGCTAGCATGCAGTAATTGGTTCAGCTAGACATGTGTCTGTAACATATACAAATTTGTTTACATTATTTATTATTGCTTATATAAACATATTATGGATGGAAATGGACGAGAAGCTCTACCAATCATATCAAGAAACATATTACTGGTAGATACTCCTAAAATAAAGTCTCACATGCATTACAGAAAACATCTAAGCTTTGAAACGTTTTCAATACATGCATTATTACCACCATTCGACCTGCCTTTCACTCATTGACATCTGGTAGTGCCACTTCCACTTACACGGTTTTTTGAACGGAACTTCCACCTACACCATTGGCCAGCCAACTTACTAAGCCAGCATGTTTGACCTTAAATCAAAATTCCAATGTGCACCTTATTTCTAGTCTATATATTGCCAGGGCACCTTTTTTTTTGTCACCAACTCCCTCGGGAAAAAAGAAACAAAATGAAAACTTGGGGACACGTAATAAAAATTTGAAGGAAAAAATATGATTAAAGATTTTCTGACTAAGCATACTTATGATGATTAATCTCTGACCTTTATTCCTATTTGAGCAGCCTTCTAATGGTGTGAGGGCATGTTAAGTATGCAACTATGCATGTCGAGAAATATCTCATATATGATAGAACGTGACAGGAAAGTAATTAATCGTATTTTTCAAGTATTGGGTATGTATCATCTCTACCCTTGTGACTTTCGGCAGTGGCATGAAACAAATGAAATGACCCCTTTTGACATTTGAAGGTCAAACCCAATAAGCAGTTCCCTTTTTGGTGTCTACACACCAGTCACCAGTGGCAACAGAAACCTTAAGGACAATAGCTTTAATAATAAACTTTTGTGAGTGCACTTTCCCATCAAAGGCAAGTAACGCAAAGGTTGCACTAGAGTGCTGAAGTGACACATGGTCACTAGGAGAAACCTATTTTCTAGTTCAGATTAAATTTTAAAAACTCATCATGCATGCTTTTGCATACAATTATATGTATGAAGTCAAGCTTAATAAGAAATTTTTAAAAAGACAAAAAGGAAAATAATATGATAGTGAGATTTCAGCCTACCCACCATCGGGAGCATGATTAGAGCATTGAGCACGCCATCCTCAAAAACAGAAAACAAAGTATGCCGAGCAAACAATAACCCTCTTGAGTGTTTGGCTGCAAGCCTGCAACTGAACAAACAGAAGACAGTGAATTTCCATATTTCTCCATGAATGAACCAAAAAAAAAAGAGCTCGTTTCGATCTTATAATATTAGGTTGTATATAATCATTCGTAAAGTTCTTGTGGATCTGGAGGCATCAGATGACCTACACAAGATTCTAGTTAGTTCCAAGTAATTTCCACTAGGTTAGGCTTTTGATGATAGTACCCAAAACTACAACAGAATTTTTTTGTTCACAAAATCGAGTGGTTCATGGTTTCCCCATGTTTTCAAATAACATATCAAACAATTCAATATTCAGCTGTAAAAAGGTGTGACTTACATATTACTTAGTCACCTTGTCTGGTTTAAAGGTGGCTAGTACCCAAACCGTTACCACTGGTCTTCCCAAAACTCTGTAGCTAACAGTTAATGATTATGGGGATGATCATGTGATAATTCTTTTTAAAAGTAAACTAAAATTTATCACGTGAGATTTACACCTAATTTCTAAACAGTCAAATATATGTGGCATGTTATTATTGGACAGTAAAACAAAAATGGTGGGTATTAAAAAATGATGACTACTGAAAAATAATTTAATTTACCATTAATACATAAACATATGGAGAAAATACGAAGCGACTTGTTGACTTTCTTAGTGTACGAAGCATGGATCTTTTCACACTTAGAAAATGACAAGAATACTGTGGGTTTTTCTACAGTACTGTATTTGAAATGGTAGAAAAATATGGCATTAATTGCAATGGTCTCCATTTAAGATACTGTTGACACATCATAACCAGGTTTGAATTTTCAAGGTTGAACAACAAAAGTAAAAATGTAAAGATTTCTGAAAGTACCAAAGAAGAATAAAATATCAAGATCTTACCAATCATTTTCGCTTCGGTGGCATCATCATGGCTTAGATCTGGATATTGCATCATTTATGTGTAGCAAATTAAGATCATATATCCCCATGCCTCCTCATCCACACATGTATGAGTGGATATAAATGTTAGCTCAATCAATTTGTGTGGAAAATTTGCAGTATATATATGCAGAAGTGGGAAGAGATGGCACGAATGTGATGTCACATTTAAAACAAATGCGTCGACACATGTTTACACTGACCGCACTTGGAACTATGGTATGTAATACAAAATAAAATATGCCTTAAATCAGGATCCGTTAAGTATGCTAAGATGACAAAATTCATAACATTCCTGATGGTCAATCCTTAGAAAATGGATGATGAATGCCCATAAAGCTGGGAGTATACATATTTGGCACAAACATCAGCTGGGATTTTTCCTATCAGATTTGAGGTAGGCAGGCAGCCTTTTGAAACTGATTATCATCACTCTTCAGACGTACCCATCGTCTTCATTGGATTCTGCAACCACCTGAATCTGGCCCTCGCCTAACATTCCCATATGCAGAGAGTTCAAGAAGATCCATATCACGTCCTGCAGATATCAAACAAGTTACTTAGAAAGTTGGGTGATTAATTTTATGATCAATGATAGCTTCAGTAAAGGTGGAAAACTCAAGGTAGCCATACTACTCACCTGAGACCCTACAATAGGCACTCTTCTGTATGAGCTCAGATTTGGATAACTCTGTTTTGTTCCCTTTAGACCGGTTTACAGTAGCCTGTGGGAAAGAACCGACCGTGTCAAATGAGAAGGCTGTGCATCACAATTCACATAGGATCACATACTACTAGCAATGTTTTCCAACAAGATAACACACTACAGACAAGGTTTCATCGTAAACAATTTACGATTTCATTATTTCATCAATGCTCAATAGTAACAGGAAAATCATGAGTAACTTCTTTGTGACTGAAGAGAGGCGCAAATGTGCAAACAGGTGGGCCATCGGCATTACATAGGAAGCTTGTTTGTATCAATTAGTTAGAACCAGGTAGCACTCCCCATTACCTCACTCCGACAAACAATAAACTTAGCACAATTCTGTGTATGCACAAGTACAGTGGAGTGATCGATCAGGGTATGGAACTATAGAGACGCATGTACCTGCAAAACCTGGCAGTTCTCCAATGTGCTCTTCCCACCCTGTCCATTCAAAAAAGGATTAGTAATGCAACGCGTCAAATAAAATCATGTTCTAAGTTCTAACTAAGAACAGTACAATTAAGCGAATGAAAATGCAACATGAAGCACTGAAATCTCCCGGGGCTTTCACATCATCAATTCATCAGACATCAAAGTAAGAAAGTAGCAGCGTTACACGAACTCATTCATCAGTGTTGGAGTTGGGGTTTGGGACCTTGGAGTAGGGGACGATGTGGTCGTAGTCGTGGCAGAGGCATCCGGGGCAGCCGACGAGCTTGCGGAAGACGACGTTGCCGAGCGCGTCGCGGCGCCACCTCTCCGGGTCGCGCCCGGCCACCCGCTCCGCCTTCTCCCAGCACCGCTGCTTCACCACGTAGGGGAAGCTCCGCGGCTCCGACGACGACGCCGACGGCCGCGGCGCCGTGAGGAGCAGGCCGTCCAGCTCCTCCGCGACCGCGGCCACGGAGGCGGAGGAGGACCGAGGGGAGGTCGGCCGAGGCGTGGCCCCGAACAACGGCGGCGAGGGCGGCGCGTCGTGCCGCCGCCGGCGCAGCGGCTTCCTCCCCACCATTATCTCCCTATCTCCTCGGATTCGATGGTTTTTTTTCTTTTTTCTTTTTTTCCCTCTCCTATTTGGATTTCATGTGAGACTTACAGGTGGGGCCCACCGGATAGGATCGCCGTGGAGGCATTTCGTCGAGCAGGTTGCATGCTCGACCAGGACGGCGCCGCCGCCAATGATCTCAAATCTACCAAGTGAGCTTCGCCGCGTTCTTCGAGGAGCTCTCCCGTTGCAGTTCAGAAGCTACAGGCAATCGAAGATCATGTGAGTTGATGGCGATTTTTCTTTGTTTTCGGGCCACTTTGGATTGATGCCAATATATGCCATGTTAATTTTTTGGTAGTTTGAATAGTAAATATGATGGTTTGGTTCGAAACCAAATGAATGGTAATGCCCATATTTAATTTGGTAGTATAATTCTAGAATTTTCTGCATCATAACATAAAATTTGGATTCATGTGAAACCATGGGTGGTTTTAGTTCTTTGTGATGGGAAATTGACAAGTACCGGAAGTGTAGGAAATGTGTGCGTGAACTAACATTGGTCAGGTTGCGACAGCTGTGCCAAGACAACGGTTGTTTGGTTCATGTGTGTGCAGGTGATCGGAGTCCAGATGGATGCAAGGGTGGAGGTTGCTCCTTTTGTAATTCTTTTGAGATGCTCGGTGAGAGAGTTTCAGTGTGAGTTTGGAGTGTGTTTGCCCGAGAGGCTTTTGTATTAGGATTAGTTTGGAGTGTGTTTGTCCGAGAGATTTTAAGTTTGTGTTAATGTTCCTCTGAAGGTGTATGTTTGCTCCTAGTTGAGCGGTTATTTTGCATCACCTATGAATGAAATGATTTGAAGGATTTCGTTTTTGCCTTGTTCATTTAAATTCCGCTTGCAATTTGAACTTTGCGATGATGAGTTTTGCTATCTCCTCCTCACCTCTCTTCTAGTTTCGGGAATTCCTTTTCTCTTTCTCTTATAGTTTCGGGAATTCCTTCTCTCTTCTTTTCTAGATCCGGCTTCTCTAATAACCGCGGTTCTAGTAAGGATTTTGAGAAATCCGGCTTGATGAGTATTTTCGGGGGCAAGATTTGAATTGCTATATTCACCCCCCCTATAGCCGTTCTTGATCTTTCAATTCCAATTGGTATTAATCCAAACATATTACTTAGAAGTTAGAACTCTGCCCTACCAAATTATTGTAGTGCCAAAATATGTCTAGATTTTGACACTACTAATGTTTTAGTAGGGCACTAAACCAAACAAGCCCTTCATCTCATTTTCTCTGTTACTCTGTACATTCTAGTGATTAAATGGAATCTGTTGAACAAGAAAGATGATCTATTTTGGGCATCTCTAGTTAACAACAGTTCTTTGACTGCTGTCCTCTGTGCTTAAACACACACTAAATTCAAGCAGAATGTTCTGCCTGAAGGCTATATAGCTTTCTCGTCAGTATTGCCTAATCATGCCTACTCTTCTGCTAACTGAAGCATTCGACAGCCCAGGCTTTGATGTTTCCCAAACAATCATTGTACCCGTGACTAACATATGAGCAGATTTTCTTTGGACAAGAAACTCACAGAGAGCTGAAGATGATGTAAAGCAAATTATCTTCCTGTAGGCACTGAAGCCTGAAGACAATGTGTAGTGAACTATCTTCCTAATAATTAGGTCAGACAGTTCTGTCAAATTGTCCAAACTCAAAAAGAAAGAAAGAAAAATCAACCAAAGAACCACATAAATGACAGATTTTGCAGTGTTATCTCCAGATGTTACAAAGAAACGTGATGAGTAAACATTATATCATCTTTCTTCCTCGCCCCAAAAAAAGGCATTATATCTTTCCTCGTGATAGCAGAAACAAATCCAAATCAATCATGCCTCTGCAACCGTACAAAAACACAAGATGCCATTTATCCTTCAATATATTACAGCTTTGCACCTCAATTCGCAAGCAATCTGTGCCACTCATAAATAGTTTTGTTCTCTGAATGACCAAAAGATTAAGCATCACGACGAATATATTACACATCTTGCTAGGCTTGACAAAGCCCAAGAAGCCTAATCTAAAAATAAGCTGAGTAGTTTGCACTGTGACACAACAGTACAGCCAATAGCAGTAGTTGACAGTCCTTCTTCAGGCCTTAATACAGCACTGGAAGTAGCTCAGAAACGTCCTCCTTCCCTGCATCAGAAGTTCCAGTCAGAAACTCAGAGGCCACTAAAATCAGTTAATGTTACACAGAAGAATGCAGATATCTGCGGAATTAGTTTTTGCGCATAAGTTCATACTTGATGCTAAGTTTTATTTCCAAAAAAATGATGCTTTGAAAGTACCTGCATCTCAGAGTATGTAGAAGAATTGAATTGCAACTCAGAATTTTACATGTCAAATTGTCTCATGGAAAGAACTGTGATACTTTATTAAATACACTTATTGACAATTAATTTCTCCAGTTCCGCAAGCAATAGCATAATCAAATACATATTTTTTCTAAGACACCACCAACCTGTGGCAGACTTTACTTAGTTGTTAGTCACTAAATCCAAGTGTTCCCGTGGGTACTTTGCATCTTTTTATTACGTGTTAAGAGTTGCTTATCTATCAACCGATTCAAATCATTATTAGTTCCTTCTAATCATCTTTCGGCCACCAAGATGCTTAATATATTAATTGGTTGTACTCTGGACTATGCATAATGCATATCAGTACAGGCTTACAGCCTTTAAAAGGCAAACAGATATGAGGATATCATGCATTTGATTTACAAAATATGAGTATTTGTCCTTGCCAATCATTTGATCGAAGCAGTGCACTATATATGTATATGCATAAAGCTGGAATGGCCGGTGATATGACTTCATATATACTCCTATTCGCCAACCCACCTATAGCTGTTGAACTGACTCCACTGTGCATGCTGATCCAGTACAAGGTTATAGGTCACCACCTCTAAATTGTTTAAATATATGTATTAGTTGATCAGCTAACTGCTTACCCGTGATTAATTCTAGTAATTCAGGAGACGTTAAAACATGGTATTTTCTAAACTATATGTCCAATAGCTTCTCAAATTTTCTATCGTCTGTCATTCTTCTCCCTGTTGACATCTTACAAGAACAAGCTAGAGCTGCCTAGGTAAAATAACCAGGCAAATGCAGTTACAGAATGGCTGCATCAGCTTGTAACCTTCTCCTCTCCTCGGATCCTGTCCTAGCCTTCTCTTGTTACTCCAGGGAAAAAAATGTCTAGACATTAATATTTGCATGTTGATTCTACAGCTCCAGGACAGCAGTACTACTAATCTACTGTACTGCAGTAATGCAGTCTGCACATTCAAACGCTCTCCACCGTCCACGGTAAAAACAATTCATGATCCATGCCTTGGAATAAGAGTTTGACCGACAAAGCCTCACGCGGTTGCTGTTCTCTAGCGTAGGGATTAAGAAACATGCAAAATTATTTACAGTATTATCTTCGAAATCTGTTTCAGTGTTAGGAAATGAAGCTTCTACAGTGGTGCTGCCCTCTGAAAGTGCTCTGCTTGTGCTTTGTTTTTACATGCCACAATGCTAGTAGTACTACATTTCAAGAACTGGATTTGTCCACTTGTTATTTTTTTATTTATCCCCTTTCCTTTTAACAATTTGACTTGTACTACTATCAGTTAAAGCCAATCTTGTACTGGTCGTATCAAACAAAAGAAAGATCAAATCTTTGCACTCCATGATTCAGCTAAAGACCGCACAAATCGAAAGACAAAGCATTTTTACGATCCAGAAATGAAATGGGTTTTAATGAGATCATGTAAATCCTCATTGACCGTTAGATGACATGACAGTAAAGTCGTGACTTAATTCCAAGAATAATAAAAAAAAGAGAATCAAATCAAAACCGGGTAGGCTATCAGGGCGAATGAGCCTTACCGTCGGCGAGCCGTGGCGGCCATGGAGTTGCCGGTGGCGGTGGTCGTCGGCCGGCCGGCCGAGGTTGGCCTTGGCGGGCTTCTGCTGCGGCTGCGGCTGCTGCTGCTTCTGCTGGGCGAGGAGGTCGTCGTCGCCGCCGAGGCTGGTGCGGGAGAGCTCCTTCTTGTTCTGCTTCCGCATCTCGCGGATCTTGGAGAAATCCATGGAGTAGTCCGGCAGCGCGCCGTTCTTCATGTCCCAGTCCCCGAACGCCGGCACCGTCATCCACCCGTTCCGGCCGCCCGCCGCCGCCGCGCCATGCCCCTGCTCACACACGCGCGCAAGAACGCAGCGAAAGATTCAGACAAGAAACAGCAGGAACGAGAAGAGAAGAAGGGTTCGTTTCAGGGAATTGAGATGGAAGCCGTTCTTGGCAGTTTCTTACCCCCTTGATGTTCTCCATGGTGGTTTGCTGGATAATGATGATCTCTCTCACGCAGCCTCGCAAAACGCAACTGATCTCTCTAGATTATCTCTAGAATATCTTCTTCCTCCTGGATGGCAAGCTGCCAAGCTGAGCAGTGCTCAACTTGTCTTGGAGGTGGTAGCGAAGAATGTGTGGCGACTGGAGAGAAGAAAGCGATAGAGCTGTACTTATATGTTGACGAAGAATGAGGAGAAGAAAAAAAAATTGATGTTTGCGCAGCTCACCAGCTGGTCATGAGCTAACAGTACTACTAAGTGATTGCTTAAGAGTTAATCACTCAGCTTAACAGCTGAGATTAGAAGCTGCATTACTGCTCTTCGTACACCACGCGTCCCCGAAGGCCCGAAGGCTACAGCTGGTGATGCATTGATGTGTGTGAACAGTGAAGCTGGGGATACTAGGATGGGCCCACTTGTCAGGTGGGCCCGTGACCTACCCACAGCTTCTTCTCTCTTCACATCACACGGCATTACGCTGCGAAAATTCAGTGGATCGCAGCTCTAACTCCTTGCTAATTGGGGGCGCCAGCGAATGCGTCTTTTTCTTGCCCAACTCACAAGCTTTGCAGCTTGCAAAAGAAAGAAATGCTCATGTCCACATCGGTTTCCTAATGCATTCTCCCTTTCAGATTCATGTGCAGGTTTCAGACAGATTCTTGGTTTTTTCCTGTGTCAATTCTAGGAGAAGAGAGCACTGCGAAGCGAATTACCAAAAGTGTAATGGCTGGTATTTATCATCTTGATAGCCTGTCAACAGCAAACGTAATGAGTGTATATGTTCTGATTGGAAAGATTTCCATCATCTGAAAATGCTGGATATGCATGTAAGCAATATTCTTCAGCAATCATGCAACAGAGATGGCCTTGATTCGAGCATTTGTCCTGAGTCCTGACACTTCTTCTCACAAATATTGGTGATGAATTCGGTTGTAAAGGTTGTCAGCCATTGTTTGTTGGGAACTGAATATGCTTAGAGAACACTGTCGTTTTCAGAAATGTATATTGGGTGTTTTTACTTCCATAATGACACGTACCGCTACAAGTTAGTACTACATGAAAAATATTGCAGAAAGATTTCCCTTTGGTTGTTAGGAATCTTTTTGCTCATTATTGAGGAGCACTTTTGCAGCCCTCAAAAGTGTTCATCTTCAACAAACTACTATGGTTGGCATCAACTAAAAAGTATAACTTCTCACTATATCATATACTTATGATGCTTATCTCTCATTTCTTATTTACATGTAAGTACATTGGTGTCTCTTCTCATTATTTCTTATTGATCTTTCTTTTTTTTCCATTTTTACTATCATAAGAGGGGCGAGCTTCTATAAACGTGGGGAACTATGATGGGAGATCATAGTGAAGCTCTGAGGCATTTTGGTGTGCTAAGAGTTGCTCTGGAGTAAGAAAAACATATAGAATGATTATACAAGTTCGGTTCTCTAGCTGCATAATATCCCCACTCGTGTGATTCATTAGAGAGACTAACTTTCAAGCATACGGTAAATTAGGGTTGGCTCCTATGCAAGAGGAATTAATATTTCATGTTCATTGTGATTGTTGGGAGATAACTTAAATGGGATTGCAAGCGGACCTTTCAGGTCAATGCGGTAATATTAAAAAAAGTGAGATTTTGACTCCCTCCAACTATTTTTTAAGAATAAATTGTGAGTTTGTTGTTATTGAACACGGGACACACTCATTATCGAGTGTATCTCTTGGTAATGTATCGATAATTTATATTGCAGTATAGTAGAGACTAGGGATAAAAACGGATCAGAAACGGACGGAAACTAGCTTTATCATATTCGTTTTCATATTTTTTTTCGGAATCGGAATCGTAATCGAAAACTCGGATACGTAAATGAAATCGAATATTATCGAATACAGATACGGAGCGAATACGAGACGGAACGAATACGGTAACGAATATTTACCGGTATATAAAAACCTCTCAAATTGAGTTTCTTGATTAAGGAAGAGATATCGCTTATTATTTTATTTCAACATCTCCAACATTTATATCGTCAATTTTGTAGACGGTCCCACAACCGTATGTGAAAATCGATTTTCATGATTGTTCCTCTAAGAGAGCCATATACAAATATGATTATCATTTTCTATTCCCAAGACCTTTTACTAGATGTATAACTTACTTACCATTGTATAAATTGGAGATATTATTTATTTTACTTCACATCTTCGAAACTTGTAATGTTTGTATTATACTTTAAATTCTTTCAAATACAAATGTTATAAACTACAAAGTGGTAGATCTCGTTGAGCCCTACAATTTTAATATGGAACACATCTCCATCAGATATCGTTTGAATGGTAGATCTGAGATTTTGTAAAAATTAATATGGTATATTATAATAAATATTTAGACCCTTAAATGACCTCAAATAATAAAATAGTCAATAATAAAGTTGTAGATCTCATCGAGCTCTACAATGTTGAATATAAAATTTGTCTTCATCTGATTCCGTATGAAAAAGTTATGTATATATACGTGTTTTTTCTAAAATTTGCTCAATGTCTGTGGATATCCGAAAAAAATTCCGGATAATTTTTGACCGTTTTTCGATTCCGATGGATAATACCCTTACTATATTCGTTTTCGTTTCCGAGAAAAAAATATCCAAATTCGTTTCAGAATCCAAGAATTTCCGGATAATTCCGACCGAAACTATCTAAATCCAAAAAATGGTCCGGACGGACGAAAACTATCCGAACCAGTTTCATCCCTAGTAGAGATAAATATAGCATCTTTGATTTCTTTAATGAAAACATCCAAGTTATGATTGAGGATAAGGAAGGTCACCAAATCGACAGCAGCAAGCCCCGGTGCCACGTCCTCTCGTTCTTTAGATGATTTCTCCTCGTAAAAATAGTTTATGGCGATGGCGATCGGCAGCCATGCTCCTTTGCCTAAAACAGCGATAGCTTCATTGCTGGCTTGCTGCATTGCTCGCCGAAAGTCAGGTGCCACTACTCTAAAATCCCTTCTGAAATCAACCATTATACTCTAATAGAAGATTAGATGATATTCTATTTCTGCCTGTCACCGTTTTGTGCGTAAAAGTTCGATTTTTTGCTACTGCTTCTCCCATCCCATAAAAAAAACTTATACTAGATGTGACACATCCTATTACAGTACTACGAATTTAGTCATACATATAGGGCAAGTTTGGTTTGAGGCCAAAACGGACCTTACCAATATTTGGCCAAAGGTACAATTTAGCATGGCCAATATTTGACAAGGCCAAATTGTGTTTGGTTAAGGGCCAAAACTAACCTTGCCAATTTTTGGCTAAACCAGGTTTGGTTTGGTGCCAACTTTTGTGTGCAGCGTGGAATACATATGGCCGATGTGCCACTGCCAAAGCCTGCGTAGGAGTTCAAATTTCAAGCCCGCACTTCGGCTCCCATCAATGACGTTACCGATTCTTTCTCTTCAGGCCGGCCGATATTTGGATCCAAACCAAATTTGTGTTCCTACTGTTTATGTGTCCCATAAATTGGTAAGCCAAATATAGGCCATGAACCAAACTGGCCCCTATTCAAATTCATTGGGCTAGAATACGTCACATACAGTTTTAGATTTTTTTTTTAGACATAGAGTAATACTCTAATCAAATATTAGATGTCCATTCTAAAGTAAACAAACATAATATCGAATGTGACACCTACTCTTAGTAGGACCACGAATCTGGATATGATGTGTGATATTTGGCACCGGTTTGTTTAACTGACGGTGAGTAGTTGTAAAACTTGAAATGGAAAATATACTTTTATAGATATTAAAATGCTTTTTAAAGCCCAGGTCCAGCCCAGCCCATTGAGGGCTGGAAACGTCCGATCGAACCGGATCACTTTCACTTTCCTCCAAGTCCCGTCTTCCTTCCCGCGGCCACACTCCCGCCGCCCCGCCGTCCGCTGGAGTACGCTGTACGCCGACGAGCCCGCGGCAGAAGGCACAGGTGAACTGCCGCTACTCCGGCCGCGCTATAAACATTTCACCAAAAAAAAATCAGTGAGCTATAAACAAATACTGATGTCATAGGCTGTTTTTAGGTGTTAAAATAAATAACTTCTTGCGTCTTTTGTATTCTACAGCTCTTAATGTACTGATTGTTATGCATCCAAGAAGGACATGCAGTTGGTCTCACATTGTAATTCCGGTGGCATTGGAAACTGATGTTCACCATGGGGATGATAGTAAAGACAGAGTTGGATCAACTACAGTTAAGTGTGATCCATGCATTCCTCCACTGCTTCTTAGCTTCCCTCAGGACCAATGATGGGAGATCATATCCATTTTAGAACTACTCCCTCTGTTTCAAAATGTTTGACACCGTTGACTTTTTAACATATGTTTGACAGTTCGTCTTATTCAAAAAAAATTATGAAATATGTAAAACAATATGTGTATATGAAAGTTGTCGGTGACATGGGACCGGGGGTATCGTGACTAGAGGCTTGGGTAGCCGCGGTCACCCACATGGCCAGACCCCCTCGGGGGGGGGGGGGTCGGGCCCGAGGATGACGTGGCCACCCCTCCCTCTGTCTCCCCGAGGGGTCGGACCGCTCCCGTTTCGGCCCCGAGGGCTGGGGCGCCCCCGTTTCGGCCCCGAGGGCTGGGGCGCCCCGACCCCCTGTGGTTTTGGCGCCACGCGTGTGGGTTAGGTGAGCACAGCGTGGCTCACATAACCGCATTTATAGCAGGATTGGACGAGCGCACCACGCCGCATTTAATGCGGCGCAGCGCACGCTTATCCGGTCCGTGACCGGTCGCGGTGTGTGACCGATCACAGACCGGTCAGATCGCGGGTTAGGTGGCAACAGGCGGCCTGTCACACGCCTCGCCCCGTCCCGTCGGAATGATGAGAGCTTCCTGGCTCTCGTCCCTAGCCGGAGCCGGCGTGCTAACTCCTGGAGTTGGTATGTCAGTCCCGGTCAGATCCATTCCAGGCTTCAGCGCAAGTATGGCAAGGAAGTCGCTGGCCATTAAATGAAGGTTGAAATGGACGTCCACCGGGAAAGCAGGCGAGCGGGGCAGGAGGCGTGTACTCTGCTTGTCAGAGGTCACTTCCGGCTGTAGACTAGCCCTCATTGTAAAAAGCATGTTTCCCTTCTTAGACAGCTAGAGGCCCATGTGGTGACCCCTGACCAGATAAAAAGGAGGCCCAGGCCTAGGAGAGAAAAAAAGAAAGAGGGAGAAAAGAAAGAGGAAGAAAAAAAGAGGAAGGAGGGTTGGGACTTTGGGGAATGGGTTCTAGAGCCTGAACTCTCTCTCCCTCTCCGGGGCGCTCTGTATTCCTTCACGCACAGATCCACCAGAACACAGGAGTAGGGTGTTACGCTTCTCAGCGGCCCGAACCTGTCTACGTCGCCCGTGTCTTGTGCACTTCCTCTCTCGCTGACGTTCCTCAGATCGAGGGCGAAGAACCTCACTTAGCTCCCCCGGCCGAACCGGCAAAGGGGGGCCTGCGCGGTCTCCCGGTGAGGAGCCCCACGCTCCGTCAAAAGTATATTTAACAATGAATCAAATGATATGAAAAGAATAAATAATTACTTAAATTTTTTGAATAAAACGAATGGTCGAACACGTACTAAAAAGTAAATGGTGTCAAACATTTTGAATCGGAGGGAGTACAACATTGGACTGCTCGGAAGGGCTCCTGAACTACGAAGCCATCATCAATCCAGAAGGGTATGTGGCACTGTAGCGTTGACACTGCTGAAGATGTTAAAGCGGGCATGAATGGAAGATAGATAGGCGTGCGAATGCTGGTAAATTTACGCACATCATGGTCAGGTGTGGTTGTCGTCAGTACTGGATGTGTTTATCTAGAGTAATGCTAATTTTGTAAACTGATGATGTGTATTGCACCATCAGTCTGCAATCGTTGAAGCATAGCATTTTTACTTGTTCCAACTTCCAAGCATCCATGTGTACATCACCAGTCTCACTGTACATGATACCTTGTTTTCAGGTTGGCTCCTATGCAAGAGGAATGCTTCTTGTTCATTCTCAATGCTTGGAGAGAAAACACTCCTATATTGCAAGCAGGCTTATCAGGGTCAATGTGGTGATATATCAACTATTTATATTGCAGTACAGCGAGAAAACGCACATGGGTTTTTCGGCTAGCTTCATAAGATGGTGGGCTAGACGACTTGGGTTCAAAGCCTCACCCTTTCTAATTATTTGATATTAGGTCATTCCCTAATATTCGCATTTTTTTTATATTGCAGTACAACATAGACAAATATTATATCTTTGCTTTTTTTAATAGAAACATCCAAGTTGTTATTGGGGCCTAAACTACCACAGGCAGTTCAGTTGGGCCTAATTCTGGTGGCCGCCTGGACAAGTGCTATATTGTGAAATCATATTCATACCTTCAGGAAACAATGATACATCCAGATATCAGAGATGGATGATGATTGGCAAAGGAATATGATCTTGCAATCATTTGTGAACATGCGGGACAAAACAAATGATGGACAGCTGAAGATAAGCAAACAAAATAAAATAAAACAGGGTTTCTCTGACATACTAGCATCTGTTCGAATCTTGAAGTTCGATGAAAAAACATGTCTAGTTTGATGAATAAACAGTTGAAATGGCAGGAAACGTGTGTGTGCAGTTCTTGCATAGGGAGTACCCTGTCGTGCTGGGATGTAGTATGCAGTTTTTCGTCTGGTAGTTAACAATTAGCTCAACGAGAAATCATGCCAACGAAATGGTCAACATGTATTCGAGTTGTTGGACGTCATGTTCAGAAACACAACCGGTTCTCGATTAAAAAAAAATCAGACGGTAGCATATCTTAACAGCGCGTTTTGAGCTAACTAGGAATTGACGTGTTCGCAGCCGAATTTAGCGAAAACGACCACAACAATTTCTTAAACTGATTGGTAATTGTATCATGCCAGCTTCGTTTGGCCTGTAACAGCGACGTGAATGCACACACGCATAGTGAGAAAAGGAGAAACCATGACATCTTCAGAGAACTGGTAATCTTCTTCAGAAAAAAAAATGGCGTAACCAAGAAACAACCAAAGAACCGGACAGCAATTCAATCAAACTACGAATGCTTTATAATTCGCTATTTCCATTGCCAATATCGTCTTTGTAAAGAAGATATAATCATCATTATATATGCACATGATTAATTAAGGGGGTAATAACAAAAAGGAGAAGAAAACAAAGAAGTGATCAAAAAAGAATCTGATGAACAGAATCATCATCATCAAGAATCAGGCGTCCTGGGAGTAGAAGTCGATGATCTCCTTGAGGTCGAGGTGGAGGAGGGAGGAGGAGGAGCGGTCGTGGTGGCCGGCGAGCCAGAGTATGTGCTCGAAGAGGATGGCGTCGACGTCGACGAAGAGCGCCGCCTTGCTCTCCTCCTTCCTCACCGCCGTCTCCAGCAGCAGCCGGAACGGGTAGGTGTCGAGCACCAGCTGGTCGACGGAGAACACCCGCCGCTCCTTCCCGACGACGACCGTCGTCGTCACCGCCGCCGGAGACGGGCCGTCGTCGCCGTCGTCGAGGGAGCGGTAGCCGATGCGGGACGGCGAGGCCGACGGCCACCGGAGGAACACGCAGCAGCCGGCCATCTCGAACGAACTCTCCTCTCTTGATGAGCTTTTCTTGCGGCTCTAATGGCGGCGTCGCGGGGATGGGACTGTGGAAGGAAGAGTGGAGAGGGAGCGAAGTCTCTCGTTTATAACAAGGGGGAGTGGAGGTTGAATGAACCGTTGGAGGTGTTTTTTTGCAGATCAGACCTGCATCTTCTCATGATTTACCGTATAACCCATACTGGAAGGGAGAGAATTGAGAGCTGGTATAATAGCAGATTATAAGCTAGCTATAAGCACATATTGAGAAGATAGATGAGGACAGAAAATAGCAGCATGCTACAAATTTGTAGACAGCCGCAACACAAACTATAAGACGTAATATGTATATGATAGGTAGCCCACTACTACAAGACTAATACTACTCTCTCCATCCCATAAAAAATCCAATCCTAGCATCTCAAGGTGGAATTAGTGGAGAGTAAGAATAACTAAAATGCTCTTAATCATTAAAAAATTAGTAAGAGTGATAGATAGTTAAAGGGTATTGAAGGAATAAAACTTCTCGTTTTTCGTGCTAATATTAAGTAGGATGGTATAAGTTAGTTTTTTATGGAACAAAATTTAAACTCTAGAAGTTTAGTTTTTTTAAGATGGAGGGAGTATTAAGCTTGCTGGAGAGAAAGCTAACATCAAGGGGATATATGTAATTTAGTGAGAAACAGAGGGGTTTTACTGAAAATGTTTGCAATGATGTGCGTTCCATCGGATGCTACTGCGTCGTCTCGGGATAGCCGTTGGACCTGGACAATAGATGATGGAAAGCGACGTCGTGGTGGACCCGGTCACTTGAGCCTCCTTCTTCTTCTGCTCCCTGCAAATCTCACGAGTCCGTAACATTACATGACTCGGCCCGAGAGTTTCACCACGGACAGTAAACAAACAACAGCTCAACGGAGAGAGGTGAACAAATCAGGAACATGTGTGCAGCAAGCGACACCGGCACGGAGGCGGGCACGACGATTACGATGCCGATCAACTTGGGGTACTCACACGGTTGACGGCCTGACGCGGTGCGCTGGTGCGGCTTTGGCTAAGCGGAGAGAAGCTTCCGCATCCGCTATAGCTGTGGCCGGCCAACCAACGCGCCGTCCGGGCCGCGCGACGTGACGACGGCGGAAAAACAGTAGAAAACGGGAGGCGGAATCAAAAAAAGGTGGGGCGCGAGTCGCGCGACACGGGATCGCGATGCCGGGGCGGCATGGCTGCTTGTCGCTGTCTGCGTGGTAGGGATACACGCGGGCTGGCCTGTGAGCACTTATAGATCGAGGCTCTGTTTATATTCTAACTTTTTTTTCTTCAAACTTTTAACTTTTCTATCACATCGAAATTTTTTACACATATAAATTTTCAACCTTTTCGTTACATCGTTCCAATTTTTTTAAACTTTTAATTTTGACGTGGAACTAATTAAATACAGCCCGAATAAGTGATAGTGAATAAGTTTTCGCATCATGGTTCGACTTATCGTATCTAAAGATACAAGTGGATTGATACATAAACCTGTTTACATACCAAATTAAAAAGTAACTCGCAAGTTAATCTACACGGTACCTGCTAAGTTTGCTTATTAGTAGGCTCGTGGGTTGATCGGCTTACATCCCTGCTGCGTGGCCGCGTCTGTTGGTTACTTGGTTGGCTCCCCCATCTCCAACTCTCCATCAACATGTACGTCCACATGCGCGCGACCCCGCGAGGGCGTGAGAAATCGCCAAAGGCCTCATCCCACCCCATACGAAGCAGTGGGTGGATAAATCCACTTTGTCATCTCTCATATTTTCATCGAGTTTAAATCGTATCCCTGAATCACATACTGAATTACAAAACTCGATCTATGAAATAGCTGGGGTTCTCTGACGTGGCACCCTAATTTAACCCAGTTTTTGCAAGTTGAGGGTACTATGATTTAAACTTGACAGGAAGCAAAGTAAACGTATCTCAACTGGTTATGTTTCTGTAGTAGAACCAACTCATCCGGGTTCAAGTCCTAGACTTGACACGGGTGCTCTCATTTACGGCTAACTATTATTTTAGTGATAGGCAACGTACCTGAGTGTGTGTATATTTATAGGACTAGTTACATGCCCGTGCTAACGCTACGGTGAAACAACAAAAAGATATACAATATATTGTTTGGGCTATCAAGGATAGATTCAAGACATTAATTAAGACTTACAGATGAGCGAGTTCAGTTAAGAAGCTTATTAGAAGTTCCTCAGTTATTATATATTCGAAAGGGATAAACAAGCCAAATAAACTACATCCAGGACAAGGTTCAAAATTTGCAAAACAAGCCATAAGGTCGACCCATTCAGTCGACGATGTATTATGTCTTCAACGTCTTTTCTCCACGTCACAGAAAAACCAGTAACCAAAGAACAAAAGTCTGATTGATATATTAAGTTCTAAACCGATTCCAGGACACATTCAGTCAATTAAGTTCAAATACATAATCATGCGTTTCAACATTAATTAAAGTATCACATTCATATATCATTACATGGCTTGGCAAACCACAAAGCTGAGGCTGCCTTAATCTAAGCTACAACAAAATTTCTTTTTTTTTTTTGCATTTTAGAATAAACAGTAAAAGAGAATGGATAAATCACATGTCCTGAAGCTGTAAATTTCTACGAAGTCCTGAGCAGCTCAATTTTGGAGAGGGTAGTAGTGTTGTTCCCTTTATGGTTCATCTGATGCATGAAGAAGGCAAGTTCAATTTCTGGTTCAGTAACTCTTGTTGTTCCTACTGCTTCCAGGAAGCAGAACCGCCAAGGATTTTCTTGCTTGATGACTGTAAAGAGATGAAAGTTCAAACTGGTCATTAAAAAAATTGTGTGCAGATAAGAGTGGTGTTGAGAAGTCAAGTTATCAAAGTAGCATTTTGTCTTCGTTCCAAAGGAGCTAACTCTGTTTTTAAATATCTGATCTTTTTTTCATAAACTCACTAATACATATCACTAATACGAGGGAAATTGTAAGTGAATAGTGAATGAAGATAAATAATGGTTTGAGAGAGAGATAGAGGGTGAACTCACCAATATATCCCAACTGCATACAATCATCAAGGGCAATGCGTGCATGAGTGATAGAAATCATGGCAGCAAGTATCATTATTGTAATCACATTCTGCATGGAGAAATGTATTTTTTCCAAGAATATAAGCCTATTCCTCTGCTAGTAAAGTTCCCATGTCAACCTATTTTACTTTAAAACCAAAGAAACTGTAAACAAAAAAAAACGAGATAGAGATTTGCAATTCACTGGGTACAAAAGTTAGATGCACTTCTTTAACATTTTAGCAGATTGCTTCCAACATATGACATCAACTTCCCAGTCAGTTGGTTATTTTACAATCTTGAAAAGCAATATTTTTCTATCAGTCCAACTAATTTGAGAAAAAAAAATTCTGAATGAGATATGTCAAGAGCAGTTGTGAGGCTGAATTGTTCAGGGATGTATGGAAAGCAAGCTTGTGTTTGACGCAACAAATATGTGTATATGTAAGATTGATGGAGTATGGATTCTGAGCGATAGCAGTAGACAATTCAATCAATATTTTATCACCTAAAGATCATGCATAGTATTTTGACGAAACAACGGCAGATGTGCACCTTCAAGATGAAGCTTTACTGACGATCCAAGTCGTTGAGGGGATCTAAGATCCAGAATCCATAAACACTCTCCAGAACACATGCATTGCAGGTGAGGAGCCGGACGGGACATTTCGCCGAGCACCCCGCGTTCATTGTACTCTGAGGAAAAGCGGCAAGCGCTGGATGATGGGTTTTGTTTCAGAATGCATGATGAATCCGGATGAACCTCCACGATGCCAAGTTTCGGACTAGTCACCTGCTGATGAACTGCATGATGAGTTTTGTTCAACTACTCACCTCTCACGGGATTCACCTGCTGCTCCCCCACCGGCGAGGAACTCCATAGCTGCAGCTCACCCCTGCGATGCAGAGGGGATCGGTGGAGAAGGCGATGCAGAGGACGGCGCGGTGGCTACCTAGCGACGGGAGCACCTCGTGCGGCGGGGATCGGTGGAGCAGAACGGCGGCGACGACCTGGTGACGGGAGGACCTCGTGCATCGGGGAGGCGGAGGATCGTGGAGAGCGAGCTGGCGGCGGGGATCGGTGGCAGACAGGCGATGCAGAGGACGGCGCGGCGGCTGATACGGAGCGGAGCGCTGATGGCGGAGGTGCGGGAGCGGAATTCCGGCGGAGGGCGGAGACGCAGGTGTGGTGGGAGAGCGATAGGAAGGGGGGTGGGCCGTGCGGGTCGTGCGCTGATTGAGGGAGGTGGATATGGGATCGATCTGAACCGTTCGGATTTTACGCGGATGATCTGAACCGTTGAATGATGAATGTAAGAGTGTAAGAGTAAAACATGAGTAAAACGAGTTGGTGAATTATAGAATAGATAGATAGATAGACGAGTTGGTGAATTATAGGATAGATGAGTACGCGTGATGTGAGCGTCTACTTTTGTATTTAAAAAAACTCGACAAAAAGATGAGGAACGTCGAGCGGACTTATTCCGCAGTGGGTTGTCACAGGCTCGCAGCTCTCACGCACCAGCCCGCTACTGCTCCGAAATCGTGTCCAATTCTCCAACCGACGGAATCCATCTGGGCCTCCAATTCTCCAAGCCGAATGCCAGCACAAGCCAACAACTCGGCCGTGTCCAAATCTCCATGTACATATCTCTCACTTTTTTTTTTGCATAATTCCAATTTCAGTTTTCATATATCTAATATTCTAATGCTGGCAGTGTTTACCAGTTCTGATTGGGCCACTTGACGGCCTTTACTTTCAAAATAAATCCTAGAATTATGTGAAAGAAAAAAAAACAATAGGAAAAAAATAGGCTTGAGTGTTGCTGCGTTGCAGCTCTCCTGTTCTGAGGTGCTAGCCCTCTTATAGGAATGACTATGTATTAATCTAGAAGAATCCATGGCAGCTAAAAGTGTTTGAATTAAGGAGCGATCCAAGTAATGTAATGGAAATACTCCTTCAAAATAAGTATATTTTAACCTATCACACACATACAAATAAAAAGTAAAAATACTAGGATACCCCACTTTATTAAATCTTAATACAAATATTTTTACTTTATATACTTTTCAATGCGTTCTCTTGTTTTTCACAAACTACAATGCAATAATTATTTTAAAAAATAAAGTTATTTTAAGACAAACGGAAGTAGGCAAAAATGATATTTTGGGACGGGTGGTAGGTTTTGTGGTATGAATTCCACCCATCAAACATAAATTTGCAAACAAAACCTAAAACACCTTAAAAATAACATCACCTATTTTACTAGACGTTTTATTTGTTTTGTTGATTATAATTAAACACAACAAACAGACTCGAAGCAATACCTACGAAAAGATAATTGATGATTTTTAAAATGTATGAAAATTAAACTAACATCATAAACATTTGCAAAATTAAACTAACATCATAAACATTGAAATAATCTGTCCGGGATATAACACGAGCGTGCCTTTGCCTTAGCCACGTTGATTTTCTAGTAATTCAAAAATTAAAACTTGCTTCTGAAAGACTGAAAAATAGACATAGATTTCTAATTATTGTTTGCAAGTGAAAATTTAGACAGCATCTTTTTTAGAAAAAGAAAAAAAAAGGGGAATACAGCAGGAACTAGGAACAGAGAAGAAAAGATAGAGGGGAACATTTTTTTTTTCTTAGAAGAGAAGAGTGGGGAATAGAAACGCAAAGGCATCCGTATCCAATGGCAGTCTCCTCTTTGGCCTTCGCTAGAGTCCTCGTCCCGCCATCTCCAAGAACAGGTAAACCATCCCAAATCTTCCCCATCTTTCTATCCCTTTGCACAAGATAGATTCTTGCTGCTGCTCATCTGTAGATGACTAGATTCCTCAATCCATCTCTTCGGTCCTTGCTCCATTTCGGATTAAAAGTAGTCCTTGCGATACTATTTGCATTACAAAATCGAGATCCACGGATTTCAGTCTGGTCGAAATTTCCCAGCTTTTGTTGCTAGGGGAGTGTGGTGTCGGTACCTAACCCTAGCCCAAAACCCAAAACCCAAGAATTCATGATTGATTTCTTGAGATTTATTCGACAGACAATCAGTGAATATCCCCAACCTGCTGTGAAGTTTTTTTTTTTTTTTTTTTGCAATATTGACTCTGTAATGGGGATTCTTTGATGCAGCATTAGCTTCGGCTTGCTCCCATTCTATCAAGATGTGCGCTTCTTCAGCCTCACCGTCGGAGTCAAAGAAGACCGTCTGGGTGTGGACAACAAATCGGCAGGTGATGACGGCAGCCGTGGAGAGGGGCTGGAGCACTTTCCTCTTTGGATCCAAAGATCTTGGCAAGGATTGGTCATGTGAGAGCATTTCTTTTTTCTTACAGCGATGTTAGGTTACATAATTGTTTCTTTATTTTTGGTAGATAAGGCACAATTTAGCTATTTTGCTTACCTCTAAATACAAAACCAGCTCGGCTGGCTTAGATTTCAAAAAAAAAAAAAACAATTTAGCTATTTTAGAAGAAACGACAGACATTTCACTGATGATTTGCCATAAGAAGAAACAACTATGTCTAGGCATTGCTCTCCTTTAAACTAATGCAATATAATCATATACTTGATAGTATGCATCAGTGAGTGCATGCCATTTTCTTGGAATTCTGAAATCGACAGTTTGTTATCTCTTTGGCATTGCAGCTACTGCTCGCATCAATCCTCTTTTTATCGATGGCCTGGAGATATTCGATGAGAAAAAACAAAAGATTGCTGTAATTTCTGAAGTCTCTTCCCCAGGAGAGCTGGAACTCATACAACCAGACAATGTGGAAGTGGAAAACATCGTGATAGACTTCCGAGGTGGATGGCAGGTTAGATATTCGAATATTGGACTATCAGCAAATTACTTCCATGACATATGAATTAATTTCAATTGTCATAGTGAGATAAGTCATCATACTTGCATTTTTGTAATGCATTCTATGCTGTTTAGTCATCTTGAGTGTCTTTTTGTTTGTGTGAATAGCTTATTTGAATTCCATCAATGGTTTGAATGAGTGTCCAGTATACGTTTTTTCTGTGTTGTTAGGATCATTGGCTTGACATGCTGTACTGTTTCATATTTGAGCCGCAACTTGCAAAGTACACTTGACAAAACCCAACAAGCGTTAACAGGTGCCTCCTTTGTCCTCCTGAATTTCGTAGGTTATACCAGCAGAAAATATAGTTGCTGCATTCCAGGGATGTAGAGGAACTGTATTGGCTGTTTCAACAAACTCAACTGAGGCTCAGGTTTTTCTTGAGGTAACTGTCAAGATGTTTCAACATACAATAGAAGTTCCTGTGTATAATGATGTATCGTGTTCCTATCAATTATCTTTTGTGAAGTTGTTCCCCCAGTTACTTAGTTACTTTACAGGCCTTGGAGCAAGGGCTTGATGGAGTTATACTTAAAGTAGAGGACATGGATGATATTATCAAACTCAAGGTATGTTTATCACAACTCTTTGAAATTTCTTTGGTTTTAAATTATTAAAACACTGTGGGACTACAATGGTCTTGTGTATAGAGGCAAGTACCGTGGTGTGTATATATATACATATATATAGATATCTAAATCTAAGTGTGAAAGTACAGCTCCTGTTATTGTTACTGATTATCATTTGTCTGATTGTACGATTCACCAGATGTTTGTTTGTTCTCTCCTCCTTTAATCACTCAGGATTATTTTGACAGAAGGAACGAGGCAAAGAGCCAGTTAATGTTGACAAAGGCTACTGTGTCAAAGGTTGAAGTTGTTGGTATGGGTGATCGTGTTTGTGTGGATCTTTGCAGTATGATGCGACCTGGTGAAGGCCTTCTGGTTTGTGTATATTTCTCACTTGTTCACTGTAGATAAATAAATAATTAACATATATCCTGCAGTACAGAGTTGGTTAAAATCGTTCCACGTGAATGTGTCATTGTGCCCCCAAATAGAACCGCATTAGCATTTTACCTGTCCCAAGCTTCACCAGTCTGCCTCTACATGATGTTCTATTTTCAGGTTGGCTCCTATGCAAGAGGAATGTTTCTTGTTCACTCTGAATGCCTGGAGACAAATTATATTGCAAGCAGGCCTTTCAGGGTCAATGCGGTAAGATATCAACAACTTATGTTGCAGCAAGCTATTGCAGGTATCACTGTACAACAAGAGAAACTAAGACTAATAAAATTTATGTGTTCTCCATTCAGGGCCCTGTTCATGCATATGTTGCAGTCCCTGGTGGCCGAACTAGTTACCTCTCAGAGCTGCAATCAGGTCGGGAAGTAATAGTTGTTGATCAAAATGGTTTGTGGCGTACTGCGATTGTTGGTCGTGTTAAGATTGAATCAAGGCCTCTAATCCTTGTAGAAGCAAAGGTACATAACTAACAATGATCTCCCTTCAAATGATTGCTGTACATTCATGGATTGTCAATTTCATGGCGTATGGGCTTGCTGCAGGAGAACGGTGGAGATGATACTTACAGCATTTTCCTGCAAAATGCCGAGACAGTTGCACTTATCACTCCTGAAAAAGGTAAGCCCATATGGACAACTTTTGAAGATAGGACTGTAAGTTTTGAGCTGCAACTATAATAAGCCATAAATTTCAGTTATGTTTGAATGATGCTAATCACCATGTGATTAGTACACATATTCAATCAACTCATTCTGGAACCATATGATTGTTTTATGTAGGATCTAGTGGAAGAACTGCTATACCTGTGACTTCACTGAAAGTTGGTGATGAGGTTTTGGTGAGGAAACAGGGCGGTGCCCGTCACACTGGAATAGAGATTCAGGAGTTTATTGTTGAGAAATGAGACTGCGTCAGTTATTCAGTTACCTGCTAGCAGGCCAGTCTTTGTTCTTCCCAAACAATTCTTTTGCTAATTCATGGGAGTGAAAATTCACACCAACTTATGATAGGGGACTATCTGAATCATCATTGAATTCGAGCCATGTACATCTGTATATACTATAGTACTAGTAACTTTTAAGTCAAGGAGGAAATTTCCATTTGGATGTGAAACGATCTGATGGGTCTCATTCTCTGATAGGATCATAACATTACGCTATGGGTAATCAGTCCTTTTCAGCTGGTTATGTCTGTCTCAACCCCGTAATCTGGCAATCTCTTTCTGAAAAACAGTTCCGTCAGAATGTGTTCAAAGGGAGCTGTCAGATGTGAATAGAGAAGTGCATGAACTTGCTATCTCAAATCAACTGCTGAGAAAACCTGGGAAAAATATCCAATTCACAGTTTGTCACCTTTCATAGTGAGATAATCCTTTTGACTGAGATCAATAAAGCTTCCATTATATAAAAAAATATCCCTCCGTGGAAAAATAATATAAGGAATTCTGGTTGAATGTGACATATCCTAATACTATAAATCTGGACAAACTCTTTGTCAAACCTATTCAGATTCATAGTACTGGAATATGTCCAATCAAACTAAAATCCATTATATTTTAGAACGGATGAAGTATAACACAGTGAGTACGGTTCTCTGCATCATGATCCCAGCATGGCAGAGAGCAGCGTGAAGCAAAATCAAGGAGAAGAAATGCAAAGGGAGTATCATAGCAGCAACCCAGGCACCAGAATTCGGCACCCATTATCTCGGCAAACAATTTACATTATAATGGACGTCAGATTCTCGTGTCACACAGATAAAAGAAATATCACTAGAAACAGAAAGTTCCTCGAGAAAAAAAGGACAAAAAAACACTGCTTACATAACAAACTATACAGCCGTGCAGATAAAAGACCTCTTCTATGTTGCACTTCTAGTGCACTTTGGCAGTCCTATATCCTGGCAATGGGGATGCTGCTGCTCCAAGTGAGCGCCGTGGCGATGGCTGGATTCTCATCGGCGACTTAGGGACGGCGTTTGAGGTTCTCCGGATGTCAACCTGTGGTGAAGCCATATTATATTTGGAGTCCTGCAGCTGCTCCAGCTCTTCCAAGACCTCAGACATCCGCGGGCGCATCTTGGCATCATTGCAGATGCATTGCAAGGCGATGTTCGCAATGGCGTGGGCGCCTTTCTTCGGATATTGGCCTCCCAGCTTTGTATCCATGACACGGTACAGCCTACGCTTGTCGCCCAAGTGGGGTTTGGCCCAGTCAACTAGGTTCTGCTCTATGCCTGGTTTCGATTTGTCCAGGGCCCGTCTTCCTGTGAGCAACTCAAGCAACACCACACCAAAGCTGTAGACATCTGCCTTTGCAGAGAGGCGACCTATAAAGTTTTAGGTTAAGTAACATGAGAACTGGTTGCTCCAGATATAAACCATACAATATCTATTTAATTGCTACGCAGAGTGGTACATTTCCTCAATGAAAAGATTAGTTTGACTTGGCATTTGACAATGTGCCAGGAATTCAGAAAATGAAGACAAAATAAAAGGAAAGGTATGACTGACTCTCCTGCGCTGGAATTAAGGGAAAAAACATACAAAATATGATCCTTTGAAAAATGGTAACATGATAATAATTTTTTTTCTAACTTAACTAATATAGTGATATGCCTTCTGTTATGTATCTGGGCATTTGGCAATATGCATAAGATGCTTTATGCAGCAAGATAAATTCCAGTGAGCTTGGGAAATGTAAAGCAATGACACCAAGCTTCATTAGCAATATTTTTAGATAATTCAAAGCTTCAGTAGCACCTGGCAGTCATATGTCTGATCCTAGTTTAAACCGATGCTATATAACAGAAAAGACTTCCCATGATTTATTCAAAGCAAAGAATTAAAATTTAACCTGTCGCAATGTACTCCGGAGCTGCATATCCGTGAGTACCCATGACCTGTGTGGAAACATGGGTCTTATCCCCAGTAGGACCTGCTTTTGCTAAACCAAAATCTGAGAGCTTGGAATTAAATTCCTGCAATTAACCAAGGGGAAAAATGTTGATAGAACATCTCAACAAGCTATACAAGCTTGATGATTAGAGTCAACATTAATTATCAACCATACCGAGTCAAGGAGAATGTTTGATGCCTTGAAATCACGATATATAACTTGGTTCTCAGCGTCATGCAAAAACGACAAGCCCCTAGCAGCACCTATAGCTACCTTGAGCCTTATTGCCCATGACAAAGGATCAGCACCTCCTACAAGAATAGAAAAAAAATGTTATTTGAACTATGTGAACATTTAAGACATGAGAAACCAGGAAATCAAGAAGGCATAAATATTTTTAATAGAGAACATACTTCTGAACAGATGATTCTCCAAACTTCCCTTTGGCATGAACTCATACACCAGAAGTCGGTTGTCGCCATCAGAGCAATAGCCAATCAGCTTAACAAGATTTTTGTGGTGAAGTTGGCCAAGGTAGTTAACCTCTGTCTGCAGCGTAAAAATAGGAATAAGGTATCGTGAAATATGTCTTAAGAGAACAGCAGAAAACAGCGGTGGGTAACATTCTGAACCTACCAGCCATTCCTTGTGTCCTTGGAAACCTTCTGGTTTAAGCTTCTTGACGGCAACAACCATACCACTTCCTGGTTTTGAAGGAGCAAGCGTGTGTTCATCAATCCAACCTTTGTAGACATGTCCAAATCCTCCTTCACCAAGAAGACTGTCCGGTCGGAAGTTCTTTGTCGCATTCCTTAGATCATTGAACGAGAAGGCCTTCAAATTTGAAGATGACAAAATTTCACCTTCCGTCCGAGGAGTAGGAAGCTCACTTCTGTCCTTCATAGATGGCAGAGTCAAAGTCGAGCGACTTGAATTGCTCTTAAACGTGGAAGGGACAGATGATAAACTTGTTTTGCTGGTCACTTTTGATGGGTCTGCTATCTCAACAAGAAATTAATGAAATGTGCATAAGAACAACTTGTTATTAACAAAGCAATGTGAAATTCAAAATGTATCCAAAAGCACCGCTTCTGTTCAAATTCAATCAGAACTCTGCATATGTATGGTCAGGTCGTCAGGACTACCAAGTCAGATTTTCCTGCCATTCATTTAAAGAAAATATCCGACTCCCTTTTTACAACAATAGAAGCTTATGATATTTCAATGAACCCTATTTCTATGTTCTATCAGAGTCTTCCTTTGGTCCTTGGGAGGTATTGAGAGTTACATGTACCTCATAGTGTTAATCCAGTCTGATCAACACGAAAAATTACCTCTGCCTCCCAAGGACTAGAGAAAACATGATTTTATCCATGCATCCATGCTATTGTTTGTTTACTCTATAGAAGTAAGAAAGAGGAACAAAAACAAAAGTGAAGCTGCACAAAAGCAGCAACTAACAAGCTAGGCTAAAAAAAATTATCATGCAAAAAAAAAAAAAAAACTAGGCCAACAGGTATAACTAGTTGCAGAACACATGCTCTGATCTTAAAATTTTATCTTCAACATAGTCAAACCAAAGTACTAAACCCAATTCAACACACAATAAATCCACGATCTAGTAGGACAAACAACCCAACATCCCAAGCAACCAATATCAGCTTTACAGCTATGATAGGAAAGTGACAAATACATACAAGACAAATTTGGAATTTCGACGAAGAGAGTATCAAGGAAACTTACAGGCGCCATTGTTCATGCTGTGATCCACCCGCGCCGTGGTGTCCATGCAATTCCCCATCTCTCCTGCCCTCCCTCTTGCTCCTTCTCCTCTCTATCCAATCCACCAAACTATCAGCCACCCATCAAACTTTGTGCCTCTGCTGCAAATCCTCTTGGGCACTACTACTCAACCGTGCAATGAACCAAGAAACCTTCTAGCCCAAGAATCTTTGGCAGATAAGCTCTCTCGAGACAAGGGATGGCCAATAATGCAAGGAATCAAGAGGAACAGGGGCTCCAAATGAGCACAAAACTCAGCCAAACGAGATAAGAACCGAGCAGGCAAGCGGCAAAGGTCCAATCTTTGCGAGGTTTCGATCGACCTCGACCACCAATCCGGAAAAAAAAATCCGCAGAGCGACAAACGAAGCAAAGAACCAACCAACCAACCCCGAAAGTCAACTCGAACCTGCACACGCGCAGCTCCTCCTCCTCCTCCTCCTCCCAAGCTAAAAAAAGATCCGGCCTTTCGATCGATTCCCGCGTGTCACTGGCTCACTGCCTCACACGCGGGAAGGAAGGAAAGAAACAAACGAACCCACCCCCAATCCGCAAGAAAGAAACGAGGCCACAGAAACTCTACTCGCTCATCCTGAAGAGTCGTCGCAGCTGAGGTCAACCAGCGAGGATTTGAGCTAATAGCGGCTGCTGTGGTAGCTGCCTGCCACGCCGTGGCTGCACGCGGAGGAGGAGGAGAGGGACGCACGACACGAAGGCGGCAGAGGCAGCGAGGTGGATGGCTCGGAGACCGCAGGGAGATGGGAGGGAGGGAAGGGAGCGAGAAGAGACGGAGAAAAGCGGCGGAAGCAAAATCAGCTGGCTGGCTGGCTACAGACCGACCTACCATACCACCTCAGTACTAGAAAAGAAGGCAAGCGTGTGATGTGTAGATGGGGCTAAAACTTTTTAAGCCCATGTCATATCAGATGTTTGGACGCTAATTTAGAGTATTAAATATGGACTAATAAAAAAACTAATTTCATAAATGAGAGCTAATCCGTGAGACGGATTTTTTAAGCCTAATTAATCCATAATTATCAAAAGTTTACTGTAGCATCACATTGTCAAAATCATGGCGTAATTAGACTCAAAAGATTCGTCTCGCGAATTAGTCCAAACTTATGAAATGGATTTTATAATTACTGTATGTTTAATACTCTTAATTAGTGTCCAAATATCCGATTTGACAGGGACTTAGAATAAGTCCCTGGAAACCAAACAGCCCCTTAATGCATGGAGAGGCGGTGCCTTTTTCTCCTCCTTTCTCACTTGAACACACCTCTTGCTCCTCCATTGGGAAGATTTACATATAAACCCTCACAATATTCAATATTCAGTTATTTTATATACTAGCTGTAGACCCGTGCGTCGTAACGGTCTTTTTATTCAGTTTAGTGGAAGAATTTGAGCCGATTATGCTGTTTGGGTTTTATACTAGTCTTTTTAAAAAGAATCAGTTTTTTTAAGAGTGAATGGTTTTTATGGGAGAGAAAATGTTTCTATGGAAGTGGAGAACGAGATAGAAATAGTTAGTTTTTAGGGCTGTGTTTAGTTCACGTTAAAATTGTAAGTTTGGTTAAAATTGGAACGATGTGACGGAAAAGTTGAAAGTTTATGTGTGTAGGAAAGTTTTGATGTGATGGAAAAGTTGAAAGTTTAAAGAAATATTTTGAAAACTAAACACGGCGTAGATGTAAGTGAGGAATGGAGAGAATGAAGAAGGCCGACTTTCTCTTCTAGTTTTTTTAAGTAGTAGAGAGAAGAGATACTCATATTTAGTCAATAATCCATCAAATACTCTTTTACTGCGCCCGCTACTAGCGTGAGCTTATAACAATTATTTTAGGGTAGAAACGAATTAGTTAAAGATTTAAAAGAAATTTTAATTTTAAAGTTTTTTCAGGAATACTAATGAAGAATTTTTTTAAAAAAATGTATTATGATATTTTATATATACTCCTGCTTGGTTAATAATCTAGCGGATTCTCTTGGCTCGGTCCAGTAATAATGTGCCGATGGATGATACATGGAATTGAGTGTATAATACTTCTTGCGTCCTAAAATATAATAATTTTTAGCCTCTAATATCTATCCCAAAATATGATAAATTATTCTCTTCTCAACCAATCACAATATTTCACCTCTTAATTTCCTCCCATACTTTCTCTTCTCAACTAATCACAACCTTCACACATTTAATTTCACTTATTTTTTTAATACATGTGTCCAACCCAAAACTTCTTATATTTTGGGATGGATGTAGTAATAATTTATAGGCGAAAATTGAAAAATCTAATTTAAATATGTTATCTAAGAAATACAGATAAAGGAAGTTTTATTTAGAAATCATATTATTTAGGAGCTTAAGAATCGTGCCTGTGACAATCCGTCACCCCTTAGCATAAAAAGAATGGGTGCTTACTAGTGAACATTTCATGGTTGCCGAAGCAAGGTGGTGTTCTCTTTTTGCGAAATCAAGCAATCAGCAAATGTGTCCCCTTGGCTCTTAGTATTATATTTCACCATGATTATCATCAAAAAAGTTTACTATTGTACTATCCTAAACTTTTAAAATGCAGACTTGCACTCGGAATTAGTGAGCTAGAAGTACTAAAACACAAGAAAGAGATGAGCAATGACCAAACAATCACGCTGAAACCTATGTTAGCTGGTTAAGCAAGAGAAATAAGAAGTTGCTCCAGTGAGCAGATTCCTGCACTTGTAGCAAGTAGACGTGGACTTCATGGTTTCTTATCCCTCCTTGAAAATAAATAATCAGAAATGCAAACGTATGCGAATTTCAATAGCTTTAGCTTATTCTTTCCTAAACCGTTTTCTATTCAACAACCTTATCGCATCGCTTAAATACTAGCCCTAGTCTCCTATACTAATTAGGAAATCGAGAATCTGACTCTGCCACTTTATTTTTCCTTTTCTTTCCCCAGTTTCCTGTCCTTGTTCTTTGTCTGTCTTGCAAGTAATCCCCAGTTTTCTGCAGCTCTTGGTTGCTTCATACTCCCAATCTTCCATTCATCAATTCATTAGTCAGACACATGCTTGATTAGCTGGAAATGCGTAAGCGAGTTTAACGCTTCCATTCTGAGAAAAAGAACAGCAAACTTGTTTGCTTTGGAATACTTTTCAGAGGTGTCGTTCAGTTGTTTGTTGATACTATCAGATTTGCTGTGAAGGCAAGATATTTAGCGGCGTCTGTTCTCGTGTGATCCGGATGCTGACTTCCCAGCTAACATCTGTCTCTACAATTATTCGACTGATTGATAACTGTTTTGAAGTGGCATCTACCGGTTTTTATCTGTATCCCGATGTGTTCAGACTTTCAGAGATGCACCCCGGATCAGTCAGCGTCAGATTAGAGTACTTATGTGCAGAAAAAACTCCTTGCTTCTGTCGCCGCCTGACACTGACAGGAGAGTCAATGTAACAGTTTAGATAATCCTCACCTCAATTTTACTACAGATCGTCAAAGCATTTACACTCGAAATAGATTTGTTTATTGTCAGGGTTGACCTGATTTATGGCTGATGCACGTTGTTGGACCTCACTGACCTTTTTTTGGTTGCAGCAGCCTCAGTTTTGTTTTCACAGATGCATTGCATCCGTACTTCTAATACTCGTCTTATCCACCATTGGAGGAAGACCAATCTACTGCTATTATATGAACCAGATTTTGCTGTTAGTGTTGATGATCTGAATGCAGCCTGAACATGCATCCTACAGATTTCATCAAAGAAAAACATAGATCCCACAGACAGGTAGTCCATTCTCATAATCGCATAGATTATATATTAATAACCCACTGAAAATTGCAGGGCACAAAGAAAGTTGCATAGCTAGAGTGCTAGTAGAAATGATTCTACCCAAAAGGGACAAGAATCACAAACATGATGCTTCTTCTTCTTTTTTTCAGAGAGAGAGAGCAACAAAATTATCTTTTGTTTGCAGCCACAAACAAATCAGTATTCAGTACTGATCTATTTCTGCATCCAACCTTTTATTCTTCTAGGTGATGCTCTGTCATTTTTTATAAAAAAAATAATGGAAGCATTATTACACTCAGCCTGAGAACACTCCCGTCCTCTGCAGACTGCAATGCGCTGTGCACTCAAGGGAATGACAGAAACAGACGCAGATCCTGCTGCTTTGATCCTTCTTTCGTCTCGATCTCGTAGTGTCACATGGTAGCAGTTCAGTACAGTTATTGTGGGATCATATGATCTCATCAGCAGTTATCCTGGTGCATGAATAAAACCTGAAATCTGTGGCTGACATAGACGTACGTGTTTGGTCTGTTCTTCAGGAATGGTCTGTCAGTTTCTTGAAAGAAGTTTTCTTCAGAAGATTGCACTGAACCTGAAGAACAAAACAAATTGGCTGCGTTCCATGGACTTGGTAAAGCCTTTGGCTTGATTCATGTCGAGTCACGGGGAGCAGCAGGAATCAATTCCAACTCCCAGCTACGGCCTGATCCGTTCATTGAGCGATATGTCAGCCAGCAATTCAAAGCCTGAAATTCCCCCATTCCTCATCCACTACAAGACGGAGCCAACGAAAAGAAACAGTTCTGCACGAGTGCACGGGTGAAGGAGAGGATACGAACGAGAATCCGTCAAGTTCTAGAAGATGGAGGTTGCAGAATTCTGCTTGCAAGAACTTTCTTAAGCTTGTCATCTCTCTTTCTTGCAGCAATTGCCGATAAACAGTTGGCTTCTTGTTGTTTAACTCGTATTATTACTACTATTACAGTTTCACTGTCACTGTTTCCAGATTGGATGATGGATGAGATCGAGTTGAGTTAGGCAGCGTTGCACTACTTACATGGCTTTGCTATGCTGAGAGAAAATTTTATATGAACGGCAATTAAACCCAAAGGTGCTTTGCTTTGCTTAGTCAAATCCATAAAAGGAAAAGATTAAACAAAGCGTCAGAGATATGCTAAACAACTCACCAATTTAACAGCCATTAAACAAGTCGACATGGAGCCATTAGCTCATAGGAAGCATTAATCCAAAAGCTTTTCGACACACCGCACCATGCAGTTGACATTGCTGAACGACCACACGAGAAGGGGCAAAAATGCAGAGAAAAAAAGAAGGAATCGAAGAAAGCGAGAGCTTTGATCTAGCTGAGCTACTATACCCATGGTTAGACCGTTCCACTACCACCGGCGTGGCAGCGACTGACACCCAATCATCTGGAGCATCTTCACTTGCCAATTGCCATCGCCAGTAGAATTGCCACAAACACACACATACATTTTTCTAGATTGTGCGAGAAGAATCAGCCTTTTAAAAGTGGTTTAAAGTTTAAAGGTAGACATTTTTAATTACAAATCGTGGCAGGAATCAAATACTGTTAGGTGTTCTCCTCGAAAAGAAGAGAGATCAAGTGGTACGGGCGGCCATATTCCGGCCTGGCCCATAAACATTCGCAGAAAAGGAAGTATGGCTCGGTCCACGAAATCATGGGGCCGCACGTTAAGCCACACTCCCCGTTTTCCGGCCCAACAAAATTAGGCCGCACGTAAGTGACAGTCCGTTCTGGGCCGCACGTAAGTCACAGCTCCGTTATGGACTTACGGCCCAAGTTCCCAACAACTATGCCCGGAACGGCGAGTGTTTTCTCATTTCAGAAAGTATGCATCATCTTTTAGCTTATGCTTATCGGACAACATTTAAATTTTCAATTTTAAATTTGAAACTAATTTTAAGGTTTTGCATCAAGTTTACTTTTCAGTCTTTACTTTAGATCGCTAAGAACACATGATATAAAATTTTTATTCACAAATTATTTTTTGTTTCCATGAAAAAACCAAACGATAGAGCTGACAGATGCTCACAAGGTGCACTCAGTGGCAGATCCAAGGCCCAACGATCCCAACTACGGATCACGCCGTTATAATACCTTAAATTTTTAGTGATTAACAGTGTATATAATTGTTCACATATGTGTTTGTTCCGGCTTTAAAAAGTAACAAGATGTGTCAATGCACTCATCTTTACGAACTCACGCACACTTTACTTTATCAACATCTCCAAAAGGCTAGACATCAGATTCGTCAAGATTGGGAAAAAAATCAAAATATATTCGACTTTTTTCACAGTTCTTCAATAATTAGATTCATCACGATTAAAAAAAAGAAGAAGAAGAAGAAGAAGAAGAAGAAGAAGAAGAAGGAAGTGTACACTTGAGCAGAGCAATCGCCTCCCAGCTGACCTCACGTGCTGGCGGCGAGGGAGCCCTCGGCGGCGGCCATGGAGCGGCAGTAGTCGGCGACCTCGCGGAACCTGGGCACGCTCCTGAGGTCGACCTTGGTGCCGTCCTTGAGGGTGATGACGATGTCGCCCCACTCGCCGATGAACCGTGGCACCACCACCACGGACGTCACCGACGAGTAGGGGAAGTCGGTGCGGTCGGCGCCGGAGAGCCCGGAGATGACGCTCACGCGGCGGGAGGTGAAGCGGTACCGGAGGATGAAGGCGCGGGACACCGCCGCCAGCGTCAGCGGTAGCCACAGCAGCGTCAGCCCGAGGGCCAGGTTCGCCGCCAGGTCGCCGTAGTGCGCGCCGCCGTCGAAGAACACCGTCTCGGCGCCGCCGCCGTCGGCCGCGGCACGCGCCGCGACCAGGCGGCGCCGCGGCGAGCGCCTGAGGCACGCGGCGGCGTTGGGCGGGGCGGAGGCGCTTGCTGGATGCGCGCTCGCTGACGGCCGGAGAAACGCAGCGGAAGCGGTGGCGGCGGCGGCGGTGGACGGCAGCGACGACGGCGGCGGCATGGTGTTCGTCCGGTGCGTTATCTCTCGCTGGTGGTGGAGGGGAGCGTGAGGCTCTCGTTCTTTTTGGTGGCTACTTGTGTGTGCAGGAGTGAGACACGTGGCAGAATCGATTTGCTACACGTAGGCTTCATATGTGCTCATGGTCATGGCCTCGTTTGGTGTCGTAGTGAGTTCTCTTCTGTGGGCTGTGTTTGCTCATCCGCTAGCGGCAATATTCTATATACAGTTTTGGGCCTCAATTTCATCCATAAAAGCTCCCAATTTCGTCCAAAAGTTTGGCCCGAAAAAGATTTCAGAATGGAAACTGAATGTAGCGTAGCTCTAAAGATCAGCAGAAGAAATGTCCCAAGAAAAGATCAAAATAGATGAACAATGAAGGGAGAAACTACTATCATCAACTCCAACTCCAACTCCAACTGATTGTCATTCAGAAAGGAAGCACCTCACACAAGGAAAAAGCAGAACTGCTGACCCAGATCGATTACAACAATTTCGGAGAATATTGGTTCACTTTTTATAATAGTTTCGTTTGTTTTTTTAGATAATAATAGTTTCGTTTGTACCCACATGATACAGAGCAATACCCATACATAGCAATACATAGTGGCCTGTCCGTCCTATACCATCATCTACACTATTCCAGATATCACATTATCATCATACAGTGAAACTGTGAAAGTGAAGTGAAGCAGTAGACGTAAGCCAGCTAGTCTGCCCCCAACTTACTTTCCATCACAGATCATTCGTAAACTGACAAAAGTTCACCAACAGTATCATCGCAAGATTGTCAGAGACCGATCGATCTGCAGAAAAAGGAAACCAACTTTTTTTCCCTGGACCCTGACGACGAGTCGACGACGACCAAAGCTCAAGTAGTCTCCTTACCGTTTTTGATGCGGTTACCACACCCCCACGGTAAGGTGGTTACCACAGTAACCGCGTGATTACCACGAGACATACCGTAGTTTCAAAAATTGAAAAGGTTACCGTGTATAGTAACCGTGTGGTGACCGTGCGGTTTCGTAAACCCTGCCCCAACTGCAGCCAGGTAGTATCCGCGACTCAGACGCATCACAGCTTACAATTGTGAGGCGACATCGCCCTGCACGCGCATGTGCGCCACACCTGTCGATCTCCCCGTCCTCCTCTCCCCCGTTGCGTTTGGTGTGACACCACCAACCCAACGCGACGACGCCGACGCCGGAGAGATCCCCTGGAAACACTTGTGTTCGTGGACACGGATCCTCTACAGTATTACACCTACGATAGCAGTATTGATAGGACAATCTTGGTTAGTTGTTCGTGCGTATTTCCTCCGCCATCGCGCCGATGATGCATCGTTTACAGCGTTGGGTTGATGAGAAGAGAGATTTTTTTTTCTTTAACGCAAGGTTGCGAGAGAGACATGATTCAGCAGCAGCAATGGTACTATGGCTAACTGCTTTACTACTAGTACTAATAACCGACCTGAAGTTTCAGAACTGCTGTAAAAAAAATAAATGCAGAGTTATTACAGAGGAGACACTGTTCCGACTCTTGTTTAATCTGCCATTAGCCCATTACCTCGTACTACCATATATAACCGTAAATGATCGATCTGAGTATCAGATCATGCGCATGTGATAATTAAGTCGATGGAAAAATTTATACACCACCACGATGTCTCCCGTTGCTTTCTTGTTTTGCCTGGCCTGTGCTGTGCGTGCGCCGTACTGCGAGTATTATCAGTTGTCACAGTTGGCCACACATGCTTCTGAATCTCCTCCTCCTCCTACTATTATTCCCCTGAGGCGACGACCTAAAATACTCGTACTCGCGCGACCGAATTGCGATACTTTCTTCTTCTTCTTTCTTTTTTTTCTAGCGAGATGGTGGTGGGCACCGGGGCTGACTTTAGACGCAGATTCATGTGCGGCATCCGATCGGCTAACTACCCCTACTGCTGCCTGCTTGTTGCTACACCACACACATCCTTTTGGGATTATCCTATGCGATCTCATCTGATTCCACTCTTAATTTAGTGTCCCTGATCTGATTAAATTAGCTTATAGCCTCATCTCTGATGCTGAATCTATCTCAGGAACGAACATTCATTTTCATGGTGATCATTCACATTGGCTATGTAATAATTAACTCCTCCATTCGATCGGTCCACGTGTAACTCGTCTTCCGAGTATGTAAAGATCTACTCTCTCCGTCTTAAAATAACACAATCTAATATGGGATGTGACTCATCCTAAGTAATTTTGGAACGGAGGGAGTAAGGTTAAACCGTAACTCAAACAAATGGACTTACCATGTGTTGTTGACATGATTTCAGTGGTCTCATCCAAGGTTGTCAATATCCCGGTTCGTATCCTAGTATCTTACGATACTACGATCCTACCAAGCCAAAACGATACCGATCCCACCTAGTATCCTAATTTTCATAGTATCTCGATTCTACTATTCATTACTATACGATCCTACGAAATCTTAGGTGGTATCCCGATTCTACGATCCCTACGATACTACAAAATATTATTTAAAATAACATGGTTTGAAAATAATATAAATAATTATGCTCAAATTTATATAAAAATCAGTTAAATATATCAAACCAACATGGTTTCTCTTGATAAATGTCTCTATTTGTATGACATATATCATTACTATATTTTTTAATATATAATGGCTATATATAATTAATATAAATATTAATTAAACTTAAAAAAAATCGATACGATCCTACGATACGATATTACTTTGAGGAAAACGATATTGTCTAATATCCCGATCATGACAACCTTGGTCTCATCTCATGACTTGGCCCCAAGGACATTTGCAGAGAGGGTGCACGGTCAGTTGGGCACTGTGCTGCCACATGGAGATGGAAGAGCAGTAATAAGGTGGAGGGCCAATGGGCACAGAAGGACTGAACCGATGCAACGGTTTGGACTATACATGCCCGGTCCTTTTGCTGAGCTCATTGGGGAGCATCTCGTCTGCGTTTCGATGGGGACACTGGAGACCCACGCCTACTCACTGGTCAGTACTACTCAGTACTCGGCATCCTCTCATCTTTTTTGTTTTTTCACTTTGAGTTGTTGGAATAACTTGTATGGTATGTCGGTCTTAGAAAGGACTAGCATAATTCTCCGCACAACCACCTAGGATTAGAGTTAAGTCTCTCAAACGTACAACATTTGTTATATACTCCATCTATCCCATAAAAAATCAACGTCCATATTCGTAGCCAGAAGTTGATTTTTTATGGGACGGAGGGAGTATAATTTTATACTAGTAACTCTTATGTGTATATAGTTGAAAGCCTGAATTAACAATTTTAAAAATACAATTATATTTCTCAGAAAGTTTCCAATAACCAAAAAGAAAGATCATCTAATTAACCCAATGCATGTTATTTTCATATTTTTTTAGCTGGTTCCACCCTTAGAATCTAAAAACACTAAATTTTACTTATTGGAGAAGAACAATAATACTGATATTTTAAATTTTCACAAAAGCCACTGTAAACATAGATTGAGGGAGGCCGGGCCTCTGCTCGTCCCTCTTTCTCCATCCCTGGTAGTTAATTTCTATTAACTTTTGTTATAGGATCTACAGATTTATATTTTCTATTTTTAGCTAGATATTATCATTAGGAGGGAGATGAGAATTTTTCGCATAACATCGAATCTTTTTATCTTTTGGGACTTTTTTTTATGTGTGTTTTATGGGCGGAAGCCTGAAATATGAACCATTTTTATTATTTTAAAAATATTTATCTCATTCATCTTTAGCAGTGCTCTAGCATATACGGATATACCCAATCCATCTAAACTGCTATAATCTGAACCCATCTGATTAATGTGATCCCACGAATAAATAAGCAGTGCACTTCTCTTAGAGCAAGTTCAATAGCATAGCCCACTACTAGCTCCAATTCATCTATAGCCAATTTAATAGCCAATTCATACAATAGTTGCTTACTATATTATTAGTATATATAGTCCCACCTATCATACACACACTGTGTCTTGAAGTCCGTGCTGCAGCTGGCTACATATCTGTAGCCCGCTGCTCTTCTATCTCATCTTTTATCTCATTAATATATATTTATAGCTGGCTAATAGTCTGCTATTGTACATGGTCTTACTATAATTAGCAAGGTCAAGTTCCAAAAAGAAATACCGCTAGCAACCATTGACATGGCGTTATCAAATTCAGTGATAATTAATGGATGGAATGTTCTATGCGCTTTTCTTTAAAGACGAGTTTTAGATGAGTCCATTTCTCTTCCTGATCATGGAACAGAGAATGAATAATGATTGTTGCTGGTGCATCCCTATATTCGGCTACATAGTAGTAAGCGTACCACCTCACATCTGGACCAGATCGTCCATGGCAGTTATTTTTGCGCGCGCACTGAACTGATCTCTACTGCTCAGAGTACACTAGTACTCCTCTTTCTCTGCACACACATTCACTGCCCTGTAATTAAGTTGCCATGACCATGATCTTGTCCTTCATAAATAAAAATGAAAAAAAATGCATTTCAATCGATGGGACAATTAATTAATGAGAGAAAAGACGAAGTGAGTTCAGCTCAACTAGCTAGGTATCCTGTGATGTAGATTTGATACGAGTGTTTGTATTTACGGTTAATTATTCTTTCAATGACAAACGATGCACTGTTGCGACAGTAAGACAAATAAGATGACTTAACCTTTAAGGTATGCCTCGACAGCAATACCATCGACAGCGAGATGATTAAGGTGGTCTTATTAATTTTAAGTTATGTCGGTTCCGTCTTTATGTCTGTGTTTGTATCGTGATTAAATAAAATTAACGAGAGAGGAGGCTATAATGCAAAAGGATCAATGCATGTACACGTAAAGATTGTGAGGATGTACTTGAGGGAGTGACGTCGTAAAAAGGCAGTGGTTTTTGGTGCCACGGTGGACCACAGAGGGGGGGTTGGAGGGGAGGATAGGGCCGGGGCGCGTACGGGGCCAGACCGGACACGGTCCTTTGGTTTTTCTGCCTGCGATGTGTGCACGGCCCCTCCACTGCTGATCCACCCACAAGCGATTGTTCTTCCATGAGCTAGCTCAGCTGTGGACCTGACCTGCTGAGCTGAGGTGACCTACCCTGCCAATCCAACAAATTTTTGTTGTAATAAAAAAAAGAGTTAAGTCCCTCGTCGTTTGCTTATTAATTGCATTTTAAAACTAAATTTTGGAACTACATTTAATTTAATTCTACAGTTATTTCTTAGTAGTTTATTTTTTAAGAATTGATGCTAAACCGCTAACGTCACAGATATAAAACATTTACTCATAAATTATTCAGTAATTACATTTATTTTTTCATGATTTATCATCCGTAGCACGAACGATGTCACCTCTGAAATGATATGATATTTTTACCGCCACAAGCATATATGTACATTTTTTTCCCCAATCGCTATAGTTGGTAGGCCAACCGTTTCATATGAAATTCCCCGTGATCCAATTCCAAAATGTACTGGCGAATCAATTCAGTTGGAACATCAATGGTCTCTGATCCCCCTAAACTCCTCATATGCCGTAAATTTTTGTAGTACGAAATGATCCACGGTGACAAATTTGAGAGACAGATCTGATCCACAACGAAATCGAAAACGTACCCTCGAGGTACGAATAAACTCCCGGTTTTACTGGCACTGTTTTGTGCCTTAGCTGCCATCTCGCCAATCACTTTCAGACAGGCAAACTAGCCAAGCCCGGTTCAGTCAACTGTAGCTGCCAGTGAGGTGATAAGGCCGATGCAGATGGCGACGTAGATGTACTGATGTCCAGTACGTACGACACACTGAGCCAATAGCAGGTAGAAGAGGAAAATATATACCCATATATAACTTCACTACAATAGAAAATATATAATGCAAAGTTTATATACAGTGTAAACCCTAAAAAGTATTGTAGGATAAAAAGTAAAATATATATATATATATATATATCGTAGGATAAAAATAAACGCTTAAGATTTACGCTGCATATGGAGTCCTTATTTCAATATTTTTGTTCACTAAGCCTAGTTCTTTTCAACTGAGATTCACCAGTTTATTGTTATGGATTATTTACTTTACACCCCTAAAAATTATGTTATCTAAAGGAAAAAAAACTACTGCATTGCTTGGACCAATTGTTTCGAGCTACTATTTGTTAAGTTTATTTCTTAGGTTATTTAATTTATTCCTATAATTATCACTATAACTAGATAATTCATGACCATATTCTCGTCAAGTAATGAAATCTACAAAGTTTTGACATTAACGGAGAGACAACTTCTGAATAACTATACTAGATCTACATGCACAAGCCAGCTGCGTGAATCTTGTAGTCACTAGTCACGAACCAAATAGTAGCTAGACATGGTAAAAATTAACCTAACTTTGTTGTGTGACAAACTGTGGCGATGTAACAAAAAACTTAATTTCAAAGATGAAGGGGGCCAACAAGATATGTAGACAGAGCTGCCAAATTTAAATATTGCTGGTGTCCATGCTTTTCTGTTCTTTCTAAATGGCCTTGATTGCATTGTAGGGTTGCATGCATGCACGAGCTAGGATTAATGCACGGATCAACCACACACCGCTTAATTTAACTGTTGAAAACTTTGGTCCATTTCTTTTCCTTTTCTACCAAAAAAAGAAGAAGAAAAGTTTCTTCCAGAAACATGTACATGTGTTCTTGCCTTCACACAAGTACGTACTGTTCAGTATGTTTGCACGAGCTTATGTGTCAAAAACCTAGCCAAACATCAATGGAATTAATTATAGGGTACAACTCAATTGTGTGATTGCTAGAGCGAAATTTAATGAACATTTTTCTCAACACAGGGACATGATCCACACAGATTAGGGGAAGAAAGAAGAATCACCATGCACCTATACACAACAAACACTGCCTCACAAAGTTCACAAATTTATGTATGTAAAGAAAAAGGGGAAAAAATAAGAACCCAATAAATAAAAAAAATAAATAAAAAGTGACAGAATATACTACTACTGAACTCCAAAATCTAACCCTACGTACGTCGTTCCATCTCACTCGCTTATTCATCTACAAGTTCCTTCGATTCGATATCCTCTTCAAACCCAAGAGAAAAATTCAATGCATTCATCACCTCAATACTCGTAGCTAGCATCATCATCATACACAACCTTCTCATTGTTCTTCCCAATTAAGCTTGCTCGATCTCTCCAAGAATTAATCCAAATGCATGCGTCTGAATCTTCCACACACGTGCATGCGCTTGCGTTGGTGTGTGATCATCGTTAATTCATCACCCCGTACATACTGTCGATCGCTTCATCACTGCAAGATAGTTTGTTGTTGCCAATGGTTGTTTGGTTGGTTGGTTGGATCCATGGATCGATCGATCAGTGGAAGTGCTGGTGATCGGGCCATGGCCAGAACGGCGGCGGCTCGTCGACGCCGCAGAGCAGGTTGCCGAAGCTGGCCGTGTCGACGGACGCCGCCTGCACATTGCCGCCGCCGCCGTGGTGCTCCATCTTGGGTCCGCCGGCGCCGCCCGACGAGCTGTGGAGGAGCTGGTCGATGTCGACGCCGCCGCCGCTGGCGGGGCGGGCGATGGAGGTGTAGAACGGGATCATGCCGCCACCGCCGCCGCCGCCGCCGCCGCCGCCATGGTGGTGGTGGTGCGCGGTCGGGGCGGTGTCGAGCGCGGCGGCGTCGGGCGGCGGCGTGCGCGAGATGTCGAGGTTGATCTCGGAGCTATTCTCGCTGCGGTTGCTGCACGACGCCTCCGTCTCCTTGTTCAGGTTTATCAGCTCCGACGCCGCCTCCCTCCCCTTCAGCGCCACTATCTGCATTTTATCACATTTCCTTCTTAATCATTCAGTAAAACAGTACTAATTAACAAAAGCAACACGAACTAGTACTATTAGTTACAAGGTATATCTAGCTAGCTATACTTCTACTAGTACGTTTTTTGCACCGATCATCTATCGATGCCCAATCATAGAAGTACTAATTGTGCTTTTTTTTTCTCTTTCTCTCCGGGTACACAAACACGCATCATTGCAAATCTGATTGTTGAGAAGAAGAAGAAGTGATCTCAGGAAAAAGGCAGCAGCACATGCAACACTGCGACCAGGCACAGAGAGATGCGATGCATGCCCGGCCCCAAGAGCTGGTAGTACTAGCTAGTACTACTACACTTGCCAACGAGGCTGGCCGTGTGATGAGGCCATTGACTCCACCACAGCAAAAGCACCAGCAGCTACCACCCAAACCTGCACTGCCTCCGACGATCAATCCACCCATCGATCGATCGATACATCGATCTCACCAGCTTGATGACGACGACGAGCACGAGCAAACGCTGCATATTCTGCTGAACTTTTCGCGAGAAAAAGCTATAGCTACTGCTGCCGTCGTCGACGTACTCGTGGTGGTGAGAAAGGCACCGATTCCAACAACCTTTCTGCCAACACTGAAACCCACATGGATCTCCGTTCCTGCCAACGCAGGCAGCAGCAGCAGCAGCAGCAGGGAAGATCGACATCACCAACCAATCATTGAGCTTGGAAAGCCCCGGGAAAATTAATCATGGACAAATTAAACACAACACGCATCATCCACGATCACGCAGATCTATGGATCAAACGCTCGAATGCGTAATTGGATTGATTTTGATTAGTTAGTTACCTCGGCTTGGAGCTTCTTGTTGTGGTTGAGGAGCGCGTCGTTCTCGGCCTTGACGGCGTCGAGCTGGCGCTTGAGCGCGTCGTAGTCCTTCTCCAGCTGCTTCGTCTTCCACCTCGCGCGGCGGTTCTGGAACCAGATGGCCACCTGACGCGGCTGCAGCCCGAGCGCGCGGGCGAGCTGCATCTTCCGCTCCGGCTCCAGCTTGTTCCCGAGCTCGAAGTTCTTCTCCAGCGTCCGCACCTGCTCCACGTTCAGCCGCCGCTTCTTCTCCCCGGCCTGCGACCCGTCGTCCGACAGCTCGTCCTCGCCGCCGCCGTTCACCTCGTCGCCGCCGCCGCCGCCGTCGCCGTACGACATCGGCCGCTTCCCCAGCATTGGCGCCATGCCTCGGAATTCTTGGAGGGACGGGCATTGAGCGGAGGACGGCAAGAACGGGTTGTGCGGGTGCGGTGGCGGCGGCGGAGGAGGACCCAGGTGGTGGTGATGCTGCTGCTGCTGCTGCTGCTCATGGTGGTGGCCATGGTGGCCATGGTGGTGGTGGTGGTGGTGTTCTTGCGGGTCGTGAGGCGGCGCCGCTTGCTGCTGCGCCATGTGGAGGAGGAAGTTCGGAGGGAAGAAGGAGGAAGGGGAGGACGCCATGCCATTGCTGGCCATTGTCCTCAACTCGATCTCCTTAGCTCATCAAGCGAGGAAGGCGAGGCGCATCGCGAGTATTTGAGAGTGAGAACTTTGTGTTGTGTGTGTGTGTGTGTGTGTGTGAGAGAGAGAGAGAGAGAGATGGCTATAGATGAGGGAATGGAAATTTAACAAGATGTTGTTTATCAAAAAGAAAAAATAATAATAATATTGGGGAATTTTAGTTTTGCAAAAAAAAAATCTGGAATAAATTTATTATTTTTGAGAGTATCAAAAAAGAAAATTGCTCTAATAACTAGCAGACAATATTGCTTAAGATATATGATATGCCAGCAAAGAGTACCACAAAGGACCATGCTTCCTAAAAGGTAACCCCTCAAGATGAGTAGGATGGTAGCTTCTACTGTTCCTTTTTTTTTTTTGAAACCTTAGCCAGCTTAGCTGGTTTTATATTTCAGAAGATAAGCACTGTACAAATGCCACCAATGGTGACAAGGGGAAAGACAGGGGGAGGAGAGCAGAAAAAAAGGAAAATTACAACAAAGGATGAGAGGTTAAGGCGCTATTCTCGCAAGATTTTTTGCCCCACATGCCGACCATGTATGTATTTCGTCCATTATTCTTGCCGTTAGTTGAGGGATTTGAAGTTCTTTTATCTTTGAAAACTCGTCTGTTCCTCTCGCACCAGATTTCCCAACTCAAGAGCATGTGCAGTGACTGCATCCCCTTACTTTGACATTTGCTTTGTTGCTTTGTTCTTGATTCCCACCAGTCAACTAGGCTCTCGTCCGGATTGTGCACCGGGAAGGGTTGGTTGTGGTTCATCCTAGCCATTATTTTGTCCCAAATTTCTCGCGTGAATGGACAATTCTTGAATAAATGTTGCGCCGTTTCCAAGTTCCTGTAGCAGAGTTGGCAAAAGTAGTTATTGGGCCATTGTCGGAGTTGCAAGCGGTCGGATGTCCATATCCTGTTTTGCAGGACAAGCCATGCAAAGTTTTTGCATTTGGATGGCGCCCATGTCTTCCAAATCAAGGTGGCGGCCCTTGAGTCTTCTCTACCGGCGAATTGGGCTAAGCCGATTTTGCTGTGTATTTACCGGTATTTGTCCATCTCCAGGTGATGGTGTCTTCAACTCCTTCCTCCAGGTTTGTCTCATTATCCCAGATAAGGCGGAACACTGCGAAGAATTCTCGGATCAGTGGCATGGACAGCTCATGCCTAATATCCTCAATCCATTTGTCATTGGTTAACGCATCCTGAACTAAGCGTTGCTTTCCTTTAGAGTGGTTGAAAAGCGCTGGCGCTAGGTATTTCAGCGGCTGGTGTCCAATCCAGTTGGATGTCCAAAATTTTGCCTTCTGCCCATTACCGATTGTTACCTTTGTTGCGGCCACGAAGATTTGCTCATCTAACTCATCGTAGTGGGGTGTTGTCCCAACCCAAGGTTTGTCAGGGCACTCCCACTCAAACCATAGCCAACGGAGTCTCAAAGCTCTCGCGAATTTATCAAGGTCCAACACGCCTAGTCCTCCCATCTTTATTGGGGAGCATACTTTTTCCAATTCACTTTGCACTTCCCCCCGCTAATCTCTTGATCGCCGGCCCAGAGGAATTTCTTCCTAATCTTGTCCATGTCTGTGAGGAACTGTTTAGGCGGCTTTAAGGCGGTAAGGAAGTAGGTTGGTATGGAGCTGAGAACAGACGTGACTAGCGTCTTCCGCCCTGATTGCTGGATTAACTTCCCTTTCCATCCCACTAACCTTGATTGCAACTTGTCCATCACCGGTTGCAGGTGTATTCTCTTGATGCGGCCTGGGGTGAGCGGCAATCCCAAATATGTTATGGGAAAATTGCCCCGCTGTCCATTGAAATTTTCCAACACCTCAGACAGGTTCTGCTCTGCGCATTTGATGGACACGACCGAGCTCTTGTGCAGATTCACTTGAAGGCCTGTGGCCTCGCCGAAGAATTGAGGATGCTAATCAAGTTGTTGGCATCATTCCTGATCGGGTTTATAAAGATCGCTGCATCATCAGCATATAAGGATATTCTGAACCGCGCTGCTCGGTTTGATAACGGAGATAGAAGCCCCTCTTGCGTGGCCTTATTGAGTAGTCGTTGAATCGGGTCAATTGCTAGGATGAAGAGGTAGGGCAAGAGGGGATCACCCTGCCGGAGGCCTCGCCTGTGTGTAGTTGGTTCTTCCGCTATCCCATTGAGTAAAATTCTGGATGATGCAGTCGATAGGAGAAGCACAATCCAATTTCTCCAGCGCTGACTAAAGCCTCTCCACTGCAGAATTTCGACAAGGTATTCCCAAGATACTGAATCAAATGCCTTTGTTATGTCCAACTTGAAGAAGAGGGATGGTTTCCGTTGCATGTGCAAGGACCGGACCATGTTGCGCACATAGAGGAAGTTATCTTGTATGCATATCTTCTTGATGAAAGCACTTTGGGCATGCGAGACCAAATCACCAAGCCGTGCTGCCAGTCTCATTGCCAAAGTTTTGGATATAAGCTTCGCCACAGAGTGGATCAGACTAATGGGTCTGAAGTCATTCACCGAGCGTGGCGAGTCTTCCTTTATTTTTCCTTTATGAACTAGCTAGTAGCATGTATACATTTGCTAGCTAGTACTACCTCTTTTCTTAGCTTTCTTAGATCCCTTTAGATAAGTTTATACAGATGAAATGAACCTAGTTTTTTTTTTAAAAAAGAACTAGCTTACATCCCCTTGAGTTGGAGGCTCCAAATGCAGCAGCAGGATTGACATGGTTCTGGGAATTGTTGACAAAAGAATCTGAAAGCTACATTGATGATGATGACTGCCATGATAATTTACAAATCATTTCCAACCTGATGATCAAATGATCAGTAGCGTATCTCACTCTTCATCATAGCCACTGCTGCCAGGTGCAATTATGGTTTACATGCATATGAGATGAGATGAGAAGAAGTTTGGAGCAGCAGCAAGTATATGTAATAGAAAGCCAAGTACAATATATCCCTTGGGAATTATTGACTCCAACTATTCGTGTAGTCGAAATCTTTCCTAGACACATTTATTACAGAACTAGGACATCCATTCATTTACGGTTTTGGCTCATGCAGCATGGTTCAAAGCTTCAACACTTCCATCAATTTTTAGGATATCAACTACTCCAGTTTAATTTACTCAGACAAACAAGAAAAAGGACCAAACAAACTCCAGTACTTAACTCTCTTCTGGACAGTTATACCCCCACCCCCCAAAAAATAAAATAAAATATAGAATGGCATTTTGGTTTCACTCATGATCTTTCCTTCAAAAGATGCTATTATTAACCATGCATTTCTCATACTCTAAATGAAACCATAAAAGTTCAACGTTGAAAAATGAAACAACAAGGCCACACGCTTCATACGCAAATTGCAGATCGATCAACCCATGATGCCAATCTGGAGTCGCATATGGATGATGCTGGCCAGATTGTGGCTTGCGTTAGCAAAAATAAAACGATTTTGCTATATCTCACACGAAAGATTTTTTCTTATCTCTCACTCGATTTTCTCACTCAAATTTACAGTGCATTTTCTTGTAAGTTACAGTGTAATTTATGAAACTTACACTGTAACTTTTGTAAGTTATACTGTAATTTTTGAATCTTCGCATATAAATTTTAAATTTTGTATTGGATTTGGTCTTTTTCTTGAGGATATGGTAATTTAGTGTCCATTATGGTGTTTCTTAATTGCTTTTTGCTTTTTATTATATCTATCGGATTTTAATCTAAAGATTAAAAATCTGTGTGATACGATCATAAAAATCTTTCGAAAGATGTATAGGTACTCCCAAAATAAAATAAAAAATTAAAAATAAAAGGAAAAAAAAGGACACGGAGAAATGGATGCCAGAGAGAGGGAGAGAGAGAGAGAAAGAGATGTGCGGTACGAGCCCTGCACCGCGTGTTGCATGTGGCTGGATCCAGCCCATGTCAATGTCGCGACTACGTGGCCCCCTCCCCACCGTTGATCTCCTTGATCTTTTCTCTCCGTGCCAGCATCAGCATTTGCACGCTACATAAGCTCAGTTTTTGCGCACAAACACGCACAGATTTGTCAAATTTTATCTTTGGGAGAGGTTAATTAATTAACACTAGTGGGAGAAGCTTTGCATTTGCTATGGCCATAGTATATATCAACACATGTGCAATGCAGGGGGCTGCAAAACAGCGGGGCCCCACGCACAGCGAGACGTGCAATGTACGTGGGCTTGGGGGGTGTGTGGGGCCCACCATTTCCCCTGCCCCCTGCTAATGCTAACCATGGTGGCCCTGGGGACTAGTTGGCCTTTGTGTTGGGAGGCCAGCCCGGCACATGGCCTTGTTAGTTAGAGGAGAGATCCCATTGCCCATCCATCTCCTTCCCCTTGGACCCTTCCCCTCCTCTCATGCCATGCTCAAATGCCTCCTCCCCCTCCATTTTCCACCCCCCTCTCCCTCTCCACCTCCACCACCATCACCAAATATCTCTCTCCCAAAATGCCTATGCTAAAATCGAATCTTTTGGTTCGGTCTCATGCGTCGCGGTGTAAAATCAATCGGGTTAACCGCATCGCGCGTCGGCTGTAGATGTTTGACGAGAATGTTTGTGCGCACGGTAAAATTTTGCCCGGTACCGATTGACGTTATTGAAGATATGTCGTGGTAGTATATCTAGAGTAAGTTTTCGTGCGAGACGTGTGCGTGTAGCCGACAGGATCGGTTACTCTTAGGCCCCGTTTAGTTCCCCAAATTTTTTTCCTAAAAACATCACATCGAATCTTTAGACACATGCATGAAGCATTAAATATAAATAAATAAAAAAACTAATTGCACAGTTAGGGAGGAAATTGCGAGATGAATCTTTTGAGTCTAATTAGACCATGATTAGCCATAAGTGCTATAGTAACCCACATGTGCTAATGACGGATTAATTAGGCTCAAAAGATTCATCTCGCGGTTTCCAGGCCAGTTATAAAATTAGTTTTTTTATTCGTGTCTGAAAAGCCCTTCCGACATCTGGTCAAACATTCTATGTGACACCCAAAAATTTTCTTTTTGCGAACTAAACGAGCCTTACTCTACAATTTGTTTTTGAGGGTTTTATTTGCGTGGTGGTGGGTGTGTACACACCAAGCCGTTTGGAACCTTCCCATCCTCCCACTCTCACGTGCCAACCACATCTTCCGTTTTGCAAAACCATGTTCACCTCCTCTCGAGGTCCATTTTTCTATGCGATCCACTTGGATCCGTCCATGATCCTCTGCTCCTTTTTTCTTCTCCTTTTCCCATGATAGCCGGCGCGGTTGTTAGCTGTGTGTGTGATGTGAAGAACGTTGTTGCTGCTACTATACATGTGTGCGTGTGCGGTGACAGATGGTGGAATGTTTCTGCAGGTGGTAAATAAATAAATAAAATTATGCGCACAACTCACTATTTATCTATCGTTGTTACTCACGTCGTCCAGATGGTTGTCAAGTGTCAACGCAACAAAACAATTGGATCCGTACCAACAAGGCAACAAGCCAACTGTGTACATTCATCATCTTCTTTCGTACTCCCTCTGATGTTTGTATTTATTACTACATCCATCCTATAATAGTTACATTTCTACCATTTAAATTTTTTCCAACAAAAATATATTTTTATAAGATGTGACACAACAAAGGAAATGTGTGACCCAATCTTCCTTTTAATTAAGTTTGCATATGGAATATGTTCTTCAACCTTCATTTTAATCAAGTATACATATGAATTATACACATGTAGTGTAGTTATTAAATAGGGTTATTGTGGTAAATTATGTTTGTTGTTAATTTGTTTCTAATTATTTCCAAATTTTAGTAAGGCTTTAAATTGAACATGTCGAACGCTACCCAAAATTTGGTCAAAATGTGTTAGGGTTAAAAGTGGTGAACAAGCCTGTAATAGTAAATTTTCTTTGGCAAAATTGGTTATATAGCATCAAAAGTTTACTTTTTTATTTTATAGCACCGAAAGATACCGGTTCACTTTAATTGCACCCAAAGTTCACTTTGTTTCCATTTTTAACACTTCCGTCAATTCTCGATCGTTTTCCATCCGCCTTAATCGCTATTGACCCAGCCACGCACATGATATGACGTTTCTACCTCTCACAAATACAAGTAGAATCCATGGCAATGAGGGGTAGAAATATCATATTGTGTGCGTGGCTATGTCAATAGCGATTAAGGCGGACGGAAAACGATCGAGAATTGACGGAAGTGTTAAACATGAAAATTGGGTGAAATTTAGGTGCTATTAAAGTGAACCGGTATCTTTCGGTACTATAAAAAAACATGAAATTTCGATGCTATTTAACCAATTTTGCCTTTTCTTTCCCTGAACAAATGAACTCCATTATCCTGACCTTTTATAGAATTGAGAGAAGTTGGGTGAACCACTTAAAAAACAGAAGTTGGGCTGAGCCCGAAAGGTATGGTCTTTGTGTAGCCTGAAAAGCTGAGAATATTTTTGCTGGGCTGAGCCTGGAACTAAGCAATGTGAGCATAGCAGCTCAACAGCTAGAGACTATGGACCAAAGGAAAGTGTCCCCTTGTTGGGCCTGGCTTAAACTAATAGTACTGTTTTCTCTGTTATTCCTAAGAGTAATATTACCTCTAATTTCATGCATACCATGTAATAGTAAATTAAGAGGTAGCATGTATTACAGGTTGTCTCTAACACACAATCCCTAATAACTTTAACTCAAAATTTTTATTGGAGTTTGTGTATGGACTGTTTCTTGCATGAGGGATAGCACTTTCTTCTCTTCACACTTTTCTCTTCCAACTCACCATTTAGTCTTATGTGATATCTTGGAGTTTTAGTTTCGATGTTCATTGCTCTAAGATTTCCAATGGCATCGTAGTCCTATTATGTACTGAATGTGCAGTATCTACAGGCTACATATCAGCTTGACAATGGATGAAATTACCGTTTCTGTTTGACACTTTACCAGCTCCCAATCTCCCATCAACTCATATTATTACTGCTTGCTGACACTTTACAGTCTGTATTATACAGAAGTTGAACTTGTTGTGTGCCTAAAGTTGCATGCGTATATCTATCGATGTGCAAGTGCAACAAAAAGGAAGCTCCAAAGCCAGTGCCCTGCGAACAGGGTCCTAGAATCAAGGGGGACAGGTGAAGCAAACGAAGAAAAGATGCAACAAAAAGGAAGCGTGATATTTGACTAAGAAAACCACAAACATTGCTGAAAAGGAGTTATCTTCAGCCACAGTAGTTCTCACTACTCACTAGGTTACCAAGCAACCGAATTAAGCAACTTTGCAGCATTTTGATCTCAAACTAATTAAAGCCGCTCATACTTACAAGATGATCTAGTAACATTTGATTTTTTTCCCTCCAAAACCCAGGCTCCCAAGTGAGTGTGAATGTTCCAAAACCATTCATTTCAGAACAAGAATGTTCCAAAAACTATTTATTTGTTATGCTTTTTAGGTCAAGTAATTGACAAATTCAATCATACCACCCTTATCACCTCACTAGTTTTATCTCCCCAAAAATACTAAACCCCATGAACCCCAATCCCCATAGATTAGTATCCAGCTCATCCATCCACTACTTAAATTAGGAATACTTGACAGAATGTTTCTAGCTAATTAACCACACTCCCATTGCCAGTCCAGAGCTTAGGAGCTTCCTCACATTGCCATTGCCATGGGGTGCACCACCTCCAGGCAAGCCCGGCACGACCTCCGCCATTGCCCGTCGCCGCTCGCGCTGCCCCGGTGCCAGTCGTTCCCCGCCCGGTGCGCCGGTGACGCCGGCGTCCATGTCGTGCGGCTCACGTCGACCACGCTTGGCTCCCTCGAGGTCGACAAGGGCGCGCCGCGGGCGGCGGAGGCGCCGCCGATGAGGAGGATGGTGCCGCGCACGCCGACCATGACGCCGCCGAACGAGCCCGAGGCCATCGACGCGTGGGCGCTCATGGCCGGCCTCGAGGAGCACTCGCCGCTCCTGGTCCCGCCGTTCGCGCGCCACTCCTTCTCGTTCCCGATCACGGCGGTGCCCCCGGAGCTCGCCGCTGCGTCGCGCAAGGTCACGCCGCTGCCGCTGGTGGAGAAGAAGAAGGCGTCGCCGGTGGCGCGTCCGCGCAAGGCCGTGCTCTACTTCACGTCGCTCCGCGGCGTGCGCGCGACGCACGAGGACTGCTGCCTGGCGCGCGCCATCCTCGGGGGCTACGGCGTGCGCGTCGACGAGCGCGACGTGTCGATGCACCGGGGATTCCGCGACGAGCTCCACGGCCTGCTCGGCCTCGGCCGTGGCGCCGCCCTCGCCAAGTGCTGGGCGCCGGCGGCGGCGCCCGCCCTGCCGAGCCTGTTCGTGGACGGCGAGCTCGTGGGCAACGCCGACGAGCTGAAGCGGCTGCACGAGGCCGGGGAGCTCGCGGCGAGGCTCGCCGGGTGCGAGAGCGCGGCGCCCGGCGAGGCCGCCGGCGCGTGCGAGGCCTGCGCCGACGTCCGGTTCGTGCTCTGCGGCGCGTGCTCGGGCAGCTGCAAGGTGTACGTAGACGACGGCGACGACGACGACGAGAACCCATTGGACGGCGGCGGCGGCGGGGGATTCCGGCGATGCACGGAGTGCAACGAGAACGGCATCGTGAGGTGCCCCGTCTGCTGCTGCTGAGACGTGACGGTGCAACGTGGCGCCACTTGGGTGTGGTGCTCGTGATTTTGTGAATGATGGTGTGCGTGCGTGCGTGTGTGTGTGATCGACGGTGTACGATGATGATGATTGTTGAAATTCCGTTTGTAGCCAACGGCTGTGATCGATGCAACCAATGCTTGGTGATTCATGTGATGTTCCTGAGCACAAGTGATTTCTCCATGAGACAGAACCAAAATTCAGACGAGTTTGCCTCAAAAAGAGGCAGAATTCAGATGATTTTTGGGCTAGATCTTGCCGGCCACGACGGCGGCGAACTGCTTCCTTTACGCGTGAACCGGTTGCCTGCGTAGCGGGTTAGAGTTGTTGGCAATCATCGTAGCAAGCTAGCACTAGCAGCAGCAGACAGTAGTAGCATAGTAGCCTTCGTTCAAAGCCGGCGCCGTCAACAACGGCGTTTTAAATGGCAAAGCGAGCCACAAGAACAGGACAGTTGGAGCAAAACAAGGCTCTCCAATCAAAATTTCAAAACGGACCCACCCTAATCTCTAGACCAATCATCATCGTCTACTCATCTACTACTAGTGCTACATTCTTTTGATTGGAGTACTGCTCAACATCTCCAAATTTGGATAGAAGAATTTATAGCTGAAATTAACTAGAACTCCCTCCGTCCCAAAAAAAGGCAAGCCCTGATTTCCGTGCTCAATGTTTAATCGTCCGTATTATTTGAAAAAAATATAAAAAAAATTAAAAAGACAAGTCACGCATGAAATATTAATCATGTTTTATCATCTAACAACAATGAAAATACGAATTATAAAAAAATTTCATATAAGACGGACAGTCAAAGTTGGACACGGAAACCCATGGTTTGTCTTTTTTTAGGACGGAGGGAATACTACAAAGTTTAATGTTTTCTTTAAAAAATATTTTAAGAAAAGATTTATATTTTTTTTGTGAAAATCACCGTTTAGAAGCTTACCAAGCACGCAAACAAAAATCCAAAATCCATAATAAAGAAGAACATGGCCATAATGTAATTGGCTAGAGTTGAGCAGCTCATCTATTAATCCATTCATCTTCAGCTCTTTACACATACCTTGAGTTTGCTAGAGCAACCTGTAGAATCATGTGATGATTAATCTTAGTGATGAATAAATTGTCAAAGGTGAATGTTTTGAAAAATACGGTGAATACTGAATAGTGTTTCCTGTCAATGAACCGTGCATGTTGGTACTAGGTTGTCGTTTACACTCGGTGAGGCACGCCGGTCAGTCTGGAGGTGTCCGGGTAGCCCGACGGTCAGACCGGTAGACTCCAGGAGGGAGTCAATTTCAAGTTGTTTTCGTGGAACTTCTAGATTGCTTTATCTTTATTACTTTTAGATGGTTTATATTCGTATATGGATCAGGACTAGACTTGCGAGAAGTTAAGGTCTATAAGGTCCATGATATCACGCGGGATACTCAGGCTAGAGAACAATACACGTGCATGTGAATGTTTCCATATAGCATATACGTGGTGTTGTGTGTGTATGTAAAGAGGAGTCAAATTTAAATTTGAGTTCAAGTTTGGAAAGATTGAAGTGTGGAGTTGTATGAGGATGTTATTTCGTTGGTTTGTTAAATTTCCTATGTTTAAGAGTCTAGTTATGGTTGGATTCGTGGATATGGACAGCCACATTGTGGGTATAAATCGAAGAGAGATTGATGCTAGAAGGATATCGATTTTTTGGGAGAAAAAAAAAGGTTTGCTTTGAGGTTTTAATCCTAGTTCTAAGTTGAGAGAGAGAGAGAGAGAGAGAGGTGATTTAGATACATTTTGTAAACACATATTGATGCAACAAAATTGATTTACCTTCAAGAGTTTCATCGATATGTGTTTTTCTAGATCCTGACGAGTTGGCCAGGGTTCATTGTGCGGTCTAACCGGCGGGTGGTCACACCGACAGCAGGGAGGCGGTCCAACCGGCGGCAAGGCTGCGGTCAGACCGGTGGCAATATGGCGGTGCGATTGGCGCAATTTCATCAAGTTTGAGGGTAATCTTTTAATTTTGCTAAAAGTTTTAATTTTTAGTGTTCGAACCATTCACCCTTCTCTGATTGGTTTGGTTGTAGTATTTGATTCTACATACACAAAAGTATTACACAACACAAGATGATGATGATGATGATGGAAGCTCACTTTCACTTAGTTCACTGCACTTCTCCTGACCATTCATTACACACTAATTACCAAGCACACTGCACACACACACAACACAAAACAGTTTTACAGTTCCATATTATCTGCATGATCTGCTTATTCTCTTCTACCGAGGTGGCAACAAAGCGTGGGCCCCAGCTGCAGGGCCACCTCACCCCTTCCTAATTAACAGCCTTAATTAATTAATTACCCTATGTAAAAAAAAAGAGGGGGCTCCTTTGATCCATTGCAAACGAGAACTACAAAGCTCACCACTTCCGGCGGCGCTGCTCCGGCCGCCGCCGCCGCCGCAGCCGGCGGCGAGAGCGGGGCGGTCAGTGACCGCCGCCCATGCTGACCGACCGGAACTGGCGCTTGGAGATCTTGGGCAGCAGGAATATTCCGGCGACGCCGCCGATGAGCGCGAATCCCGAGGCGAGGCCGAACGCCGGGATGTTCCCCTTCCCGAACAGCTCGTCCCACGGCCCGGCTCCCAGCGCGATGACCACCTGAGGGAAGAACACCACGCAACCATGAATCCATGAGCATTCAAATTCTAATAATCCATGAAGTATATCTGATTCGGTTTCAAGGGAAACGGATTAGAATTTGGCAGCTAATTAACCTGAGGGATGACGATGGAGATGTTGAGGACGCCGGTGCAGAGCCCTGCAGATCGCCATGGATTAGACCAGCATCCAAACAACACCGAATTATGTCAAGAAAAGCTGCAAGAATGTTGGGATTCATACCTTGGCCACCCCCTCTAGTGGCCGCTAATTGCGCCGTCACTGCGAAGGGAACACTGTACAGAACCTGCATCGCGCAAATTTTCAGACAGTTCATCAGGATAAGGCATTCTTGAGGAAATAATTTTTTTTAGCAATGTGTTTAAGTTGAAGTGTCAGTGATTCTTACGGCGAGAGGGACTCCAAGAAACGCAAAGAGGACGAGGCAGACAGCCTTGATGCTCTTGTCTGCAGTGATGGCTTTCTGAACAGTTCCATGGAAGTCCTTGAGTGACCAGAAGCTGATCAGTGCAGTTGCAGCCATGGCGATGCAGACGAGGAAATTGCTCGTCACCCACACCACCCTTGGCCCGACTTTCCGGCACATTGGTTCAATCAAGAATGAGCTGAATCCTAGCACAATCTGCACGATCAGAAGCCCATGGTTAGTTGCTGCCAAAGAACATGGCTTGAGTGTTAAAGATTTGACAGTAGTTGTGGCAATCAGAATTCAGAAACCAATCAGATCTTACCGAATTCAGTAGCAGGCCAAATGCACCTGCCCTGACACCCTGGTTGAAAGCCTCGATCTGAGGATCAGTTCCCTTTGGGTCACCGTGGTAGATCTCACGGCCCATCCAGTCAGTGTCGTAGAGGATGAATGGGAACCAAGACAACTACAAGGACAATCATATCATAGAAAAGGTAAGGTACTATAAGATATAACTAAGATATGATCTAGTAGCAATTTTTTCAATAATCTGAAAAGTTCTTTTTCTGATGTATATTGCATACCCAGGTAAGGCCAGTCACAATAAGCACAGAAGGCATCCCAGTAGGTAAGTTCCTGAAGCCTTTCAACACTGCTAGTGGACCAGTGCCTTCAGGCTCAGCTGGCTCGTTTGATTTTGTTGGGAGGGCTGCATTTCCTTTGAATGGAACTTCCTTGGCAAATATCAGAGTTATAACCAAGCACAGGGACAGGAAAATCTGAAAACAGGGGAAAATGACCAAACAAGAGCATGTTAGGCTGTGAAAAAAAGCAACCAATATGACAGGGTTGAAAAAAGAGGAACAGCAATACAATATGTAAGTTAAATTACTCATACTCGCTAAAATATTTTCAGTATAGTACTATCTTATTACAAAGACTAATATTAGCACATTGTTAAAGTATTATCAGCAGGCAGTTTATGAGGTAATAACAGAACTTACCACAGCCACCAGAAATGCACCTTTCAAATTTGCACAAGCTTCACAGCAAGCTCTTGTTTTAAGGAATGGAAACCACCTGCGCAATTAATTAGGGAGAATGCAACTCAATACTTGTAAACAAATTTCACCTTCTCTACTAATGTAATATGAATTTCACTTGCCTTCTTTCAGAAAAGAATGCAACTGAATAGACTGTGCTAAACAGAAAATCTGTATGAAACTGATACATAAGAGTAACTTACTTGTGCCAATTGTTTGTGGAACCAGAGGAGTATCCTAGGATGTTTCCCATTGCCATCCAAGAACAGAAGATGGAGTTAGCTGTGCCAGGTCCATGACGTCCTACAGAACGAAAATTAGGAGATCAAATCCAAAATCCCACTGATACCAGAAGCCCAGAACACAAGGGCAACTTTTTTTTTTCTGGAATCAATCAAGTGTTAGTGAACTGTGGAAACCAATAAAAATTTGGTAGTTAACTCTGAAAGACAAGGCTATGAAAAATTACCTGATAAATCAGCCATTAGAGCACGTGCTGGACCCTAGAAATTGCATTGCAAAATTAAGATTTTTGTTATGATTCTTTGTACAAATTTCTTTAACATGATTATTATATAGTAGGCACTAACCTGCACAGTGTTGTTGGAAAAATCAAGAAGCCAGAATCCCAGGACATATACAATAGCAGCATGCCACCGTGATCCATGGTAGACACTGCATTACATGGTGTATCAGATAACTGTTATCTGCTAATTATGATACGCAAAATGTTCAGTTACCTGCAGTCTTCCTTTGTATCACCCATGGCGTATCCAATGTCAGCTGAAAATCCAATAACTACGACCTACATACATAAAGTGCAATGTCAATATGAGAGAAAATTTGGGGACTTCAACTTAAGGAATAAGAGTTCCAAGGTTCAGTGGTTCTTACAGCCAAGCATATCAACACACATCCTGTAAGAATATATGGCCTTCGTCTTCCCCATTTTGAGGTGCACCTATCACTGTATAGACCCACGCATGGTTGAACCTGCAGGATTGGGAGATGATAATGGATCAAGAATTAAAAAAAATATGACTTGTACACAAACATTTTTTATGAAAGCTTATGAATTATGACAGTATGATCTACATTACACATATCAGAAGCTACAGAAAATGCAGCTTCAAACTCTGATAGATACAGGAGTTCAGGATACCCAAGTTTTTGTTGTAGTGAAGACACTAAAGTAACTTGAATTTACATTGCAGAAAGTACAGATTCCATAACATGAATTAATTTGATTTATTTTTTTTAAAAGAGGGCAAAAGCTTTGTCTCGTATATATCGATAGAGCAGATAATTTGGTATTGTTACTTACCACCATGCCAGCAATAGGACCACAGAGCCACATGAATGAAGTAAGAGCATGCGACAGTCCGAGTGTCTGTAAATAACAGAGGTTAGAAAATCAGTTGTTTTGGCTTATAAAAAAACTTTGACTGTAATCTACTCTGACAATAGATGATCATGCTTCATTCCTTAAAAAAATGACTATGTTTGTTGAGTTTGCTGTGTCAACAAGATCTGCATCACTGTGGAAGATATTCAGAAACATCAGAGAGCGTGTACCAGTTGCAAAGAGTGAACACATATTGATTACCACACAATAAATTTTCCCAGAAATTTAGCAGATGAAATATCCCCAGCTCTGTTGGTCTGTTGGTTCCAGGATGCATTGCCTTGCATGCTACAACTAACAGCTATCTATCCAATAACTTCAGATCACACTTCTCTTTCCCCCATGGCATGAATAAACATACAAAGACTGTTCATCGTTCTATATATGTTCAGTCACTAAATTTATTTCACTTGTCAAATATAAGAAGAAGAATCTTAATAGTTAAAATGGCAATGCTTGGATGCTAACATAGCACCAACAGGCTATGGGTACATGATGATCTGCCCTCATTTGCCTATGCAATTGCTCTGTTGCAACTGTGCCACAGTCCACAGGACATATATATCTGACCTAGAATTTCCTTGTTTTACCCCTTTATTTTTCATGTGCGCGGTTAAAGTGGGTTGGAGTTGCCTCTACAGCAACCATCTTTATGGCACTTGGCTCGAGAAGGCTAAGGTAAGGATAAACTTCGCCAGAAATACTTCAATACAACAGTAGGTAGCTAGACCTGATGCATGGACCATCAGGGGTGATGAACTGCATATAATGTTCTACAGAAAAAGTACAGAACATTTTGGAACACTTTGTTAATTAGTATGGACTGATACAAAGAGGAAGTGAGGAGCTGTTTATTCCTGTCCCCTGCTGTTTTTTGGTTTTCCCTGTACAGACCCTTTTTATTCCCCTTAATACAAAAGTGCCCTCCTTACGTATTTCCGAAAAAAAAGGAGCTGTTTATCTCCGCTATAAATCCTTCAAATAAACGCCTGGAAGGACTGAGATTTAAGTTTAACCACTAAGAAGATCGTCTTTGTTTAGAATATTTGACGACAGAGAGGCAAATAACCAATACTCTATCTCTCCGGTAATAAATATTTGATGCTTACGATAAAATTCGGTCAAAATTTTAAATTTCTGACCATTAATTTTGTACTATAGTAAAGTTATAAAATCGCTCCACTTGCTCTGTCTTAAAATAAAAGTGATGTTTTTCATGGAGACTAGGCTGTGTTCTTTTGTAATGATTGAGAACCCTTTCTCCCGGTACACAAAATTGAGCGGTAGTTTAGCACATAATTAATTAAATATTAGCTAAAAAGACAAAAAAAAATATATTAATATGTTTTTTAAACCATATAAATTTTTAGTAGAAACACATCGTTTGGCAGTTTAGGAAATATGTGTACGTCAAACGAAGGGAGTAGAAGTTAGGAAATGGAAGAAAAGAACACATCTTAAGGAGGGAGATGAAGCTAAATGAAGGATGATTTATATATCTAGCAGTAAGAATATTAGTTTCATCTTGCGGTTAGTATGGAATAGAGGGGAGGGACCCGTCATCTGCCTACCTTTAACTGCGCGCGGAGGAACGACAGATTAATTCTCCATTATTACCGCTCACTTTTGCCCTTGTCTGCTTATTTTTGTTTACATCTCTAGCTATTAGTAGCTATTAACCTAATACGTGGTTATTACAAGAAGGATAAGGTGAGTTGGAGCAGATGTATATTTTTTTATGGCACTGTACAGCATCTGAGGTAAAATGGAATTTTAAAAAAAGGAGTGTCATATCTGAGATAAAACGGAATCAAACAGTCTAATTGAGGTAAAATGGAATCAAACAAGGAGTTGAGAAACGTGTCAAGCGTAAAGTGAATCTCGGTACAGTAGACCGGTACTGATGCTAAGTGTCATGCTGGCTAGCCTGATTGATCCAAAGTGCACAAAAAGAACTTATAAAAGATTTTGATTCTTATATAGGTATACAGATTCTTCAGAAAAGAGGCAGAAAACGCCGACGTTTCATAGAGGAATCGAGAGGATATGAATCCTCTAGTGACAACAAAAAGAAAAAGGAAAAAAAAAGGAAAGGAAAAGGAATAACTACAAAATGACAAAAATGATAGCTAGTGCATCAAATGCATATTTGGCCACATGTATATAAACACATGAGCAAAAAAAATTACAAAAGGCATGCAGATTGAATTTATTACGGTACTTTTAGACACTAGTCAAATCTACCGTTCAAACAAAAAAAAATAAATCTCTCCCCACACATGAAGAAAAATTCCCCAATCTTTCAAGATATATATTTTTTTAACGACTCACACCAGACAGTGCGAAGTAAATATTGACAAAGCAGAAAAAAATTACAAGATTATAACCTTGAAAAGATTGTAACCAGGACATATATAATCTACTACCATGAAACCTTGCAGATTAGAACAGCTAGCACGAGCAAAAACTCGCGAACAAAATCAAATCCACACGTGAGATACTTGTATATATTTTTTGCAGGATTATTCAGAGTTTCAGATGCATGCATGAGAGTGTGCAAAATACACAGGAGTACAGTATATATATATATATACCTGGACGTAGGGGGTGAGGAGGGAGAGCTGGAGCGCCCACCCGTACTGCACGCCGCCGGCGACCATCCCGGAGAGGATGAGCCTCCCGAGGCTGATCGGCGCCGCCGTCTCCACCGCCGCCGCCGCCTCACCGCCTCCCCCACCACGCGCGCCGCCGCCGCCGCCGACCCCGACCGACAGCTCCAGCCCCCCGCCACCACCGCCGCCGCCTCCTCCGGCCCCGCTGCCGCGAGCCATGGCGGACGCGCCACGCACAAACACAAACCTGCACACCCCTGTGTCAGAGGAGGAGAGGCCAAGAAAGGAAATCGAGTGGAGGAAGTGAGGAGCGGCGGAGACGTAGGAGGAGGAGGGGGAGATGGAAATGGAAAGCCGCGCGAGAGAGGAGGCGCGTGCTGGATGGGAGGAGGAGGAGGAGGTGGTGGGTTTGTGTTTGGAGAGACGAGCGAGAGAGGCGAAGCATTTAAAGGGAGGAAGAGGGGGAGAGAGAGAGAGAGAGAGAGAGAGAGAGAGAGAGAGAGAGAAAGGAGGAATATAATAAAGGGTGGTGCACCTGCCAACTGCTATGCTCACCAACACTTTGTACACACCCAGTTACACCCCCCTGCCTTTATTATTTCCAGTGCAGTAATAACTTCAACAATTATTGAAATGAAAATGGAATTAATGGAGTTAGTATCGGATTAGCGACACGCTTGCCGAGCTTCTAGACGGTGCGATTATTTCAGCGGGAACGACTTTCTGTAGGTGAATTTAATAGAGGAGTGTTTTAAATCCACTCGACGTTGTAATAGCTGGTTTAATTCGTTTGTACTGTCGAGTAGTTATCCAAAATCAATTTTGGATATTTAAAAGAAAAAAAAACAGATCCGAAGTATTGGACCTACTGGCAAATAGGAATTTTGCTATATATAGGTGTGCGTTCATTTATAATGGAGTAGCATGGAGTTTTATTAATCCAGTAAATGTTTTCATTGATTTAATTAATATAACGAATTTCGCTTGAGGCCATATTTGTTAAACGCTTTTATCTCTATCATCATTCATCCTACCAGTAAAGAGCACCGGAGATCGCACTTCATTTAAATATATGTCCATGTTGGATAAACCATAGTTTATTATAGTGTTCTTTTATATGTTTTGTGGGGAATTTAGATTGTTTAATATGGCATACATATCCATCCATCATTATTATATTCTAACACAACTGGATAAGTGTTCTAAACTATTGTAGAATAACTTTGTAGTATGATCGATCTTGTGGAATAAAAAAAGTCTGACAATAACCTTTCATAAAGGAATATGAATACCCGTAATCAACGCATCAAATCATTCACGGTGTACGCCTAGCGAATTCGTTGGCGAGTGCTCGTGCGGCCGTGGGCTCGCTGTGATGCATGCATGGCTCTCTGGCTACGTCGAGATAGCGATTAGTAGCAAAATTAAGCAAGCCACTTATTAATTAATCTTTGGAGATATCATATGATTAAGGCATTAATTCGTACGTACTCGTCGTCAGCGTTTTCTGCAAAGTCCACTACAGTTTTTTCTTTCTTTGCTGAAAATGCTGATGTGTTGGAGATGGAGTGACGTGCACAACCTGCCGCCACGTGGATGGTTGCTGGAGCCTACGTGTCATCTTAATTTGAACAAAAAAAAAAGAGGAATAATACATCAATACATTTTCGAATTTCAGTTCTGCCATTGACCAGTAATACACATGTCGGCCTCACATTTTACCCTGATCTTAGTAACGGGTGGTCGCCTGGTCGGTCACTGAAAAAAGTTCAGGAAATTATAGTCAAACTGAAACGAACATATTCACTCCTTAAAAAAACTAAATCTTTTTATATATTTGTGATATTGTAAAATAGCTACGGGATAATGATATAGATATATATAGTGATAAGGGATAGATGGATCGAGATATGGAGTTGTGCTTTCTTTAATTTCCACTACTTGGGCTACCATATTATGGTAGTTGGTATGAAAAGATACACAGCAGTATAGTGATGTGATCAATGACATGTATATCTCACATGCTCCCATGTTGGAGTCAAATTTTGCTAGACTAAAATCCAATTCCAAGCAGTCCCTAGCCAAGAACAAACAAAATTCAGTGAGGTCACTGCTGCACCAAGGACTGCATGCATGCAGGAGAAGGGCATTTTCTCTTTTTTCTTTTGGAGACTCGATTCAATTCGGTCGGTCGGTCGCAATGGTCAGCTTAATTAAACGCTACTTTTAGACAGTTTGCATCGGGTTAATACAGTGTTCATTTCGTCGTTTTTGTCCCAATTAATATTTCTTGGCATTTGCAGTAGAGTCTATAATTCGTACTACTGAACATGCATGTTTTTTTTTCTCTGGAAAAAGAGAAAACCACGTCAATGGAGATATGATGCCGCGGTTTTGACATTGAAGTTTTCGGAAAAGGTGTGAGATATGATATTGTTCTTGTTGCACACACCTCCTAGCTAGCTAGATGTCTGACGGAGTTGTAGCTAGATGCAAATATATGTGCATGGTAAAGTGTTGTGCAGATATAGAGCTATACATGGGCTATCAGATAAGAGAGAAATATCCAAGTCCATGCATGCAGATATAAGGCTATGCTTCTCGATATCTACATCTACAAATCTGCAGTATGGACATTCAATTCCTTCTGAAGCATTCAGCTGGAACTCTATGGGAGCCTGCACATTGATTCCCTAAAGCGATACTCCTATATAGGAGTATGCAGCAAACCTACACATAACCCATACTACTGGAAAAAAGGTGGCTTGTCTAACTGATGCTGTAAAATGAGGAGATGCAGCCAGATTGTCTGAATAATTCAGTACCGCGACAGTGACAATTTGTTCTGTGCCCGGCCGGTGCAGTGCAAGCGAGGAATGTCTCTTGCTTAATTAAACAATTCACTCAGATAGCTGCATGACATGATCCAAGTCAACGGGGATTGGAAGGTAAAGAAAGACGGAAAGTCTCTTTCTTTCTCCGATGCGTATGATCAATGAACAACTGACGACGGGTTGGTCAACCACATCATCCATGCATCCATCCGTAACACCAAGATTTGGCATACCGAGGCTATCGGGTTTGCAATACCGAGGAGTTAAAATCGATCGAAATGGAATGGAGGAATGGTCTGCCATGCATGCATGAATGGATAAGGAAGAATCGCAGGGCGCGCTACCGCGACTAGCGCGTGTGCTCGCCGCGCCCCGGGGGGGGGGGGGGGGGTTGACGCTTCTTCCTTCGATGCAAGTACTCTTGTAGTGCCATACATGTGCAGTACTGTTCACGACATATCGACTCACTGACAGTTGATTCACATGTCAGTAAGTAGTACTGCACATATAGTATTGTAGAGGATCTCGATTATCCTTTCTTGTCTTTGCTGTTAACTCCTCCAGCATTCGCGGTTGGTTTTAGAGAGCAACAGTAGATATTACATTCATAGTGTGTTTTCATCCAAGCTAGGCGCAGTGCCACGGGTAAATTGAAGTTTGAGAGTGGCTTTATAGGTGTCAAAGTAATATCTGCAAGCCACGTGAAGGCCCAAAGAAATTAAAGTAGGTGGTCCAAAAGGGAGATGGAGAAAGAGCGTGGCGTCTCAGGAAATTCACAAACGAGCATGCTGCAATCGACCATGGCCCACCACCGACAGATCCGGTAGGCATTTCGTGGAGCCACTGCAACAGAAAACCTGGTGCCATAGTCAGATCTGGAGAACACTTGAGAAATACGTCATCGTTAAGGAGAATAAGGTCATGGCCATGGGGAAGCTGCCACGAGGACGAGGACTTGGCAGTGGACGAATCCGATGAGCACTTGGGGATGCCAACGCAGCCAAGGACGTGTCAATTGAGGTGGACAAAGATTAGTGGAGGCGATGATGACCGGAGATACCAAAGACATTGGAGAGGACGAAGACAATAGTGCTGGTGAGGGTGAGGAGCCACTGATTATGGGTTGGGATGGTCGGCGAAGACTGGGGGGCTATGGAGATTGGGTTGCGATGTTTGGCGGCAACAGGCTGGGACATATGACGGTGTTGGGGCCGAGGTGGCACGATCGCGATGGGGTCATGGATATATAGGGAATGGGGAAATGAGGAAGGGAAAGTGTGTTTGAGTTGTTTATAAATTATTTCTTTCCATTAAGGGGCTAGCTACATAATTTTAGACGATTGTGTAACAAAGCAACTTACGAGATAAATAAATTGCATGATTATTCCCATTACCTACCCAATGAAAGATATATATTGTAAATTGGAAGATGGTCGTCTACCATATAGTTATCTAGTTGAGAATATGTTTATTTCTCATGTTTATCCCGCTTTATCTACACATGGAACTTTGTATGAATCCTCGTAGTACTAAGTAGTGCCTTACAAGCTAGCCCTACTCCTTATTTGCACAAGATCTATATGGTTTACCAAACCGGCATAGATATCATATCATTTTCTATCAACCATGACCATCTTTAAAAGCCCTAGGGCATAGGTATACAGTGAAATAACTGGGAGACAACCCATTCGGTTCTTGTCACCAACTACGAGAAGCTTTTGTACCTACGTGTAATGTTTACACGTGTCGCACACACGAGAACCGAAAAATATTCGATAACCGCAAAGAGATGGAGGGCTATGAAGTTTTACTAGTTTATTATTCCTTATTAATAAGAATTTGATACACGTGATACGACGACGATGACTTACTACTAAGATTTGTGGATGTCGTATTTTTTTTCTCATAGAAATACAAAAACGTATCACCCACTTTCTACAATCGGTCTTAACCGTACCTTTGGATCCGAACCTAATTTTTTTTTCTTTATGAACAGAAAAGATTCATTGTATCTCAAGTTGGAGGTCTTCTCAGGAGAAATTCGAAACGAAACGTTTATTGTGTTGAAGCGTGTAACCCTAGAGTTCCGCAAAAGTATGATCGATTCTTACCATCAAAAAGTCCTTTAATTTGAATGTCTCTGATAGGTCCAGATCCTATACACCCTTGGATCTTTTTTCCTTTGAGAACTATACACCCTTGGATCGAATTGGTTTTGGCCGAAGCATATCGAACCAGTGAGGCAGCCTATACCTGTATGGCCTGTATTATGAGCACAGTGCAGTGATGTTGGCTTGATGTGCTTTTTGACCGCGTGGAATGTGGATGTTGGGAGGGCACTGATTGATGGAAAGCCAAAGGATGCTGTAAGAAGTGCTCTTAGGATCGGATGCTGCAATCATACAGAAGACTTTATATATTATCATATACATATATATGCGTCGTGTACATGCACCTGCCACAGGGTAGGTGTTGTCAACTTCAGACACGCCCCTATATCCCACTGGCCTAGATCCATCCACGATTGATATACCCTGCCAGGTGATCGTGTTACCCCATTCTTCTCTTGAACATATTCGTATGGTCGATCGATGGATGT